CCAGCATGTGGAAGAGGTTTTCCACTCAGCTGAAAGTCCAGCACCTCCAGTACGGCCGCCCCGGAGCCAGATCTAACTCTGAGGTATTAGGCTTCGAAGCCAGCTGCGGATTAACACAATTTGCACCTCCTCTCTGTGCAGGTAACACCCACACCTCCCCCCGTGGAGGTCCAACTCGTCAGATTTGGCCCTTGGCTCCACCTTCACAGGCCTTCTTGTAAAAGCCAAAACAAAACACATAAATTCCAGAGCAAGCAGATAGACAGACGTCTCTGTATGACCTGGTTTTGTTACCAAAGATACATTTACAAAGAGAAAATTCAATTCTAAAACCGAAATGATATACGGATGAGAGAATCTAATTTAACATCGGCGCTGTTTTAAAATGCTTGAACAACTTCTCCGGGCGTTTAGTTTCCTTCACAGCGAGCTGAAGCGCTGCAGCGTTTTCTCTCATATCCTGCTATTGATCCATCACTTCACCCTACCATAACAAGCTCATGATATCAAAGGATGGGACATCTGTGTTTTATATGTAAAGACCCTCAAAACACCTGCAAAGTCCACACTCCACTTGACAAGTTTGACATTTCCACAAAGAGGCCCTTGTTTCTTTTTTCTCACCTTTGTCTCTTTATCTGATCAGACTCAGGTCAAGTTTATTAATACAGTCGTCTATGAGTGACACTCCAACAACTTAAATTGAAATGTAACACATTCACACTACAAAGCCCTAAAGAAAAGGACTTTTCAAAATAAAAGCTTGGGTTTCTTTCACTGTTTCAGTTTGTTTGTGCACTAAAGCATGAAAGAAAGATTTAACCTCAGAACAATGTTTCCTACTTAATCTAAAACTGATTCACTTCTTCAGACAACCTAGAGACAAGACACACAAATAATCAACTCTAATATAATCAAAATAACACCAACTAGTCTAGCATTAAAGCTTGACACTGTGATTTCTTTACTTTTTTTAAAGAATTGCAATTGCTGTGTGTCTGCTAATTTGCTTTAAAGCAATATATTGAAGTCATTATGTTGCAATGTTGATTTTTCAGAGTAGAAATTTTAGTAATTAACACTTTTAAATTAATCAGATACAGAATTTTGACAAAAACTAAAAATACAGGACGGTATGCAGCAAAAAAACAGACGCAAGATAGGCTAAAGGAGCCGAAATGGAGAATGGGAGAACTATGAGTGTCTGGAAATTAAGAATCAAAATACTATTTCTTTCCATGGTGAAAACAGATTAGCAAAAGTTTAAAAAATTGCTTGATTTTCCACATTAAAACATAAGAATAAAACAACTAGGAGACAGAAAAGGTTGGCTGAGTTGTAGTAGCTGCAGTACATCCACAATGACATTCATAAAAAGAGAGCTGCAGGAAGAGATGGCAACAAGACAGGGAAAGAGGCAGGGAGTGAAGGAGAGAAAAAAAAGGGTGACCAAAAAAGAAAAGAACTCTAAAAGGAAAGAAAAAAATAAAAGAAGATTTTAAAAAAGGAGTCATAAAGAGAGAAAGACATACAAGTAAGAAAGCTGGTGAACATGAGGATGGAATAAATAAGGCAGGAAGGGAAGAAAGGACAGAAGGAGAAGAGGGAGGTGTTTGCTTCTCCTTCAAACGTTTGACCCCGGTGAGCTTTTGGTGTTTTTTGGCGCAGACAGCGAGAGAGGCCCGGGCCCAGAGTGCTGACGAGAGGCTTAGCTGGTGCTGAGCCACTGTGAGGGCGGAGCATCACACTGCGGTGGTGGGTGGGGGGTTGGAACTGGGTGGAGGGGATAGGCGGGGAGGTCGGATGGAGGGTTAGAGGGCTGGGTTGCCCTCTGACATGACCCTGTCATATGAGAGGGAAACCGACGCGTACTGAAGGCCAATGAGATAGCTCCGGTTTAGGTAAGACACTGATTTAACCCACTGCAGTAACTGTGTGTGTTTTAGTGTAACTGAGTGGATTCTTCTCTTTCTACTTTGTTTACTGTTTACAAACCTGAACGCAAAGTTTTTCCGTTCTTATTCTCAACTAGATACGTAAATTATAGCAACAAGTGTTCATCTCTAGTTAAAGACAGACACTTTAAACCAGTGTGATCTACACAGACCCCTGTCAAAAACAAATGATGTAAAACAAGCAGGTTAAAACCTCTCCTTGTTTGGCACAGCGCTCTAGATACTACACACCAGGTGTTCTAGAAATTCACCTGTACAATGTGCTCTCCGCTGCCCATTCACCTTTCACAACCTAAAAGACAGAGGCTCACATTCAACACAGACACAAACAAACACATTCAGACTCAGTGAGGAAATCACTTCAGTAAATAACAAGAAGAGGAAGAAGAAGCTGTATGATCTGGTGGTAAAAACTAGTCTTTAAAAATATAGTTTAATAGATGTTTATGTGAGATCTGAAGTACCAGCAGAATATTTTGTATTGCTAATTTATTTTTTGTTTTTAAAGCTATTTTCCGTAAAGGCTTGAATAGGCAAAACTACATGAGTGAAGGACAGTGAAGGTAAGGCTTTGATAGTTGCCTCAGACTGACAGTGTTAAAGTGTTAAATCAGGTCAGATACAGTTATTGAGTCGAAACACTGACTCAGTTTGCTCATGTTTACCTACTTCACAGATGTTGAGCTTTAGGTGTCTGCCTTTCTTCAGTATCATACTGCCCTCAAGTGTTCAGAAGTGAAAGCTTACACTAATTTAGAATATGTTTATCATATTTTTATACTTTTTCCCATGAGCTGAAAGTATTTTTGTGAACTGCAAAGAAGATTAAGTTGTTATTTAAGGAAGTCATGCCCAGGATCAGGTGAAATGACTCTCCAGGGATTCTGACCTCTCCTGACCGACATTTTTTATGATCATGCTCAGACACATGAAAACTAAGACACTCATAACCTCACAAGATAACTTATCAGTATTTACAGCACCTTACAGTAGATCTATTTGAAGACAGAAGTAGTACAGCTAGGAATCAATATTTATGGACTGGAGGTGGTTTTGATTGAAGCGATGCAGAAGCAGTGATTCTTTGATACTAGTTTTTAGTGAGCACCACTATCAGTTGTAAAATTCAAGTTTTTGATTTGTTATTGTGTCAGATCTACATTTACACGGCCTTACAGGATACTAAATCTAATCAGACAAGAATCAACCAGCTTCAGCAGCCAGAGGAAGACTCAGGTCCCAGTATCTATACCTTCGAGAAAAAAGAGATGCTAGATATAATCCAGGGATAAATGTCTGTATGATCTGTACATGAACTAAATTTTAGTTGGGTGGTACATTTTCAAACCATTTCTCCTCAAATTTCAGTCCTCATGGGAGTGCCTTCCGGATCAATACCATAAAAATTGTTTCTTAAGTATAGATATTCTGGGTGATGATTACAGTAGTAGTACTGCTAACCCCTGTGCTTTCTGTTTTGATTTGGACTGTTCACAGGTTATGAATCTGCCAAGAAAAAAAAGTCCAGCTGAGAGAGAATGAGCATATGTTTTCAGTGAGTATACATCTTTTTACTCTAAGTTTTACAAAGTACGATTTGTTTTCTTTCAACTTAAAACAAGAACGGAAAACCTTCTGTAACCACTGAGATGACTGGATCATAATTTCTGAGAGTACAACATGAAAAAATGTTGAATGCACATGCTCAGTTTGGTAGTCTAAGTGAAACTCTGATCACAGCTGACGCATTACAGACACAGCACAAAGGACCGTCAATGGAGAGTACTCTACTCTCTGTTGTGGTAAAGTTACTGTTCCAGAAGTCTGTTGAATTGTTTTTGTTTTCACGTCACACATACATTGTTCAGGACTAAGGTGCTCCCACAGGAAATCCGCTACATCGTTTACAAAAGCCTCGTAGCTTTTGGGTTTTCTTAAGTTGGACATTTATACAGCAAGTTGGAAAGCTTGGCTGTTTTTCCATGGTGTCGTTGAAGATTAACTAGAAAAGGATAAAACTTTCCACTTCAGATAAACCAAGGTTAAATCACTCGTTTCAGAGTCACTTTAGACCCTGGTAGTTCATTTGTTTGTGATGTTATTTAGTTCACGGTTTCACTGTGATTGCTGCAGGAAAAACAAGTCCTCTTGAAGGTAAATGACAGGTTTTCCTTAAGTTGTTTATTTTTTTTTGATTGGTTGAAATCAGCTTTTTTTTCTAATTTGATCCAACTCTGCATGATAAACTTAATTTGCTTTTGCTGGCATTTTAGTTGTTTTTTGTCTAACTGGAGATCATATTATATTGTGTGATTTTATGATAAATTGTCTGAATCTGCAGCATTTAGTTTGCGTTGGAAATGGAAGAGTTAGTCAGTGAGGATGACTTTGTCAAATAAAGCACACTGGCCTGGTGTATGTGAAGACTTGGTGATAAGGGGCTGCTCCATTCGTAAGTAATGCTGCTAATCTCAAAACAACAAACAAATAAGGTGTCAGATTTTTACTTACTTTTCATTGTTTCCTCTTTACATTTCCAGTAGCTTCAAAATATCAGAGCTGCACCCATTTGAAGTCCTGTAGTAAAAAAAATAACACAGATTATTAGTTTTCTCCTTCAGTCAGAGCACATCATGGCACATACTTGCTGTTAAATACCATACATTATTGGTCTATCATGGATTTGGTCAAACGCTGCTATTAAATCAAATTTGAGAAGCTTATATTCTGTCACAAACCCCTCAAGTATTCTCAGCTAAGTGAGTGAGTGAGTGAGTGAGTGAGTGAGTGAGTGAGTGAGAGAGACTTGCTACTTTTTACTCCTCTACATTTGAAAGGAAAATGAGATACAACAATGTTTTGACATTTTTAATCAACGTAGTTTGAATGTTTAAGTATGAATGCTCGACTGGGCAACTTTTACTTGCATTGGAATAATACTTGACCAGGAGTATCAAAGTTTAGTCCTGTTGGTAGTGTTGTGTTCATCTAAAAGAACTGCCGTGCCCATCACTACCTGTTGGCAGGTAACCGACAGTAAAAATGGGCGTGGCATGTTTTCACTGTTTCAAAGTTAGCAAGCTTTTTGCTAAAGTTTCAGCATCATTTTTAAAAACATGAACACAAGACTGGACAGCTAAACGTGTAATTAAACTTGAGGTGAGTTCCATACATGCTTTATGAGATGAAACGAAATGAAATGAAATGGACGGTCATTTGTAGATATCTCTGAGGCTTACCTTCCAGCATAAGCAGGTTCTCAAAACTTGAATTTCTTCAACTCTTTCTTGTCCTTGTCGACGGCAACCGTGGTGCTCTGCGAGACAAGCAGCTCCTGAAACTAAGGATTAACGCAAACGGTGATGTTGTCGACGGTTAACTAGTTTTCTACATGACCTCATTTAGCCTAACTTTAACTTTAGCATAACTAGCAGCTCTGTGGTCGACTGAACACTGCTGGTTTCGATACGGTGAGGTTGACTCGGCACTAGACCCTCTCATGTTGACTTCTGAGGTAAAAATTTCGACTTTTGCTCACAAAAGAAATGTGTTCAATTGATTTCTATTTACTCCCCACCTGTGAGGCCAGCTGGAATCGACCTCACTGAGAAAGTGGCCTGTCAACTAGCTGTGAGTCTTCTTCGTCTTGTTTAACGGCGGTTGGCATCCATCTTATTAGTGCATTAAGTTGTGAATCTTCAGTTGCAAACGTAGAAACGTCTTTACAGCAGCTTTAACAACGTTCAACCACGACTTTTAACACTCCCAATAGAGTCTGAAAACAGTCTATTTTTCTCCAAATGTACCATTAAGATGTCACTCATCTCCTGTTGGTGATAAGTTACAAAGATATCAGGTACAAACAGGGACAAAAAACATCACAGATTGGCAAAAATGTCCATCAAACAGACGAAAATTTTAGGTCCAAAAATGATCGTCAAATACTAGTATGTTTGGATTGGAAAAATAGAGTAAAAATAATCATTTTTGGCATTAAAAAGCACTCAGGTGTGAGGAAGCAACCTACTTTTTGGGATGATAAAAGTTAGGTGTTGAATTAAGTTTGAGGTCTGTGCCCCTGATTCTACAATAGGTAAAAAAAAATACACAAACTGTGGAAATCCTCCTCTTATTTTTGACTGTATAAGATATTAGTTAAGGACTGTTTTCCACCAATCTGTTGTGTATATTCTCAAGGCTTTGATGCACAAAAATTGGCATAGATCAAAATAATCTATTTTGACCTGTTAGTAAAAACTAGTATTCAAAAATTTAGTTTAATAGATGTTTGTGTGAGAAATGAAGTACTGGCAGAATACATTTGTTGTTACTAAAGCTATTTTCTGTAATGGCTTGAATAGGCAAAGACACATGATTGAAGTACAGTGAAGGTAAGGCTTAGCTGAATGATATGGGTAATCTAAATCAGAAAAAAACATGTTGCAGTGTCAGTGTTTCAGTATTTTTACAGTCTGGTATTGTATTTTTACTATAGTTAAAGAGCTAAATACGTTTCACAGGTCTATAGCTGTCTAAGCAAAGACGTGTTGTCATTTAGCTGTGTCATTCAGATCAGACATTGTGGTTGATATATCACTAAGGGAAAAGTTAATATTTAATTTGTTTTTCGTAGTACCAAAATAAGTAATTTGAAAATTCAATACAAGAAGCTCTCTCCATATATGGTTGTGTGTTGTAGGTCTGTGAAGACAGCATGTAATTGTGTATCTATGTGAACCGCAGAGCACTGTGTCAGACGCTTCATGTCCTCACTATAGCTGGAGTCACCATCAGCACATTTCAGCTTGTGTAAACACAATAAGAGCAGAGGTCGCTCTCAGGTCACACACACACTGTCAGTGGCTTTCAACACAGCTCTGTTAAAGTTTGATTCTGACGGACACAAAAACAAAACAGCGGACACCAGGACTTAAGGGGAGGATTTTTATTTTTATTTTTTACCCAAACATAAAAAAAAGGAAAAGGGTGACTTTGTTTGCTCGGGTATGTCAGGTCACCGTTAAATTGTTGAGTACCTAGTTGTGTACATTTGGTGATATGAAAGGCAGCTTCACTTTGGGCAGTGATGTTGCAACTTCAGTCCTTCATGGAGGCTTTGTCGTGTGCGAGTGAGCAGTTTTGTTTATGAAAGATCAATCATTTGTGGTAAGTCTTGAAGCTGTAAGTCCTTACATGGAGAGTGTTTTTTTCATTATTTTATTTCAAGTGTCTGTTTGACTGTTTGTGCCTGTAGTTATTTTTTCTCAAATGCAAATCAACATATTCCGTTTCCAGATGACACAGAGTTGGTAAAAATGTGTGGAGTGAAGGGCTTTAAGCAGGCAGTGTAGAGACAGTTTGAATGCAGAAGTTTTAGATTTTCTGTTAAAACTACATATGTGCAAACATTTAAGAACTAAAAATTTTGATTATTTTTTGTAATTATGTCCTTTTCCTTTTTATTAGGCTGTAAATGTTCAAAGTTACCAATATGTGATCCCTTATCCCACACAGAGAAGAGGGTCACTGTGCAGAGATGGCTATGGTTTGCCTGACAGACTTTGAGGAGTATGCAAAGGAGCATCTCTCAAAGGCCACATGGGATTATTATGCAGCTGGAGCCGATGAATGCTGCACCAGAGACGACAATCTGCTGGCTTACAAAAGGTACAGTGGGAAAAGAAAATACTCAGATATTCAAGGTTTGTGCATGTCTCAGAAGAGTTTCTGAATATTTTCCATAATTTTAACTAAACACCCTTCTCTGCTAAAAGGCCCTTTTTTTCTGTTGGTTTAGCACGCTGCAGTAAATAAGTAACTGTTTTAAAAGTTGCATTACCATGAAGTCAAAAAATACCTGGTTTATCTTGAAGTCTCTTCATGTGCTTCTTTCTGGTAAACTGCTCTTTCTGAGCGTGATGGTTGTAGATGTGCATGTTTTGCCACACTACACAGTTTTTATCGATTTGTTTTGGTGCGTCTGAGGTCAGATTAGGCATTTATTTCCAGCAAGAGTAAATGTTTGGGTCTGTCTTGCAAAAATAATCTGCTGAAAATGACAATTTAACTGCTCAGGCATCAGCAATACCCATGTTTTTTTTATCTCAAGTGGATTAAAAATGTTGGATCTTTGTACTGTAATGATAAAAAAGTCAGAGGTCTGTAATAGGAGTATTATCAATGCTGTCTCAATGACAAAATGTTCCTTTCTTCTCTATGTTTTACTCTCAGGATCCGTCTGAGGCCTCGCATCCTGCGGGATGTCTCTGTGAGTGACACGCGGACCACAGTGCAGGGCACAGAAATCAGCTTCCCAGTCGGTATCGCACCGACCGCCTTCCACTGCCTCGCCTGGCATGAAGGAGAGGTGGCCACTGCTCGAGGTAATGAATGTTAATCTGTCTGTGTTTGTGCGAATTTTTATGGACCGACTTTTGATGTTACTGCATTAATAGAATGATGGATAGATGATTAGACAGAATAAACAAGAAACTATCAAATCAAACATGAGTCAGCAGGTAAGAAGTTGCTGTTTCACCACCTGTTTCGAAACAAATAACTGAAAGTAGACAGAAACAGCTCTCACCAAAATATACGACCCAGATAAACAAGGAAATACTGATATTCAGAGTAAACAATCAAGTGCAGCTAGGATACTCTGTACCTGGAAATTTTCAATCATTCCTCATTTTAGAAAATGAAATTATCCTCCCTGTAAATTCTTTTGAGGAAGTTTCTTAGAAATCCCATGAGGTGGTTTAAATTTTTTACCCTTCAAAAAAGTTTCTGTTTTTGTTTGTTTTGATGTGATTATTGGATTTGGATAATGTGGATGTTGTTTTAGTTTTTAAAGCAGATTTAAACAGTCTTGTGCTCCTGTACTGAAAGATTAATATAAAAGTTTGCGCATACAGAACCAATAAAGTTTCAAGAAGTCTTTATTGCAGAATTATTGTAATCCAAGTACATGTGAAATTTGTATTTGGCAGTTAAGTTTTTATTTAATAACAATAAAAGTATATACTATATTTCCAACACTAGATGGTAGCAGACTTGTATAATAAACTTGTCCTTCATGGCAGACATGGTTTTGTCTTTTCTCTCTTACCTGAACGATTGTCCAGTTAGTGTCTGTCTTTAAAAGGGTAAATATTGATCAATAAAAATAGACATAATAAGAGACATTTGAAATGTTGAAAACCACTTTTAAAAAAAACATAGTCAATGCTATAATATTTAGCTTTTGCTGACACTCTACATCTGAATTGAAGTTCAGTAACCACAACATTAACTTCTCAATCCTCACCTCACAGCCACAGAGGCTCTGAACACCTGCTACATCACCAGCACTTACTCCACCTGCTCAGTGGAGGAGATTGTCGCAGCAGCACCAAACGGTTACCGCTGGTTCCAGCTGTACGTGTACCGTGACAGGAAGCTGTCTGAGCAGATCGTGCACCGTGTCGAGGGGCTGGGGTACAAAGCGCTGGTCCTCACCGTGGACGTCCCCTACACAGGAAAGAGACGCAATGACATCCGCAACCAGTTCAAGCTGCCGCCACACCTCAAGGTCAAGAACTTTGATGGATTGTTCCAGGTAATAGTTCTGCTTAATTGTGGTATCTTTTGCTGTTGTTTGCCTGCCATGACGTGAAGTACATTTAATAGTTATGAAGTTTAAGTTTGATAGAAATAACTTGTGTGACAATCAAATTTGAATTTCCTGTATAAACATCAAGTTGCCTGATAAAAGCAGTTTATGTACAGCCATTAGAGGTGCAAACAGCAGCTGCAGTCCTGAGTACATGTGTTTTTTAGGTCCATGCTTACAGTAGCCATGTTTTCCACCACATTCAAGCAGGAAACAGCCGGCCCCGAGGAGTACGGGATCCCGGCCAACACCTTGGACCCCTCTATCAGCTGGAAGGATGTGTACTGGCTGCAGTCTATCACCCGCCTGCCCATTATCATCAAGGGGATCCTGACCAAGGAGGACGCTGAGCTGGCAGTGGAGCACGGCGTCCAGGGCATTATTGTGTCTAACCACGGGGGGAGACAGCTAGATGGAGGCCCAGCCTCGGTAATCACTGGTGTTAATGTTTCTAATGTGGCGTTTATAGTTTGCAATACAAGTCATAACCTCACGTGACATCGGGTGCTTGATCAACATCAAAGTCAAACTGGTTGAGAGTTTAGCAGTGTTATGAATGCTGATTATGTACTGGTCAACAAGTTAGCGGTGAAGGGTGCCCTCCCAGAGTGCACCACAGTGCTGCTTAGGGTGCTGGGTTGAGGACATTAAGAGCCAGAGTCAGGGTCATATTTAAAAGAAGAATATAAGATATTTTCATTTCATTTGAAACAGCCAGCGTCTAATTTATTATACTCCTGCAATACCAAATCGCGCCACAAGGTGGTGGCAACTTTCTGTATGTTATCTAGACAAGTTCTTACGCTGGGAGACTCCATGTTCTACAGCATGTTTCAACTGAGAGGAGCTCTCATAAGTTAGTGCAGGTTGTGCCTGACTTCTGTTGCTCACGTATGATGAGTAAATTTATAGCTGTGGAGAGCTGGCATAGTATGATCAGTGTTGAGTACTGTAGAATAAAACTGCCTTGTGGAAACTCCTATCATGTTGTCTATTGGCTCTGACGTTTGACCGCTATCCTGGTGCTACTGCTAAGTTGTTAATGACTGCTAGATCTCTCCACCTCCACCAGCTACACTTGAAATTAAATTTTAAATCCACCAGGATGTTCACATATTTATTAAGTAATGCTTGGAGTCATACTGTAGATACCACAGTTCAGTAACGACTAATATTTTGTCTTCTCCGGGCGTTTGCTCTGTGTTTACTTGAATTATGACCTTGTTTCTCCTCTACTGCTGACAGATTGACGCTCTGTCAGAGATCGTGGACACAGTGCAAGGCAGGATCGAGGTCTATCTGGATGGAGGAATCAGGACTGGAAGTGATGTGCTGAAGTCGCTGGCCTTGGGAGCAAAGTGTGTTTTCATTGGCCGTCCGGCTGTGTGGGGCCTTGCATACAAGGTAGAAACAACAAAGCTGATCCCTTACTTTGTGTGTGTTTGACGATAAATTGAAAAAGCCTCAGGAGACTAAGCTACTGACCTTGAGGACCTTTGTTCATCTCAAAATCATCTATGTCATTGGAGACCTGGCTTTGGTGTTGGGGTTACATGGTTTACAATAAGAGGAAAGTTGGTGTCATAGAGATGATGTGAGCCAGGGCTTAAATCAGTCTATATAATCAGGATTCACTGAACAAAAACCCTACTGTTTTTTATAAGAGAGGATTAGGGCCATAAGAAGAGAAAAAAAATCATTACAGAAGGAAGATTTTGGAAATTATCATTTTGAGATTAAAGTCAAAATTCAAAAAAGTTAAAATTTTGACTTAATTCACGTTGACTTCAATCTCAAAATTTCGACTTAAATCTCAAAATTTCAACTTTCAAAATTTAAATTTTTTTAATCGGGAAATTTCAACATTATTTACGATATTTTGACCTTTTGTAATCTTGAAATTTCAACTTTAGTGTTGAGATTTCAATTTTTAGTCTCTAAATTTTGACTTTATTGACATAATTCCTGTTTTTTAATCCTGAAATTTGACGTTAATCTAAAAATTTTGACTTTTATCCCCCCAGCGTAATCATTATTTCTTTTTTCTCTTCATGTGGCCTTAATCCTCTTTCATGGTTTTGGATGTACAGTGACAGTTTGAGAAAGTCCATTTATGTTCCTTTGGTAGGAAACAGGTAAATAACTGACAAATTATGTTTCTTGTAGGAATCCAGTTTATCAAAAGAGGTCTTTTCTGGGTTTTCTAGAGAAATTGAAAGTTTATGGATGCTTTTAGGTCTTTTTTGGTATTTATGAGTCCTCTGTGGTGTTTCAGGGTGAGGAGGGAGTGAGGGAAGTACTTCAAATCCTCAACGATGAGTTCCGCCTGTCCATGGCTCTATCAGGTGAGAGAGTCACTAAAACCAAAAGTGTTTGAGTGAGTACAGATGTATTCTTTCTACTCTGAGACTATTAAGTTTGATATTTGTGTGATCCAGGTTGCAGGAACGTGGCAGAAATCAACAGGAACCTCATTCAGTTCTCTAAACTCTAACAGACCAGCAGAGGGCAGCACTGAGGACAGTTACATCACAGCACCTACTGAAAAGGACTCACTACTGAACAGAGACAACATGAGTTTAGCACGAGCCTCAGACTCCCCATCATCACAGAGAAACTGAAAGACCTCAAAACTCATGACTTTATCATGTCAGGAAACATAAGAGCAGCTTTTGATTCCAAGAAAATTCCGGTCAGAAAATCTGAGGGCCAGCAGCAGTCGAATCAAGTGACTACTGAAAGAGTTATTGATTTTGGGTTTAGAGGGGATGGAGGAACTTTCTAAGGGTCTAGTATTTTGGTCTAATGTTACATAATGATCACATAATGCTGCCATAGTTGTGGTTGAATAAACGCAGGATGATGTAAAAATCTGTTGCGCACTTTTTGGAACTTTTCTTCATTGTCGTTTTTATTTTTTCAGATTTCTACTCAAAGATTACAGAAGAATCAGAACTGTTACTTAATACTGCCACAGATTTATGTAAGACTTCAAGTCAAATTATACCTTATGTTAATATTTTTACAGTTTTACATTTCTATCAGACCGTCTTTTCCAGCGAATAGCACTAAAAGAATATATACTGATGAGCCATAGCATTATGACTACTTGTCTAATGTTATGTTGGCTTCCCTCACTGTATCAGGATCAAAAAAGCCCTGACCTCATGATACTGCGACTCCTCTAGAGTGCTGTTTTGTCTGGCCTCAAGGCGTCAACAGCAGATCCTTTAAGTCCTGTAAGTCACTGAATAGGAGCATTCAGTGATAGGCACAACTTCTCTCTTACTAACACCACGTTTGATTCTGCCATCAACCAGCAAATTTGTCACCAGGTCTGCAAGATGGGTAAAAGTATTTTGTGAAAAACTGCGACAAAAATAAGACGGCTTTAGTTCACAGTTTCTGTGTTTATTTGAGGATCTTCATCTTCTACTCATTACAGACTGTAATGTTCCTCTTGAATCCAGAAATAATCCAAAATTATTTTTACCACAAAACCAATATTCAGTTTACTGATGCTACTACAGCTCTTATAATTTCTGTTTCTTCTCTTCAGCAGTGTTTTGCAATACAGCGTCAGCTTTCTCTGCCAAGGAAATGTAATTTTTTTGTGATATAAGTGAGAGCCAGTCAGAGTTTCATCTGACAGCATTCAAGAAATGTCAAAGTGCAGTTTTTATTCACAGGTCCTAATAGATAGTAGATAGAATGTTTGAAGCTTTTTCGGCATTACCATAAACTTCGACTTGTGCAATCTCTTAGCTGCAAGTGCTGATGTTGCAATAACAATAAAATAGCAATTCATTGTGCAGCCCTGGTCTGTGAACAACTGTACTTCCTCAGTTGACCTGCTCAGAAAACCCATGAACCCTTTTTCCCTGAAATGGTTTTAGAGAGAAAAGAAACACTTAATTCTGGCGAAAATTTCAAGCAGCACTGCCTGCAAACAACTGATCTTTGCATGTTACTATGAATATGGAAGTTCAACATTTTAGAAAATGTATTACCATGTCAGGGCGAACTGAAAAACTAAAAACCAGAACACATCTGAGTATAACATACTCTGAAACCTGTATGTACGAGTTTAAATGCTAACTCTGCCGAGTGTTACTGTAGCTTTCGTGTTGAAAACCTGGCTGGCTCCCCCAAACAAGGATCGACTCTGACCACTTTCTGATTAACACTCGCCGTGGATAATAACCTACTACAACCTCTATTTTTAAAAACTACTAACAAGACCTTTAGTGTTGTGAAGGTTTGGGTCAAGTTTAATCTAAAGGGAAACACACGATTAATGCAAAAAGACAGGGCTGTAGTTTAAATTTCTCTATTTTCAGTATTTTGAATCTCCAGAAGACTAACGTAAGAAAATCTTCACATCCAATAAAAAAGCCAGGAGAGGTAAACTGATAAGTGACTGAGCATCTGTCTCTCACTAGTAAGCAGAAAACACAATAATCTACAAACTCCTGCACCCAGAGGTCAAAAATCCTTTCTTGAAATTGTTTTTGCTTTGAAGTCTCTTGTTATTTTACATAAAATCAGAGTAAAGTAATAATGTTGCTGTATTTGGATTTTGACAACAAAGGCCTGTTGGTATCTCCCCTAAAAAAAGAGCAAAAGAGCCTCCAAAGTTTTGTTTACTTTACTGACAGTGTGACAAGTGTGTAGCACTGGGATGGCTGAGAGTGAAGATGCAGGAAAGAGAAACAGAAGTAGCACAGGAAGTGACTGAGGTCTCGGTTTAGTCAAAGAAACGGTGATGCTTGCACGGATGCTTCAGAGTGCAGCAGACATTTTCTGCTCAGCGTTCCTCTCGGAGCTTTGGCGGCACAGACGTTCAGGCTGGAGTCGGGCCTCGGGTCCAACCTGCTGAGGAAGCTTTCTTCCAGGTAAGTCTCGCACAAACACAGGTGTCCCTTTGGTACATATTTAAAATTAAGCAACATGTGAGGCACCAGCAAGTAACGCTAAGTGAACGACCACAAACTCATCTCTGTGTTTCTTCAGCTGCACAGGAAGGAGCATTTTAAAGCCGTATTGATGGGTTGCGGCACCCACACCTTATTGTATATCAATATCAGAAGTTTATTGTGTTATTTATGTTTTTTTAAAGCTGCATATTTTAACCTAAGTGTAAATACAGAGCTTTAAAATTGTCTTAAAAGCTCTGAGCAGCAAATCAGATGAATAATTGATGCTGGAACAGAGCCACATTTCATCATATGTAGAACAGTTATCAGTAAATGGAAGAAAGTTTGGGCAAGGGAAGGTCCCTGAATGAGTCAAAGTTATGTTCCTGCGCATTTGGGGTTGTTGTGAAGCAGTAAAAGACAAATGCTGGTATATGGGCAAATGCATATGACCTAATTCTTACGGTTTCATCAGTCACCAAACATTATCAGCTGAGAGAAGAAACATCTTTTGAAAACAGCAGTTTGATGTCAGTAGAGGAAATATAGTTGCACCAAAACTGATTTTGTCCTCGGCTTTGTCATTTTGCTCCGCGGGTAGCAAAGGTGGACAATGTTGTACTTAAAACTTGCTTTCACAGAAAATCAAAAGTAACAGTAAAATATTGGCCTGAAATAACATGTTACTTTCAAATTTTAGAGTGAGTGATCTTAAATTTACACTTGAACCAAAGAGACCAAGCAAAGCCACGTCAAATATGTTTACGCAAATTTGTGAAAGAGAGAAGCTGTCAGCCGTGTTGACATGTTAAAGCCGAGAGAGCAACTTCATTTGAATGTTATGTCAGAGAAGTTGTCAAATCTTTGTGTTGCTATGGATGCACAGAAGTGATACTGTCAGTTTTTCTCCACCAGCTGTCGAGATCTGATGAAAAGAGGAAACTATTATAAATGTATTTTTAAAAAGTGGTAATAAACTGCTCACTGCCGCTCCTCTTTGTCTCCATGTAGGAGGCGAAATAACAGCCCCCGACCCCACGAGGCCAATGACATGGGGTAAGAGGATTTTGGTTTTCTTCTTGAATAGTACCGCTTCAACTTTGTATTATCTGTTACAAATTTACCCCCTGAGCAAATTCTTGTGTTTTGGAACAAGATCACAAAAGTACAAGTGCTCGACTTCTTCACCAGGCGTGAAATTTGTAGTCACTTTTACATACTTCACATTAAATCCAGCTACTATTAAGTGTGCTCCAATCTTCAGCATGATAAAAAAAATCGACTTACAAGTACAGTGAGATAAAAACAACTTGAACTCTTAAGATTATTTTCATGCACAGATAACTTGTGCACACAGGAAACTTGAAGGTGCATGCAAGACAATTAACTAATTTCCATGTGATAATAATTGAGCACAAGATAAGAACTTGTCCACACAAGATAATGATATAGTGTGCTCAAGATCATCATTTATTCTAAAGAGACAATTATTTGTGCACACTAGGAAATGAACTTTTACATGTAAATAATCTGAGCGTACAAGACCATTATATTGTGCATTCAGGATTATACAGTTGTGTGCACAAGATAATAACTTGCCATTTTAGGATCATCACTTGTGCATGCAAGATAAAACCCATAAACTATTTATGCTAAATTTTAGTTTGCACAAGATAATTGATTCTTCCCCTTTAGAAAAAATATCTTGTGCACACAACATAATAAAAATTACTTGTTCTCAAAAGACATAAACATGTTCAAGTTAATAAACATGTCTCATGAGATTATAGCTTTTGCATGAGTAAATAATACTGTTTGTCCAATAACACATTTTATGCACAAGAAAATGACTTTTACCTGCATGATAGTAATTCTGTGCACTCAAAATAGTATCTTGCCTTTACGAGATTATTACCTGTGTGTGCAAGAAGGATTTGTGCCGCAAAATAATCACATTGTTCGCTTAAGAAAAGTTATCCTGTGCAAACAAATTTATGATCTTTTATTAACTTTCCCGAAAAGTTTTTAAATCAGCTTGTTTAAGACTCTGTGGTCATGTATATTCATTACGCGTGCTCTTACTGGATGTGTAAGCTTTAAAAGGAGAAGTAGTGGGCCAAAGTGTTCAACTGGTTCCTCTTTGGGCTGACACAAACCTAAACCAGTGAGAGATCTTCTGTAAACTACTGTAAAGAGGCGGAGCTTGATACAGGAAACATGCTCCATCAATAAAGCCTCAGATGAGAGCTGATTAAAATGAAAGTTTTTGTCATGTGAGCTTTACCAATCAAACTGAAGGAAGTGGTGTCTGAACACAACCCAACAGGAAGTGCTGCAAGGCCAAGGAAAGGACAAATTTTAAAGATTTACAATGAACAGAGTACAAAACAGTTAGTTCAGCTTCCATAACCAAGAAACTGGAGTGTGAGGTTTGAAAATAAAACTGCTGAACTTCCTTCTTCTCCCTCTCCTCTGCAGGGGAAGTGGGGATGACAGCGGTGCAGGACGGTTGAGCCGCAGGCTGTCACGTCTGGGCAGCAGACATCAGAGAGATCCTCCAAGACCTCCACCTCAACCGGAGAGACCTCTACCTGCTGCTCCTTCCCCTGACAGACCTGTTCAGCCAGGTGTGCACTCTTCTTCTCTATCTTTAGCCTTCTCATGGTTATTGTTCATATTTGTTACAAACACGAAAAGACAATATACTGCAGTCCAGAAATCACTTTGTGTGCGTTCACCTGCAGCAAGAACAGCATCATAACTTCTCTCACCTCTCCTAACTCTGATCTCTTTCTGGGTTTGATAGATGACAGGCCTTCTCCACCAGCTCCACCTCAGGCTCAGGCTTCAGCTCCCACTCCTATCCCTCCACCCATGGAAATGCCCCCTAAACGCCCGGACAAATCCACAAAGCCCAAACTTCCCCCTCGACCTCTGTGCAAAGAGTTCAGCAGCTCTGAACATGGAGCAGCTGTGTTGCAGGTACACATCTGTCACTTTTTAAAACCTCCAAAAAGGACATTGTTAAAGTACAGAGTGTTTTCCAACTACATTCATTATTTGTGCGCACTGTTATTGTATTTAGTAGAACTTAAACACAAAATTTACAACACAAAAGTGTAGCTTCATAAGGCTTATGACGTACGTTATAGTTAATATACAGTATTTCTACTCTAAAGTGAGTTTGTTAATTCCATGTGATAAAAAGTGCCTTTAAAATGTTTTAAAACACATTTATAATAAATGTCCTTGCTGAATTTTATGTCTGAACAGATCACCAAATTGTGGTTTTACCCTGTATAAACATTGCAAAGCAACAATGACTTTTCCTATCTCAGAGATTGTTCAGGGTTTCGTGTTGTTCCCATGCCTGCAAGTGTAAAGTTCAATGAGTTTGGTCGTTCATATTTGTATTTTCCCGCAGGGTTGTGATACTTTCCGGGCAGATGACACCCTCTGTGATGTCATTCTGGTTCCTGGAGACAGCAAGGAAACTTTTCCAGTCCACAGAGTCATCATGGCCTCATGTAGCGATTATTTCAAGGCCATGTTCACGGGTAAGTCTGGTGTTGATGTTTGACTTCTAGCTTCTTCTACGACAGCCATTAGCAACTTTCCTTACTGACGAGTTGACAACACAGGAACTGAATTAAAACATTTATGAAGTATGAATGCTCAGTTGTTAAGGCATATAAGCTCTACAGTTGTTGTTTTCTTTTTGTTTGTTTGTTTGTTTTTACACCTGTTTAATCATCGGGGAGGAGTCTGGTTTAGCTTCCTACCAGTCTGCTACTTCATCATCATTTTTTCCTGTTTTTAAGATGACAGGTGAAAATGTCGTTTTTTACATCTACGTCATTTTCTGTGGTGTAGTTTTCATTCAGTCAAGAAGTCAAATTTAGATGTATGACAAATCAGCTGTTCGAGTCAGCTAGATTAGTAATGTTTTCACTCATATAAATAGTCAAACAAAGAGTAAAAGAAAGAGGATTTTTGACTCACTTCTGCATCAGACTTCCTCTGCGGTGCCAGAAGCAATTTGCATTTTGACTCTATTATCATCAAAGTACTTTATCATCCTCCCACCGTCCGTGCAGCCAGGCTTTATAGCATCTTTGTACCTTGCTGACCGTGCACTTTGCTTTTTCGAGACAAATCCTCAAAAATGATGCAAAATCACTCATTCACCTTGTCTTTGTCCCTCTGTGTCTGACTCTCCCCATCCAGGAGGCATGAGGGAGCAAGAAATGAGAGAAATCAAGCTGCACGGAGTCACAAAGTTGGGTTTGAAGAACATCATCGACTTCATTTACACGTCCAAAGTCAGCCTGGACATGGGGAACCTGCAGGACACGCTGGAGGCTGCAAACTTCTTGCAGGTCATGCCTGTCCTGAAGTTCTGTAACCAGCTACTGAGCAGTGAGGTGAGGACGATTTCTTTAAGTGTGGCGTCATTCTTCTCTATTATGACAATGCAGCATTATCAGTTTTTGGTAGATACAGTGGAGGTCAAGCTCATTTAACCACATGATTCGAGGTCAGGTTCAGAGAGCTGCCAGGAGGGGTTATGTGCTTTAATGAGCTTAGCCTCTAATATATCTGAACTCCACTGTCCTCAGATGAACTGTATCTCTTTCCCAGATATTTATGACTGACCAGAGATAGCTTCAAGTCAAAGCTATGAAAGAAGGAAAGTCACGCAGAATAACAAACCTATAAAACTTCATTAATCTGTTCTCTGTCTGTGTTCTCTTGCAGATCACTATTGATAACTGTGTGGAAGTGGAGCACATTGCTAATGACTTGCTTCTGGAAGACGTTCAGCTGAATATAGGTGAGATTTACAGAGCATGACAAATAAGTAGGTAAGGTAGAAGGCACTATTTGTTATATGTTTTTGTCTTAGAGATGAAATAAAATATGTTTCAAATCTTCAGAATATTCTAAAATAGTCAGCCAACCCATTGGACAATTAGTTAAACCCTGCAATGATCTACACCTCACTCTGTAAGATTCTCCTTTGTCTTTACAAGGCGACACTTTAGGTGACATTTCTTTACAGGACGTGATGTTATGAGATGTTTTGTTGTGTCAAATTTAGGTGAGTTTGTGAGCCAGAACCTCTCTGCATTGGTCGAGAGCGGCCGATACCTCCAGCTCTCTGAAGCCACGATGGCCAACGCTCTTTCCAGCAATTCTCTGGAGGGTTTCTCTGAGGTGGAGCTGTACAACATCGCTCGAGGATGGCTGAACCACGACTCTCCCAACCGCCGCTCTTCTGTCTACGCTCTGATGCGCAACATTCGTTTCCCACTGATGAGCCCCGGGGAGCTGATCCAGATCTCTCAGGACGATGAGGAGGAAGGTGACTCCATGATGCGCTCTGAGACCTCCTGTGTGAACCTTCTACTGGAGGCCAGCAACTACCAGATGATGCCTTTCATGCAGCCAGCCCTGCAGACCGAGCGGACGCAGATTCGCTCAGACGCCACGCACATTCTGGCTCTGGGCGGTGTGATGAGGCAGCAGCTGGTGGTGAGCAGAGAGCTGAGGCTGTACGACGAGAAGACCAGCCACTGGAAGGCGCTGAAGCCCATGGAGGTGCCACGTTACCAGCACGGTGTGGCCCTTCTGGGCGGCTTCCTCTTCATTGTTGGAGGTCAGAGCAAGCTTGGTGAAAAGGAAATTAAGAGCTAAACAGATTTTTAAAAATTTCAGATTTTACTTATATGCTGAGTTTAATCACTGAAAGGAAAAGTTAAGTTACCTTTACGTAACAAAAGTCAACTTATAACCCAAGAATAAAGCAGTGAGTTTCTGAAAATGAGCTTTACTTCGACATTTTAATCTCACTCTGATCTTTGTTTGTGTCTCAGGTCAGAGCACTTATGACACCAAGGGTAAGACGGCCATAGACAGCGCTTACCGCTATGACCCGCGCTTCGACAAGTGGCTTCAGATCGCTTCACTCAACGAGAAGAGGACGTTTTTCCACCTCAGTGCTCTGAAGGGGAAACTTTATGCTGTAGGAGGAAGAAATGCCTCAGGAGAGATTGGTGAGCTGCATTATTTTTCTAAGAACTACCAATAGTGGATCTATTCTCCATTTGAAGCTCCACTTTTGGTCTCTACCAACTTCTGAACAGACGATGAAGCTTTTAAACAGCTAGATTGGTTAAATATGTTCACATGCTAATCTTGTTGGCAGATGAGAACCAAGCAAGCAGTGCAGTATGAGTAAGAGTTTGACTGTAAACATCGGATTGCTCAGAATAAATATTACATTTTAAAACCACCGAGTTAACCATGACCTACAAGCTGCAGCCTGGGAACAAAGCTGACCCCATTTTTAAGTTAAATGAGGCAGACGGAGATGGCAGACTGTAAAGAATTTCATTTACAGCTTCTCATTTTTGAAATTTGCATGTTCTCACAATCAGTGCAAAATACAGCACTTAAGGTTGCTTTAGTTTTGTGGCACATTTCCTATCCGAAAAAGAGATTCAATGAAATTCCACTTCAAAGAGATTTTAAGTAGTCCTTAAATTTGCCCAAAGAAATAATTATGAAATACCTCCTCTAGATACTGTGGAGTGCTACAACCTGAAGAAAAATGAGTGGACCTTTGTGAACAGCATGGTGGAGCCTCACTATGGACACGCAGGAGCGGTGCACGGGGACCTCATGTACATCTCAGGTAAAGTAAAAAAAAAAAAACACTTTTATTTTATTCACTAATAAGTGCGTCCAAACAGATAAATGTGAGCAGATAAATATTTGTACAGTAAGTTGTGGTGTTGATTTACAAAATTCTAAAATTCAAAATTGGACAATGAAGAAAACAAAACATACAAAAACAAATCACAGGGGTAGAGAGGTAGGGGAAAAAACATTAAAAAATAAAATAATATAAATAAAAAATAAAAAAGATAATTTAAAAAAGGAATTATAATAAAAAAAAGATAAAAATAATAAAGAGACAAGAGCAGTGAGACAAAGGATTAGTTATGGTGATTTTCCTTTGAGATCCAAATTTATTGATTAATTAATTTCCCCCTTCTCCGCTTCACAAACAAGCCTTTGTATGTTGATGTTGTGGCATCAACTCATTGGCAAAAAAAAAACATTTAGGTTCATGTTACCCTTATAGACTTTTATTTTAAGACAAAGTTGTGCTATCATGCAAATATCCCTATTTAATTTTTTGCGTTATCTGAATTTGCATCTCAATCAAAATTCGAAATGACCACTCAACTCAACTCAACTCAACTTTATTTGTAAAGCACTTTAAAACAACCACAGCCAACCAAAGTGCTGTACATAAATAGACAAAACAGCGCAGACATAAAAAACAATTTAAAAAAAAACAATTAAAACAGTAAAAGCAGATATTAAAAAGTAAAATATAGTTTCAATGTTTTTAAAAACTAATTTAAAAACACAGAAACAAATAACTAACAACAAACCATAAAACACCAAAACAGGAGCCGAGTCTCATGCAGGGGTTGAAAGCCAATGAATAAAAATGGGTTTTAAGACGAGTTTTAAAAATGGACAGTGTGGGGGCTTGTCTGATTTGGTGGGGTAGCACATGTAACGTTATCTTAAGTTCACAATTCCTCCAGGACTTATCAACCTATATCTAAGCGGGAAGCACTCCCTGAGATAAAAAAAAAACGTTATTTGACAGTGTCTTAAACAAGAAAGGCAGCAGCACAGTTAGCAAGATTCCTGACACTGAGTAGTATTGTGGCTGGCAAAGGCAAATGCTCGACAATGGCTGCAACAAAAGTCCTTAAAGGAAACATGCTGCACATCTCCACCAAAGCATTTTTTTGGGACTTTTTGGCATGTGATTTTGAAGTTGCCTTTTTCCCCAGTTAAAGACAGGAAGTAAAGATCTTGGGACAAAAGATTACTGTGTTTTCTGTAGCAGCCTGAAGCGTCTCAGCCTCCAGTTTCTTCTATCATTTATTAGCCAGATAATAACTCTGCTGAGGAGAGTACAGTGATGTGAGTGTGCGCTCTTACAACCACCTGCATCTGTTGTTTGTTGTGACATTGAGCCAAAAAATTTAATTTGCATGACTTGCATGTGCAAATTGAAATTCTCCTGTTGGGTTTCCTGCTTTATTTTTGTCTGACTGTGTCAAATTAACTCGACTTTGTAGGAGAAAAACAAATCCACAGTTCCCAAATTAAAAGTTTGTGTCAAATTTTTCTGTTCTGCTAGTTTTCTGAGAAGGATCGAGTTAAGATCACAATCATGGCTGGAGTTACAGAAAGTTTGTCTTTGTGGTAAAAAGAAACCAACATGGACTGTTCACAGGAAGGGCGAATATATGCACCTCTGAGACCTTGTCTTCAGTGGTCAGGACCTACACTTTGTGCACCCAAGTGTCTAAAGTAACTTCCTGTCTGTGGTTTTTCACAGCTGTCTCTTACGGTGAAATGAAACTTCTCCTTTGCTGCACAGAAAAAACAAACACGGTCACACAATTGATAAAGGCCACCTGCTGAGAAAACCAACAGGAAAACCAGCGTATGTGTTTCTGGGGAGCACGTGTGTTATCTGCTTAGAGTAAATAATCATCTGAAAAGTCCAAAATTAATGAGGTCTTGTCTAATTTTAAAGCCCCACTCATCACTGTTTACTTTACGAACGTATTGTCCTCCTTGTCTGCACGTAGACTGAGACACTTACTAAGTTTAATTTGCAAGTATTTTTTTTTTCATCTTTTTCCTTCACGCCTACTAACTTACATTGTGATTGTGATCAATTTGCGTCACTATTCTTGACCGGAACCCATGCCCAAAATCAGATGACACAATAGAAAGAGCAATGACGCCTGCATATGGGGGAAGTCAGAGTGTATGAGTGTTTTATTTTCAGGACATTATCATTGTTTTCTGTGGTGCCAGCATGTATTTGTAACACTATGAGGTTCCACATAAGCATGTGATACCGTGCCGTTTGTGTTCATGACTCCAAGCAAATCAGTTAACCAGAAACAAAAAACATTTTCATTCATGTAGAATCAAATTCCAAACAAAGTTATCTCAGGACACGTAGAAATGAGCTGGTCTGGATAGTACTCTTTGTAATGATTTACAGAGACTTAACTTTTATCCACCATGAGCAAACACTTGGCAAAAAACTTCCTTGTAATACAAAAAACTTTGAGCAGAACCAAACTCAAAGAAAACACATGGCTGTTGAGACTTTGGAAAAAGAGACAAGCAGACAAAGTGGCGTGCAGTTTTTTTTTTCCTGTGCTTATGCAATCGAAGTGTCTTTACGAATAAATTCTCATCTTTCATTTCATAAAACAGTTTGTCTGTTGAAAAAGAAAAAAGACTGTGACAGCAGTGAGCAGTTGATCACTTGGTCTGACACCTCCCCCCCGCCTGTGGTTTCACACATTAAAACAATGCTATAGATGCAGTCACTGTTCCTCTCAATGCTTCTGTTTGCTTTTTCAACAAAGTCCTATTGCCTTTTGGATTAAGTTTGAGACCCATATGAACTGGAACTTTCATAGATCGTAGTCCAGTCTGATTTTACGTCTTAAAGCGTTTGTTTCAAGGCGCTTTCCATCCAAAACAAGGGGGTTCATTTTCGAGAGGATGAGTAATTTAAGGTTCTTGCTAGTCCGACCTGTTTGACAACACGTCCTCTGAGTGGTAAACTCTGACAGTACGCTGTCAGTCTGATCTGTGGCGGGGTTTTTCACAGCTTTGGACCGGAAGCTGGGTTTTCGCACTGAGAGCTGAGACAGAAGTTTCTCATACAGGACTGACAGGCAGGAAACACAAAGACCTGTGGTTCCTGTGGGTCTCAGTACTCTGCAACGGAGTTCAAATCAGTAGCTTTCAGAAGCAGTGATGTGTCATTTAAATGCCACACACCAGAAATGAAGATACTACACTATGTTTATTTAAAGGTTTAAAGCATCTCACCTGGAAGTTAAAACTCTGTACAAAACAATACGAACAAAAGAGGTTTAAAGTTACAGTATCTACACACAACAGCCTCTAGAACCCTTGACCGACCAGAGGCTAGGTGAAGCCGTGGAGACTTTGTTTAACCTTTCTATACATTAGGTTTTTATTATCTCAAAGTACAACTTGAACTGTTTTGAAATGAAGTGTGGTGAGTGTAAAGCCTATGAAAGATGTTTTAAATCAGATTTTTAAAAACTTTGAACGTTTGCTGTCAAGATTGATGATCATAACGAAACACCCTATGACTTCTTTTTAGTTTGTCAATTTACCAAAACAACGAGCAGTCCCTTAGACTTTAGAAACTCTGTGAGTGTCATCAGCTTTTTGAAGTCGCTGGACTCAACAGTTTCTCCTGTAACACCCGTGCTTTCTTTGTGTGAGCTAAAACACAAAAAATAGACTTCAATCCTTTGGTAATTTGCTGTTCCTCTGAAACGACAGATATTGAAACAAAACAGATACCTCATGACCTTCAGACTGTGATGAGAAGGATGGTGATCAATGTGCACCCTTAGGAGAAGGACTTGCAAAACTGATCATTGATGAGTTTATACTGATTGAAACAAGATGCAGAGTCAAACACAGTTGTTTTCCCACGTTTTCATTTCGCCTGAGAGAAATACAAGCACATGGAGCCAAACAAAGTAAATAGGATTTAACAGTCTGGAAATTGTAATCAGGATTTGTTATGACTTACAATTGTGATTAAAGGTCCTGTGAGAAACTTTTGGTTCGTGTCCACAGTAGTGCCCTCTAAAGTCTTTGTGCTAAACATTTAAGGAGTATCTTTTGACAAAAAAGAAAAATCTCATCCTGCAAACTCTTGACTGTCAGATACGTCACTGATTGAACATTACAGATAATGTAAAATCAGGGCTGTTTCTTCTGCTGCTTGGCTTACATCTACCCCCTTTACATAAGGATTGTGCAACTTCCAGAAATAAAGCATTAAAGATGTCACCCAAGTGTCACAGTTACAAAAGTGCAAAAATGATGAAACAACAACCAGACAACAAAAACACACAATGGTCATATTTTGTAAGAAACTTGGTTGACAAATTAATCTCTGACAAGTCAGAAAAACAGTATTTTTGGTCAGCCTAAAATTTTTTTGTAAAGTTTTGTGAATACAGGGGTAGTAGTTTGTCTAAGAATGCTGCTCACCAACAGGAGCAACAAAAACATGGGAAATTGTGCTATTTTATATTTGCAAAAAAAATGCAAATTTACAATGTTTGGTGTCCAGACTAAATGTACACAGGTTTTCAAATCGTAGGGTAAACGTATGTTGTAATAATCCTAAAAAAAAAAAAACAGATGTAAACTGCACAAAAAACTCTAAACTAATAAGGTCCTTACTGGTTCACCTGTGCTTCCGGCACAGAAAAGCAGTAGGTGACACCCGGCGAAGCAGAGTCAAGCTGCTCTGCTGCACTGCTCTTGACCACAGTAGATTGTGTGGGTCCAAAACATCGAACTCAGCCCTCGAGAAAGCTTCTGGAGAGGTGGCCAGTCAAGAGAAAGTATGGGCTCATGGAGGAAGGGGGCTTAAAGAGACACTAGCTTAAATGCAGTGTTTCAGATGGAGGCTGAATTAATGGTATTTTAATACAACACTGTGAGAAACACTAAAAATCATGTAAAGCTACAAAGAGGTATCAGAAAGGAAGTCTAGAGTCTGAAAAAACTGTGTAATACGGCTTTTTTAATATCTGATTTATGGAGAAACATAGTTAGCTTGCTGAAATGTTTGTTGGATTTTCTCTCGTCACTCAGGTGGAATCACCCGTGACACCTTCCAGAAGGAGCTCTGGTGTTACGATCCCGCCTCTGACACGTGGAGTCGGCGGGCAGACATGACGGAGCTCCGGGGTCTGCACTGCATGTGCACTGTTGGGGACAGACTCTACGTCATGGGTGGGAACCACTTCAGAGGCAGCAGCGACTACGACGACGTCCTGGGCTGTGAATATTACAGCCCAGAGACGGGCCAGTGGACGGTGGTTGCAGCGATGCCGCGGGGCCAGAGTGACGTTGGCGTGACTGTGTTTGAAGGGCATATATACGTGGTGGGGGGGTATTCCTGGAACAGCCGGTGCATGGTGGACATTGTGCAGAGGTATGATCCAGAGAAGGACGTGTGGGACAGAGTGTTCAATGTGCTGGAGCCTCTGGGGGGGATTCGTGCCTGCACCATGACAGTTCATCTGCCGGAGGGGTCTGTGGATGAGGCCCAGATACAGGACTGTCCACTGCCAACAACCAAGAGCTGATAAACATCACAGACGTTGTCATGCTAGGAATGAGGAAATGTTGTTGGTTGCAGTGCAAGAATAGTGAACCAGTAGCCTGTCTTTTTCTTACATCTTATCATCTTAAGTAATATTTGCATCAACTGTACTTTCATTGCACCGTTTTAACTCTTTTGTCCTTTCAAATGCAATATTTTCTTTGAAACGTCTTTGAACAGTTTTTAGGACTTACTATTTGGTTGTTAGACTCACAGATGAAATGACCAAAGGTAAGGAAAACAGGGTGTTAATTTCATTAAAGGGATATTCCAGCGTAAAATTGATTTAGGGTCAAACACACTGTAACACCCAGTTAGACACCCCCTCGAGAGATGAACGTTGCCGACCGCTTGCTTTTCTAGTTATACCAACTTTTTTAACAACCGCACAACAGCAATACACAGCGGACTGAGGAGCCATAAACAAACCTCAACCAAAACGCCACTCTATAGCCACAAATAATGCTCAGAACGGCACCTAACTTCATCAGCTGTACATAGATATTAATTTTACGCCGCAATATCCCTTTTAGATGATAAATATTTTTGAACAACTTTATTTTTTATATGATGAAAACGAGATAGCAATAAGCAACAAATACATTATTGATAATAAAAAAGTGGTACTGAAATTAATCATATTTTGTCAACTGTTTGTCTATCAAAACATGAGCAAGACATCGGGCCAGTCCATTATCATGTGAACGGACCTTTTATGTAAGGGAAATTTGAATGTCGTTGCTGTCTGAGAAGAAATTTAGTTGAAAAAGCTGCAAACAGGAGTTAGATTGCATGCACAGGCAGCAGAAGCTATCATGGCTAGAGAGCTAAACTTGCTTTTATCATCTTTTTTATTAGATTTTTTTTTTTTTTTTTTTTTTACCCTGGATTTAATATTTACAGTAAGCTTTGCAGAACTGCTCAGCTTTTGTGTTCTTTCACTCTGAAGCTACAAAATGATGTGGAGTTTTCTGGCATAAACAGATGTCAGCATGTGATCACTTAATAAAGCTTGCATTATGTTGACTGTTTAATAATCACCGCTCTTAAAAGGTTAACCGCCCTGAGCCATGGTAGTGATACTGACACAACAGAAATGTGAGAGTAAAACCAGAAATGGTTTAGGTCACAAGATTGGTCTAGAAAAAGTAGGCTTTCAGTTGTTATTTCATCAGTTGCCTGTGGAAATCTCCGGTCCTCCAAAGTAAAGCCAATGAAGAAACTGCAGTTCCTCAAGTGTCCACTTGGGGCTGGCTGTGAAAGCTTTCAAAGCCACATACACATTCATTCTAAGAAGTCCTTTGGTCTAAATAGCTCATTTCTGTACATTTAAGGAGATAAAGTTTCTCTTTTTTTTCACCAATACATTTTTAAGTTATTAGGGTTAAGATTTTTGATGATTTTATGTAAGTTGACAGTTTTTATTTGATAATCTTATGGAGTCAAGTGCTGCTTTGCCCTTGTCTTGTCTTTCTTCAGTTTAGCTGGTTATGTTCTTGAGTTTTCCATAAATATGGTAAAAATATTATTATCATGATATTTTATGGCTCCAATAATCATGAGGTGACAATCTGATTTCCTTACAGCTCCGGTTGAGTTTGGATTTTCCAATATGGCACCACACCATTATATGATGTGTATTTTGACTTTAGTATTTACCCTTGCATAATTTCTCCTGTTTGTATTTCTGCTGCTTGGTTTCAATATGATATATTGACCTTCTCAAATTGGCTTAACCCTGATTTTGAATGGTCACTGAATGTTTTACTTTCAAATCATAAAAATTGGGACTGAGATACATCATTAGAGGTATTCTGTCATTTTGGGGGAGTTTTTGGTGAAAGCCGAGCTCAGCATGTGATCAAAGGATAAAGCAGTCATTATTTTGTCATTTTAATAAGCATCACTCTGTCCAAAGCTCATAATTGACCGAAAAACACAACAACCTTATCCTGCATGTACTGTCTGTGTTAGCTGCAGCCTGATTGATGGTTTTTGGCAGCACGGTGGACACGGTGTCATCTCTGATGACGCAACAGCTGAGGGGAATGAACTGAAGCTCTTGTAAAATAATGAAGGCATGAAGGAATGCTGCTCATTTATTCCTTTCAGTCCTTTATCATGTTGATGCCACACAACAACACGTGATCTGCAGCCAGAAGCTGGATTTTCCAACCTTTGAATTATGTCTGTCACTAATTCAGAAAGAGTTATAAATCCAAGGGAATAAAAATATAATACAAGGAAAAATCAGTTAGTGAGGACTGTAGGAAGTTTATTTTATGGAGCCTTATCAGAGAGGGATCATCTTTACTTTAAACAAGGCTCTCACATACACTGAAGTCTTTATATTTTTTACATTAATTCATCAACTGTTCTCAAGATTTTGAGAACTAAAGCAGGATATCTAGAGTCTAAATTGTTTCATATTGATTCAATATTTTTAAAGAAAGTATTAAGATAAAACTCCTGTTCTTATCTCCCAGACAGAATAAATGATTAAACACGGACAAATTTTTTGTCTGCGAGTGGAAATAAAATGTTAAAGCTCCTTTAAGAAGTCTTTGGACCGATTATCAAACAGTGATGCCTCTTCAAGTAAAAGCATTTATAACAAAACTGACAGTTTCCATGTTGGATTTTTTTGCTCCTATAAACCTTGTGAGGGTGTTGGTGTCAGATATGTCGACTATATCATCCTCTGAAAACAGCTTTTTCTACATTTTCCACATCAAGTATTTATAGTGACAGATGTATCTGACTATTAAAGAGATAATCAGTGATGCTCACCTTACATGTTGGTGGTAATATTGAGGGTGATGTGTAGGAATGTAAAAAGATATCTGTGGCCTTCTGCTTAAGGGTCATGCATCCTCATACATTAAAGTGCTGTATGCATTGTGTCTTTATAGACAAACACAGTTTCTGTCAATATAACAGGAATTTTGTTGTATCAACTGACTTTATCACACTAACATCGGTGGATATCCATTAGAAATTGTCCTTCCATATCAACACGAACAAGAGGACGCATGAAACTTTGGAGAACTCGTAAAAGTGAATGACGATGAAACTGTCCTCGAGACGTTATCCCTCCCCTCCAGATAAGGACGTAGGCTGACGTGATAACGCCAAGGTCTATGACCTTAGACAGCAAAGTTTGCGTGAATGAACCATGAATTAAGTCAGCAGGTCTTCTCGTCCTGCTTAAGGTTAGGTGTAGTTCTCACAGTGGTCTTTTTCATACATCATTCAATTAACGGAAATAATCTGAATGGAAAAGGACTTGCAAACAAAGAAGCTGGATGTGCATTGGAAAAGCTTCATTAACATCATTCTGGATGTCAATGGATATTATTTTACAGGCTTCAGAGTTTCAGTCACACAGCTTTATAAGCCAGTCTTTCCCGTTCACAGTAAAGACCATGACCAACTGCAGTTCATCACAGTGTGAAGGAAAACGTATCATGCAGACAGACCACCTTGTAAACATGAATCTTGATTTATTAGACTGAACTAGCCTTGTGCTGTCCTCCTCAAAGTATTTAGTTTTATTAATGTCCTGCAAGCTTGATCATCTTTCTTTTTCAGTGAACCCTGTTGAAAGGTTGCTCTGATTTTTTATTAACAAAGCAGTGGAGGGGGGTTGATATGATATAATCACATTAAAAGGAAACGCCTCCTTTTCTCTTCTGCTTTTGATAACAGAATATTTGCTCTCACAGGGTATTTTGAGGACAAAGTGTGTAAAAGGTAAAAAGCAAGTTGAGTTTGTCTAGAAAAGAAAAACCTTCACTGTTTGCATATTTGAACAGTTAGAGAAGATCTGTTTTTGATGGAAACAGGCTTTAAATGCAGCCAATTGAAACATATCAGGTTTCCCATATGTGCTTCTGTCAATCCAATTCAAGCAACACATTTCAGAAAAGTTGGGCCACAAACAAGAAAAACACAGAAACACTGAAAAAGCTGTGTTATACAAAAACAGTTAAAAAAACGACAACATCAAAAACATTTTTCAGTTAATTTGGTTAATCTGCTACAGGCCGATTGCATGATTGGGCACAAAAAGAGCATTTCAGAGAGGCTGAGTCTCTCAGAGATACAGTACATATGGAAATTGGGTTATCACTTTAAGAGAGACTGTCTGAGCAGACCATTCAACAATCTCAGGACATTGTTCCTCAGCAAAAAAACGGTGAAGTATTTTGGAATTTCATTATCTTTAGTAAATCTGGGGAAATTTCTGTAGGAAATGAAATAAACCCAAAACCAATATTGGATTGTGTGATCGTCATGCCCTCTGGCGGAACTACATCAAATACAGACATGGCTCACATCCAAAAATCATAGTTTGAGTACAGATTTTATTGCTACAGCCACATATGTGGGTTAAAACTTTACCATTCTCGTTGAATCTATATGCCTGGTCAGTATGACCCCGTCCCATCTGTTTTCAAATATGTCACTGGTGTCAAATTTAAAATAAGCATATATTTCTTCAGAAACCAACAAATTTTTTAGCTTCAGTATTTGGTATGTTTTCTTTGCACCACTAAATACAGGGTTTACATGATTCACAAACCATCAAATTCTGTCTTTGTTAACATTGTACACAGTATCCAAACTCTTTCAGAGCTGGAGGTGTAGGAAATAAAGAAAATGCCAAAAATTATAGGTCATCATCACAAAACACAGTTTAACAGAGCAAACTGGTGTTATTCATGTATTATATTCACAATGGTCTGATGCAGGACAGATTCAATGGTAAAACTTGGGCAACTAACTATCCTCTTCCTCTCTGGTTGGTATTTTCCACTCTTTGTAGGAAGGCCATAATGTCTGACGTATGACTAACTGCTTTGGAATTGAATCATATGACCAAAAGAGCCCTAAATCAAATTGAGTGTGCTTAATTCTAATCATAATAAAAGTGAGTTACATGTGGCTCAGTCCTTGAAAAACTAACAGTGTTAGGAGGCAGCTGATTCAAAGGTCAAATGTTACTTTATTTGTACCCTCAGTATTATTGTAAAACATTGTCTATTGAATATTCGAATCGAATATTCATTGTTGAAAATACACAAACATTTGTTGTGCAAAAAAGCAAATCAAAAAATGAATCAATGCAATAAACAACATGTGTCATGAATTCTGTGCATAAATGTGTTTTATACATGTGCATACAATGCTTTTTAGGACATGCACTGAAATACATACTATGTGAAATATGCATCTATGTGTACCTTTAATTCAATATACACTGGTGAATTTTTGAAAAGGAAATAAGTAAGGAAGGTCTGTATCAAAACTTGCAGCTGGTTGTGCTTTATACCTGACGTACACTGGACCCAGGTGTGTCTCATCCTGATTTACCTGCCCACAGGTCTGCAGCCTTCACAGCACAAAGAAAACATCAGTGTGGACCAAGCAGAGGGATCTAAGCAGACTCTTTTGCAAGGGAAAATAATCCATAAATTTGTCCCATCTCTCCATTTTCATTCTTCTCTCTGTGCACTCTGTCCACTTCTCTGTAACCTTGATTATATAACTCATCCAGCAGCAACTATCCTTGGCACCTACGACCTTCCTGCCCCTTATTTTGTCTATTTCCAAACAACGTCAAAATCCATCCTGAAGCAGCAGAGCCCACCCCCTTCTTTCATTCTGCCTCTGAGCACATTACTGATTATGTCTGGTTTAGTTTTTTCATTTTACTAAAGTAGAGGTCCAGAGGCTGAGACCACAGAGGCTGCTTCACTCCTCTTACTCACAGACCCAGAATTATCCACAGCACAAAAGTTTTATTCTTTCCTTTTTCAGCTCTTTTCCCACTGAAAAGGCTCCTCAATAGGTCCACTGGAGAAGAAGTTTTGTCTGGCATACTAGCAGAGAATTAACCTGCAATGTCTCTGAGAGGTGATGTATGTGTGGTGACTGGAGCTGGTGGATTCCTGGGGAAGAGGCTGGTGAGGCTGCTGCTGGAGGAAGAGAAAACAGCTGAGATTCGACTGCTGGACAAGGAAATAAAGCCCCAGTTTCTACAAAGCCTGGAAGGTAAAACTGGAATACTAATACAAAGAGACAATCATAATGTTGTCTCTTTTTTTCTGTGAATGTAAGATACAGAAAAAAAAATCAGGAGTAGTTTACAGGAGCATCTTTTTATTCATTCAAAAAATAATGACAGCTGTTAAAAGTACAAATCTGACAGTGTTAAAGTTCATGTTTTTATCATTGCATAAATCTTAAATTGTGTGCTGTCACGGAAATCCTTTGAGATGCCAGTTTAATTTGTTTGATTCAATTTGAACTTTATTGAATTTGAAATAAGTCTGAGCCAAATAAAGCAGCCATAATTTACAAATTTAGCCGAAACCAAGGCTTTTTTCACACGACATGAAAATGAGTTTAAAAGTGAGTTTTAGCTACTTTAAATAACTTTTTTTCACAAACTTCCAACTTATATACACTTTGAGACAACTTTCCTGAATGCATTTATTCATTCTCGTGTACTATTTGATTATTGTTGTTGTATATACAGTACGTCTAAGAACAGAGATTTCTGATTCTAGTACTGATGTGTCAATTTCAAATTTCTTGTGTATCAGATTGTAAAGGTGACACAAAGTTGACTGTTTTTGAGGGGGACATCAGAGACGGTGACTTCCTGAGGAAAAGCTGCAAAGGTGCATCAACGGTCTTCCACTTCGCCTCCATCATTGATGTTACCGACTCGGTGGAGTACAGCGAGATATATGGAGTCAATGTCACAGGTAAGACAGTCACTTCGAACAACTGAAGCCTCTACAACAAGATGTAATTTCTCTTATAGATCAGAAGTGACTACTGTCTGTACATTTTTTGGCTTATTTATAAAAAGAATAGATACAATTTTGCGTTCAGTTACCTGGATGCGCCAAAACTTCTGTTGACACTTCTGCTCTATCCAAGCGTCTGATAACCTGTCTTAAAATACCATACTCTGAGATCCTACACTCATAGTTCAGTATTTATAGATCTTCTGCTGGTGTTAACATGGTAACTGACCCTTTCACTCATCAGTCTAGACCAACGAGTGACTCCCAGTCTTGAGAAATAGAGCTGAACACAGTAATACTAAAAACTGCAGTTCCTCAAGTGTCCACTTGAGGCTGGCTGCAAAAGCACCAGAAGCCATACACACCCATTCTAAACAGTCAGTCTTGTCAGCAGAATTAAACAAAACATTGGTACAAAGATTATTTTGGTCTGAATAGCTCATTTCTCTATCTGCACACACTGCATGAGTGTTTTACTTTTTTTAATCTACATATCTTGTTAGTTTCTTGCAGTTCTTGGTAATGTTAAAATGTTCTCTGCAAAGAAAAGAAGAAGAGAAAGGGTCCCATCTGAGTTCTTTTTGAGGCTTTGCTGTTATCACATGCCCTCTCAGGTAATGATATCAAGTGATTTCTGCTCATATTAACTCAACAGCCTCATTGCTTTTCAGGAACTAAGCTCCTCCTGGAGGCGTGTCTTCAAGAGAGCGTCACATCGTTCATTTACACCAGCACCATCGAGGTGATGGGCCCAAACTCAAAAGGTGAACCCATAATCAACGGTACTGAGGAGACAGTTTATGACTGTAATCTGAAGTTTGCCTACAGTAAGACCAAGAAGGAGGCCGAGGAGAGGACCCTGCAGGCCCACAACGAGCTGCTCCCAAACGGGAGTCGACTGGCCACCTGCGCTCTCAGGCCGATGTACATCTATGGGGAGGGCTGCCGCTTCCTGCTGGGCCACATGATCGACGGGATACGAAATAGTAACGTCCTGTATCGTATGTCTTTACCAGATGCTTTGGTGAATCCTGTCTATGTGGGAAATGTAGCTCTAGCCCACCTTCAAGCAGCACGCAGTCTTAAAGATCCTGTTAAAAGAGGAGCTGTTGGAGGGAAATTTTACTTCATTTCTGACAACACACCTCATATTTCTTACTCAGACTTTAACCATGCCGTGATGGCACCTCTGGGCTTTAGCATCCAGGAGAAACTGATGGTGCCGCTCCCCGTCTTCTACCTGGTCTGCTTCCTGATGGAAGTTGTGTGCATGATACTTCAACCTTTTGTGCGGGTCGTTCCTCCGCTGAAACGGAAGCTCCTCACCATGTTGAACACGCCCTTCAGCTTCTCGTATCAGAAAGCTCAGAGGGATCTGGGTTACACCCCCAGGTACACTTGGCAGGAGGCGCGCAAACGCACCACTGAATGGCTGGCCTCGCATCTACAGCAGGAGAGGGAAAAAATAAGATCAAAATGATACAGGAAGAGCCATTCATTTAAGATATAAAGTACAGGTCAAAATATCTTCCTAAAGGAGTAGAATATTCATGCATTTTTGATATGTCTCTATCTTGACTTCTTCATTTATTTTTGATTTTACCTTTTTTTTTTTGTTTTTGATTGAATATTTTCTAGCAGCAGAACAAGATAAAGCCTTGAGCCTGGATTATACTTGTGCATTGACTCTATCCTATAGCTACATCTTATTCGCCAATACCATTGAGAGCACTATATACTGTGCATGTGTTAGAGTGTCCCCATCACTCTGCATTACTCCCCTAGATACTACACTAGTTATTTCTCTAGTTTCCAGTAAAGATTTGATGCAGTAGTATGAACCAGGTTAAAGATTATGAAAAGTGACACCAATTAAAAGGGCCTTAAACCTTTGTTCTTACCCGTAACCAGCAGGGGGCGACTCACCAGTTGCAAAAAAAAAAAAAAAAGAAAAGAAGAAAAAAACAGATTGCAACAAATAAATAATAAAATTAGCCCCAATTGCCCCTTGAGTCACTACTTCTTTTTTGTTATGAGTTTACGATCTTCGTGACTAGATTCCAGTCTTATTCAGAACAATGTGACGGTTATTCGGTGAATTATGTCCCCCTCTTTCTACAGATGAATGCAGCTGTAAGACATGGCAATCTTGTGACCGAATTAAATGATAATGGCAACCTCTTAAACAAGATTAAAGGCAAAGCGATGTTTCTTCTGCCTCTGGCCAAATATGGTCCCTTCTGGATCCCCAATCCAAGATGGTGACAAAGACTCTACTAAATCAATTAGATTTTTCCGCTGCAGGCCACTCATGGAATAATCAGAACTGGGATGGTCCAGCTGAGTCACAGACTTTTGTAAGGGTATGATTATGTGTGCACAACCACAGTCATATAACATCCATCAACCCTCTCTGTCTCCACAACAGGCTGCCTTAAATATGTAGAGAACAGTAACCATCCAAAGTGAAGCCAGAACTTTTAAAGTTCCCCCTAGTGGCCGGCTGCAGTATAGGTCTCTATTAGGCCATGCTAACAGATAGAGTATGGGTCAAACTATATCATTTAAATACACATCAAATAAATATTTCTCCAACAAGGTCTCTGCTGTGATATTTTTTTCTTATCATTTGGATAAATGTCCAGGTGTTCATTTTTTTAATCAAGCTTTATGAGATGCCCAAAAGATGATTGATTGAGAGCTCTGTGAAAAGAACTGTCTACAACTCTGGGGTAAGTGAATCACTGTATATTGCTGAGACAGACTTAACTTACATTTTCCATGATAAGTTTAAATAAGTGACACATTTGAAAATTTCGAACAATGTTATAAACAAGTGCTTTTTTTAATACTTTTGAGGAAAACAACTAAGAGGCACATAACCACAGGTCCAGGTGATTTTATGATCTGTTGTTTTCATTTTGTGAACTCAAGGACTTATTTTTTGTTTAATTATGCTATCATCTGTAGTTCGACTTATACTTACCATGTTAATACTTTTACTTGAGTTCTGTGTTGGTAAATTTGATCAATTTCTGAAAATAACCAACCATAGGTTAGGATTTCAGGAGGGCTCTATCACCTTAAGTGGCGGAACAGATTTCAACCCCTGACCAGCTTGGGCCTTTCCCTGTTTCTGGCTTTCTATATAGTTATTCACTGTGCCAACAAGCATCCTGGCCCTCTTACTCTACAGCGTTTCATATTAGTGTTGCAATGTAAAGCTGCACAGGAAAGACAAGCAAAGTAGTATAATTTCAATACACAATTCAGATGCATGTTGTATTCATGGCAGCTGCCTCTTTGTGTTTGAGGTCAGATCACGTATTGTATGGACTGTATCCTGTAGCGTATGGCACTTGTTCTTCTGGAGTTCTCCCAATAATGTTTTGGTGTTTTTCCACCTCTGCAACTGTTTGCACCCTTAGACTGTATATACTGTGGACGACTTGGTTTTGCCTTTCGCTAGTATACGGATTTGAAGCCAAAAAGCTCTCTGTAATTCCGTGTTTTTTTCTCCACTTCCTGAAACCAACATTGCGCAGTAGCGTTGTAAGCACTCTACCACTTCTGCAGTAGCATTGTACAACTTTGGCAGGAGGGTCGCCAAGAGTCGCTGTGATGACGCTCGGCTCAAACATTGTATCCCCCGGGAGAGCTACGCAATCTTCGTACTCCAATAGGCTGTATCAAGTGTCAATCATAGCAAACATGAACCTCCTAATAACTTTTAAAAATGAAGTTGTACAGAAAAAGAGGACTTGAGCACAAACCAGTCTTACAGTAACTACATGTCAACATCGCAAGCAGGGGGGAGAAACATTTATATTCGGTGTAAAAAAATTCTAAAGTTTGTCCACAGCCCCATGAGGATGGCTGGCGTAGGTGGTATTTATGACCTATACTGCAGCCCGTCACCAGAGGGTGCTGTTTTCGGAGTGGCTTCACCCAGCGAGGAGGCAGATGCTGTCCATTCTTTATACAGTCTATGGATTTGTCCAAAAGGAATCACTCAATCCCTACCCCCTACTTCCCATATGGGGTTTCACTATACAGCTGACTATGTAGTGAGCTCAATCACCGGGGGTTTCGGACACTACATGGCGCACCTCCATCTTTTGCAGTGCTCTATAGGAAATTTTGAGTCGCCTATCTGGGGCATTGGAATTGATCACTCAGGTTTCGGACACCCCGTAAAATGGCGCTAACCCCCATATAGTCGCCTATATAGGGGTTAGGGATCCATTTCGGACACAGTCCCCGTCTGCACCTTACCCCTTAGGACAGCATTCAAGTAGCCAATTAGGGCAGCTCATTATCAATGTCCCCAACCACACAGATCACTGCATAGATAATTAATTTAGAGACTAACAGGCTGCAGATCCTCCACAAAGGCTGAATTTGTGAATTCAAAACTTGGCTTCAACTTGACTACAACTAAATATGTGAAGGTTAGTGAAGGTTAAAAATTACTACTAACAATTAGTTGTGTTTATTTTCCCACGCATTATGCTTAATCGTAACAAAGCTGTTAATGCCTGTGTGATTAACTTAAAAATCTTAATCCTCACTCATTACCCTTGGATCAGATCACATTTTTTGTGTAATTACAAACCTTGAACCCCGTGCTCCTTTTAATCACAAACAACAACAAAACTAAAAGATCCACAGAGATTTCGAAGAAACAAAACAACAAACAACAAACTGATTTAAATGGTTGAATCAATGTTAGCATTGATTACATAACAGAGCATTCATAGTGGAACAATCAATCAGCTAATGATTGATTTCCATCAGACACAATAGGATGACCTCTCCTCACTTTCTCTGACACTCTGCTCTCTTTGACCACACACATTCAGGCGCTCACACACACAGAAACCAGCGGACAGCCAGGCCAGAGTCCAACATTTTAAACAAATAGCCATTGAACTCCAATGAGGTCATGGATTCACCGCCAGGCAAAGAGCTTCATCCACTTGTCGACCCTTTCTGAGGGAGAGGAAGAGGAAAAAAATCAGCCCTGACGAGCATAAAGACCGAGTAAAAGAAGAGAGTGAAGTTTGTTGTGGATACACTGGGGGTAAGAGTGAAGCTTACCAAGTAAAGAAACGTGGGAAAAATCTGCTCCTGGACTTCTTTGCAGGGATTCCTGCCCTGCTGTTTGCCAGTTTAAAGCTAAGTTTTCATTTCACAGAGCTTGGATTTTCTTCAAGCCTAAAGCTGATCTCCATCTACCAATCTGGAGTTGAACAGACCAGCTGAGCACCATTAAGCAGCAACTGTGTTCAAGGACACTATACTCTACCAAATTAGCGCTCAGTTACTACAGAGATGTCTCAGGAGTACAGAACGATCCTCCTCTGTGTTTTCACTGTCTTCATCACATCACTGGTGCTAGGTAAGTGGTCTTAAAATCCTAATATCTGAATCAGTTGTAAATCTATTTTCAAGTTTATGTCAAAACATGCTTGGTGCAACAAAAGGAGGTTAAGCTATGCCTTGTAAAAACACTGAAAACAACGACATATGGAACAATAAGGGGGGTACAATGTGGAGTGACATCCAATTCAAAGTTTTACACCATATCATTGAGATAAACCAAAATCAGGGTGGTATGATCTTATTGGTTTTATTTTTAGGAGTGAATTTTAAGGTTTTGTTTGTCTTATTTTGGCGCTGTCAAAGCTGTGCAATACAATCCTGAGTTCCTTGGAAAAAAACTCGACCAGATGTTGATTTTTCAAGACAATCTGTTTGACTGCAATACATTCATCTCCAAAGTGATTATAACTCATGACATAAAAACTGAAACATGATCTTGTTTTATTAAAAGAAGGTTTGGTGTGGATTTAAGACAGTGGGCTCCTGAGCTCAGACATGTTTTAGGCCCCCAGACCCCTCATTTGTTTGTCTTTCTAATGCACTTTCTTGTGTCTTTTTCCCGTGTCAGGTCTTATTAAACATCTCTGTTGTCGTGTTCAAAGTTCTACTCTTGACATTCCACTTAATCTGCTGTAATCCGGGGTCAAGTACACTGTAAATCAAGTGTAATATTTAGCTGGGTCCAACATGGTGGTGTTGTAATAGTTTCAGGAGCAGGACTGCACCTCAACCACAGCTCTCCCAGCACTCGTGTAAATTTAAACCTCTTCCTTCCTGATTATTTCAAAGTCATCACCCATTCCTCCTCCAGAATCTGTGCCAATGAAACCTGTTGACAGTGTGACCCTTGTTTGTGACTGCGATCTTGTTTTTGTGGTATCAGCTTTCTACTATGAGGCTTGTCTCTATAATCCATCAGGTGTGGAGAAGAGTCAGCCGGATGAGGAGTGCGCTGACCTGAACAACACCACCTGGCAGGAGTACCGTCAGGGGAGGGACAAACTGCAGGTTCAGTACCTGCTGCTGACCCGGAGAAATCTTGACTGTGCTGAGGCCTTCACTCAGGAGTCTCTGACTTCAACTCAGCGAACGTCTTACTTCAACATCTCACGCCCGACCAAAGTTATCATCCACGGGTACAGGTGAGGGGAGAGGAAGAATCCACATGTCTTCAACTACTAACCAATGCGAAAGTGAAATTTAAAAAGCAGTGAAACATTTGTTTATTTTATTTCTTAAAAGATACCTTTCTGGATATTTAATATGCTCCCTCAGTTTTAACCTGGTCTCTTTTCTTTCACCTGACTCCTCAGGGCTCTGGGCAGTAAGCCGTCTTGGGTGAAGGAGCTGGCCTGGTCCCTCCTCAGGGCTCAGGATGTGAACGTGGTGGTGGTGGACTGGGTCTACGGCGCCTCTTTTGCCTACAACCTGGTAGTGGAGAACTACAAGGAGGTGGCTGTGCAGATATCAGTCCTTATCAACCAGATGCAGGTGAGTTCAACAGTGTCAACTGGAAATCAACTATTCAGTTACTTAAGGTGCTTATGTACAGTAATCACTCTTCAACTTAAACAACTTAAACACATATTATCTCTGAGATTCAGATCTGATTTTTGTTGAACTTGGGAAAACATGATTGCAATTTGAAGTGAGCTAGAAATGTAAATTATTGAGAGAACACTCAGCCGTTAAGAATATATTGGTTTCGATTTGTGTCTTTCTGAGTTACTTTGAAGAGGATGTGGGTTCATCCAGAAATAGAAACTTTAACTGTCACAGGGGGATGTCCTAGAGCGACTTAGGCTCTAGTTGTTTGAACAAACTTAAATCCAGACAAACCCACCGGTCCAAAGGTGAGACAAAATTCAGAAGACATTCAACTTAGGTACAATTCATGTAGCAAAGCTTCACCCAGGATCATAAAGCAGCAGGTAAACAAAGCTGAATTAGTGTGGCAATTGGTAGAAGAGCTTGCACCCCCACCCAGCCTTCTGTTCTTCTTTGTTAACACCCACATGCTTGTTATTCATTAGCTCAGTCCAGTGATTACATGCCAGTTAAACACAACTATAAAAGATGTGTAACATTGGAAAACCCGAAGTTGTTTAATTTCACTGCAAAGATACTGCAGAGGTTTCACAGCGGAGAAATGTTCATGTTTAAACAAGCATTACTGTTTATGATCACTTAAAAATAATGATGCGTCAGGGAAATCTTTCACAGTCATAGTATTCCCCTTTTGAATGTTAAAAAAGTCAAGTTTAGCACCCACTTAATTAGTCATTTTCTTCCCTTAAAGTTTTCTAATCAAAACTAAAAATGTTGGAATTGTCTTATCCAACAGAAAAACGGATGCAAACTGGAGACTTTCCACTTCATCGGGGTCAGTCTTGGAGCTCACGTCGCTGGTTTTGTGGGGACTCTGTTTGAAGGGAAGATCGGGAGAATCACAGGTGAGTCTGAACCAACTCACTTGAACTGTGTAACCATCCTCACAGTCTTATCTGGGACTGAAAAACAAGGAAGAGTTAAATGCAAAACTCTAAACATACAGCTGATTTCTTTGATGCTTTTAAAACTTTTGAATTAAAAAACGTCTACGAATCGATCATTTGAATTTAACACTAGCATATCTCAGACCTGGAGCACCTGTACTCCACCAGACTTGTAACCATTACCAAAAACCTCCATACTAAGAGAAAGACCTGCTGCTATGTCTACATAATAAGAAAGTGAGGAAGCAAAGGATCTCTCTCAGAGTCTGAGTAAGCATCAGGGCAAGCCGAGCTCTTAACAAAGGACAAAACCACTTTGACTGAAGAATAAGAGCTGATCTGAATCCGTGTGAAGATGCTCAGTCACCAAAACACAATACAGCTCTGTTAGCTTGTTTATATCGGCTCTTTATGTCTGAGTGGGGAGGCTGGTGCAAGTTTGGAAATAATTCAGGGAAGCCACAGCTGCAGAGAGAGATCTTATAAAGCACACCATGAACAGATCCTAGAGGTGTATCCTAAGAACCAATCATGAAATAATATGTTATCTATTACTTCTTATATTCTAGGATTTGTTTTGGTTGTAAGTGGAACTCTGTTAAGATTCAATTTAGGAATTTTTCACATCATTAAAATCGAGACAAAACCCCTTAAAAGAAATGTTGCAAAGACTGAAAACAACCAAGTTTAGCCCTCATTATATCTTCTCTTTGTTAAGTTTTGTAATTTTTGGTTTGAGTAAGAACATAACTAATGAAAGATTTTTAGTAGTTTAGTAACAGTGCACTTGTTTAGCTGGTTGAGTTCTGTTCTTTCCTTTATTCCTAAATGACCCATTTGACTTTTTAAACAAGTAATTTTCCCCCCTCATCTTTGTCTTCCAGGTCTGGACCCTGCTGGTCCCATGTTTAAAGGAGCTGATACCTTCGACCGGCTGGACTCCTCTGACGCTCAGTTTGTTGATGCCATCCACACCGACTCAGACTGTAAGACAACTTTGACCCTCCATTTAAATCTAAGTGTTAAGCCTTTTTTCTTACCTTTACCACCAGAACAGAAAAAATAATACAGTATATTAAGATTTCCCAGAGGTTTTTATGTTTTTGGGATGGCTTATCCCCGGTATGGAGAGGTTATTGCCTCTGCAGTGTGCAAACATAACCGTTTTCTTGATTTTAGACATATTCTCACGGAGACTGAGCTTGATTTTAACCTTTTATACTCTTGTTTAATTTCTGAAATGCCATGATATTAGGTTTCACAGCAACACAATTCAGGTTTTTTTTTCCACAACAACGACTCACAAGTTTGTTCTCTCCTGCTCATGGTTCTGCTCCTCTTCCTCAGTTGGGTCACTTTGAAAGCAGCTGACTCATATCTAGGAGAGTAAAAGAAATCTAGTGTGTAATTATCCTCAATTGTGGCTTCTGTTCAGCAAAAGTCCATGATTTGCGACCAATTTTATGCAAATACTCTTAGCTTAGTTCAGCGCAGTTGTTAAATCACAGCCTGCAGTATATTTTCCAGGGTTTTCTGAATGCAAAGGTTGATAAATATACTGTATATTGCAAAAATCTTACCCACTGGGCATATTCAGGGGATGTCTCCTTTTCCACCTTGGGTTTGTGTTCATAGCAGTAAAAAAAAATGTTTGGATTTTCCTCTTGGACATCAGATTTTGGCATCTCCATCCCTGTCGGTCATGTTGACTTCTTCCTGAATGGAGGTCAAGATCAGACTGGGTGTTCCCGCTCCAGGTTTGCTTCAAGTAAGTCAAACACCCATGGAAACCAAAATGAAATGACCGGTTAGAGAAAAAGCAGCTGTTTTTGTCACAGTAAATCTCAGCTTAAGGAAAGCTCAAGCTAAGTTATAACCAATATTTAAATTTTACATGAACTGACTTGAAGAGCTTTGAAAATGAAAACCTCCAGACCTCTGGCTCCCTCAGTGTTTGTGTGTGTTGTCAGTTCTTATCTACTTTCCAGTGTACGGCTATGTGATCTGTGACCACATGAGGGCGCTGCACGTCTACATGAGCGCCCTGAATGGTTCGTGTCCTCTGATTGGGATCCCATGCTCCAGTTATGAGGCCTTCCAAAAGGGAAACTGTGTGGACTGTGGCGTCTTGAATGGCTCATGTCCATCTATAGGTAAAAAAAAAAAAACACACTCAGGAATATACAACCTCATCCGATGTGTGTTATTTACCTGTTGTTTATGCATTACTTAGTAACTGTCTAAAAGTATGTAAATGTATGGTTGTTTTTGAATAGTTTGAGTGTTAAGCAGCTTCTGCAGTGTCACTAACTGTATGTAAACTGCCTCTACCTGTACTCAAACTAAACAAAACCATCAGCAATGAATTTAACCATTTCTGTATATAGTAATGCATGACATGTGAAAATATTATACTCAGAATGACAATCAGAACATTACACAAATTACACATCAAACAAATAGGATATCTTCTGATTGAACTCAATATAAAACCATATTACTAAATGTACAATAAATGACAGTATTATACCATACAACATGTTATGGTATGATGCGATATTTGATATGATACACAAGGATATAATACAATATGATAAGATATAACACTGTAAGATTTAATACACTAGGATACAATAGGATACAATAGAGTATGATATGATTGACCTAATACAACAGGATACGGTATGACAATATGATACGACACATCATGATATGAAATGATCCAGTATAGAAGAATCGGAGTAGGTTATTTGTGGTACAACATAAGATTCATTCAGATACAATACAATAGGATATCTTAAAAATGATATGGTACAATATCATATATCATAAGTAAATGATATGATATGACATGATACAATACAGTACAGTACAATACAATACGATACCATATGATATGCTAAGATCTGATCAACACAAACAATATAACCTGATACTATATGGTACAACATTATAGAAATTATTTGATAATATAACATATGATACAATACGTGCGATACAATACAATATAACATATGATATGAAACAATATAGTATGATATGATACGATACGATATGGCATTAATGTTTGTTGAAATCAAGGTGAAAGAATGAAGAACATAAATCAGGAGGTTCATTGTTCTCTGTTCAGTGTCACCAGCAAACATGCTTGGTATCTGACTATAGGGTTACCCACGTCAATTCACAGCTCAGGCAGCTTCTTATCATTTTAACCCCTGATACACTAAAGGACACTCACACAGTCACACAGTTCATGTGCATCAGAGCTCTTGATTTGTGATGTATCACAACCTAAAGAATGACCCCTACTTATCTTTGCGTATGTGTGTGTGTGTGTGTGTGTCTTAAAGGTTTGTCAGAAAACAGTGGAATAACAATATCTCCACTCCCCATTGAGCAGAAGGTTTACCTCCTCACTTCCTCCAAGTCTCCTTTCTGTGGTATGTGTTTTTGTGTTGAGAGACGCAGAGATTATTGTCTTTTGTTACTTTGATGCCAATGAGTCATGGATTGTAACATAGCCAAAAACTGTTGGACACTTTCTTGTTGCACAGCTCAACACATCCTGCTGCAGCTTGAGGTTTCTCAGCTGGATAAGAGCGCTGAAGTAGAGGTGACTTTGAGGACGGAGAGCCTGAAAAAGGAAAAGAGAGTCACGCTGTAGGTACCACAAACAGCATGAAATGACATGATTAACCTTCTGCTTTCCAAAACTTCCACAGCTGCAGATAACAATCTTTCATTCTTTAATTATGGCCAGTGGTGTACTGTGCCAGGGTGGGGAAGAGAGCTGACAAAAAGCAACAAAACTGGATTCTTTAATTCTTCGGTAAAAAGGCCTTCTTTGTTGCCCTTGCAGTGAAAGTCACAAAACATTGATACCCTTCCATTGTCAAAAGTGAACAAGTTACCCTCTGAAAGTCCTTCTAAAAAGTGCCCTCTGGATACCCTACTAGTGCATACAATGTAAGCAAAGTGCCATCTGAATGGTCTCCCAGTTTGTACAATGTAAATCCTGACCTCAGGTTGCTCTTTTTGTGGTTAAAATGTCAACAAAGTGCCCTCTGACTGCCTTTTTAAAGACATTACTGTAAAAACAGTGGTTTCTGAATGCCCTTCCACTGTTTAAAAGGTGAACCAAGTGCACTCTGCTTGCTTTCACAGTGGATAAAATGTAAACAAAGTGCGTCCTGATTCCTATTAAGGTGAATAAAATGTAAACAAAGTGCATTTTGATTGCTTTTTCAGTAAAAAAGTCAAACCAAGTGCCCCCCTGAATGCGCTCTGCATGCTTTCACAGTGGATAAAATGTAGACAAATTGCGTTCTGATTGCTTTTTCAGCAAAAAAGTCAAACCAAGTGCCCTCTGGTGGCTCTTCTAGTGATTAAAATGTTTGACTGAGTTCACTTTTCAGAACACGCAGAGTATCCACAGAGCATCTATGTTTGATCCGTACAAAGACCAAGCAGCATTTCTGCTCCTTTGACTTAAACAAGTGATTTCTTGTAAGTGGATGATTCTTATATTGACTAAAGTTTTGGAACCAAAGGCCTCAAAGTTTGAGAGTGAAAAAAAGGGTGAAGTTTAACTATAGACTTCCTTTGTTCAAATTCAGCCAATGGACTCAGCTGCGGTGTCCTCATCTCAGAGCTGTAGTTACTCTTTTGTTTTACCCCAGAAAAGCTGAGCAAACAGATTCTATTTCCAGAGAAGATTTACTGTATGGTGCTCCACTATAACAGCCGGTCCAGGTGCTGGATACAGTATCAGAAGAGCTAAGGGAGAATATGTGCTCATGGGGAGGTTCACTTCAGCTCAGGAGGACTCTTTTTTTACACGTTTCATGTCTGTTTGTTCACTTTACTGCAAATATAATGAGTTTATGTTGATTCAGACCAGCAGTAGGAGCCGCAGTGAGTCTGTTGTAGCTTAAATCAAACACAGAGGGTGATAACTGTCCGCTGTGATAAGTGTTGGTTTATCTCTAAGTGTCCATCTATCTGGTGTTTGTGACGTGTGTATATGTGTGTGTGTGTTTTCAGTAAGACAGATACAACAGTGTTCAGGACAGTTTTGACTCATCCTCTACCTCTGTGTGAGATCCGAACCATCGAGCTGAAGAACACCGGCGCTCGTTTCTACAGGCAGGGAGACATCCATGTCAAGTCTGTGTGTGTCTCTGAAATTCCAGCGAACAGGTACACAACCTGAACATGACACACACACACACACACACACACACACACACAAACACACACTGCTTTTGATGCAGGTGATGAGTATCCTTAATTCAAAGTATAATGAGCTCTCATCAAGTCTTTTTTTTTTTTTCAGGCATGATGTGCCGCTGTGTGTGAACAACTTCCACATCAGACGAGGCGCTTCATGGTCACATGACTATGTGCAGGTGTGCGACTACTCTTGAAGAAAGACTGAACCCTGCAGACCTGAGAGAGCTCAAAAAGTTACATCTCAGCCAAAGAAACACTTTTATTTTGGGGGACAAATCTTCAGTGCTACAGCCTGTAGCTGAGTTATACTTTGTAAATAAGATATTTAGACGCCATTCTGACCCTCTAACTTCATAAAACGAGTACAATAATACATCATTAGTTCCTTTTATTTGTTTTTTATTTTGGTCTTGTCCTTTGTTGATCTGTTTTGTCATTTTTTTTCTATAATGTACTTTCAAGATATGATTTATGGCCCTGTTTTTAAGTATTTTTGACATGTAGTGCAGCTAAATTTAGTTTGTCTTTTAAATGAGAAAAATAAAACTGAAAAGTGTGTTTTCTCTTCTGTCTTTGAGTTTGAAAAAGTTCCTTTTTGTGCGTTCAATACTGTAGTAAAAAAGCAGCCCAATCAAAACAGAAAAAGGAAAACTTGACTGTAATCCTGTTATAAAGGCAAATGAAAGCTAAATATCCCTTCACTTCTACTTTATAGAATACAGAGTAAAATCAGATTGTTTAGTGGTCATGTGACAGAACAGTGCAGAAAAATAAAACACATTTTCACAGCACACGAAGAGCTTTATGGTGAAATCTTGGCCCCCCGTTAAAATACTTCTACACACTCAACTTCATTCATTTTAGCCTTAAATCTAAAACAGCAGTAATAACAGACCATTCATAAAATTCACAGTATAGAGGTGTGTATTCAGTTTTCAGTCAGGTACAAAAAATGTACAAAGACATGGGCTACAGGCATTCATTATGTTATCAAAGAGGAAGAAGAAGACTGTCATGCAGTACATATTTTTGACACTGAAACCACTCATGGTGAGTTCAGGTGAAAAAAAAATTATGTTGTTGAAATAACATTGAAAAGGAGGGAAAACTGTATCATTTTCTGACAATGCAAAACAATTTTTTTTTGCCAAACATCGAAAGGATTACGAAATTGGTGCAATTCAACTCAAAATAACATCACATTTTGTGTTTTTCTGATTGCAAACATGATTCAAAATCATCCCTTGTCAGATATTTAGAGTTGGAAGTTTTTTAAAATAAAGTGATTTGCAAAATAGTAAAACCAAAACTCTATTTTAACATTTTACCATAAAAAGAAAAGTTGTAGTTGTTCCTCTATCATCAAAAATGTGAGAAAAATAACCACAGATTCATTTTTGAAACAGAAAAAATTACATTTATACCATTTATTGTGCTGGTAAATAAACCGTCCTTAGTAATGAGTTAACTCAGAGTTTGACATTTCATTATTAAAGGCTATATGACTGACTGATTGATGTCTTTATTTTGAACATGTAAAATAAAAAACAGTAGTTTAAAACATCGATGAATAGCAAGAAAGGAGATTCAAGAAGGCCACACTTTGAAAGTCAAAGTTTCAGTCTTTACTCAGACAGATGGTTTACTTTAGAAACAGAAACAGATCAAATAAAGGAAATCTTCAGGTATTTTTGACAATTAATGATTTGACTTGAAACAAATACATGCAGTGAGTTCAACGTTCATTCAGAAATTCAAGCAGATTAAAGAGATTAAAGAGTCGTAAATGAGGCTTAAAGGCTTAAAATCTTTTGTTTTAGATAAACAGAACATGGATTTCAGCCTTTAAATGCTCTAATCATTTCTATAAGGTTAAAAACATTGGCCCCACACATTGATTTTATCTATCAATATCTATCATTTGTCTTTCACTCAAACTGTACTGAGAGAATATAAAGATCACATGTCAAATGCAGATGTGAACCGAGGTGAGAGCGAGGAGGAGACAGAGTCATTCCAGGTGACATGTGACACATTCATACTTCTCTACTCTAAATATTAAAGTGTTTCCAGGAGAGACCGTCCTCACAGTTTGGGGGTGTCAGTGGGAGCAAGCGGCGCTCTGCCTCTCTGGAATCGAGGTGGTAGATTTCCCTCACCATCACCTCCTGCAGAGTCAAAACAGAGAACAAGTTAGGAGAAAGTTTATGTCACACAGCAGCGTGTCATTACACTGACCTGATGGATAATGGCAGAGATTTTTTTTTTTTTAACCTTTATTAGATAAAGCAGCTGAAGAGAGACAGAAAATGTGGGGAGCAGTGAGGGGGGGAGACATGCAGCAAAGAGTCACATTCAGAGTCACGCTAGCAAACACCACAGCAAAGACTACAAACTTAAACAGGTGCTCCATAAAGACAGAGCTGTAGCAGAGCTGACACTGTATAATTCTCCTCAGTATACTGATGAGTCAGCAAGCTGAAATCTGCACAGACCAGCTGAAATTTAGCCAAACAGCTTCAGACAGAAAGTGTCATTGTGCCAATTCATATCAAAGCAACAGTTTGAAGCTGCTGTGAGGTACTTTTAGATGAATCACTAGAATCAGTTCACTAAAAAGATTCGTTCAAAAGATTCGGACTCAGTTCAGATCATAGCTTCTGGGACTGGGAGTCGAGAGTGTTTGGCTGTGTTGCTTTGGCAAACAGGTTTATAAAAATGAACTTGTTAAGACGTCATGATGTTCTAAGTGTACTGTCTTATGGTCTGCTCGGTAAATGGGCTCAGTGAGTGATTCGTTCACTGAACGTTTAGAAGAATTCACACTGAAAATACATTGTTCCCTCGCAAACCGCTGCAATGATAGGATGCTGCAGCTCTTATGCACTACTTGTTACATGCTGTGTCCTATTGTATGAAAGTTGTTGTGGTGGAAATTTAGCATTAATAAAAAAAAAGAAATAGTTTTGCCTGAAAAAATGATTCCAGAGAGTGTAGTTCAATGCATGATTTGTTTACCAAGTGATTCAGGCGTCGGTGCACGCAGTCCATTGTTCCCTGGCTGCTTGCCTGGCAATGCTGCGTGCCATACCAGCTGCGCTGCTGACAGCTCAACTGAAGTGGCAAACGAATAAATCACTTTAGGAAGTGATTCTGTTCAGGACATTCACTTAAAAGACACGGCACTTTTGAATGAATCCTTCACAAACGACACAGCATTACTGTGAGGAAATCTACATTTGGATGAACTTTGGCACCTCCTCACTGCAAAAACTTACATCTCAGCAAGTGTTTCTCCAATTTCTAGGAACAATAAAAAATCTTTACAAGATTCGATTTAAGCCAGATTCACCTAAAAAGTACATAACAGAAAAGAGTCCTCTCTCATGATATCAGATGTATCATATGTATATTTTCGTTTGTTTAGATTTGGCGCCCCCTGTGGACGAGTTCGTACCTCTTAAACCTTTGCTGATATGACATGTTTTCTAAGCTTTTTTTTGAATAAAGTGAAATAAATCACTCAGTTTGATGATTTGCTGTAGAAAAACGTTAAAGCCGTTTGTGTGTGCTGTACATTGACTCATCTAACACCTACCTACTTGCAGCAGGTGCAGGATTCAGAATAAAAGTCATTAATCTTGTCACTGGTAGTCCTGGTTGCTATTTAGGTCGTATAAGGCATCATTAAAAGCTTTTTATGTTAGTCTGCTACATAACCTGCTGAAAGTCCTAAAAGTGGCTTCACTGAGAGAGATCATAAATACATACAGCTGTCAGATAAATGCCTAAAAGTGCAGCATTGCTCTTCAGAATATAAAAGTCTTGGTGTGTAAAGTTGCTTGAAATACTAAAGACATGCTGTAATTAAGAACTACTGTATGTTACTCGTCCTCTTTGTCTGAGTCTGCACGCTGCACTGAAGTCATGTTACAGCTGTCATCTGTAGATTCAGCCCCTGCAACCCAAACCCTGCGCTGACCCCGTCACTGAGTGGCGATGAAACACGATCCTCCACTCCTGATTGGCCGAGGGCTGATTTAGGGATAGTAGGCATACAGGGCGGGGCAGAGGAGAGGATGAAGGAATTAACAGACAGGGTGCTTACAGGGTGGGCACACTGGATTAATAACATGGCACTGAATTTATTTTGGACATCCCCTAAATTTCCAAACTGTAATCTCCATCAGAGAGGAAACAGCTGTCGGACCCCTTCTTACAAAACACAAAGAAATTACAGTTTCACACTGGACATCAGCTGTCCTCAAACTCTCCGTTCATTTGATGCTAAACTGTTTCTCCTCAGGTCTCTCTTAGATCTGCATTTAATTAATCTCAGCTGCTCAATATTGACTATAAGAACTAATAATCCAGATACTCCAACGTCAAAAAGGCCACAAATCAAACTTCAACTTCTTCTACCGTTAAAAACATTTGATTCAGTCTCTTGGGTGCAGAAAGAGGACAAAAACAGAGGCAGATTGTGATGAGATATGAAAAACAAAGGGGAAAAGAGCCAGAAAACCTAATTACATAACAGCAAAGGCTGGACCGTGATTCTAGCCTGAGAACAAGACAAATCTGCTCATGTTTTATTTGCTCTGGCAGATGTGGTTCAGATTTCCTCATTTTCAAACAGATTTCCATGCAGCCTGATTCATGTAAGGCCAATCTGAAACATCCATGTAATATGGAGAGGATTTAAGTGCATTTGAGGTATTTCTGAAAACAAACAAGACAGCTGCTGCACTGCGAGAGTCATACTTTGTGTATTTGTCTGATTTCTTGTCAAAATAAATCATTGCTCTTAAAATAAACCACACCAACCATCATTGGACCACGGCCAAGGCGTGATCCTCCGATTTATGGAAAATTCCTCATCGCTGTGTACAGTAAGAAGTTGCTCCAAGCTTTCACTTCTTCTCAAAGCACTCACCTCTGCTTCAAACATATACAAGCGAGCGAAAGATGCCCCTATGTTTTTTTCAAGCCCATGGATGCTCTGAGTGTGGGGGTGAGGGAAGGCAATGGTGCAGGCCTCAGAGTTCAGTCAGCAGAGCAACAAAAAACGAGACAAATAACAGCATTTAGCTGCACAAAGAGAGGTGACAGCAATGTAACCCCTATAAAAATGTTTCCAATGCACCATGCAAACACTTCTCAATACAGAAATGCAACCAAAAACTTTGGTCTTTATTGGTACAAACAGATGTTGCACCAAGTTCGTCCGATCCACCACTGGCTAGAGACAAAGCATTATTCCAAGCATGCCTTCATTGCAGACCCAGTGAAAGTGGCAATGATAGTAACTCACTGTAAAGAAGGGCTACATGGGCACTTGACCCACTGAGATGCAGCAATATTAAAGACATGGTTGACGATTGGAGCAATTGGTAATTATTATGAACCTTGTTTATATGGCGATCATGGTCCTATAGTGCCATCTACACAAAGAGAAAAGTTAAAAAAATTGAAAAAATCCATTCACCCTAGCAGGTACAGGGCTGCAAAAACATTGACCAATGGGAGCCATCCATCCCGGACAGCTCCTATTGGTCACTCTCCTGCTCCACCTCTCCATCCAATCACCTCGCTGTATTCGACACACCCCTCTCTCATAGTTCCGACTCATCCCCTCCCACTCTCCCGGCCCTCCTCGGAGCTCTGAGTGGCCAAAAGTAGCGTAGCAGCTTAGCTACAAGAGCTGTGATGGAGAAGGAAGCCAAAAAAACCTACTTCTGCCTAAGAAAACGAAAGCTGAGAGAAGAAAGGGCAGTTGGTGCTCGCTAGCAGACCTGGTGTTTACTGCCGCTAGTCGCTAGCAATCCGACATGGTGAATCCTATTTGAAGCTAGCGTAGGATCTTCTGTTGGGGGTGTGTCGTGGGGAGGACGATACAGGTTCAGGGGGAAGTTGTCATGGAGCACAGAGGGGAGAGGTTTGTGTGTGGGGGGTGGGACGCTTTTTCAAATTTGCAAACAGCCCAGTTTTTTCAACCGCTTCGTAGATCGTCAACTATGCCTTAAAAACAAAAACACGAGACATCACTAATGAGTGCACACAGACAGAATCCTGTTTTGAGTGATTCAGCTGTTTTTTTAGTGCAAGTTTAATGATAATTCAATGGATAAGCAAAAAAATTATGTATGACCTAAAAAGAGTCTGCGTTCTGGTTCTGCTGGAGGTTTCTGCCTGTTAAAAGTAACTCACTAAAGGATTTCTGCCTTCTCGCCCACCCCTCACTCTCCTTATAAAATCATAAAGCCAGGTTAGTAAGAAATGTGCACTGCAAGCCATCCATGCACACACAGCTCCCCCACGCCCCCTTCTGCCCAGGTGAGGTACTTACATGTAGCTTAAGTGGTGACCCAGTGTGTTAGCTCCAGCACCCTGCCCCCTCTACCTCAAATAATCCCTCTCACTGCCATAATCCATTAAGGAGCCCGCCACATCAGCAAAGTCCTCCAGGACCAGGCTGGTGGAGTCCTCACCAGAGGGCAGGTCCGGATCTGACGCCCAGGGGTTGGGATAGCGATCGTGCTGGGGGGGCTTGGTGTCATCCTGTGGTGTCTTTCTTGGTCCCTGAGGCTGAGACTGAGCTGGATCTGATGTCTGGTAGGCTGGTGCTGGATCTTCACCCTGATGATCCTTGTTGAAGCCGCTGTCACTGCCGCTGCCTCCCTCGCTGCCCTGAGAGGAGGGGGCCAGCACGTGGTAGAGGCTGGGCAGGCGGATGTCCAGCAGCACGCCGCTCTTGATGTAGAGCTTGTTGTTGAGGTTGTAGAGCTTTTCTGCGATATCGTAGCCCAGCATGACGGAGAAAACACGGGCGATGTAGCGCTCCTTTGAAATCAGCATGTAGAGGCGACGGCGACGCCAAGAGACGTAGCGGGAGTCTTCTTCTGCTGTCAAGGTCACCTGCAAGATATAAGATAACACCTTAACATGAGTATGTTAAAGGAGCAGAGTGCAGAAACACGGAGGTACTCTCACCGACATCATTTATCCGTTCCTGAAGAGTTGTCGTGATGCACAAAGACAGAGGTCACCATATCGGAAATTCTGAGAAACTTCTGACTCATTTTTTGCATCAGGCTGTAAACATGTTTGATTTTGCTGTGAAGATGAGCTTTTTTGAATGGGTGTGTATGTGACATCTGGTGCTTTTGAAGTTAGCCTCAGGTGGACACTTAAGGAACTGCAGTCTTCTGCATCAGCTTCATTTTTCAACATCAGAGGTTAAGTACAGACTGCTTCGTCCACAGGGGGCGCCATAACTGACACAAACCGAGAGCTCTTCTCAGGAGATTAAACTGTAAATTCTTTTCACAGCGAGGAATGTCAAGCTTCCCCTGAACGTAGTTTACTTGACATTATATTTGTTTTGACACAAGATCAGATTCTACCATAGATGATATATGTATTTCTTTTTAACTACAGACAGTCAATCATCATTCTGCTGTCTATTTCTGACACTTCTAAACACTTCTATACAGCTGATATATGCTGTCATTGCGGTTAAGGAAGTCAATTATATTTGCAGAAGTTTTTGTATTTGCAGATACCAATATCATGCTATTATTGTGTATCTCTTATTAAAATCTATACATTTATAAGATAAGAACATCATCTCATTAAACTCCCTCTTTTTTAGTTTAGGTGCTAAACTATTATAACCACCCATAGGCCTGTTGTTTTGAACTCAACTGACAAGATAAGAGTGAAACAAGCTTCTCAGACACTTAAGGGAAAAATCAGCCATGATTATTTCTAAAAATATTTGATTAAGGCATCAAAACCCTAAAAAATAAAGACTAAATCTTTTTCTCCCTTCGTGACAATGAGTCATTCAGTATTTATTGCTACTGAAAGGTAAGGATTTCACACCAGGGTCTTATCCACTCTAAAGGGTGTCTATTTCACTTAACCTATGGCTTACTATACATTATCCTTCACTTAAGTCAGGAGAAAAACTCTGAATGTTTAACATGACCTTCAGGTTTTGTTTCTACTTTAACTGAATGAAAACCGGATACCTGAAGAGAACGAGTCGACTGCTTTCTCCTGCTCAGCTGACTAATCTGATAAGACACAACTTGATATCCAAGACTGGTTTCCTGTTCAGTCTCAACACTTCTTCTTTAACATCTTACATGTAAGCTTAATCTTAATTATTTATTTGTTACATTCAAACATTAAAGCTGTGTCCATCCAAATCGACGGCATGTGGAGTCACACATACCTGAAACTTTCCCTCCTCGTTCGGTCTGAGAGACTCCCACTCTGGAGAGTCCAGGAACTGGTGGCGGTGGATGTAGTGCAGGAACTGGCCCTCTAAAGATACGTTTATCCTACAAGAGAGAGATAAAGGGTTAAAAAGAGAGACAGGAAGTATGAGGGGACAAACAGAGCAGAGTTAGAGAGCTGAAGGTCACTTTGCAGGAGTCGTTCAGAGAAATATCAGTGTAAATACCCCTGCCAGCTGAAGCCGTCACATCTCCTCAAACAGAACGTAAATTAATCATCTTTTAGATGAAACGAGAGTGCCAAGTTTACTTTTCTGACACAGTTTTCTTGAAATTATAGTTCAGGGCTGCGGGAGAGTCCTGCCTCAGAAGGAGGTTTGATTTTAAAAAGAATAACTTCCGCAGAGTGAGATAACCCAGCACACTAGACACTGAATCCCTCAGTAGATTACATCTAAAGACTCTGTTTTCCAGGAAACTGTTCTTAGAAAAGAGTTCATTTCCTCATTTCACTGCAAAAAACAACAATGACAAAGCTGTTTACAGCTCACAACTTGCACTAATAAAAATAAGATGATTTGATATTAAGCTAAATAAAAAATAAAGACAATCGTAAAGCTGGCAGCGTCAGTAAATGATATTCTATACTTAGAGTGATACAAACGTGTGTTAGTAGATAATAGAGCCTCCGTTTGCTGCAGTTTAAAGCTGATAGAAGTCTCCCTGCAAACTCTTCACATCTCTGAGTGTAAATTATCAGCTGTTTTTCTGCAGACTGTAGTGTTAATTATCCTGCACATCACTTCACACTGACAGTAGCAGGGACTCTACCGGAGAGCACCGTGCTAAAAATGTCACTGTACAGCTGGTACTCTGCTGTGTGCTTAAGCCTCATGAGGAAATTAATTTAGACACCCATGTGTTTGTTTTTGTCCTTCTCTTTTTTGTTGAAAGCTGCTTTTCCTGCCTTCTTTACATAATCACTTTAGGGCCAGGGGTGAGGACTGAAAACTTTCTGGAAGAATATTTCTGAATGCACGAGGAGAAAAGATCAATTATTTGAGAACAGATTGGAAATTGGAGCTAACACAATACCAGATTTTGTGGCCATGAAAATTCTGCAACAGTGATGTTATTGCAAGATTTTGGGGGAAAAATAAATAAATACAACACTATTTAATAGAGTAAAATAAATAAGGACAAATTTGAATGATGCGTTTGAACGGAGAGGTTGCTGCAAGTCTGGTCTCTCTTATTCTTATTCTTATTTGTCAAACTGAGAAGAGGTAGTACACGGTGGAACACATTACTTCATAAATTTACCTGATAAACACGATTGACAGACATATTTTTAATTATGCTCAAATTTATGATTTATCCGCATCACCAGCACTGTGAACAAAACTTCTTGTGAGAAGACATTACCTCATTAAACGATTGTTTGTTTTGTCGCCATAAAAGATCAGTAGGTAAATAAAAAAAATATGGCATAGGATTTAAAAACCAAAGTAAAGTAAAAGTATCAAAGAAGTTTTGTTGAATAAAAACTATTTATCAATTTTAAATGTACTGTTACTGGAAATATCAACAGAAAATCATGTAAAATAACTCTAGGAAGAGAAAAATAATGCTGCTGCATAATTACAATCTGCAATCTGCCTCACTGTTCATTAAGGATAAACAAAAACACAAATAACAAACTTTTTCAACAGCCAGACAGTTTGGAGCTGAGAGGATAAAAAACATATTGAGCTTTATGTCTGTTCTAACTTTGGCTCTCAGGAGCCGTCATCTGCCAGCATTTAATTTAACTTAAAAGGAGCAGTCAGTGTCTGCTCCCGTCCCGACTACAGAGATAACGCTGGACCAGCTGGCAGCGTGCAGGGGGACAGCACAGCGGTGAGTCACAGACAAAAATACTCTGTTTACAACATTTCTCTTGTGTCGGCTCCAGGACTGTGAAATGTAATGCAGCTCAGCTCAGAGGATGTTTGGATGAAGGGGATTCGCTTCCTGTTACAGTTACAGACTGCCAACAGCATGAAAGAGTTAGAAATAGGAACACAGATCTGCAGCGGTCAGTTAAGTGGGAGCTCCTAAGAAAACAATGAGTGATTTTTTAGGACAACCTGAGAAATTAAACAAATATCACACTACCTAGATATTAGTGTGACCAAATCCTGCACCGAACATAGTCAGTTAGCAACTAGCTGGTGCACAAAGTGGAGCATTTGGCAGCTAAAGAGTAAAGCGTTTTTTTAAACAGTGTTTTTCTTTGTGTCAGCTGGATGTCTAGATAAACAAGCCTGCTAACATATTTGCTTTGTGCAGGTTTGTTTTACTTGCTCTGGTACATGTATCTTAACTTGTACCATTTTGGCTGTGAGTGGAATAGCCCAATTCAACGAGTAACAACACTGGACTGTAAAACATCTCCAAAAGTGAAACCAAAACATCCTCAACACCTCCCTCTGACTGGCAGCAGAATAGGCCATCGACTCCGCCTCCTACATGTTAACAGGTGGGACTTGTATCAAACTTAAAAACTGAACAAATGTACAAGTCAAATAATTTTCTCTCACACGTGGTTTCTGTTGTTAAAGTTGGCTCTTACCATCCTGATGTCTGTCGGGATGTTTAAATTCTCATAAGTTATTCAATGGTGTAAATGGGATATAATGTTGTGAAAATTAGGGATGTAGAGACAGAATGAAGAGAAGAAATAAAACAAATACAAACAGTCATTGAATTTGTCTGCTGGGAAACTCAACAAGAATCTGCTCTGCAATTGGCAGAGATCATTTCTTTAAGTTCAATTGTTCTGGTTTGTAGGAGGGGCAGGATGTCAATATCAAGACTCTACAAACAGATCACTTCTGCAAGGTCTGTACCCCAAAACACCCCTTTACAATACAATGTACATGCATGACTTACACTAACATTGTAGGCAGTGAGGTACTTTAAATATATGTAGCACTGAAACAGTCACCAATGCGTCAGTGTCAGCTACTTCTGTATATGCAGGTTTAACTTTTTGTATAATACAGAAGGTGGAAACACATCCACTATTCATAATAAACAAATAAACAAATGGTCAGAGTTGGTGGTATCATGACATGCACGGGCCTGAGTATTCATTATGACTAACATTTTTGGAAGCAGGCGACAACACTGAAATGCAAAAAAATAAATAAATAAAACTGCAAATCCTCGAGCATCCACTTGAGGATGGCTCCAATGTCAGGAAGCCCCACTGGAACTCATATAAAAATACTTGAGTACATCAAAATTAAACTTGTTTACACCCTAGTGTGAAATTGGTCTTGTCACTTCAAAGTACACCACCATTGGATTTGCAGGGACCACATGTTTAACCATAACTGCTGAAACAACACAAGGATCTCAGCGATGCTGTTGAAGAATTACAGTCCTGAAACTGCAGATATAGTGTATCCCAAAAATCAATTGTAAGAGTGACTGATTAGGTCTGTGTTAATACAGACAATGGACAGCACTAGCAACCTTACCCAGCAGCCAACAGCTACATCAGTGTTTTGTTGCTCTGATAGTTTGGAGCATCTTTTGTTGGTAACATCACTTCAACAATGAAAATGACCTGAAAGCTACATCCTACATTTTTGCAAAGTTTATCAAATTTCAGTGTTTAGTTTGTGTTAAAGTGTTTTAGATTAGTGCAGAACAGAGCCAACAGCACAATAACTGAATTAGATGAGTAGGAATGCATCATCAGCCACTTTGGTTTGCATTGGTTAGTGCAGGTACACACACATGCCCCACCTCCCAGACAGCAGAAAGGAGAGCTGGTCAATGGGTGTCTTCCCCTCCACTGCATACGTCTCTCCTGCCTTCAGCTCCACCACCCTGTTCTCAAAGGCCGCAGCAATGTCCTTAAACACCTGGACGGGGACGCCCAGCGGCAGGTAGACGGCCTGGTAGAGGGACGACAACTCCTCGCTGGGTATGCCCTCCTGGTGTAGCCGATACAGGAGGTGGCAGATCTGAGCCAGGCAGGCCAGCAGCAGGAGTAGATTCCAGGTGAAGACGTCCAGACCGCACATGGTGATCCAGCCCCACAGGGACAGGCAGAGGAAGGCCGGGGTGAGGAAGCCGAAGATGAAGAGGCACCCATAGGCCCCGCTGCCACCCATGTAGCCGAGGAAGACCATGGTGTTTCCCAAGTGGTAGATGGCTCCCTCTGTGTTGTTGGTCCAGCCATCGCATAGAGGCGCAAAGAACAAGCTGTCCATAAGAGTGAAGTTTTCTGTACTCATGATTCAAACTTTCAAATGACAAGCTGAGCAGCTAAAATAACTTCTTATCCAAATGAAACTTAGTGCTATTTTTGTCCCAGGACACCAGCTACAAGATGTTTACTTTGAATGAAAACCTAATTAAAAATAAACAGCAAATGTCGACTAAGTAATGTCAGAGGTAAATGTTTGTTCCCTTGGCGTGCAGCGGAAAGCTCTTCAATGTGAAGAAGTTCTCACAGCTCTGTTTATTTTTGAAACACAGCTGGAATGGGACTCTTCTTCTTCTTCTTCTCTCATTCTGCGTCCCCTTCCTCCGTCCTCTGGCTTCTCATACCTCCTTTTTTTTTACTCCGAGCCCTCCTTTCGAGTGCAGTTTTCTGTCTTTTCTCTCTGCCACCGGCCTGCACTATGGAGCCAACAGCTGGAGGAGCGGGGATAAGGGAGGGGGGCGTTGATAGAGCCCGAGAGGGATAACCATGTTTGGAATTGAAACCCAAGGAGCAGAGAGTGGTGGATAGAAAGCAGGCCTGCTACTTAACATAACAGAAAGAGGGAGAGGGGCAGGAAACTGGAGGGAGGAGAGGGACTATATGACAAATATCTTCAAGAGTGTCACTCAAATGAAAAAAAAAGTCCCCACAAAGCTACAAAAAACTTCTTCCTTCACTTAAAACTGTTGGAGTCCAGTTTACTCACAGGATAGGAGCTCAGCCGGTGCATATTTACAGACACTGAAATCAGGAGGATGACAGCACAGGTCAGATTTCAGGTATTAACACCCACCAGCACCACCACCACAGTTTCACATATCATCCTGAGAGCTCAGCCTGGAGGACTCACAGCTCAGAGAAGTCTAAATGTTTTCCCTCTACTTTGATTTTACTCAGAGCGCATACTCAACTCAACTCAACTCAACTTTATTTGTAGAGCACTTTAAAACAACCACAGCTGTACAAAGTGCTGTACATAACTAGACAAAACAACAAGATAAAAAACAATCAAGAAACAATTAAAACAATGGATAAAATAAAAGCAGAATTAAAAGTAAAATATAGCTTCAATGTTTTTAAAAACTAATTTAAAAACATAGAAACAAATAACTAAAAACAAACCATAGAACACTAAAACAGGAGCCGAGTCTCATGCAGGGTTAAAAGCCAATGAATAAAAATGGGTTTTAAGACGAGTTTTAAAAATGGACAGTGTGGGGGCTTGTCTAATTTGGAGGGGTAGCTCGTTCCATAAAATTGGGGCAGCAACAGAAAAAGATCTATCCCCTCTGAGCTTCCGTTTGGACCTCGGTACCTCCAGGAGCAGCTGATCAGCTGACCTGAGGCACCGAGCTGGGGTGTAGGGGTGGAGAAGCTCAGAGAGGTATGATGGAGCCAGACCATTTAAAGATTTAAAAACAAATAAAAGAATCTTAAAATGAACTCTAAAATGCACAGGTAACCAGTGGAGGGAGGCCAGGATGGGAGTAATGTGCTCCCTCTTACGTACTCCAGTTAAGAGCCGGGCGGCTGCCTTTTGAACTAACTGGAGACGTGAGAGGGAGGACTGGCTGACTCCAAAATAAAGTGCATTACAGTAATCCAGCCGAGATGTAACAAAGGCATGGATTACTGTTTCAAAGTGCGTACGTGAAAGAAAAGGCTTTGCCTTCGCCAGCTGCCTAATATGATAAAAACTGGATTTCACTACGAAGCTAATTTGCCTGTCGAATTTAACATACAAACATACTACATGTCTCTGTATATGAATATGTGTTTTTATATGTGCATAATATTTGTTTTTATCAGGCCTGCAACATGTGCAATTTTAGGCCATTTCTAGGAGTGCTGAAGCACTGTTTTAAACACCCCTAAAATACAATGTATTAACAATAAATATCATTTTAAATAATTTTGGTCCCCCTTAGGTTAGGATTTAGAGTTACCAATATTAGGCAGTAAACATAATCAGTTACAGTGGGTCACACTTTAAGGTTCCTGTCCACTATGCCATCAGGGAAGAGAGGTAGACAAAAACTGTGAATTTCATGAAGAGATTATTCATTTTAATTGAGCACTAGCAAGATAAAAAAATTAGTTAAGTAAAAAAGCTTAATGTCTGAACAGATCCCCAAGTTTTGTGGTGTTTATATATATATATATATATATATATATATAGTAACTTTGCCAAAGAGTTAAGTGATTGCTTTCAAGAGATGTGCATGCATTAACCTCTTGGTATACAGCATCACAAGTATGATAGCAAATACTCTGTACTTCTATGCTCAAGAAAATCAGAAAACCAAGAATTCAATAAAACTTGAGTCAAAAATAAAACCTAAACTGTACTAGAAATCACAATTAAAGCATAATCTTGAGTGTAGATTTTTACTAAAATGACAACTGACCGCTTTTACTCATGTACTTTATACAGTGTAGTGAGTTGGTTTTTCATTACCTTCATGAAAATGTGCATGGCTCTTGGGCGGCCAATAGCATTTCACCACACATGTACCATTATGACAGATTAAAGTTGAAAATTTTAATGCACAAAAGCACAGCTGTCCCACATTAAGCATGGTAGTGGGAACTGACATATCAGTCAACGAGAGATTAGTCATTGATGTTCACCTCCACAACATTTTTGAGCGTCTAGATTCAAAGCAACACATGGATCAGGGTGTCAAAAGCACAACAGTTGACAAGCTGTAGACTGCTAGCCAATCAAGTTTAAAAAAAAAAAAACCTCATAATTATCAAGTGACCATTTCAACTCAAGTGCAGAAAGTGTCAAACTATGCGTCCACTGCCAAGCACACCTCAGTAACAGTGACACATTACAGAGCAAGAATGCAGATATGCCAAGTATTGACTTTGCAGGGGCAAGAGTTATTTTTAAGCCTAAGTGCATACCAGGGACAGCAACTGTGGCAAGCAGCATTTACTGAGAGAAGGACCTTCAGAGCAACACAAATGCACACCAAAATAATGATACAGAAAAGTCTTATTGCATAGGACTTTTATTCAATTTCACACAGCATTTTAGATATTCACACATCTTGATTTTATGCAGACTTAAAAAACAATCAGAAAGACAGTTAACCCAGCGGAGACTCGGTGCATCACTGCCACATTTCCCTTACAGCCAAGGTATAAATAAGGAAAGGGGGGAGAATCAGGGTCATCTTTCACTGCAACACACTGCAAGAGAAAAACGAAAAATTGTTAGTTTTCAAACTTTTAAACCAGAAGTCACAATGGGACTAAACAGATCTAAACCCAAGTCTAAATGAAGAGAGGCATGTCAATGGATTAAGGCGGTTTTTGTGCTACCAAGTTCAAAAGTTTCTGGTTCATTGCGCTAAGAAATTTCTGCACAAACATTATGGTGATGCCAGATAACAAGGAGTGTGTAACAGCTGAAATATGAACTGATCCACAAGGCTTCCGGCACATTTCATGTTCAGTCATGTTAGGCCACACTTGCACAACACACGCTCCTCCCATTGCTGCCCTTCGTTGCATGGTGTCCCAGCCTGTTTGTGCACAACAATTAATGAAACTGGCAACAGCTTGGAGACAAAGCTGACGTAAAAGTGAAGCCAGAGGTGTCAACTGCAGCTCACTTTAAGGGTTTGAAATTACAGGATGGGAATTTAGAGGGTTCACAGTCGGGGCAGGAGCTCATTTACACGCTGAGTGACTTTAGTCAAGCTGGTCATAGGTCGTCACGATGCATTAGGGACAATCACCACATGAACATTCTGAATCATTTTCTTCTGACCAGAGCATGCAAGTAAAATCTCATAATGTCACCGAGTTACAGCACCACCATCAGCCAGGAATCAGTTGTCACTTTAGGGTTTCTTATAAAAAGTTTGTGATGTTCTGCTCTGACAAACCGGTTTTAACTCATAATTAAATTACAGCTGACAGAAACAACCTGACACATGGTTGAAACACTCAGATAATGCTAAAAAGAGAATCACAACTTGTTCTGAGTGTGCTTGCATGAGGCTCTGATTTGGTACTTACCACACACGGACAAATGGAGTGGTTAAATCTTGAATCCCAGCGCCCTCATGCAGTCTTTGTGTGCCTCAATCAGCTCTGTGCAGTGATCTTCTCCCTTCTCAATGATGCTACAAAAACACAAAGATCTGCATGAATATTTTTACAGGTAAAACATTGGTGCAACTTTTTCTTCAGGGACAGTGGCTTACCAAGCATCTCTGACTTTCTTTGTCTCCGGGCAAGCGCAGCATGGCTTCAGTGGCTTTTTCTGCTCTGCAATCTCAGCGGTAGGCTCCACGCTGGCAGCAGACAGGGTTGACATCTTCAGGCTGAACTAGAGAAAGAAAAGTTCAGACTTCACTTTAGGGGCTTCTTCAATTTAAAGCTGTCCCCAGTCATCCTTTATGAGCCCATTTAAATGGAGAGATTTGAAATGGGAGATTCAGAACCACTTTTTCCCCTAATAGATCACAGTGGACAAATCATAGAAGTAGATGTGTTAATGATAACTTTCCTGGAAGTTTCAGGGTCCTGATAGTTTTGATATCAAATTTTAATATTGGTGTAAATGGTGCAAAGGTAACACTGTGAGAAAGACTGCTTGAATAGAAAAAGGAAAAGAAATAGTGAGGCCTTTCTTAAGCAGGTGGGCTGGTTCTGCAGGCAGAGGCCACTAATGGCAAATCACAATCACCTGGTTGAGTTTCAGTGGAGCAAATCCAAAGCCAACAATGCTGTATTGTTTGAGCAGACCAAATAAAATCTCCTTTTGCTTAATGTAGCGCTGTTGGTGTATTTTGATTTCTAGCTTAAGCCTTCTTTGCGTACTCAACTTTGTTAAAAAGCTATAATCACTCTCTGCAAAAATTATTTCTACAATAAAAAAAACAAAACAAAACAAAAAAACAGTTTGACACGGACAGAATTACACCGAACCCACTTTAGGTTAAAGTTAATAGGAGAGGGCCTATAGCAAATAGAGAATGCATTTATACAAACAATACTGTTTTCGACAAAAGACATGGCGTTCACTGATTGTGACCAATTACACGGCTGCTAGTGAGCCTGTACTGATGTAACATTGACTAAGATATCATCATTAGGACTGGTCTGATGTAACAACAGCTAGGTTGAGAGGATAAACTGGTCTGCGCACCTGTAACACGCCGTCGTTGTCATAATTGATATTGCAAAACGTTTTAAACCCAAGTGGCTAAAACCCTCATGGGTACCACTACGTGTCTCACTTTGTTTTGGTTTAGCTTCTAGCTTTAGCTATCAGTGTGGAGAAATTGCGTAACGATACCGTCAGCTAACAGCTAACTAGCAGTGGCTAACATGTCATTACATTTGGCAGATAAAAGTGTAAACAAAGACACCCAACAACCGTGTCAAAGCAGACAAATTACAGGATTACTTTAACACTAAACACAGTTAAACACTTTCTAAAACTGTCAGGGTAGACAGCAGCTAAGTTATGTAACTTACTTGTATAGAGGCCGGTGGAAGAAGCTAGCGGACGCTTCACCTTCAAAATGAAACCAACACGTTCTGAACAGACCCACATGTTCGGGTTTTATACAAAATCACGTGATTGGCAGACGCAGCAAGGAATTCTGGGAAATGTAGTGTGGTAAACAAAGGCGGGAAGAGAAAGAAACTGGCTGGAGATACATTTACCAAAGAGAGAAGAAAATATATGACCGGAAAGGTAAATTTTGTTAAATTATATGATCGTAACTTTTCTGAGGAATGATTTTTTGGAGTATAAATGCTCAACAATCGATTTGAATGTTTAAAAATTTCTGTATCAACCAACTTTAACACTTGAGCTAGGCCTGAGACCAACAATATTATGTGGTGTGACTGCCATTTTTTTTTGTAAAGAAATTTTCTTAACTCAGGATGTTACATCCATTTATACTTTTTGTTTACTCAAAACTTTAAATAACAGATAAGTCTAAGCTGTCTATAGGAGATTTCAACTCAAAGTAAAATAATTATGGTGGCCATGTATGTCCACAATTGAATGAGCACAAAAATATTGAACTTAATACAAAAACATTTTATAGATGAAATGCAAAAAACCAACCAACAAACAAATAAATAAAACTAAAGGGAAAATATTTCATCAAACCTATTTGTTATATCGAGCAAAAACGATTATGTAGGAATACTTGTGTGAATATATATATATGTAAAAATATTTAAATGAACAGGAAAACATTGTCTAAAGTGCAAAATTATTTCATAAGACTAAAAACATGTCAACAAACTTACCAAAATTCCCAGATGAACAAAAAAATTTGAGTTAGTATAAATTAGTCATGTTTCATGAAATGTTTTCTGTGTTTTTTGATATGGTCTTGAATTTGCATAATGTTTTTTGTGTTTCAATTTGTACGTCGTGAAATGTTTTGGCATTGTGTAAAATGGTTTTTGTTTCATTAAATATTTATATGTTTTCTAATTAAATTTGCACTTAAAAGTGAGAGTTATTTTATCAGGATAAAGAGATATAATGAAATGAAATTAAACAAGGTTTGATGTGTATCCGAGGTAAACATGTACCTTACCCACTTTCCTTGTCAGTATAAGAATAGGCTCTGACTTCAACCCATCCACACATGAATACAGCCGTAAATCATAAATTTCCCCTGAGCTATAAAAAATTAATTCACTGAAGATTCATCATTCTACTGCTGAGCAATGATAAAGTTTCTGCTAAAACCATTAGTCACATATTATGATGTAAAAATTCAGATAAACCTTTTTTTAACTGCTAGATAACCTTAGACTTAGGCTATCACCCTCCTCCCCAGGCTGAATTTTATTTTACAGTTATGTTAAAGCTTTAATACTGTGGAAATAGAAAAACACCTACGAAAAACACCTGCTTAGAGAGAATAGATACCTTAACTTTTAGAGGTAGTGGTAGAGGGTAATTATATTCGTCAAAAACTGTCTTTAAATGACATTTCAGTTGACTGCTAAAAAATGCCTGAGATGATAATCTGTTACCTCACAGAGTTGTTATTGTTTTTCTTCAATATTAGCTGCTTTTGCAGATGAAATTCTCTGTACTGTAAAATATAGCAGGTGGTGGGTAGAATACACACAACAGTGGCTTCAGAGATTTCTTCAATATGAAAACACTTCATTTTCTGTCCTGCAATACTCTAGGTATGTGTTTGTTTTCACATGTCTGCTGGGTGCACAGTGCGTCAGCACAGCAAAGCAATGCGTAAGCAGAAGCACTGACTCACTTATTCTAGTTTGGGGGGCAGCTGTGTGCTAGATAAATGAGCAAGTAAGCATATCATTTGTTTGCTCTGTACTGTGTGAAACATACTGTATGCACCTCTGTATGAAAACACTTTCCTGCAGCTTTGCACGGAAGCAGAAGCCATGATCTGTGGCAAATGGAAACATAATGCAAAATAACAGAGTTGCATATTGAGAGTTGCATGCCTTAGATTTACTCTCAGTTTTAATCTGCTTTTGTTTGAGGTGTTCCCTGCAGAATCCCACCCCCTCATGATGAAGGACGGGAGGAGAGGTGCAGGGCTACAACCACATCTTCTGTTACCTTCTCCACTTTCAGGAGGGCAGAAATGTAAGTACATCTCATCTGTCTTTCTTCTTTTTCACTATGGAGAGCATTTCTATTTTCTCATGCGCTGTATTTGCCTTGCCTTGTGTTAGGAGTGGAAACTTGTCACACACAAACACACAAAACAATCAAAGGCACTGCTAAAAAAGAACAGCAGATTTGTTCTGCATCACACTGTAGCATCATCTCACAATGTATATTAATGAGAGCCCCCCTTCCACAACACTGCAGACACATCTGTTATTTTGCCTAATAGCAAATGTCGGTCTGGATAATGATGGTAATGATGCCATGATCCCCTCAGAGAGGTCGGGTGCTGAGTCTGCAAAAGTAACTAAGAAACACTTCACCAGGCAGCCTGTCAGATCAAGTCAAGTCAGATCACAGTTTGCCTCAGAGGGCTTAACAGTCTGTAAAATAAACCATCTGTCCTCAGTCCTCTTAATTTGGATAGGAAACAAATCCCCACAAAAAAAACTTTTTACTGAAAAAATTATCCAAGAGACCTCAGACAGCCTCTGTTGAAGAACTGAAGTTGCCCCTGTTTTTCTGACAAACACTTTAACTGATCCATAGTTTAGTTTTCTGAGCGTGCAAACATACAAGTTATGAGAGATAAGAAACAGGCTCTACATGACAGAGTCTTTAACCATTTTATCTACTGTAAACAGTAAACACCAATTCACTTCACTACATGACCGTAATCTCTCCTGAATCTTAACAGAATACTTTTAAGTTGACCAGGATTTCTCATAGGTTGCATATGAGTAAACATACTTATTTGAATTGCTTTGGTAGACGTGTTCTAAGTCATGCATTGATTTCTGAAGAGGCATTACAGCAACATTTGTTAATGGTTTGTTTAAAGGAGAAGTAGGTGTGGCGTCAAGTCAAGTTCATCCCCAAGTCCTTGTTGCAAACGTTTATCTTATATTAAAGCAGCAGAGTTTTTAAATGGGAATATTAAGTGATATCAGAATAGAGAGAAAAATGTAGTGAGTAAATGAGTTAATTAAAGTCATTCATGAATATTCATTAATAAATTGGAGAAAAAGAACATAAACTCCAAGGACTAATCCTATAACAGAAATAGCAGATAAATGATGTAAAACAAATAATGAAATGAAATCATTGACCCGGCCAATGAGCAGGTTTTCAAATAACCAACATCTGTCATTTCAAACACTTATTTTACTGTATTTTTTCATGAGAGAGTGGATGTAAAGTTTCCACATGAAATTTTTACAATAAATTGTACATTTGACAACAAAAAGACTGGATGAGATTTATGGTTTGAAGATGATCTTCAAATATGTAAAGGACAAGATCAGCAAAGACTGCTTTGTCCACAGGGGGCACTGAAATGGACACAAACAGAAAGTCCCTTACAGGAGCTTTAAATTCAGGATATACCTTTATATTCATGTATCTTATTAGCTGTTTTTTTCTCTTCTGTGGAGCTCGAGTTATTTTTATCATGTTTTTGTTTGCGTTTATGTTTTTTTAATTCTTGTTTTGGGTAGTTACATGTTTCGTAATTGGGCATCAAAAGGATTTCATCAGCTTGCTGTAATAGAAATTTACATACAAGTACAAATAAGCTTCATACCCTAGCTTAATGCTGCTATTATCTGCACACTGCATCTTTAAATGGTAAACAACTGAAGTTGCAAAGAGAAATTACACAATAGAGGTGAAATCGAAGTTTTCCCTCAGCCTCTTTATTCTGTATAACCTTACTCCCAGGAGTCTGAAGTCTATTTCAGAAAGGAAATCAGGCGAGAGTTTGCACCCGAACAGGATTCGCACAAACAGAAAATCATGTCTTTGCCAGCAGCAATTCATTGGACCTGAAACTCTGAACTAAAAGACCTCTTTCTGCTGGTCAAACTGAGCTATAAATAGTTTGTTTTTCACTCCTTTATTTTCTTCTAACACTCAACCGAGGAAAAAACACATTAATCTCATAAAAAGTCCCCCTCTTTATTAGGCACATCTCTTGCACTAAGCTGATAGTAATTCACCTTGCTCTCTGACACGACCTCTCGGTTAAACCCCGACTGCTGCTACTGTAAGAGCCTCTCTATATTTAATTCTCAAACTCTGCTGCGACCTCCTGACCCTCCAAACGATGCAGAAACTTAACAGCTTCATTTGAGAGAATCTCTCTTCTTCTTCTCCTTGGAAGTCCTAGCGATGAAATATTTCAGCTCCTGTGTTGTTTGGTTTTTGATGTTAAAATAGCAAACAAACACACAGGAGCTGGCTCTGAGCTGGGAGCATACGTACAGCATCAGGTAACACGGCTCAGGGTTTAATTACATCCCTGATAGAAGCAGCCCCGCACTGAACTCGTCCCCACACATGCTGCCAGATGTCTGGTTCACATGACAGTTATTGTGATCCCCCTCACACACATGCACACACACGCACACACACGCCATTGTCTTCAGTATTAATGTGAGCTGGACCTTACCCCCTTTGACATGGCTTGATTCATGTGAGGATGAGACACAGATACTGAATAGTTGATGAGCTCCGAGAAAAAGAAAAGAAGTGAAGGGTTGGGGTGGGGGCAGAAATAGAGAGAGGCAGCCGGAGAGGGAGGGAGAGGAGAGGGAGGGAGGGAGGGAGGAGAAAGGCGGGTATCCACTCGCCTCACTCCACACAGCCTCAATAAGCCCGGAGGTTGGGAGCCTTGATGGAAAATTACCTTGTGACCATGAGGGGAGGTCAGGACGGGTAGAGTTAGACTTCACTTGTCCTGAGAAGAAGATAAAGCAGCAGCAGCAGCAGCAGAGGGAGGATGGCCTACGCTTTCGGCTGATCAGAGGGGGGACGAGGTCGGGCCATGGAGAAACTGAAAGGTCCCGCCGTGGGATGCAGCAAAGCCACCTGTGGATGGAGAGCCCTGCTTCTCCCGCAGGTGAACCGCCAGTCGCTGTACGTGTACGGCAGCGAGATGGCCGTGGAGAAGGAGTGCGTCAGACAGCTCCAGAGCGGAGTCTTGGTCATCCACCCGTTCAGCCTCATGAGGTATTTTCATGTATTTGATAGATGGGGGGCCAGTCCTGAGACTTTTTCTCCTCTGTGAGTCTGAAAGAGTCTTTAAAAGTTCAGAAAGTTTCTGTGTGTGATGATTCTCTGCCTGGGAGGAAAGATGTTTACCTTTAATATCATCATTTTATTGCTCAAAACAGCAGAAAAATATATGGACTGCTTTTTTAGATGTTGAAGTAAATATTCAAAAAATGCGCAACTATTTATTTGTCCAGTTCTCAGTTTTCAAGAATATCTGTCTGATTTAAACTTTTTTGCACTTGAGTGAATATTTTAGTTTTACAGTGTTTGTTAGGATATTAGGCAACTTTCTGAAACCTCTTGTATGTTTTGAAGATTGTGTTTGGCATTTCTAAGGGTAATTTCTAATACATTGTTGTTTAATTAGCTAATCTAGATCATAATCTCCTCATAAGTGTAGCTTTGTTTATTTTTCTTGCAAGAATAAACAGCATTTTGGCCCAAGCGTAAGGGGGTTTTAATGCCAAAATTAGGCCAAAAATAGCCTCATTTCCATCTTCAGTCCCCGGCCAAGGTGTCATAAGGCAACCTAAAATACTTCAAAGGAAAAAGCACATAAACAGGGCATGTAATTTAAAGATACAGGACACTCTGTTGGAGAAAAATGAATCAAAGTTGATGCAAAAACAACATAATTAGATGCAAATTAAAATAACAATTTGCAGAAAAGCAAGACATTGAGAAAAGAAATCAATTAGGAGACAAACAATTAGTTGCAGCATTGCATATTTCATTCCTTGTGTAGTTTTTAGCATGAGTCAGCAGTGAAATAATTGAGCATGGTTTGCATTTTTTGTTGCAATTAAGACCAGACGAGCTCGTATTTCAAATGAGCAATATTAAATGAAAGGAAAATTCTTGCAAAAAAAGATAAATTAAATGTAGATAACCAATAAAAGATTCACTCATGATTTTAAATCCTGAAATCCTTCCAGTTTTGAGGATTTTTTAAAGATTGTCCTGCAGGATCATCACACAGCAACGTGGCTTGTTTCAGGAGATGGGCGGTTTTTCCTCGCCTGTGCAGCATTGTTATTAATAGCTTGTAAGGTGATAACATGGAGTGAAAACAGAGAGGGAATGAAACAATGAGGATCAGAGAGCGGGGAGTTACGTGAGCCTGGCAATCAAACCCTGTGCTGACAACATGCAGTTACAGCATCGGAGTATTTAATGTGCATAAATCAGACACTCTAATGGGTCCTCCTGGCAAATAATCTAAGACTCCGCACCACCACCACCCTACATGGAAAACGAGATCTGAGGCAAGTCCCACATGCTCACATATGTGTGTTTTTCCCCTCCTGCAGGAGTTACTACATCATGTGCATGATGGCCATCACATTTCTGAACCTGATCGGGATTCCCATGGAGATAGCGTTTCTGGACGGACACAGCGGTCTGGCGTGGGAAGGGTTCAACGTGTTTTCAGACACGCTGTTCCTGATAGATGTGGCTCTGAATTTCCGCATGGGCATCATAACAGAGGACGCTGAGGTGAGGGTGGCTGTGCTCTATTTTCAGACACAGACACAATCTGATGGACTATAATCCCTGCATAGACAAGCACACACACAATCCATCCCTGCCCAATCTGTAATCTACCAAATACACGAAAGGCCAGATTAACAGACTCCTTTCCTGCAGCGCCCGGACATGGACATATTGGCACCTGATGTTTGATTTTATAACAGGGATTATGATGTATTGGATAAATGAGGAGTATAACATCGGATTAAGTTTTACGCAGAATATACCCTCTTTGTTTTCATCTGCTCATGCTTTGTTACTTCTATCTTGCCAATCACATGACGCCCATCTGCGTTGTTCTCTCTGTTTACTCCGGCCCGCACAGGCATCTGCTTTTCCAGATTTATTTCCAGTTGGTTCTCTGCTGCTCTGTTTGAAAGATTCATGTATATGCTTTGGCAACACTGTCGTACTAATACGGATCTGCTCTGAACATGCTGCTAATCTCATCTAACAACACTGTCTCCTTTAATTTCTGGGCAAACTCCTAAACTATTGGTTCAGTTCAAGTGTTCAATTATACATGCGGTCGTGGCACGTGCTGCACTGCATCCTCATCCATCTGCTCATTCTGCTGCTCCGTCCTCTTTCACAGGAAGCTATTCTGGACATCAAGCGGATCCGAGTCTGCTACCTGAGGACATGGTTCATACCGGACGTTATTGCTGCTTTCCCGATCGGATACATTCTGCTGTTTGCGGTAATAATTAGGAGAGAGTGTTGAAGCAGCAAAGAGCCACCAGTGTGCTGCAGACTATGTCAAAACAAATTATGCACTTAGTTTGTTTTGGGTTTATTATTAGAAACTTCTCTCAGAGCTGCAAGAACTTGTTTTAGAGAGAAATACTTGAGGAAAAAAAGAGGCACTCTGAGATACTTCGAGAAAGTTGATGATTGAGTTTTCGTCTCTAATGTTCCAGGACTTGCAATACAACAATGATGACAACCCCTCAAAGACCAACAAGATGATGAGAATCCTGATGTTTGTGAGGATCCTTAGCCTGATCCGGCTCGCTCGGGTGTCCAGGCTGGTCAGGTTTTTCAACGAAGTGGAGAAAGTGAGTTTAAATGCCCTGGATGTTGATGGAACTTTTCCCTCGGATTCAAACTTTATCTTTTATAATACACCTATAGTTGTCTATGTAATTGAAAAAGTGTCACTCACTACATGAAGACAACATCGTCCCTGTTTAAAATCCATTGTAACATTGGTTTTTGACAGCAATGTGCCAATATGTCTTCAAAAGATGCACTCTGCTGTTACAGGCTGACAATGTGAAGCCATAGATAGATAGATAGATAGATAGATAGATAGATAGATAGATAGATAGATAGATAGATAGATAGATAGATAGATAGATAGATAGATAGATAGATAGATAGATAGATAGATAGATAGATAGATAGATTGATTGATTGATTGATTGATTGATTGATTGACTTTATTGATCCCAAACTGGGAAATTCTCATGTTACAGCAGCAAAAAAACACAAAATACAATTAAATATAAGAAGAACAAGTATGTACAGTGCAGACTAAAAATACTACATATATACAATAAATACAGACTAAATATACTAAACATAAAACGTGGGCTTTTGAAATGAGTAATAAAAGTAACAAAGTATCAAATCTGTAATTCTTACTTTATTCAACTTTTCATTTTGTCTGTTTGACAAAAGAATCAGCTACAACAAAATCAACTCACCAATGACTATGTGAGTCAAGATAAAAATCAACAACAGAGTAATAAAAGATTCACACTTGAATTGAGTTTAACCCCAGAAAAGACCAGGACATTCATGTCTTTCAGAAAGGTTTTGTTTGTATCCGTCTGAATTCAGTGTAAAACTACCAGCTTTATCTCCATACAGTGACCTTGAACAGAAAATGCTGATTGTTCTGACAAGGATTATCATAAGGGCACCTTCTAGGTAGATGATCCACACATTACTGAACTTGTACCTGTAATGGGAATCGCAGGGTCACTGAGCACCTGAGGGGACTGATTACACAGGAATTATACTTTAGCTGCCTCTGCTTTGCTTCCCCGCAGGAGGTTATTAGAGAAACAGGAATTACTGTAACTGTAGTCGGCAGAGTCACAAAAGATATGACATTTTAACATCCCCCTCATGCTGATAAATTAATGGATTTCTCAAGGTAATTTCAGGTTTAAAATGTGCGTTATTAAGTCAAATGCTTTCCTGTCATCTCCTCCCGGCAGGTTTCAAATGCAAACCTGGAGGTGGTCCGACTCTTCTTCAGAGTTTTGTCTCTGTTCATGATGATTTTCCTGCTGTGTCACTGGAACGGATGCATCCAGTACTTTGTCCCCATGCTGGAGGAGTTTCCCTCAGACTGCTGGGTTCGCAAAGAAAACCTGATGGTAGGAACAACATCTGAAGTCAACTGAATAAAATGGAGCAGGATGAGGTGTTGTTGAGAATTCGTCATTAGTTTTATCAATGTGTACAGATAAAGGTAAGTCATGTATTTTATTTTTAGCTTCTACTTCAGGCATAAAGGTCCGCTGTTTTCCTAATACATTGATATTTTAGTCATCCTCCAGCCTAGCAATCCTATGAAATTAGAAACTGGAATAGCCTCTGAATTGTCTCTGTATCCCATCTACTCATAGCTTCTACAAGATGATTGGAATTTGATCATGCGATGATGTAACAACAAGAGCGATTTGCATGAGCGTGCATGAAACACTGATCCCACTCCCACTCCTTAAGCAATTCCTCCTCCTCCTTCTGCAACACAGTGGTTTTATTTTGGCATCACAGAGTTAAGATGTCAAAGGTTAGAGTCAGACATGCTAGCTGCTTGTGAGTTAGTTGCAAAAAACCAGCAGAAATGTCGATATTTTGTCCCAGAATTAGAGAGCCAAATGAAACAGTGGTCGCTAAGTTGTTTATTCAGTTATTTCATTTTATTCTTAAAGGAGCCGCCCAGTTCAACGTTGATTTTACATCAATTTGCTGGTGCTTATTACTCCATCTTGGACTGCTTCAACAATGAGGCTGACTGAATCCAATTTTACTACACAACTCAGAGACATGCTGTTGTAACTGTGTCTGCAACACCTTAACAATTTACTCCACCTATCCTGGGACAGATTCTGGATCATATCTGTACAATTTTGGTTCAGGTTCTTCTGGAAACCTCGACATGTTGGTTTTAGGAGTTTTCTGTCTCTGCATCTGTCTGCACCAGTGTACAACCTCCCTCATCCTGCCAAATTCAGGCAGCCAATAAGCTGCGTGTCTCATTATTATTGCATCCCTGCTCATCAGGTCACGCCACGGATGATGATGATAGAAACTGAGAGGCTGGAGATCCTCCAAAGAGGCTAAAAATACCATTATATTGGGCCTTTGAAAAGATTTCTAGGCATGAAACTTTATTGTAATGTTATTTGTTGTGAAGTTTGAAATCTACAATTAAGTATCACTCAACAAAATAATCTCTTTCAGAACGCCACAGTGATTGTGAAGTACTCTTGGGGAGTCTTTCGAGCCCTCTCTCAGATGATCGCTCTATCTTATGGCTCCATGGACGCACCAACGAGTAAGAACTATAGATTTTCTTCATCCTTGGCTGTAACTAAAGGGCTAATATTACATCTCAGTTAAAAATACCTACACTTAAGGGACCACTTAGTCCGTTTGTTGTGTTTTCAGACTATGTTGAGATGTGGATCGTCATGGTCAGCATGGTGTCAGGCTGTTTGATGTACACCGTCCTTGTGGCCAACGCAACGACGATGATCGCTAACATCGACCCGGCCGCTAAGGAGTACAAGAGCAAGGTCCTTTTTTAGAACAGGCAGCTCGATAGGAAACAATGTGCCTGTACTCAGCAGCTTTGTGCTGTAATAATAGTCCTGACATGTATTGTGTTGTTTTTTCTTTTCTTTTTTTTTTTTCTTTTCTTTTCTTTTCTCCTTTTTTTTAAATTGTAATTTTACTGCCTTTTTCACATCATGGCCAGGGGACTACAGATGAAAACTAGCCTCATGGCTAATTCTGGCTTTTTTTAACCATGTGTAATCATGTGTTTTATGAAATTGCGCTGTCCCCTTTTAAGATAAACTAATCTAATCTAATCTAAATGTCACATAATATTGCTTTAAAATTATTCAATGTTTTATTCGTATTTTTCAATTATTTGACAAAATAGTAATTAATCATATCCCATTGAGTTTCCAGGAAACTCAAACACTGTTGCAGCTTGAAGGCAAACATTAACAGTTAGATAGAGACAGGAAAGGTGGGGAAAGAAAGGAGAACAGCACCCACCAAATCCTGTATTGATACAACCAGTGCTGAGGGGTGTAGCCTGTGTGCATGAGGCGCTTGCTCTACCAACTAAGCTAAAGAAGTAACTCACAGTAATAGATCCGAAATGATACGTTTTCATCTTGTTTAGAAAACAAACCTAAAGTATGGTTCTACACAGACTCAGAGAAACTGTGAATAAATGTCTTTTAGTGTCTCAAAACTCCTAGAATCAGTATTTTTAGATTTGCCCCAAGCATCGCTTTGGGCTCAAATAGAGAGTGTTTTCAAACCAACCAGCCCTCCACACGGTTCATTTACTTAGTAGTTTTGTAAAGTTTTATTTTAATGCATGATTAAAACTTAATGAAGGACAAACGTGTTCAAAACTAGATAGACTGCTCTGCATAACTTTAAGTCCATCTTCAATCGATTTTCGTAAAAGTTTGCAGAGATCGATTGCTGACAGTTATAACTTCTCCAAATATAGCCTGAATACTCTGTGACTCTCTGTAGATGAGTCGTCTGGAGCACTATATGGCTTTCATGAAGCTTCCACCTGAACTGTGCCTACGTATCAACAACTACTACCAGGCTCGCTACGGTGGGAAGTGGTTTAATGAGAAGGACGTCATGGGCACTGTGTCCTCGGCACTCAAAGAGGTACAGCTTTGTTTTTAAAGATGATCCTTTTCAGTGTCCGTGATGCTCAAGTTCTCCTTTTTTCTGTATATTGTGGGTCAAATAAATTGAAACATTTGTATGTCTTTAACAGCAAATCGTGGTGGTGATGTGCAGCCGGCTGTTGCGAAAGGTGCCGATGTTTCAGGACAGAGATGAAAACTTCATCAACTCCGTCCTTTTAAAACTGGAGTACGAGGTTTTCCTGGAGGGAGACGTCATCGTACGACAGCACGCCCTGGGTGACCGTATGTTCTTCATCGACCACGGACAGGTCCTCCTGGAGACCGATTCCTACGAGAAGGAGCTGTGTGATGGGGACTATTTTGGAGGTGGGTTTTTCTGTTTTTCTGTAGAACTGAAAGCAAAACTACACAAAGATACTTGAGTATTAAACAATGGAAACACACAATGGTAAGCGCCAAATGAAGACCAGTAATCAACAGAAAATGCTGTGGTACATTCATCTTTTTGTACGATTGCACACCTAAACATTAAGATTTTATGTTAACATGTTTTCTTTTTCAACTGTGCTTACAGTTTACCTTCTGTTTCACATGATCAACTACTTACAATGTTGTTATAGTTACCATAATATACTTTTTGAGTCCAAATGAAGCTGGTTATGTCAGAAAGATGTGCTCAAAGCTGTGGCAGGGCTTCCTCTCTGAGGCATTAAACGCTGCTGTCTCTTTTTATAAAATCCTGCCAATCTAGATTTAGAAGTCTGTCTTTTTCTGTCCCTAAAAATCTGTTTACAACAGGATAATCCAAAGACCGAGCTGAAACATATTTTTATTTTTCATGGAAGTGCTTTGGAATCGAGAGAGTCCAGCTCGCTCCGTGGATTACACTCACAGGAATCACAGTTTTCTGTGGAAAGACGCTGCTGTTGTTTTGTGTTGTATGCCATGTGGACAGAAGAACAATGAGAAGTTACAGTTTTGATCTATCTCTATGAAATTGCAGAAGCTGATCCATTCTGATCCAAGTTTTATATTTTTGGCAGGCTGGTTGATTTTGAAGTTTCAAAACGCTTTCTCATCGCTTGCATTCGTCCCAAACAGACTGGGCACATCAGCAAGCCTCTGTGTCTTTGAATTTGTGAGCAAGAGAGACTTTTTTCAAGTGAACGGAGTTCTCTGCTCTGTTTCAGGGATTTATTTAATTCTCTGACTTTAAGTAAGAACGGGTCTTAATCTTTTTGGCAGCGTTCAGAGTTAAGCGGGCTTCCCGTAACAGCTCAGCTGAGTCTGGTGAATTAATTTAGGATTAATTGTCAGATCTCATCCCCGCCGCTCATTAACCACGCCTTCTTGCTTTCCCTCTGTGTGCACAACAGAGACATGCGTGCTGACCAAAGGCAAACATCTGGCCACAGTCAAGGCTCTGACGGACTGCCAGTGCTTCTCTCTATCCTGGCAGGACTTACAGGAGACGCTGGAGACCTTCCCAAGTGTCAGGAAGGACTTGGAAAAGATGGTTCAGACCAATCCTGATGGTGGGCTCGTGTGAGTCCAAAAACCGTAACCGGACTATTTTTATATAGATTTTATGAAAAGAACAGCAGGAGATGTTCTGTTCAATTATGTGATGGACGCAGGACTGTGACTGGTTCCTCATATGGACAAAAAGTGGACACTCCCCTGTGGACGAGGGGGATAGTTATAGAGAAAATTACTATACATATTTTCTGGGCATTATACCGTACTCTTATCCATCAGTTATCAGCAATAAATCCAGACCTCGGCAGTGAAAACATCTGAACTCTGCTTCTTTTTTGGGTTTTGCTTTCAAAGGTCCAAACTTGCACATCCTAACAGTATGAGAAACTTTCATCAACCTTTACTGACACTTTGAGCAAATGTCTAGAGTAAAAAAAGAGGATTTATTAAGTTCTTTTACCCATCATGAAACAACAATATCAAGAGAACAGAACAACAGAAGATACTAATCAAGACACACAGATCGAGTAATAAGAAAGAAATGCTAAAACAGAAGAAAACTTTAACCTCTTTCACACTTGCACTCTAGGGGCTTTTAGTCTTTTATTTGTCCTCACGTCTCCCACAGTATGAATTTTACCCTCTTACATTAAGGATAAAAACTGGCAGAGGGGAGAAGGGGCGAGTCTCAGGCTTTGTTTGGATGAGAATAGTCCCGTTAAACTTCAGGAGGCCAAAAATCACTGCTCTTAAGTGTGACTTATGCAAACTACTAACAATTTTTTTTACTACTAAGCTATCAGACCAATCTTGATTTTAGAAAATTCAACCAAAACCAAAGATATGAGTGCAGAAAGCATCTATAAATGGTGAGAGTCATGGATTACTCTTCATCAAAAGAGTTGTTCCAAATGTGTTTCCTGTTAACTCGAGTGTTACTTATCAAGATACTGATTAGTGCTGATAAAACGGGGTTACTTCACATCACACTCGTGTGTTTCAGCAGCTTAAATGAGCTCTACATCACACTATATTGTCTGAAGCTGCACACTAACCCATCCAGGACCACACTGAATAAATGAGTGTTTACAAATCTCATCGTTAGAGAGGAACAGAGGCTGGCTAAGACTGTTTTGGCTCATTCTCTTAAACTGAAGTGAACACTTGGCCCTGTGGGACTGTCCGACTTCCTCTCTTTCCTCAAAATAAACCTCGCAGATGTCACAAACTCTTTGTAAAGGAAAACAGCAATGCAAGGTTACCCAAGGTTAGTACATAGAGCCTGTGAGCTGTCTCTGTCTGCAGATCTGTTTGTGATGCTTTCAGAAGATTTGCAGACATGAAAATAATTGGGTTCGTGGTTTTTAGTTCAGACTTCAGTATAATATTGTACGTGGATTTTGTCTGACACAGCACGAAGCACGAAGCATAATGTGTTTACTGTGCCTGCAGGAGAGAAAACAAACAAAACACGTTAACCATCCCTTACAGTGTGGTGTTAGAGCCGTTTGTGAACATAAAACAGTATGATTGTGGATCTGTCCCTGTTTATAGGACGCAATGGCAGGAAGCTGTCAACTACATATGAGTATATATACTGATATTGTCTACAAATACGCATACGATAATACCATGTGACTAGTTGGTTCAGAGTAGGGGGCAGTAGTGTTTATGGTGGTTTTCACCCAGCAGAAACCAGAGGGAGGACAAGAGAAAGCAGCAGAAGAAAATGTAACAAGCTAGTAAGCTAACCTTTAGTGCAGTGTGGGTGCAACTGAAGCGCTAATCATCCCACTGAGCACTAGAAGGCTATTAGTCTTCTGGTTTTTTTAGCCCTAATTTCAACCGTCTAGATTCTGTATATTATCGGACGGAATTTAGACGTTACACTTTAACCCATTATTCAAGAACTACTTATTTCACAAAGCAACTGTGAGTTGCATAACTGATCTCCAAGTACTTTACCAAAGTAATTATGATAGCCGTTGAGCAATATACAGTGTAGTATAGTATGGCAGGCTAGTCTAAACTTGGTCTAAATTTAGACGTCTAAAAAACTTTCATTTTTAGACCTGTGGTAGCCTGATTTTAGACTAGTTGTCAAGGCTACATTTAGATTTCTATTAGGTGAAAACATGGAAATCCATATACCACCAAAAATGTTTCCTCTACAGTTCTGAAGTTTTCTGAAGATTTGATAAGGAGGGATGTTTGTGTGCAGCGTGTAACACAGACCAACAAGCACAAAAAAGATTGTGTGTTTTCATTTAATTAGAAGTGTCTGTCACATTACATGAATAAAATATGACTTTGAACATAATCAGAAATAGATAATGACATGCAACCAATTCACTCGTGCTGATTAGTAAAGTTTATTCAGAACTGTGTCACTCAAATCTTGTCTTTCCTGTCCTTAATTTGACCAAGTGTGTCATCTGATAACAGAGTGACCCATTTTACATCTGTTCTGATGGAGGAGGAGAACTCTAGGAGCTATACTGCAGCCAGACACCAGGGAGAGTTCTTAAAGTTTTGGCTTCACTGGGGATTGCTGCTGCTCTGTCCATACTTTAAACAACACTCCATGGTCGGCAGAGCTAATTCACTTCGTAATTTCATCATCTTTTTTCCTTTTCACTTACACATTTGTGGAAAAGCAGGGAAATAACACAGACTGTCAGGTAGACGGCACCTATACCAATGGAAACTTTCAATTCAAAGCCGCATTACAACAGCATTCATGCAGACCACGAATACTTTGGATAATTGTATTACGATCCATAATGATTGTCTCTAACTGCAGAGTGCAGTTGAATCAAAAATTCTGTGCACCTCACTGAAAGCACTCAGCTTTTATACAACTGGTTGCTTTTATGCAAATCAGGCCAGTTCATGCAACCGCGTCTGTGTAAGAAGTATTACATAAACAAATCACTCATTCAGCACCAATTTCAAGCCAAAATTACTTCAGCATTAAGGCTAATCCACTGAGACTGGCTCCCTCACACCATAAAGCCTCTGATGAGTGAACTCTGGACTGAGGGAAACTCTCCGTATTTTGCAAATTTAATCTTTTGGGCAAAGTTTAATTTGGGGGCAAAACAAAGGCCATGCACTGAAATATGGCTAAAGATTATTACATAATTTTTTTTTTCACTTCTCCTCATTATTGGTGTCTTTCTCAAAGCGAAAAAGGCAGATGGACAACTTGTCATAAGCTTTATTTAGAACCTTTGACCATCCATTCATTTGATTTAGAAACAGGAAATAAACTTTATTTGACCCCACGCAAAAAGGAAAAACACTGGAGTTTACATGTTTAAAAATTTATACCTGTGCAAGTTATTTCATAGATCAGTATTGAGTTTTAAAGTAAATGACGTCAAAGGCCCTGCAGCTATCAGTTAGTGCTCCTGTCAGTGGATATAAAGATGTTTGTTCCCATATACCAACAGTGAAAGCAGAAGGGAATTTGCCAACTCAGCTCACAAGGAAAAGACAGTAGAAGGTCACAGCTCTGCTAAATTAAATATTCAGTTTATTTTCGTACCAAAAAGAGAGATGCAGCATGCATCATCCCCCCCACGGGATCCCAATGTTTTCCGTCAAATGTTTCTTTTTGGTCTGGAAACTGAATATTTAATCCTGCACAGCTGTGACGCTGAGCTGGGAGATAAACTGTTTTTGCATTATTTTACTGAATGGACTCCTAAATTAATTTCTCTTAATTCTTTGCTCTCATGTAATAAAGAAAGAATGCATAATGACACGACAGCTGCACTTGAGTTTGATTTGTAAATGCTGTTAATGCTTTGTTTTCCTCTGTCATTTGTGTTCTTCCACTGACTCTGTGTTTTATGAGTGTGTACATTTGTGCACAGGAGGATGCTGGACTGCTGTGTCACCTCAGACCTCCTGCAGCTGCAGTTGAGCTGAGCTACGTGCTTTTGTATAATGACTTGTAAAATAAGAGAGAATGAAACTTTAATGACATCCTCGGGGAGACGAGTTAAACACAAAGACCCGTCCTGCACCTTTGCCAACCTTGACACACAACTCCCTCAACACCCGTGTGTTTGAGGATTGCAGCTCAGTAGCAGGCAGGTGAAGAGTATTGTCAGCTACCTCTTCAGGTGCTGCTCTTGCATGGGACACCTGTGTCTCCTCTCTAGTAATACCTGATTAGAAACAGCCTGAAACAACAGTGACATGAATATTGTCACCTGAGTTAAAGGAACAATGCATCAATTATCAGTACATTATGGATAAAAACATGCTAAACATGATAAAAACATACTGCAATGTGGATTAGTATCATTAAATGGTTCCCACTTGTTTCAAATTACTCTAATTCATTAATAACATGTGGAACAAAAAAGGCGTCTGAACAAAGAGATTGAGACTGAAAGAGACACGAACAACAGAGGTTTGGTCATTTTGGTGTCTCCTAGCTTTTAAAGTATTTTTTGTTATTTTTATTGCATCTATGGATAATTTATCATCACCTCTCTGTATTGTTTTTCTATCTCTTTGTGGTTCTGTGTTGTTGTTTTGTGTCCCTCTTGTGGTTGTTTTTGCTTTTTCTTTTTCCTTACTGTAATTTATCTTCTTTAAATCATTTTTCCTCCTACTATAACTGTCTGGTATCTCAACAAGCCAATTTTAATTTCATTTCTTCAGTCCCTTGTTATGCTTTTATATCCTGTCTAGACTGTGTCTTTCACACCAGCAGAAATACAGAATATTTTTGTACTCAATTTTAACTATTTTTATATCATGTACCATTAGTACAAAATTTAGCACAAATATAGGCTAGGCTAACAAGAGGGTACTTGGATTTTAATTCAAATGCATTAAAGTTATAAGTTCAAAAAGAAGTTAAATCGCTCTTATTTACGTTAAATTACGTGGACACCTACTTAGATTAATACTTGTTGTATTTCTTCCTTTGCATATAGTCTGTTGTACTCACCATTTTTAACCGTTTACATGGTAACAAAGTTAGTGTAGTGAGAGCCATCTACCTACCCATGATTCAGTTTTCCTACACTGGTTTATTCATAGACAAAGTAATATATAACTCATCTGTTTTTCCATCCCTTTTTTATTCCACTACAAACAGGCAACATCAAATTACCTAGTTAGCCCACACAGCTTGGGCTATCAGAAAATAACAGACCTTTGCCAAGGAGTATTGACCAATCAGATTAGAGTATTTAGGCTGTTAAGGTTAATAGCTCAGATATGTACGGTATGCTGTATGGATATTCTAGAAGAGAGCAGCATCTCCTCCAGAGCAGGTCTTATTCAGACATTGAAATGGCAAAACAGAAAAAAAAAGACACAAACCTGTTAACAGTAAGCCTGGTGGAACCACACAGATGCTCCAGTCATACATCTGGTCACATATCTACATTTACATAACAAGCTTAGCATGATGAGTTGAGCCACAGTCACACATCAGTTTGTGAAGCATGGCTTAGATTTTGCTCTTCCACAAGGTCAGCTGTGCCTTAAAAGCCCCAAAACGTGTTTTTAAAATGACTAAATCTAGTTCTGTGGGTAAATTTGATGCTTTGCCTGTGAAGTTAAGTGTAATCTGTAGCGTTAGAAGGAGTTTTCCTCTCACACTTGATGCTCACAACAAAGTAGTATGGTATAAATGTTTAATGCTGACAAAATTCCTGCATCAGGAGGAATGAATAAAAGATTGAACAGAAAGTGAAGATAAAAACCTGGCTTGATATTATCAGAAGAGGTCTGGAACAGATGTATTGATGTCTGAAAAGATACTCAAACTTGTTTAAGACATATTAAGCAGCAACAACAACAACAAAAAAAACCTGGGATGAGTTTTAAATTGTGTCATCACACTTTTTCCAGTAGTACAACGTGTCTGTTTTTTATTTATAATGGAACAATGATTGCTCTAAATATATTTTAACTTTGAATATAGATGCAAGACTGGCTTACCAGGAAAAGAATCTGAAGTTATCTCAGTTTATTATCACTTATTTCTGTTCCTCAGTCATATTATTTGCCAAAGGAACAACTTATTGTTAGTTTTAAAAACAAAAGCAATAGTTGATATTAATTCTATTACGGATTTACAGATCTGTAACACCCCAGAGTGATTTTTTTTTTTTATACAAACAGCCTTGAAATCCTACAGTGGAATTAAATATATCTAATTCTTAATCCACACAATCCTGTTTTCTGTCAAACCTAGCAGCAACTAAAGAATGCAAGCCAACCACTAACCTGGTCTTGAGCTGGAGTTCAAAGTCAGAAATAATTCTCATGAGCAGAGGTCAATGCACCTGACCTCTGTGACAACAGCACCATCTTCACCCTCTGAAAACGGACTTGGTCACAGTTTCATAGAGAAATACAATGCACAAACCCCACAGAAGGCTGAACATTTTGCTGTAAAATTACTGTTGATCATAAACATTCAAGTTCTTAGCACATACAAATAAAAATGCTCAAAAAATATGATCATAATCACCAAGTAAGTCTGCCCCAGAGCAGCTGTGACTGTCCAATCTAAAGCACTTTGAGGTCACTGATAAAAAGCGCTTTAAAATCTGATGCATTACTATTATTATTATTAAGTAGCTTTGACATTATAAACACCTGGCCAATCATATGTGCTGAAATACAACAGCCCTAACACAAAGTTATTTTCAGGGAGCTACAAAATGATCCGTTTTTATTTACAGGTGATTGTTGTATTTTACACTTATTCATACGTAATTTATACCTTAAATTTATCATTGAAGATGTTCATGGGTAGGTTATATTGACAGGTGCCCCTTATGATTTCTTTACTTCATTAACAGAAATAAAGGGAGCGAAATATTACAAACACCACCAACACATACGGCTACTTCAGTAAACTATTTAAGGTGTCTGACCATGTCAACAAAATGTGAAAATGTACAAGCTCTGTAAAAGCTGAATTTGTGGTTAAACTGTTGTATTGAGTTCATAGACTGTATATACTATATATATATGTATATACTATATACAGTCTATGATTGAGTTGCATGAATATTATGGTAATGAAGAAAAAAATCCCAGCTTCTAAACTAGGGGGCGCAATTTACAAACAGTTTGTATGCTAAGTGCCTGACCAGCAAAAAGTAGAAGAAGAGGACACTTCCGGTTACCTCTCAGGAAGAGGCGCCAAAATCAAAAAAGTTTTCAAGCGGATAAAAGGTAAACAAACCGTCTGTGTGATGGTTTAGTGACAGGATTTTATTTAACAATCACTTACATAACGCAGACTCGCATTTAAAAATGAACCCGACGGTTGAGTACTTCTCCAAGCTGAGGACGCTGGCGGTGACTCTGGAGACAGAAACTGCGAAGATCCAGCAAGACTTTGAAAACCGCAACAACGAGGACGACGATGACAGCGGTGAGAGAGGGCCGACAACCACAGACTGCCTCTCTGTCAAATTATAGCGTGTATATATCTTCCTAATGTTTATCGATTTGTCTCTGTATGTATTTCTAGGAACTGCAGCGAGAGCGATGAGAGCTTATCATGAGCTGAACCGTGACGTTGGAAACATGAAGGTATGTGAGGAAACCTGTAAACCAAACCTCGTTCAGTTTTTCTAACATTTTAGGCTAGCGTCGGTAAACTCACGATGAAACAGAGTACCTTTAGATTCTCTGCAATCTCAACGACTACTGTGAATTTATCATAATGTCTAAATTACTTAAAATTAGTTATTGTCTACATTTAACCAACGGCTCAACCAACGGTGTGTTTGGTAAGATTATTTTGATATCTGTTATGAATAGGAAAAATAACTTGTTTTTAAATGGGATTTTGTGTGACATAGACCTCTTAAACTGTTGTTGTTTTTTAACTGTCCTGGGTTGTTCCCAGGTGTCTATGATTTCCTAAAGACTCAGATTATGAATTTGTCTAACTCCAAGTTTTCTTCGAAGTCTTAACTCACGCAGTTTCTCACAGAGCGGTGAACCTCTTTCTATCTTAACATCTGAGAGACTCATCCTCTTTGTACTGTCCATTTTATACACAGCCATGTTAATGACCTGTTGCGAATTAATGTTGTTATTTGGTAGATTTTCTGGAGGTCTGTTCACAGCATACTGTGCTAATATGTCAGTGTGTGTGTTACTAAATGAATCAATTTGCCTAATTACTCTTCAATGCAATGTACTGACCTGATCCACTCTGTCCTTACACAGGGACAGATCCAGGAACATTTGGCTCAGCAGAAAGCCAGAGAGAACGAGCTGAGCAGCTTCATTAAGGCCTGTAAAGTGGCGAAGCAGAGGGTGACACAGGACATCCAGACACTGAAGGGACACTGGGAAAAATACGGTTACCAAGCCCCACAAGACACTCAGAAACAAACCAGTAAGCCATGACTGCAACTGCAGCTTCAGGGGTCAAACCAAGTTTAACTGTTTATTGAAGTTCTTATGTCTTTCAAGTCTGTCGAGACATTTATTTAAACTGAAGATGAACAACAATTGAATAACAGTTATTTTAATCTACTCTTCTTATATTCAATTTACAAATTCCACTCACAATTCTCCTTCACAGAGAGTAAAAGTCAGGAGTTGGAGGCTGAAGATGTAGTCGCAGATGTGGAAGAAACTAACTCAGCAGAAGAAGAAGTGGAGGGTCAGGAGGAGGCTGGAGGTGATCCCTCCAAATCACCTCCAGGACCTCCATCTTTTCCTGGCACTATGCGAACCCCTCAGCTGTCTGACTTTGGCCTGTCTGAGATGCATCTAAAAAGAGCTCTGGCTGGAGCAGCATGGTGTACTGAAGTGCCCCCTATGCCTGAAATGAGCCTCCCTCATCCGACGCTCAGCACCCCTGCACCCCCACCCATGCCCTTGACTCCTAAATGTGCCCTGCGGATGGATGACGATGAGCTTCAGACACCACAGATGCATGACTTTGGAATCTCAGAGCACACTTTGTGTCTGAACAATGACTTCACGATGGATCTTCTTCGAAAGAATGCAAAGAGGCCCCAAAGGTAAAGAGAGATAATGAGTTTAACAAAATGTATTCAGTGTTGACCTTTATTAGCTTTCACCGGCAGTGTACAGGATTTGCAGATGGAATAGTCGATGCTCATTAACTGCTTTATGAATTCCTCTTTCTTTTACAGACCATCACTAGACATACCTGCACCACCAGGGGAGCCTCTTATGAAGAGTTTGCAGACACAAGGCATGAGACTTTGACATCTTCCCTCCTCTAGATGATCCTTTTTAGACATCATTTTTAATTGTACTGAAAATCTTTTCCAATAGATGTGGTGGAGTTAAAACTATCAAGTGTTACAGTCTTTTTTTTAACATTACCCCACTGGATCTCTTCCTATCTTTATTTTGGTTTGGGGTATGCTTTACCAAACTTCATGTCTCAACTTTCTGAAACCCTCACAACCCAGGCTAGGTCTGATTTGCAACTTTGAGCAGTAATTTAAGACACTACACAGTCATTAACCCAGTTCTATAATGTAAAAATTGTATATATGTGTATATAATGTCAATTATAACAAGTAAAAATACTAATTTGAAAAAGGAAATATTTTTTAAAACATGTATTTCAGAAAAAGACTCAAAAGCCTTAACCAAGAAAAGAATTACAGACTGCTCATAAATGATCAAAATGCCGCTGTCCTCTTTGTAAATAGTGAGGCAACAATAATGAAATAAAACTTGCATTGTGCCAACTCAAAGCTTATTGTGTTGTTGTTTTTTAGCTAATAAATTGGAGTCTCCAGAGCCACCTGTGTTTTGCACCCCAGGGTTCAAGATTAAAAAGACAAACTACACTCCTCAAGCTGAAAGCAATTGTGGCACAGAATCCCCTGCTCAGCCTGAGTGTCTGCCCTCAACCCCTGAGGTTCCTGCATTTCAAACCCTGTACGTGAACCGACTGGCCAGCACCAAAAAGGTACAGACAGATGTTTAATGTACTTCATAGAAAATTCTTTGGTTGTAGCTTACAGAAATGTGTAGAAAAAGTTCCTCATCAATATTCTACCTTGTTTTTTTCCCCACCATTTTTCCTATTATCTTAGAGTGCATGGCAGGATGAGTCCATTGTAATGCAAACTGACGGCTTTGAATCCCAGACAACTCAAAATGGAACGACTGGCTCTAAGTTCTCCTGGAAGTATAATGAGCCAGATATATCTACTGTGGGTATAGAGGACTTACAGATGCCAGAGATGCCCGACCTGGAGTTTCAGCTTGGAAATACTTTACTGAGTGTGAGACCAAATAAAATATTGTTTAATTCTTAGCTTTCAGTCACACTGACAATTGATGGCCAGATAATTCTCAAAACAGATTAGAGAGTCAGTACTGCCAAGTGTCATTTCTCCATTACTCTTGATATGTCTCTTTTACTCCAGAGGGGTGCAAAAAAGCCAGGCAAGACAACCCAGGAGTACAAAGAGGTGACAAAGGGGCCCACTGTTAGTAGACTGGAGGTGGATGAACCCACCCAGGAGTTCAGGCTTGGGACACCTCGTATCAGAATGGGTTACCAAGAGCCCAGCACCCCGGAGATGCCAGACCTCAGCTCTGTTACTCAGGATATCTGCAAAGTGAGTTCACTGCCAATAACAGCTCATATTGTTTCATTTTTATTTTATGACAGATATCTACTGTTATCAGTTTTTCATGCCTATTTTCCAAATTGGAGCAACACATTTTATGATATGCACAATTCAAACTTCAATTCAGTTCTTCAAGCCGATACCTTTTAGTGCACTTTTGTAAATTTTATGTCTGTCTTTTATTTTGTAGCTTTTATCTGAGACCCAGAAGAAGAATGTCATAGCTGTTGTGAGTCCAACTGTCAGGCCAGAGAAAGACAAAAGCAGGTAACTGAGTAATTATACATCATATAACACCACATCACCTCACAAAAAAACTGAGGTCAAAACGTGATTTATGCTGATCTGATCTCGTTTGTGTTCTGTCTTTTCATTCAATCCCATTCGCAGAGCTCTGAGTATGCCTTTGGTGTCACAGAGCGAGTTTCAAAGTTTACCATGCTACCTGCGACAGATGACACTAAACAACCTAAACCAGGCTGTTCACAGCATCAACAACTATACACAAGAGTTACGAGGTCAGCACTACTGAACACTTTCTGTATGCAGTGTACAGTATGTCTTGCAGTCTGATGTATCTAACCATTTACCGTTCTGTGGCGCCCTCTGCAGGAGAAAAGACAGAGTTTCAGATGGAAGAGTTGAGGAGGATTACAAACGTTGGAACCAAGACCCCTGTATACATCCTCTGTCTGGCTGAACTGAAGAGATTGAAGCACATAGGAGGAACCAGTAACACCTCTATTTACCAGCTGAGCACACACTGCTAAAAGTTGCTTCACACACTGTTGTGAACTCTCATTCAGGAGCAAGACAACCAGTTAAAGAGATAATTATCTCTGGCTGTGTTTTTTACTCCCATAAATATACTCTGCAGAAGATCAATACCTCACAAAAGGAATCCTAACTAATTATCCAAAGTAGGGAAAGTGATTTCGGTCGTGTTTTCATCCTTTACGTCACACTTACTTGTTTCTGAAGCATGGCTTGTCAGTGATTCGCACTTGTGTGGTTTGTGGCTCTCTTCAGACTTTTTTAAATGTTGTAGATTAAAAATGTAAAATTTTGCTGAATAAAATAAAGTGATAAATGATGAAAAACAGTAATTGCCAAGCATTAGTAAGTAGTATATAATCTGAAACCTAGTCTTTTAAGGAGGTAAGAAATTAATCTTTTCAAACAAAGTTACAATTATCCTTAAATGGACCAAACTTGAGGTTAATTTGTAAAATCAATCCTGTATTCCTCTTATAATATCCACTGATATTTGGAAGTATCTACTGATATCTATATCAGAAGCAACACAAAACTGCAGTTTTCTACACATCATAACAGAGCTTACATTAAACACCAACCAGCAGCTGTTTTAGATTTTATTTCCTAACAGTTAGGATGGGAAAATAATGTTATTTCAGGAGATGTTAACATTGCCTAACTGCAGCCACACTGCCAAGGCTGTCTACAGACAGTGCTTGTTCATTTTTTTACCAATTGGTTCCATGAACACAATTACAAGCCAATGCAAATTATTTCTAAATGCTAAGAACTGACCTGTCTTATAAACTGTTGTACAACTGTTTCAAATTATCTGAAACACTAACCTTCTATAACACTGTGGGACTGTTATATCAAATTATTTCCAAAAATCCCATACTTGAAGTCTAATTCAGAGTATGAGCAAAACTAGACTAAGAAAGATAATGTGCTCATTGTTTTTGCCATTTAGTGTCATTCAATGTAGGTCTTTTAACGTTGAGTTAAAAAATGAATAATAAATAGGAATGTTCCTTGCATCGTAGGCTTCTGGCAGACACTTTGGGGATACAGAAGCACACCACACTCCTTTGTTTGTCATTAAAAGCTCTTAAATGTGGTTAGATATAATGAATGTTAGTATATAGGTGTATAAATCTGTGTTTCTCCTTTTACTGATCAGCATGAAAGTATTTCTGGCCTCTGTGTACAACATTGTTAGTACTGAAGAGTACAATAAGTACTTCTAGCCCACACTAGTGAGGACCATTGCGGTTTTTGCTTATACTTAGCTAAGCAAATATCAGTCTAGTAAGTTAAATGCTGAGTGTTTGTTGTTTGTTCATAAATTATTCAATCAAACTCCTGGTTGTTGGCGATATTTGGCCGTTTTGGTATCATTTTTGACTGGTGCATCATCGCGCGAGCTGGGATCGCATTACAGTGACGTCCTTTCCAGATCGTCCAATCGGATCAACGCATACGCACAACCGTTGATGACATCGCAACGTTTTTTTTCATCCCCTGGTAGGCCACCATTTTGGGAGTCAAAACACCCCAACAAATAGTAGCACACACCTCCACGCTTCTCCGTGGCCTTACTATGGTTCACACATGTGTGGTGGCAGGCTGTAGGAACAGAAGGACACCGGGCACCACCTTATCTTTCTACCGGTTCCCCCGGGACCCCGAGAGGAAGCAGCGCTGGATAGCTGCTGTGAACAGGGAGGGCTGGGTGCCTAACGACGGCAGTCGGCTGTGTAGTACTCACTTCATCTCCGGTATGAATGCGGTACAACGCCGAGGGAGAAGTACAGTAATGTTTGTTTTAGACCACACTGTAGTGCTTGAAGTAAGGTTTTTCAAATGCATGACCTTAACGTAGGATATTATTGAATTAAAAACAACTATGGCTTGATCCAATTTATAATAAAGAGAGTCATATTTGGCGTATTTAACGTTTCCACTGGTAAACAGTTAAGAAAGTATATGTATTGTCTTGAGTAAACTAAACGAAGAAGTTGTGATCATAAATAATTAATATTATTTTTTTTCCGATAAACGAAATAATTGAATGTAAATTAAACTGGATTCATGCTATAAAGTTACTTTTTATTGAAAAAAAAAACTCTAAAAAAAACAATTTGCAGCACTGGTGTTAATGTCAGATCAAATTTCACATTATTATTGCACCTCGTTGCAATTTGGTTATCATTTAGAAAAAAGAAAAGTGATAGTCTATAACAAGACTGATCCAAACTTGTTTCCCACCCATTCACCTATATTTTGCTGTCCAATCCACAATTTCTATGTTGTGCATATAAAATCATTGTTAGTATTAGTGCATTTTGCTGAATAGTCACTTAAGGTATAACCTCCCAGTCAATAGTTTCCTTCTGCATGTTCTTCTTAAAAATGCCCAGACCCAAAGTTGGGAATCAAAGCTTGTAGTCGAGCCCTCATTCATCACCTTAGGGGTTCGCTCAGCTGCATCTCTCCGCAAGTTTCACCTTCACTCTCTTAATGTTTGATTTATGCAAGTCATGCAGTAATATATAAGCTGAGACTCTTAACTGTCTCTCCCACATAGTCGTCTTTGGTGAGGTCCTGAACCTCATAATATGTCCTCCCTTCAACTGTGGTCAAGCTGCTCACTTTATCCTTTAGTCTGGGACAGCGTATCAGCTCAGCCTGAAAAAAACATGGCTGCTTGCCCAAGACATTTTGTCTTTTTATTCAAGTCCGAACTGTTGACTGTTATTTGGGAATGCGCCATGATAAGCAACTGATATTTCAAGGTATTTACCCTCTGTTGACTACATCTGTGTCTTGCTTTCAGGTAAACAGGTGAAGAATCCACGTTCTCCAGATTATGTTCCTTCTGTGTTCACTTCAGCTCCCTTATCTCCAGAGATGAAGGAGCCGGGTGCCTTGGAGGTTCTGGACAAGCAGGAAGCTCGTGTGGAGGCCGCCAATGCCTTGTTGTTCCTGCAGGGTCAGGGCAGCTCAGTGTCAGGTGAGATGGGCCAGGAAGAGCATCCTCAGGAGGGCGAGCAGGAGGCTAGCTTTGAGGAGAGTGCCTCCTCTTCTTTTAGCACAGACGAAGAAGATGATGACAATGATGATGAATCTTTGAGCGAATGTAAGAAAGGAAAGCTTGCTCAGGCTTCTGATGCTTCAGTGAACTTTGAGGATGCTCTCAAAGCCCTGAAGAAGGAGAACCAGGCTCTTAGAGAGTCAGTGGAGAGGATGTCGCTTTCAGAGAGCTCCCTGAGGAACGATGCAGAGAAGGTGAAGTTTTACACGGGTTTACCAAACTTCTTTGTCCTAGAGACAGTCATGTGGCTGCTGGCACCTCACATGGAGGGGATGAAGAACGTGAAGCTCTCAAAGTTCCAGCAGCTGCTGCTGACACTGATGAGACTCCGCCTTGACCTCCGCAACCAAGACCTGGCCTACCGCTTTGGAGTCAAGGTCAGCATGGTCACCAGAACGGTTCATCAGATGGTCAACATTATGTCCTCCACTTTGGTACCGACAGCCGTCTTCTGGCCTTCAAGAGCTGAGCTCAGGAAGAATCTACCCGCAGCTCTCCGTGCCTCTCATCCTGACTGTGCTGTCATCATTGACTGCTTCACGGTGCCCTTTGAGGAGCCGGTTTCCAGGGGCAACCAGCAGCATCAACAGCAAGGGATGGGGACAAGCTATAATGTGTTAAAGTTTCTGATTGGTGTGGCCCCACAAGGTGTTGTCACATTCGTCTCCAGGGGCGTGCTGGGAAATGTTAGCGATAAAAGCCTGGCCGAGGGCTGCGGGTTTCTTTGCAAGCTTCTTCCAGGTGATGTTGTGTTAGCAAACCGGGATCTAGACATTGCAGATTCTGTGGCTGCGAGGGGAGCAATCTTTAAAATAGCCAGCACCTATGGGAGCTCAGAGGGCACACCCCTCGCTGATTCTTCCTCTGAGACGCCGAGTGTGCAGAGGCATGTGGAGAGGGTGATCTCAATGGTGAAGCAGAGGTACGCCATGCTCACAGGCCCTGTCGAGAGCCCCTTTACTACAACCTCTGAGCGCACGTCCAACCTCTCCACCTTTGATAAGATTGTTCAAGTCGCCTGTGCCTTAAACAACCTGTGCATCTCTGCTGCTCCACTAGAGTGAATTATACTGAAACCCTCAGTGTTCCTTAATGCTGTTTAGGCACCTGAGTACCCTTTACTTCTCTGGACCTAACTCCACGTCCTCACTTTTCATCCTTGTGTTGATACTACAGGATTACCACACACCATTTATTATACACTTACCTGCATTAATTCACACTTTTAGTGTTTATGGCTTCCTGTTATCTGGGCCGGTCTGAACTTGAAGATAAGAGCATGTTTCCCAAATCCAGAAACAACATTGCTAAGATATGATGTCATTAAGTTATGCAACTCAGCTGACATAGAACAGTGGGTTTGTAGTGGGAGTTGATTTTTAATTTAGGCATTAAACGACGAGTTTGAGTAAAATATACTGTTGAAATACATTCTTATTTGCAGTTTTGTTAACATTGAGGCACATTAAGCACAGCTTGTCTGGTGCAGACCAGAGGTTACCATAGTTTTAAGAAAAGAGTGGGTACACACTGTTGAACCTTCAATCTGGAATCTATCATTTGATGATGATTCAAAACCGCGGATTGAAAGTAGTTTCGTTTTCAGTAAAATGGCATTGAATCTGCTGCACTTGGATGCAGATGTCTGTCTAAAGACTCTGCTTAAAGCTCATTTATTGACAGAGCCGCAGATGGGTTACAGGATTGGATTACGGTGGAGTTGTCTCACCCCTTTGCCCTCTACAGAGACAGTTTTCCGGCATACAGCAGGTTTTCACTGAAATGAAAGAGGAGAGAACTTTTCTTAGCACCAACAAAAAACTAGAGCACATTTGATACCAAAATCTGACCCTCCTGCTAACACAGTCAGCATTTTCATGCAGAGATGATAATAACTCTAACCAGAGGCCTGCACTATGAAGTGAGTTCATCATACCCAGGATATACTTCAGTTATCTGGTTTCACTAACCTGAACAAAGGAGTTTTATGGTCACACCAGCTGACAGAAAATAGGATGGCACCTGTCTGGTAAAGTTGAATTTAGAAGTATTTAGCAGAACAGACTTGATAGAAATGGGATGTAATATTACGAGTTATGTTTACATTAGCCTGTAATTACCTAAATATTACAACATTTGTTTTTGTTTACTCAAAACAAGTTTCTTTGCATCTACATGAAATGGGTCCCTGTCCATGAAGGTAGCCATCTTGCACCACACAGAATTGACTAACTAGTGAGAGCCATATGTATACTTTTAGTGGGTGAAAGTGCAATGTGAGAGAAGAAAATGAATTTGCATTAATAACCTTTTTGGTGTTAAAAACCTGTGCATAAAGGATCAGAGCTTCTAGCCCTTGCAGGTCACTTACTGGGATGGATAGGGTGAGCAGAGGAGCATTTGATTTCTAAATCTGAAGCTAAATATCCTGTTTCTACAAACTACCTTTAATGCTTCATCATCTCTTTTCTGTTATTAGAGCATAATAGATCAAACACACAGTAATGCCTTTATTTTCTTAAATTAATATGTATTACTGTAGTTTTTAAAACTGTTTAGGACCCATCATTTAAGCTCCATCCCCAACAAGAGTTTTAGATCAGAGGTAACCATCCTCTTTTCCTCTTGGCCACCCCTTCATACATTGTAGATTAGCAGAGCTCCTCCTGGGTCCCAGGAAAAGTGATACACTGCTGTTAAAAAATTACATCAATTTTAATGCCATCACCTAAAAGAAGAGAGGAAAAATGTATTATTTACACAGATTTTATTCACAGACACAACTATCCAAACTACACAGTAAGTGTGTTATTTTTGAGATTTTAGTAAGTATGTGCAAGTTGGCAGACAAAACCTGGCTGACCTCATACATACATACATAATTTAACACAGTATATACAGTTTTTTCAAGATTTCATGAATATGTTAAATCCAAGGTGTCAGTGCTGTGAGCAGACCCTGTCTCAGGACAACCTTAGTAATATTGAAACCTGGTTGTTAACCCTGAATTTACCTCTAAAACCACAAATCCTGCTTCATAGTACAGGCCTCTATCATCAAGTCACCTCTGAGGTGACCTGTCACCGGTAACTTTGCTAAAGGATGCTCTTCATTGTCTTTTCCACTTTAAATGGGATCTTAAATCACAGAATGATCAACATGATGTGTTAAACAAAAATTAAAAACTAAATCTCTCACTGAGGTTAAAACAAACTGGGATGGGGAATCTTTTTATTTGCTTGTGTGACTTCCAGTGGTGTTGCCCCCTGCTGGTCAGTAGAAAGAATGCAGCTAAATTCATTTCTTAAAGGCCTCACTTCAGGAAACACAGTCCTTCCACTTAGGCTTTTCACACAGTCATTCCTATTTTATAGACTTTATGACACCAGACTACAGTCACTGCAGTCTGAGCTCCCTGATAGCACAGACAGATTTACCACCCACATTTACCAACCACAGACCAGCACAGTCAAGAGTCTGTTGACATTTTAACTGCTGTTCTTTCTGGTTTTTTAGACATCTAGCTCATTTCGAGGAGTTTGCAACGGTAGCTTTCTGTGGAGGGCAAATCTTAGAATTGCACAAGTCCTTTTGACACATCCTTCTTTGTAATGATGCTTTTATTTTGCTTCCAAAGCTGCAGGGTGTCAGCTGTCAGTTTTAGCTACAGGACAGCACTGATGCAGAACCTGGTGGATGCATGTTCACACAAAAGTTTTAATGATGTCAACATTTACAACAACACAACAGTGTTGGAAAATACCCATGCCTGTAGAACTTTTGAAGTGTTCAAGTTTGGTTTGTCCTCAAAAAAGGTGCAGCATTTTTCTTTTTCACTTAAAGCTGAGGTTGTTTTCAAGTTTGTTTCCTTAGCCTGAGTTTAAACCACAAGGCAGGGATCAGGTCAAACACATTAAATGTCTCTCCAGGCATTCCCCAAAGGGAAAAAATGCACATAAGCAGGCGATTGTGTACAGAAATTTACCCCCATTCTCTTCAAACCACTTCTGCGATTCTTTACAGTCACACAAAGTTAAAATGTCATTAAAAGCGAAGAAAAGACATGCAATATAAAAGGAACCGCGTCCTGAAGGCAGCCAGCATGTTGGCTGGGTTTCATTAAAGCTTTGTTTAGCTTCGCACGTGTGCTCGAAAAATATACATCTTATCTGTTGCTGCTGAGTTCTCAGTATTTTCTGCTCTAATCGATTATGGGAGTATGGGACTATGTTTGGGCACAACAGAGACGGGTCTGTTTGAGACAAAGCATGAGGATATTTTTAAAATCGTATTCCAGCCGTTTAAATGCATTTTGGTGTTTATGATCATTTGTAAAACTAGAGTTAATATACAGGATTATATTTAGACTATTAAAGAGTGAAGTCGGTTTAGATATCTTTGAGTAAACATCTCATTGCATAGAAATAGCCTTTGTTGTCCTGCTTTGTGGGTGCCTTAGTTTGTAAGGCTGGTACTGCGTTAACAAATCAGGCTGCGTTTTATACAAATATTTATTTTTGCATCATAAGTATGCTCAAGTTTCCTTTCAGCTTTGGTTGCTTAGCTAAACATGCACAAACAGTATCTACCCAGATGTTAACAAAGCACCTCCTGTGATTATTCACTCAGTGTGTGTATGGTGAGAAAATTTCCTCTTCGTTTTTATCTCTCACAAGCTTCATCCTTCTACCATTTAATGTGCATAATTTCCAAAAGATGTCAAGTAATTATAGAAAATAACCTTGGGCGGCTTACATGTTACAAAAGTGGTTCAGTTAAAGGACTAGAGTCAAATGAGGAGAGGATTTTCACACGATAAGAGCAGACTGAAGTGGCTCAGTTGAAGCGCATTAAAGGTGTTTCTTCATAAGCAGACAGTGTGTGGTTAGAATAGGTATGCCCAAAGTGGAATGTGCCTTCTGTTTTCCACTGGATGTTCCTTTCCATGGGTGGCTGTGTGTCTTTCCAGAACTGTTCAATGTTTCATGTGATCATAACTTGCACTCCCTGAGTTTCTTTCAGCACCTCAACCTGGTCCTCATTGTACCTGTGATATTCTTCTTACTCCTTTTATGTCATTGAGGTGGCAGCATTTTTAACCCCATGGTGGCTCCTGCTTTGGCACACCTTATGAATCTGAAAAATGTTAACTGTACTGAGAGTCTTTTGGGCACCTCTGACAAATCTTTTGTCATGGCATTCCTTCATTTTTGGAAGCTTTGGTTACTCCAGCTTCGATTTCTGATTTCTGCCTTTTCTCATGTTGAAATCTGAAAGCAAAGTATCAGAACCAAATTAAAGATTATATTAGATTAAATTCAAGATTAGAGGGAGCAGGAAAAATTACCTGGAAGTAACAGGAAATAAATCAGCATGTAGTTTAGTGTAAAACACTAACAGACAAACTTACAGTAAGTCCTTGTTTAAGGATAGGAACTAAATCTTTGGAGCAGCGTCCCTGAAAGAGTCTTATTCTTGTTTTGTTTATTTGTGTTGCTGCTTTGGAAAGCGAATATGCCACTTGGGGCATACTGTTATTTATTATTAGATGAAACCTTACAAATACAAGTGTTAAGTGTAGCAAAACTTGATAAATGTTGGTTGAATCTTTATTCATTTCTGCAAGAGTAAAAAGGATTTATAAAAGTTTTTAAGTGAGAGTGCTTGTCTATTGAAGAAAACAGCCAGTGGTTGAATGTTTTCTATTCATTTACTCCTACCATAAGATAACTCGAGTGCTTTTAGGTTGAGATGAACCCAATAATATCTCTGTTTATCTCACATCTTTGGCTACATCTCTATAATCATGCAGTTTATTTTTATGGATGCATGTGTTTCCATGATGTGTTACCTCCTAATGGTTTAATTCTTCAGTTTCTCCTCATTGGCACTTGTGAGTGGAAAATTAAAGTTTGGGAAACACAACAGCCTTTTGAATTCTTCTCAAAACTGAGTTCTGTGTTTTCTTTTTCTAAAAAATATCTTTCTGTGTTAAATGTCATCCTCCACCATCCGCTCTTTTTTCAGCCTGTTGCAAATTGAGATAAATTAGGCTTTTTTTTTTTTTTGCATTCATACAGATTCACTCACTGCCTTTGACTCATTGGTAAAGATTTCTTCCAAGGCCAGAGGGGAGTGACTGAGTAATGTCCTGATATTTTTTTGGATTAATCAAAGGGAGAAATGCATTGGAGGAAGCCCCGCCCGGAATATGTGCGGTCAGAGAGGTGCAAAAAGCAAGACCTCTCACACTGTTACTTTGTAAAGCCACTCAAAGTAGAATTTAAAAGGTTAATATTCTTTCAGCTCTTTGTGATTTGTCAGCAGAAATGTGAGCTGCCGCAACAGATTGTCTATTTGCTACTGAACTAAAGCATTTGTCATTGTATTGATGCCAACATTACATTACAGTCACACAATACAAACGCAGAAGTTATCTGCTGCCTCAGTTCCAGGGTTTGGTTTCTTTTTTTTTTTTTATAAAATAATCATATATACATATTTTATCTTTGGTCCTTTTACAGCTGGATTTGGAAAAAAATGGAAAATCTTTAAGACATATTTAAAGAGGGGACTATTCTTCTTACATTAAGGTCAACTTTTAAAAATATGCTCGAATTAGCTAATGCTAATTCCTGTTTCTCTAGCCACCTGAAACCAAGTCAGTTTTACAGTTCCTATATTAGGTTTGTGTTTTTGTTTTTTCTAATGGGGATTAATACAATTATAGATTTTTTCCAACTTTTTTAAAGCCAGGGCTAATGACTCTGTGAGACGTATTTAGATATTTTTGCAAAGTATGAAAATTTTCCTTTTACCCAATGAAAGGTATGGGGCTGCTGAAGTCACCAAAATTATTATTTTTTTATAAATACATGTGCACACAAAAAAAATACTTGTACAAACAATACAATTATTTTGTGGAAACAAGTTAAATATATAGAGAACACAAAATTGTCATCGTGTAGAAATGAGCTAGCTTCTAAGCTAACTTGCTCCCTCCAGATAACTAATTCGAATTAGTTATATAGAGGGAGCAAGTTAGCAAAATGGATTCAAGATTTAGACGTCATTATTGGACCTCTTTTGGACGTTTAAATAACGTCGACATTTGTTCCTCATCGTCGAAAAAATATGTTAAATAGATGTCATTGCGCAGTAGGTCCGTAAGTTCAAGTTTAAACCTTGTTGGCTCAAGTTGACATATTTATGCACAATATATGAGGGGAATTACACATTTTGGACTTCAGGGGTCATACAAAGGTTTAAATCAAGTTTAAAGTGAACTTTGGTTGTTGAAATGTCAACTCAACTTTTTAATCTTACCATGGACACTGCCACAGATGTAGCTTCCATTATGAGGAATATATTAACTAAAGGTAGCTTTGGTACAGGTGGTCATGACTTATACAAGACTTTTACACCGATAAAAACGATACGGGGGGATTATAACTGCTTTCTTTTTTAAGTTTACATCTACATCAACATGATGTGTGGACATTTAATCAGAAGTTACGACTAAAAAGTTGCTCATAGCCGTAAAACATACACACACAACACTACCGAGTGGATCACGATTGAATAGATGATCTTCGGGGCAATGCTGACGTGCGTCGGTCCGTCACGTGACCTGTGGAATGTTAACAATGCAGCGAGTGTCCAACTTTGTGCTGCATTTCTGATCCTGCCTGCAGTCTGAAGAGAAAATGGAGGCTCATTTCATCATATTTACCCCGTTGCTCCGTCTCTACCGAGCTCTTCGACAGATAAACGGACTTTAAACGTTGTTCTATGACGGGATTTTACTCTCCAATCTGAGTTATTCTTGTTTCTTCTATCACATGGTAAGTTGAGAGTTACTTTTTTGGGGAGGGGAGTGGTGGTGTAACTTATTTCCACGGCTTGTTTCTGAAGGGAAAAGTCCTTTAACGGGTATGTTGAAATTAGTTTTAGAGAAAGACGCTCATTTTGATGTCCCCCCTCCAACTTTGAGCCTCTTTAGGGTTAATAGGACTCTCCCCAAATTCTTTCTGCAGAGGAATGTTCTGGTGTTGCTCCTCTCCCTCAGCCCCCAGCCTGGATACATACAGTGGGGAAGGCCACAGGACGGTAAAACAGGGGTTTCCGTTGCGTTTAATGTCCAGGGGCCCCAGGCAAAGACTGTAAACTAGTCAGACACCATTTTGTAACAGTTTTAAAGATATGCCACAATGAAAGAGGATGAAAATCTAAGCTTGAACAATAGATCTAGGTTTTAAAGTGAAGTTATGCTCAAGGTTTGCAGCAGATCTGGATTTTTGGACCTTTTAAGGGGCCAAAACTTGAAGTTGTGAACCTTGGATTAATAAGAAAGGGGCCCAGGATTCACTCAGGTTCAATCACGTCCTCTTGTGATCATATTAGAATTATATTTGACTTTTTGAGCACTGCATGCAAAACTCTATTGTAGCCCATGTGTTCCAAAAAGTCTGTAAATATGTAAAACCAATCCTAAAATTAATTGATATGAACAATTTCTACATTTAGCAGGACAAAGACAAAGTATCCTAACATAATTGGAGATTAAAACAAGAAAACTTTCAAACAATTTGTTTTGAATGTCTGATTTTCACTCCCCAGCCTAAAGGCCTGCATAGTTTGGCACTGATGCAGCCATGTGTTTCATTCAGGTGTGCTCCTACTACTACTACTATGCACAAACACACCTACTCTGGCCATTTGACACACTTGTATTACATGTAATCACCTGCAGTGTTTGCAGCTTATCGGTTCAGGTGTTTTATCTGTAAACTGCAGTAAAAGGTGCCTCCACTTCCCTGAGTTATGCAAACCAAAGATTGATTTAGGTACGTTGTGCTTCTGATTGTGTGTTTTCCTGAGGAGGGAGGTCACATTTTTAGAAACAATCGGGTCTTTTATAAAGAGGCGATGATGCTGCAGCGATGTGGTCAGGTATCATGCAGCGCAGCTGGGTTTAATCCTGCACAGCCATGCAGAGGCATCTGTCAGGGGAGAACCACAGGGATGACTGCACTGCTTTAAGACAACAGGCAGATGCTGGCAGATGTTGGCTTAGGTGGTTTAAGCCTAATTGTGTGTCTTATCTTAAACCACCAGGTTAGATTTTCTTCCTTTTAAAGCAAAACAACAAATCAGGTGACAAACAGCAAAGTTATTCAGGATGAGACAGGCACTTTGGCTGCTGGATGTAAACTCTGGCTCAGGCATTTGAACCGCTGTGCCAAGAAGAGGTCTGGGTTTGATTCAGTGTGCATGTGTGTCTGATTCTGGAGATCATTGAAGACCACAAACTGTAGAACAATGCTGGTATAGTGTCTGTGATGTCACCTGTAGGTTTCACAAGAGAGGCTTTGAATGCAGAGTGAACCTGGATTTACTTTTTCTGCTGTAGGATATAATGAGGGAAAAATGTGACTTAAACCTCTGGGAATTTCAAACAGAAAAATGTGTATCTATGATATGATTAAAGCACTTCAACATCCCCTGTTCACACACAGCCTAATCTGTCCCTCTCTTAATCAAATACAGAGACATGCAAACTCTCAGCTGTTCTCTTTGTTTGTACATGTAAGATATGATTACTGAGGCGTTCTGAGTCCACAGCTTCTCCTCCATCCCATCCATCAAACCTGCTCTAGGCTACACAAGCTTCGCAGTTGCTCTTAAGAAAAGTCCCTTTCTTCTTCAGACAAGCTGGATATGATCTGGTCACTAAGCTGGAAGACCCCAACAAAACTGCCATGTGCTTGTGTTACTAAATACTTTTCTGAATGAACTTTGAGATGCAACAGCGTTAAATTTTTCCTCCATGCCAGAAGCAGAAAGGTTTGATTGTTTTGGAGGAAAGATGGTTCTAGTTTTTTAATGAGAAAGTATCTCCAAATGTTATCATCCATTCCATTTTCTGCAGTAAATTTTTCTTGGAGTTCAGTTTGAAAATATTTGTTGTTCTACTTCAAACCTCTGGGCAGCTTATAGCACTATGCCTTGTTCCTGTAATGTAACTATAGTGTATATTTAATGGATGCAGTGTAGACAGTGAGTGTCCGTTGCTGTAAAATGTGACACAAGATCTGCTGCTTGCATACTCAAAAGAAACAGGGCTACAGAAGTTTAGTTATGAGACCAAAGGTCAGTATAAATTCGCCAGTTTGTTTTCTGTAATGCACATTTTTTGAATATCTTTGCCAAACAGCCCATTTCTTCTTGCGTGTGGTCCAATTAGGAGTCAGAGGTTAGGTTTAGAGTTTGATCAAAGAAGAGATAATCTGAGGTATGTATTGATGAAGGTTGGGGTTAAGTATGAAAGTATGCTGTGTGTTTGTAGCGCTGTCTTTGAGCGGTGTTTCTCTGCATTTTTCAGGCCTTTTTTTTTTTCGTAAGTTGTGACCTGCTCCAACACCCTCTCTGCAGCCATTTTCCAGACAGCAACCTTCCATAATTCTTGGTTTTTGGTTTATTTTGGTCACCATAAACTGTCCCATGATTCAGCGGTGGTATGAGCTTACTTGTAGTTACTTGTGGAATGGAATGCTCATCGGTCGGACATGGCGCCTAAAGCATCATAGGAATGGAGGCAAGAGATCCCAGAGATGGAGCAACATTTATGTAGCTAGGCAACCCCACCAGCCTCAGACATAAAAAAAATCAAAAGTTGAGTCCATGTTAAGTTTTATCTGAACAAACAGTGAGGGCAGTGCCCTTCTTAGAAATGACCCAAAGGGATGCAGTTTGCCAGGAAGGAGGCGGGTCGGGAAATAGTTCAAGGGCTACTTATGTTTGGTTACTTTGGTGTGACTGTCCCAGTACTCCTCTGCCTTATACTGGGAAATGACTCTGGGTTGTATGACTGAGATCATTGTCTCCAAATAGAAAAGTAATACATGTTAAGTATCATATCTGTAAACACAGTACAAAGATCAAGCTGAAATGAAATAGTAGATAGTTTCAATGGAGTTGGCTTTTTTCCAACAATTTATCCTTACCAGTTGTAGATCCTTAATTGAGTTTATTTTCTGGGTATCCTCAGTTTTCCTCATCTATAATAGCTGCCCTCAGACCAGCACCAGTATCACTGCCATACTAATACTTCCTCCAAAACTATCTGACATGTGGTTTGTTGATGTATCAGGGCTCTGCCACGAATGATCAATTTAAAGGTTGATTTAGTTTCTGAGAAGTCTGATTTTGTTTGATTGTGTTAAGGACAGTCTACAGCTGTAAATACAAAACTGAAAGCAAATAAATCAAGCATTTTGTGATGGCTGAATTCAACCAAAACCAAAACTTCTGTGTTGCCTCTTGAACACTTGCAATCCAGAAAGTGTCATCAACCCTGTTTGCATCACAGGGATTTTTCTGCAGCATTCTTACATAGACTCACCAAACTTCCTGTGGGAATTTCACAGGAAAAATCTGGTTTAAAATTTCAGCTGTCTGTGTCTACAAGTGCAGAAAGTTTGCTGAAAGTTTTTAGGAGTAATGTGAGCCTAGCTTTTGTTTAATTTGACTTCAAAGAGTGAGTAAAGGTTATTAAGTTACCTGTTGTTAAGGGCCTGTGTCCACTAACAGCATTTTTATTTTGGACCAGTGGTGGTGGGGCTAAAAACCTTAATTTAAACGCACCTTCGCCATGCTAGGTTAAGAAAATGGTCTTGTTGCGCTTTGACCGCGTTTGCTCATGACCTTTGTGAGCTGCTTCGCTGCAGTGTGAGAAAAAAAATCCAGTGGTCTCTTTCACAGTGTCCCGCTACATGCTGTTGGTGTCATTACAACACAAAGTGTTTTGCCACAGCTAGCTTCAGATGCTAACGTAGAGTACTTATTGTAAATTATGTGCAGTGATACGACCTTGACTCAACGACACTCATTCATACCAGAATTTCCACTCTTTTTTGTTTATAATACGTTGTTGAGAGGAGGAGAAGTGGTGTCTGTGAGTGCAGCAGCTGAACCATTTTTGATTGTGAGGTTGTGAGAGCCACGACAAACAACAAAATTGAGGCTGTTTTGCACTGTGGACGTGTAGGCCTGAAAATGAATGGAGGGAATAAGGGCACCAGAAATGCTGTCAGTGGTCAGGCCCTTGATACCGGATAGATCGGTTACGCGGCAACATAAAATACTCCTCTCTGATTGGCTGGTCACTTTTAACAGCAACAGGGCCGCTACATTGTCTAGAGAAAGTTGAATCTGAATCCCGCTCTCTGAGATGTTATTGACCCTGACATTTAAAAAACAGTAACGCGCAGCAAGATTAAATAACAAAGAATAATGTGTTCTTTCATGCCTTTGTGTGTGGGCATTGTGTAAGCATGAAATGTGTCCTGACAGATAAACTATGAGATTTGGAAACTCCTTCAAGTTGTAAATTACATTCACGTGTCAGGATAATTGTGGCTAAAACAATCAGAGGTCCTAAGATTCTTCAACTAATCTAGCTGTCAATGACACTTAGTGAAATAAAACCAGATCAATTAAACACTGATTGCTTAACAAACAGTTGGAATAGAAAACAAGATTATAAAACCGCAGCCATGTCAGAACCTGCCAGGAAATACTGTGTCTGGCTTTTTGTCAGTGAAGGAAACAATCCAGATTGGTATCTGGAGCTCAGACATCACCTGCCAGCCAAACAGAAATCCACTCTGGCTGAAAAGGATCCTTATATTTGGACAAGAAACCAGCCTGTCTGTCAGTTCCTGGGACCTCTGTCAAGATGTACTGCCAAAGTATTAAAAAAAGGCACTGCTAATGTAAAGAAAGAAAAACAACAGTCAACTATTAATGTTAAACCAATGCTCCATCAATGCTTTTCCTGCCCTTTAACTTTAGTGCGGAGTTTCTCCAAGAGTTAGTTGTGTTGACCTTTTCATGACAATGAAAGGATAAAAGCTGGAGTGGGAAATTTATTTCAGTTTTTTTTGTACTATTTTTAGGATCTGTCTCTGCACCCCAACAGCAATAAAAAAAACAAAGGATTTGACATAAAAAGCTGATATGTGTGGCTGCAATATTATTGCTGATGGCTTCCTGTTACCTGCAGACTTTGTGATCCCATGTTTGCCGTGTTGAATAAGCTGTACTATGATATGACTAGAAAATCAGGCCCCCAGATAAAATGTAGCTTTTAAGATGGACATGTTTATCTCCTACAGTAATGCATTACTCCTCTATTTAATATTTTCCAGTGAACTCTACCAGCATCATCAGTTTACGTGTTCAAAGGAAATGCTTTATTGTTGATTTTTGGATGGATCATTTGATAGTCCAAACTCATCAAACTAAGAAGTCTGAGGCAGTCTTCCTTAATTACAATGGTGAGGTTTGCACAATAGTTGTTGGCCAACGCCGGTCTGTTAGCAATCCTTAAATATGTCAGGAATTTTTGGATGGATTGTAGGGTCATATTTGGACATATACATCCTATTCACTTGGTCATTCCCAGACTTTCTTAGTTTCAACTTTTTTTAGATTGATGTTTTTGGCATTGATTGTCATTTCTCTTTTTCCAACCAGGCAAGAGCGGAGTCTTCTTAGAAACAGTGATTTATTATTTTAAGATAGGATTGTAAGCTCTCACCATGCTAACAATTGATTACCAGCAATCCCTACATGAAAACACAAATAAATGCATATCCTTTGTACTCAGACTGTGAGTAATTTCATCTGTGCTCCATGTCTCCCTTCCAGACTCCTCATATCTCTTTGTGTCACCTCAGATGTGAGTGTTAAACGTTGAACTGCAGGTCCTCACGTGAGGCTCCTGACAGAAACATGTGCATTGATTTCACACGTCATTCCAGCTGCCCTGTAGGAGTAACACCATTGTGGCAGAATGTGGGGTATGTTTCTCGAGATAAGGCGGTCAAACGGTGTTAAATGTCTGGTCACAGGGGAGCATCCCAGGCAGGGAGGCTGAGGCAGGATGGGAGGGCGGCTGACTTGTTTTGACCCCATGCAGGAGCTCTGCTCTCACAGGGGTGTTTACCTATGACCATGTAACAGAAGTATGCAGTGACAGGCTGATTTTGCAACCACAGCTATGCATTGACGGGGTGCCTGAGGGGGCAGGTGGTGTATTTTGACCCCTTGCATTCTTGAATGATGCATTAGGTATGCACCAGTACTACAAATGCAATACTAATCTCTGGAATCTGACTTCCAGACCTCGAGGTCATGCCAGCCTCATACTGGTCCCATGTGATGTTTGTCATATTTTGCAGCAATTCCCGAAACCAAGTTTTCTGTGTAGTAGGATGTTTTTTTGGGATATTTTGGGCATGTATGACTTTTACTGACAGGGCAGCTGCAGAGGGACAGAAAGTTTTGGTAGAGAAGGGTCAGGATGACCTGCAGCAGCAAACACACAGAGTTGAACCTGTGATCACTGCATCGAGGTCTATAATAGAGTGAAAGAAGTTAGTTGTCAGGCCGTCTTTATTAGCAACTGCTCTCTTTTGGGCAGCATCCATCTTTCCAAAAACCAAACCACCTCCATGCATTGAAAATCTTCAAATCTAACAATGCCGATTGCAAGGCTAGTGGTGTGTTGACCCCTGGCACTGTTTGTTCACTTATTCTAGCTGCAGCCTTGCAGGTAGCCAAGCTTGGATGATATCGCACACCCCACATGGCTTGGGGCAGAAAAGTGAGACAGAAAGTTTCAACTTGCCTAATCTCTGAAGGATTAGGATGATTATGTCTTCAAAAATAAGGACATTAGCAGCAGCTCATCCACTAAACGGTGTCTGTTTGTCAAACTTGGAACTGCTTGAATTTCTGGGTCAGTTTGTTTTCAGGGGAGAGAAGTCTACAGGTTATGATGGTCATGCTAAAAAAATCAATTCATGAAAACTGAAGAAATCTTGATCTGAAATCGAGCCGGACATAATCCGTAATTATGAAACTAAAAACTGAACTAAAAAACTATTGCAACAAACATTTTCATTTAAGGTCAGCTTGTCAGTCTGTTGTCGGCCATCTTGATTATTGAGATACTGGCCATACTATCAATAAAGAAAGACTAAATTGATCATATTTATACGATGACTTTGATCTTCCCAGAATTAAAATCAGGTAAAATTTGGGTATTTGTTTGTACAGTTGCTGATGTAAAACAATATAAGACCTTTTGTCTGCCTCTTTCCTCTTTGTGTACTTTCCAGTGAGCTGTCAACTTTCCTGCTTCACCTCTACATATCTGTTCTTTTTAATTAAAAGCGTAGCTGTCCTGTCCTCAGGATGTGAGCTGCCCAGCGCTTGCTTTTAATTTTAGAAAATAAGAAAAACATGCTCACCATGCATGACCACAGTCTCCATGCTCTAACTGCATCCCTTCCTCCACAGGCGGAGATTGGCAGCATCATGGTTTGGCTGCGCGGTGCCCTCGTGACAGGCTGCATTTCCTGGAATAAGCTGGAACCTGAGCCTTGAAAGCCACACCATGGAATGCCTGTAGTACCACACCTCACCTCCATCCAGCCCACCAGCATCAGCAGGAATCACAAACACAAAGAGAGACACAAACAAAATATAGCACACAGAGGAGGAGGACCCTGTGCTCCTGGAGACTCTTTATCTATTTAGGTCAGCCAGCTTGAAAGGGATCATTTGGAGGGAGCAAGTGCCAGGGAGTGAGCGTGAGTGAGCGTGTTTCCCTTTTAGAATAGGTGCCTGCTCTGGGCACTGAGGCCATGAGGCCCAAAACTTTCCCCGCTGCCCCCTATGTGGGTAACACACGCCAGAGGCTTCAGGAGATCAAGGAGGGTCTGAAGCAGCCGGCCAAGCTGGTGAGCCAGGCCCTGCATGGGGGCAGCTCCAGGACCGAGGGCAGCAGAGGGGCCGACTGCAAGAGCGGAAAAGACACAGCCAGTCGCCAGCAGCAGCTCCGACCCCCACAGAAGTTCAACAACTACCAGAATGCCCTGAGGGAAATCAGGAAGTCCCTCATGCCTTTTGCCAACGAGTCTGGCCCCTCTTCAGGGTCAGGACACCCCGCAGGAGCCGGGGAGGTGAACCGGCAGATGCTGCAGGAGCTGGTCAACGCTGGCTGTGACCAGGTGAGTCACAGAGAGTGTGTGAACGAGCATGTGTGGATGGTACACTTCTTGTTAATATTTGTTCCATATGTTTTGTCGCATCTTGTTTTTCGACCCCTACTGTGTGAAAATCTGAGACATTTACAGAAAGCAGGACATGTTAGTTGTCTTGGCAGTAAGTTTCTGTTTCTATAAACTCCACTTCACCCAGATGTCTGAAGCAGCTCTGCCTCCTTCAGTCAGGAATCCCTAATGAAAGCAGTCAGGGGTGCTACAGACTCTTATATGCAATACAATACAAGCCTTTCCTGCCAAGTGCACTTCGCTGTGGTTACATAACACAGGCCTGAGCGTTGGTGTGTTGAAACATCAGGTGGGTTTCCAGAGTGGGCTGTTGAGTCCAGTTTGAGGAATGCGAGAGCACCATCAAACGATGAAGAGCGAGGAGGAAGAGCGAGGGCCTCCTTCACATGTTAACCCTCAGCCTCAGGAACGGCGAAGTGTCATGTGGATTCTGTTAAGCAGGGGTCACTTCACTTTCCTTTGAGTTAAGGAGTTGACCTCCACATCAAACCACAGCATTATTATCCTCAGGCTCTTTGAACCTTTCATTACAACCTCTGTATTTACAGCTTTAAAGTAGCTCTGCTACAACAAGGGGGGGAATTTATGAAGCTGTTAAAGTCTGCACTCCATAAATCAGATTTTATGATGCTGAAGATGATATGAGAAAATATCACATCAACCTCTTGGATCCAAATAACCAAATAAATAAGTTTGCAGCAGCTGTTAAAGGGATGACAGTGATAAAGTAATATGTAAGAATACTACTTTTATTGTCACTTTAACTGTAAATGCATATTCATCATAAACTGTCTGACTACTAATAATGGCTTTTAGTATCTGCCCTGAAAAACAAACATTGCTTGACCCCACAAACACCTAAAAACTGCCCACAGGAGCTGACAAACATAGTAACTGACGCCAGCTATTGGTTTATGGAGGCCCTGTCTGTAAGGGAAGTCAACTATTCCCCCTATTTTGCCTAATTATTCTAAACTTGTTGCTCTCGTATCTTAAAGAGATGAAAATGATTCGCCTCTATGCAGCATACGGAAAAAGAGAAATGGTTTAAGAGGGATCTACTGGTAAATGAACCGGAATGTAATTTTGCTTATGTGGGTTGTAAAAATGGGCATTTAATCGGCGATATTAGTGAGACCCAAGTGGACACTTGAGGAACTGCAGATTACAGACACAGCTCTCCGAACAGGAATTAACTGGTGCTGTCAGGGGCACTTTTGACACAAACTTAACCTTTTAGTAGCATTTGTAACTTTCGGTTAATCTGACAACGTGATCTATCATTATATGATTGTCTATTGCAATTTGAATGAATAAATAGTGGAAGTTAAAGGAGTAAATAGTGTTATAATATATAACTATATAGATAGATGTATAAATGATATATCATTATCTTCTTTCTTAGGGAATGTGAAATCTTTCTTTGAAAAGGCCTGCCCAGTAAAGCGAGAGAAAGAGGCAAATAAACCAAATAACTCGATCACATCATGTCATCAGAAAATGCAGCTGGTCCGGTTTAGATTCGGTACATCAGTGGTTAACAGGCTGGAGGACGGCCCTGTGATGGAGCGCGGCATGTGAAGAATGCTGGGCTCAAGCCCATGCACAGATCTATGAAGAAATCCTCCCACCAGCACCAGAGTTATGGGGCTGCCCCTGCAGGGAGAGGCTGCAGGCCGAGCCACACTTATCACTACCAATAGTACACTGTTTGTTGGTTGTTTTCTGACAACAGACTGGTCTGTTTTTTTATTTTGGGCTGTGCGCTTTATCAGATGAAAAGAAAAGTGGAGCACAAAGTTTCCTCTGCTTTTTTATCTCTATCTCAGGATGAATGTGATTTGTTTTCCATATTCCTCGTTAATTTGTTCTTGTAAAACATGTGGTGAAATGTTTTGTTTCTCTCATAGAGAAAAGCAGACTAGAGGACTGGTTCAGGTGTTTATCTAGTTGTACTGTACCCCTTTGTCTCTGGATCAAATCCAGAACTTTCATGTGGGTAATCTGACACTTTCACACCTGTAAACTCTCCTCTAAAGTGGTCAGTCTCCAGTCTCTAACTTGTAGGCCACATTGGCAGCCATTTCCTTGGTTTCTCTGCCCACGAGTTTACCTCCATCGCTGTCACCATTGTGAGCAGACCAGAGCAGTGCGGGTCCAGTCAATACAAACAGGAAGTGAATATTCAATGGCAGCAGGGTGGACCAGTTCCTTCTGCTACAGCCGAGTCGCCACCCATCGTGTCGCCTCTTCTCCTGCTTTGTCTCTGCTTTGTCAGGGTTATTGACCACCCTTGGTGTGTCTCTGTAGATAAATACGGTCAACATAAACACTCAATTCTTACGAAGAATGCACATTTTGAATCTCTGCTTTGATGCATTTACTTAAATCACCATTAATGATCATTCTCTTGGATTTGTAAAGACATCTCCTCTTGGAATTCATGTCAATTCAAGCAGATTAGGTGAGGCTGAAATTAAATGACAGAAAACCTTTTTACAGCACACTTAATGCAGGAAACAGTGTCTGATGGAGGTGTATATCCCTCCTCTGCAAGATGACCTGATCCAAATGTCCAAGCATAGGTCAAGAAAATCAAAACGAGTTATTAAAATGTCTTCTACCTTTCTTAGTTTGTTGGGATTTCCAACTTGCAGATTCACCTGTTCACTTTACCTCTTATTCAACAAGTTAATACATTGAAAACATACTGGATGTTTTTTTTTAGTTTGATGGTGATGGCGCATCTTGTTTCCAGGCAATCTATAATGTCAAGATTCATTGTCCCATTCCTTGTGCCTGTACCATCTTAAAGGCATATTCCGGCATAAAATGAATTTAGGATCAAACACACCGTAACACCAAGTTAGACACCCCGTCGAGAGATGAATGTTGCCGACCGCTTGCTTCTCTAGTTATGCCAACTTTATTAACGACCGCAGGATAGCAATACACAGCGGTCTGAGGAGCCATAAACAAACCTTAACCAAAACACCACTCTATAGCCACAAATAATGCTCAGAACAGCACCTAACTTCAACAGTACATGTAGGGTCCCAGCCACAGCACTAGCCACCAAACATTATTTTTGCTTTGCCTGATTTCTTTAGCAAAGAGACTAAACACAACTCACCTGCTCTTTTACAGCAGCTGCTTGTTTGTAGCGAGACCTTGACCAGTCCATCATCGACTAAGGCGGGGGGACGCAGCTCAAGGAACAACATTTATGATCATTACTTTATCATTTCTTTGAAGTAATAATCACCATATTAATCATTTTGAACTGCAGATGTGTAGTTCCTCTGCCTTAGCGTCTTTGTCTGATTGCATTTCCATGAAGTAATGATCAGAAATGTTCTTCCTTGAGCTGTGTTCCCCCGCTGTAGTCCGTAATGGACTGGCCTGAGGTCTCGCTACAAACAAGAGGCTGCTGCCGGAATATCCCTTTAACCCTCACAGACTCGTACGCTTGGACATCTCAAGTCTGAAGGCCCTGACAATCTAGTGCTTGGGCTTTGGGTTGCAGATTGGGATGGAGTTTATATCCTTGGCCACCCCATATATTTTTTCTTCTTCTTCTCCTCTTCTTGAGAACGCCCTGACTCTTATCAGCTAACCCCATCTTCCTGCCCCACTTAAGAGTCTCCCATCTTTTCCAGCTGCAAATTACAGAGCAATGTGGCTCGTTACATAATCACTTTTTTCTTTTTTTTAAAGGCGGAAATGTTTTGGTGAGGGAAAGAAGGTGGGGGGTGCATGCCACGCATCAAGATGACAGGGAGAAAGGAAATGAGGTGAAGGAGGGGTGTTTTTCCTTCCCTCAGATTCTCAGCCCTCTCCATAGGCCCTGAGCGTATATGTGTTTGTATGTATGTACTGTACAAACTGCGGCCAGGAAGGAACCCGATGCACGCTAAGCATTTTAGAGCCTTAAACGTGTGAACACTGTGGGGTTTATGTAACGGTTAAGCTAACAGGATGTGACTTTAAAGCGGTGTGTGTAAGTCTTCATGGTTTGTATGTTAGGTTGTAGTACGTGGCTTTCCTCAGCTCACACTGTATGGATTTGTAATGAAGGCGTCACCTCACTTTAGCTTATTTTGCACATTTTCATGCTTTTAAATGAGTCAAATAAATAAGAAGGATGTGTTTTACAGCCCTTCCTTTTGGCCTGTTCATCCATCTGCACTTTGCTCTTGAACATCCTCCATATGGCTTTGATTTTCAGGGTCCCACGCTGGAATGTGTTTCCGCCAGAATTGGGTCAAAGAGTCATTTAATATCAAAAACAGTCGGGATAAAACTTTCACCACCCTTGTGAGAAGAGAAGGTGTTTGTACGAGCCTGTGTTCGAGCTTGTTATGATGGCGTTTTTGTGTTTGCAGGCCTGTGATTATGCATTTGGGATAACTCGGCGGTCTGCGTCCCACAGCCATTATGATGAGGGTACAAATGTGGAGGAGATATTTTCAACAAAGAGAAAGAAAGACAGAGTTTGGAAGAAGAGTTTCCTGAGTGCAAATAGCTTGAATTCCTGCTTCCTGGGCCGAGGAATGTGAGAGGGGAACATCTGTCGCCATGACAGCCAGGGTCACCAGACCCGCCTTCACTCGGCACATACACACACACACTGGAACACACACAAGAGGAAGCAAAAGACAGTAAAAAGAAGTGGAGCACTTTTGTCTTTGATTGTACATTGTGTACATTTTCAGACCTGCTCAGTCACTCAGTTTAGTCCAAAGGTTTTATACTGTTTTCAAATTCTGCTTTACTGCTCTGCCATAAAAAGTAGAGTTGAAAGACAGCCAAGAGCAAGGAAATATATATTTATGAGTAAAATCACAAGTGGACTCTGATTTAAGCTTGTTTCATCCAAAGACTGCTCAACATGGATGTAGTTTCAGTAACTTCACTCTTTGGCATATAAAGAGTTGCAGTGTTTCCCACACATTAATTTTTTTGTGGCTTCCCGAGTTTGAGCAAGTTGTCATCTGTGATCACACAGCGGATTAATTAACTCCTCCTCCTTAATGGCTAAAATTAGATTTTTAAAATCAGATTCTGCTGCCAAAATAGGCATATGTGGATTGCAATCCAGACTCCTTGGTTTTTGGAGCTAGCCCCAAGTGGACACTCCAGGCAGGAACTGCAACTTTTTGCACTTAAGCATTGCCTCGATTTTTTTCAGCTTTGCAGTTTATTGGTTGTTTGTCTATTATCTATGTTTAGTGTATTGCACGAACATTTCTAAATGACAAAATGAGGAAAAATATGATTTAAGTTGGTGGTAACTGCAGAAAAATGAAGCCAAGATAATGTCGAGGTCAGGAGTTGTATTTGCAAAATCGGACAGATATGTTTTTTTTTCTAAACTTCTTTTCAACTGGAGGATAAAAGTGCGAATCAGATTCGCCTCCTTGCTCGAGCTTGTCTGAACCAACATTTAGATAAGAATGAATCTGGTTTATACATACTACAGTTTAACACCGCATTTGACTGCTGGGTTGCTGGTCATAGTCGCTTTAGCCAGAGAAGCAAACAAAAAGATGAATTAATGATGCCATTTTTCAAAAGGAACAAAATACTAAACTTGAAAGAAAGGACCTTGCACAAAAAAGAAGGAAACAGGAGAAGTTTAACAGAGAGAGAGAGAGAGGGATAGAGAGAGAGGACATAATGTGACATTACTGGGCGTCTCTGGTAGCCAGCTCTCCCTCTCTACTGACTACGCAGGAATGCAACACATACACACACAGAGCATGCACACACATACAGGAAAAAAAAGAGTATAAACAGTGGTGTGTGTTTGTGTGGATGGTCAGTCTTGGACTCAGGGACACAGTTACAGGGCCAAAAGCAAGCGTGTGCACACTGCGTGCAGTTGTGTATTTACACCTACAGTTTCACACACGCTGTGATGGACACACATACACACAATCATGCACGCGCACACACACAGAAAGTGTGTGGCTCTGGCATTTCCTGGCTTTCAGAACGAACTGTGCCCACTGTTGCTGTTTGAAAGGTGATCTCTGCTTTACATCCAATGAAATATTATAAAGAAAATATGTGCTGGTGAATCAAAAAATGCTGTGAGAAGCAGTGAATGAAATACAGTTTCACTGCGTTTCATTTCAAGCTTCATCCTCCCAGCAATCCGTCCTTTAAAGCTTTTCTGTTTCAAAAAATATACCAAAAATCAAGTGTTCTCAGTTAGCAGTAAATGATGTCAGTGCAGCCAAAGTCCATTAAAAAGATCACCTAAATCTACCTTAGGACCAAAAATGCAACACAGTATAATAATGATGAACGGCAGAAATGAGGAGAGGGACAAAAACAGGTTTGAATTGTGAAAACATTTTTGCACTTTAAGGTTAATCCAAACAAAAAATGTTTGTTTAACCTTTTTTTAATCATTTTGGCTCTGACTCAACCTTGAGACTGCTGAGTGATTTATGAACCTGCAGCAGAACTTTAAATCTCCATGAATGATCCTGAAGCCATCGTAAAGATTTAAAAGTAGGAACAATGTGCTCAGTTCTCCTGGTTCTTGTTAGAAATCTGGCAGCAGCGGGCTAAATGAGGTTTAATGCTCTTTGTGGGAGGAATAGTAGAGAGACCGTCACAGTTACCCATAAAAATGCCTCTTTTGAAAGCATTAGAGTGTTTTTTTATATGCAAGTATGATTTTATTACCATAACCTTATGTTTAAGATACTAAAGCTGCAGTTTTAGACTATGATACAATTTCCATATCATGAGGTTACTCTAGAAATCATTTTAATACTTAAAAAGAAGAATTAGAAATAGCTTTAAAGTATGCAACTGCTTCTTTTTCAGTCTGAGCTCTGAAATGAATTTTCCATTGTGGCTGCAACTCATCATTCTGTCCAGCAGGGGTGCTGCACTGTTTGAGGCTGAATGGCAGCTCTGTCAGAGCAGCAGGGCTGGGCAGAGGTCTGAGTTAAATGTCTTTGCAGTGAAGTCATTTGCCATTTTAGGGGATTTCCTCATCTAGGTGTGGGTCCCTCAGTCAAAGGGGGGAAGCCAGATTTTATTTGTGCTGTGTGTGTATGTGTATCTGTGTGTGTTGTGTTTTTGTCACTCTGCACAGTCCTGTTTGTTTACACTTTTGTTATTACAAAAAGACAGAAAGTTCAAGGAGATTAAGACACAGAAAACCCCTACTCCTGTCATTATGAAAAATATTACAGCTGCATTAAGGTTTCTTCTCATAAACAGTCATTATGCATTTTAAAATCTGACCATCAAAGTGTTGAATATTTTGAGGATCGTCCTAATTTTAGTTGTTTTATATACAACTGCAGGGCAGGTTTAGTAGGTCAGGGCATCTCTGCAGCTCTATGTCTCTTCATCATTATACTGTGCTCGCCAACATTTAATCTTTATTGAACAATTTGGTGTAGCACTCAGTCATAATGCTGTGTTTTGACGATTTTACTTAAAATGGAAATAAAACTCTGAAGTGCAAAAACAGATTGCATGTCCAGGAAACTAAACATACCACAGTTTTAGCAATATCAACTGTCAACAATATCATAACATGATGACAGCTTGTTGACACGTTTAGGGTGTGAGTTTTATTGTAACATCTTTATAAAGAGATGAAAGAAAACCTGAAAATGTATTTCCTGTAGCTCTGAGTGGGTTGTAAAGTCTACCTTTCTGTAAAGTGTGAGTTTGTCTCCGTTTACTTGAGACTGTGTAACTTGTATCTGTGTATCTTGTAGTCTGTATCTTTTAGCCAAGAGCTGCTAACAGCTTTCAGTTTGGAAGCTTTTGTTCTAATGTGCTGACTAACCTTCTGAATCCTTCATTGTCGACCACAGAGAACATTTGTAGGTCTTGGCTTGATATTCAGGGATAGATGTTGTGACTGTGACCTCTCCGGTTCTCACACTCGCCTGGGTGGATGGTTTCTTTCTGGCTTTTATTGGGGGTGATGATTTCCAAAGTGGCTTCTCATATTACACATATTCCTCTATGTGTGTAGGTCACTGCTATCGAGTAGTGTCTTCATCAGGTTCTTTCTTGTTTGTCTGTCAGAGAACAATATTCGTATTTATGTTGTATGAAACAGGAGTCTGCTACAGTACTCTGAGAAACAGCCTCTTCATTTAGTCTGTCGAACAGTAAGTCTGGCTTTTATTCTCGAAAATAAGACATTTCACTCTTTGGTCTTGATGTAACCTCATCTCATCTACTTGGTCTTTGTCAGGGTGAGCTTGAAGGCCTTTGGGCTGAAAAGACTTTTAAGATCTTCTGCTCTGTATTAACACAAGGAACTGTAGGAATGATTGGCATCACTTAATAAAAGGTAAACCTTAGAGGAATGCTCTCAATGTTCCCTCCTTCACATTTTTACCACCATAAATTACTCGGGAGGGCCAATGAATAGAAAATGCCAAAGTGGTTAACCAACATTTTTTACATTGGTGACCTAAATACCTCTGGGCTTTTACAGTGACCCACCTGTTGGAGCCTGGGATGAGCTCCTGCCGCACCACCTGCGGGTTTGATTAGGGAGGGAGATGAGCCAAAAGGCAAATATTTCATAAAGAAGCCATTCTGCTAAAAGAGTACAGAGAGACAAAAACAGTCTATGAAGAAGGAGAGGCAGAAGAAGACATACTTTGTTACTGTATAACAAATACAGTATATAGAGTATCAAAACATGCACTCAATTCAGTGGCAAAACACCCCCCAGAAACCATTAATGTGTATCGTAAATGTAAATAAACAGCGTTTATTTTAACCAAGCAGCAATTCTGCACCGAGCGCATCAACATCCTCCGCCTGCTTCCCCAGCGACTAATCTTAGTGAATTCTCCCAAAGATTTGCAGCTGCATTCTCACATTTTATCCTAAAAGGTTACAAGGAGGTGATAATGTTGTTTTTGCTCTGAATGTCAATATGACAATTTGAGTGTCTGTAGAGAAAAGTGACAACATATCCATCAGTCAAAGAGTACTCGATTATTAAACCACTCGGAAGTAGGTAGATTCAGGTTAAGGTAGAAGTAATGTCTTGAAAATGTCAAGTTTGCATTTGAAAAGAAATGATTAGGGAGTGAAATTAGAGTTGTTAAAATGGGCTGAGACATGTCAGAACATCAGTAAAGTCTGGTCAACCGTGACTGTTGGCGCCCCTGAGGTGAACGCAGCACCACACCCTGCTACAACCAGTGATTCATTGATGGGAAATAATTGCACCATTTACAAATGATCGTACGATGTTATGATAATTACCTTGGCTGAGTTTATTTAATGCTTTCATGCTGACTAAGGATCTACGCTCATCATTTTCCAGAAGAGCTGCTCCACTTTCCTCAGCTGTAATTCTTTTATATGAAGCAACGATCGAACTGTCGTCAAACGTTTTTACTGCAAAATTAAGTTGAAGAAATGCTGAATTTCTGCATTCTTACTTTAAAGTATTCACAGTTTCTACAAAGTAGGATTATTGGACTGAATTTGTACGTTTTGTGTGTTGGAAACAGGCACAGGAAGTCACTGGTATGTGACCTCAAGTGAAGAGGATGCAGGTGTTTGAGCTCCCACTGAGCCAATTTTTTAAAACTGTGTTTGTCTTTTAATGTTGTTTTTACAGACACCTCTGGAGTGATTTATCCTCACTTTGGACAATACCTGCCTGCATATTTTCTGTGATTAGTTATTAGTGACTGCAGATGTGTGTTTTGAAGCTGATTTCCCCAAACAGTGGAGTTTTTTCTTCTGAATGTTTGCACAGATTTGTTGTCTTGTTCGCTTATTCTTTGTTCAAACAGATCCTGATTTAGGTTTACAGTTTTGAAGTTTCTTTTGTCTAGAAAGCATCTTGATTCCAGTTAGGGACAATATTATTATTTCATTGTTACAAATAAACTGTTAATGTCAGTGTTGGCATATACAGCGGTAATCTCAGTCTCAAACATTTTACAAAGTTCAAGCCCTCCATACAGACTCTGAAATGGCTCAGTCTGTAGCTTGTGTTGCTTTAAAAACACATCTGTCCTTGAGTTTTGTTCGAGTCAGAGTGGGGATTTTCTAAACTTTTCCTTTTGTTTGTGTTTTCCTTTCAGGAGATGGCCGTGCGGGCGCTGAAGCAGACTGGGAGTAGGAACATCGAAGCTGCTTTAGAGTACATCAGCAAAATGGGTTACCTCGACCCTCGCAATGAGCTCATCGTCCGTGTCATCAAGCAGACTTCACCGGGTACAAATACCATTTTATATACATATTTTTACTAAACGTGCCCCATAATCAATTCATACTAATAAAGTGGCTTATTGATTGATCTTGTTCTTTATCGTTTTAGGAAAAGCTGGCATGCCAAATGCGATGGACCACCGCCCTCCATTAGAGGCGTCAGGGGAGGCGGGTGCCATGCCTCCATACCACCAGATGGGGGCTCCAATGTATGAAGGGGCAGCAGGATATGGCCCCGAGGGAGAGATGCCCAGACCCTACATGGGTGCTCCACCTGGGATGAACTACATGATGCCCCCATCTGGTGCCACACAGGGCCCGGCCATGGGAAACCCAATGGGTCGACCTCCCAGTATGGGCACTTATCCAGCAGTGATGGCCCCCCAGAGCAACCAGGCCAACAACATGTACCCTTCAGGGGCCCCACAGAAGGGCTACCCTGGAGGTATGGAGCAGCATGGCCCCATGATGAGCTACAACGTCCCTGGTCAGCCTCTGCAGCTCCAGCCTCAGCCACCAGGGGGCCCTGTTCCTGGTCCACACTATGATTACGGCCACACCAGACCACACATGATGGAGCCAGCAGGCTATGGTGTCAAGAGGACTGCCTCCTTCCAGAACAAGATGGCACCGCCCCCAATGGCACCTCCTGACAACTACGTCAACATGCAGGGGAAAGGGGCCATGGGCCAGAACGGTCCAGGAGGAGGAGGCGGAGGTTACCCTGCAAACCTGTACCTGCCCCCTCATTCTCACCCACGCCAGGCCAGCCCAACCTCCCACCAAGTCCATATGATGTCCCGCTCCCCAGGTGGGGTGGCAGCCATGGGGCCTGACTTCTCCGATATGCCTCAGGGCTTGATGACTCCATCCAGGGCCAGCCTGAACTTAGACCTGTACGAGCACCACTGGGCGGGGCCTCCAGGTCCTGAAGGAGCTCCTCCAGCCAGGCAGCCGCAGCCTCAGGGCCCGTTTAGAGGGGAAGTGCGTGTTCCCAGCAGAACCAACTCCTTCAACAGCCGCTCCGCAGGGCCAAATGGAGTCCGACCTGCAATGACTGCTCCACCTACCACCGGTAAACAAGACCCCTCATTGGGACCCCCAAACACCATCACAGCTGTAACATCTCCGCCCATCCAACAGCCGGTGAAGAGCATCCGTGTGATGAGGCCAGAGCCAAAAACAGCTGTGGGACCATGTCATCCTGGCTGGATGACAGCTCAGACCCAGGAAACACCTGAGCCCCTGGGCTACATGCCTGAGGAGACCTACCCACTGGAGCCAGCTCAGGAGCCACGCTGTCCTCCTCCGCCTTACCCCAAAAACCTGCTCATGTGTGGGGCAACTGGCGAACAGGGAGCCATGGAGGGAGCAGCATCCATGTGTGGAGCTCCAGATCTCAACAACCCCGCCCCCAGAAACACCCACGGCGGCAGCGGAGGGAGCGGAAAAGGCGAGGAGAACCAGCAGGTGAAAGAGAAGACCAAGATGGGAAAAGGAGAGAAAACGGTGAAAGACAAGAAGCAGATCCAGACGTCACCTGTTCCAGTGAGGAAGAACGGGCGTGATGAGGAGAAAAGAGAGTCGCGCATCAAAACCTACTCACCTTTCGCTTTTAAGTTTTACATGGAGCAGCACATAGAGAACGTGATGAAGACGTACCAGCAGAAACTGAACCGCAGACTTCAGCTGGAGCAGGAGATGTCCAAGGTTAGACACAAAACGAGGCACAAGCTCGTTAATGTTTCCTGGTAGTTCAGTTCCCCACTTAAAAGAAAAAACTGAACTATCCTCTTGAGGGGCTGTAACCAGCTTTTGTTTGTGATTACTTAACATCAAAATAGTTTTTAATTTTATTACCATTAGCAAAGTTGATGTTTTTAGCCTCAAAAACTCCAGACAGATTTGTATTTTGTGCACCTCAGGGATTATGAAAACACGTAAGAGGCACACAAACATGCTTGGGATGAAATTGAAAACGCGGCTGGTATGTTTACTTTGTCTCAAACTCTTCTTATGTAAGCGTCACTATTACATAAGTAGCAACATATTTCCTAGAAACAATTTAACGAGAAATTGTTGCTCTTTTTTAAATTTCTAAATATAACCTCAGTTGACCGGCAGGTTATCTGAGATTTAAATCTGTTATCTGAGGGATACCTCGCCAAGAAAGCACAAAGTCCAAGGTGAAACATGAAAGAGTTTCCAGTCAGGCAGACATTTGTAAACTTTCAGAGACATTTTTAAAACCCCTAGCCCAGCTTAGAGACCTTTAATTTAATAAGTAATAACAGCAAAATGTTCAGTGTGGAGATAATCCAGTCTTTCACAAGTTCCCTCTGGAAGTTGATTTCATCACATGTAGATAAAAAATTATAAATTGGTTTCTGTTTTTAGCCGAAAAATCAATCTGGAAACTCAGTGAGATTCTTTAGAAATGTCAGGGGTCATGCTTTAGCACCAGTTTGGTGTTTCTGTGTACCAGATGAGAATGATAATGGCTTTTTAAGTGATGTCCTAGAGCTTGTCATGCAGAGAATTCCCCTTCAGGACTAAGTTTCAGACAGTCAGACCTTTGTGCAGGAACACAGAGTAAGTGAGTTCTTACTTGTGTTTGTGTGGGCTTGTCCTGAGTCATGACTTTGGCCTTTTGCCCTTTTGACCTGCTGTGAAGCCTTTTTTTAAAGAGAAGAAAACATGCCAAAGCTCAACCCAGACAGTTGGATACAATAATTAGTTTAATTTGAAAACAAAGGTTGGGGCGCTGGGGTCGAGACATGTCAAATTAACATGTCTTTAAGCTTTTCCTTTTAAGCCATTCATTGTTATTTCACCAGCTTTCTTCCATCCATGTCCTTCCCCTCCAGGCCGGCTTATCAGAAGCAGAGCAGGAGCAGATGAGGAAGATGCTGAACCAGAAAGAGTCCAACTACAACAGGCTTCGCCGAGCCAAAATGGACAAGTCCATGTTTGTCAAAATCAAGACGCTGGGAATCGGGGCCTTTGGTGAAGTGTGTCTAACTCGAAAAGTGGATACAGGTGCACTTTATGCCATGAAGACGCTGCGCAAGAAAGACGTCCTCAACCGAAACCAGGTTATTCAACTTCCTGCTCGATTAATATACAAATGAATCCACGCAGAGAACAATGTGCCCTTTTATAGTGTCATTACTGAATCTTTACATTCTCAGTGGTTCTGATGCACATGGGTACTTTCTCATTTCAGGTGGCCCATGTGAAAGCAGAGCGTGACATCCTGGCGGAGGCAGACAACGAGTGGGTGGTGCGTCTCTACTACTCCTTCCAGGACCGTGACAGCCTCTATTTCGTCATGGACTACATCCCTGGAGGAGACATGATGAGCCTGCTCATAAGGATGGGTGTCTTCCCCGAACCCCTGGCTCGTTTCTACATTGCCGAGCTGACACTGGCCATCGAGAGCGTTCACAAGATGGGCTTCATCCATCGAGACATAAAGCCTGACAACATCCTCATCGACCTGGATGGACATATCAAGCTGACTGACTTTGGTTTGTGCACAGGTTTCCGCTGGACGCACAACTCAAAGTACTACCAGAAAGGTGAGGGAGTGTGGGATCGTGGCTGTACATCTAAAATCTGAGCTAGCAGACTCACATTCACAGGATTTAAGACACGTACATTTCACTTCCCCTGATTTCTAATGGTGGATTGTGTTTCATGTAAATCCTTTTTATTTTAGTTGACTTTAAAGCTCAGTGTGTATTTTGTATTTTAAAAAAGAGGCACCAATAAACAGTTCATGTAAGATCTTCAAGCACATTCAAGTCAGTTCAGTTTGATTCTCTACTAATAGGACCTTTTAAAGTGCTGCCAACAAATCCGAGTGTATCCTTTCCTCTCAAGCGAATCCAGGCCCTGTGCCATGGTACGTATTTCTGTGTGGAGGTAAACACATCGTCACTATTCTTCTCTCTGCAGGGAGCCACGTCAGACAGGACAGCATGGAGCCCAGCGACTTCTGGGACGATGTGTCGAACTGTCGCTGCGGTGATCGGCTAATGACTCTGGAGCAACGAGCAAACCGGCAGCACCAGCGCTGTCTTGCTCACTCACTGGTGGGAACGCCAAACTACATCGCTCCGGAGGTGCTGCTACGCAAAGGTGAGAAAGAGTGTGACAGATAATCATTGAAAACATCCATCCAGAAATAGAAATAGAGATACACAGCTCCAACAAAAATGGGTCACTAAGAACCTGCCTGAACTAGACTCAAAATTAATATGTAGGTGTTAGTGTGGATAATGTAGAGGGGGAGAAGAAGCAAAGGCTTTTGGAGGCGCAAAAAAAGTCAGTAAAGAACTTTTTATTTGAAAAGCTGCCGGGAAAAAATGCATTTTAGTCCTTAGCTGTTGTCAGTATCTCAAGGACAAATGTTAGGATTTTATCTTTTTAAACAGACCAAAACAGACGAGTTTGTTTCCTTCACCTGCTGCACAACATTGACGTTGACGGGTTGGCTCCAAATGCCTTTGCAGTTTTGGGCTGAGCACACCAGCTCTTTACTAGCATCAACTAATTCAGAAAATGTTAACACGATTAATTGTTCTCTGTTACCAAATCGTCCTTAAGCAGAAGACATATTTTTGTTTTAGGTTTACCGCATTTTTATAAGCTTTTACTGCTGGACAAACGACTGTACGTCTCTTCAAATGCTCACTAAAGTATGACTGTAAAGAAACTGGCACTCGCAGATTAATCTCACATTTGCATCTTGTACTCAGGCTACACCCAGCTGTGTGACTGGTGGAGCGTGGGAGTGATCCTCTTTGAGATGCTGGTGGGACAGCCGCCCTTCCTCGCTCCGACACCCACTGAGACTCAGATAAAGGTCAGTGAAAAGGAAAAAAAAAAATCCGGCTGCTTTAATGTGAAAATGAAAACATTGATCAATGGATGGATCAATGTCAGCCCGGTGTCCCTGGATCAACCTCATTTCATCTGTCTGTCCACCTCTTTTCAGTGCAGCTGAATGTGAACTCAGACATGTTTGAATCATATCAGCAAAAGCTCTGCAGCGCTGCTCTTTTTGTTCAGTTTGTTTGGCCAGGTGAGAGCGAGGTCATGTCGTATCAGTCGGCAACAAATAACACAACAAAACTGTCAGTCTGAGTACCTTGGAAAGAAAAAGAAGTGCAGTTTTTTTTTTTTGGAAGGGGATAAAATGTGAGAAAATACAACATTCAGCATCTCAGCTTAGCTTGTCACTTCTCTCTAAGAGCAGAGCAGTCTTACACACCAGCAGCAGCAGAGCCGAAGTAGCACACTTTTCATCTCATTAAATTCACTGGCCATCCGTAAGATGAAAAGCTAATATAGATAACCAGCCAAATGCCACATTTAGTCTGTCTACCCTGATAATCTGTAAACTTTTGTAGTCAGAGGTGTACAAACTGAGAATATTAGTAAGTGAGCAAGCTATTTGTATGAACTTGTAAGAAAACTGAAATACATCTAGAATAAATCTTCGTCGTCGTTGTTTTCTTCCGCTTCATCTGGGTCCGGGTCGCAGGGGCAACAGCTTCCAAAGGGAGGCCCACATGGCCCTCACCCCAGCCATCCACCAGCTCCTCCGGGGGGATTCCCAGGCGCTCCCAGGCCAGGCGACAGATACAATCCCTTCACCTGGTCCTGGGCTGGCCACAAGGTCTCCTCCCGGTGGGACATGTCTGGAACACCTTTCACAGGAGGCGTCCAGAAGGCATCCTAACCAGATGCCCGAGCCACCTCAGCTGACTCCTCTCAACGTGGAGGAGCAGCAGTTCTACTCTGAGCGCTTCCCGAATGTCCGAGCTCCTTACCCTATCTCTAAGGCTGAGCCCAGCCACCCTGCGAAGGAAACCCGTTTCGGGCGCTTGTACTGGAATAAATCTTATCCTGGATTTTTAAACCATGTGTTCTTGTAAATGCGTCAAACTTTTTGTAGTTAAAAGTTTGTTGTCAAAATCATTTACAAAATCTGTGTGCCTACAAGAACTTTTCTGGTTACCACAAGTCAAGTCAAAGTTGTTCCCCTATTTTTAAACAGACCGATCTTTATCAGTCTAACATGTCTCCCCTCTGCAGGTCATTAACTGGGAGAGCACCCTGCAGGTGCCCGCTCAGGTCAAACTGAGTCCTGAGGCCGTTGACATCATCGGGCATCTCTGCTGTTCAGCCGAGGATCGTCTGGGTGCAAACGGCGCCGGAGAGATCAAAGCCCATCCCTTCTTCACCCAGATGGACTTCTCCAGCAATCTGCGGCAGCAACCTGCGCCCTACAGACCCAAGATTGCCCACCCCATGGACACATCCAACTTTGACCCCGTGGAGGAAGAGGGTGGTCCAGGAGCGTGGAGCGACAGCGGAGACAGCACCCGAGCTCTGGACATGCTCTGCTCGCCGCACGGGAAGCACCCAGAGCACGCCTTCTACGAGTTCACCTTCCGCAGGTTCTTTGATGACAACGGCTGCCCCTTCCGCTACCCTAAACCACCTGAGAGCTGTGAGGGGCCACAGAGCATGGCTGGAGCCGCCTGCATGGGGCCAGAGGAAGAAGATGAACAAGAAGAGGAGGAGGAGGAGGAGGAGGAAGATATTGAGGAGGGAGAGCAGGGGGAGGGGTGCGAGCCGGTGTATGTCTAGAGCTGTGCCTAAGCGGTGTGTTTGATCACTCCTCCTTACCCCCAGCTCATGACCCTTCCGCCTGCTCTTCGTTTGGTCTGTGTGTAGAGGCTGCACAGGTGTGTCTGTGTGCGTTCAGGCAGGTTTGACGTGTGTGATTGTTGTAGGAGCAGGACTGACGAACATCGCCACCTTGTGGATTCTATAGCTCGTCCACGAGGACTTCGAATACAAATCTCCCATGATCCGGGGACCAAGAAACAACACTGACTACATGATAGTGCAGCATCTGCAGTTACAAGATTAAAAACCTGCGCAGGTCTAAAAAAGACAGTCAATACTCTTGGGAATGTAAGGATGTCTGGATCACAGATAAGATTTCTGATTTAAGACTGCTCCTGGTTCCTCCAGTGCCTCCTCGTCCCATTCCTTCCACCCTTGTGTCTTACAGACGACTGAAAAACCTCCACGATCCTTGATCTTTAAAAAACAGGAGCAGCCTCCTGTTTCACCCGGGCTGCTTTACACTCAGTATTGGATACAGCGAGGAGTGGAACATGTTAATGGTGAGGGAAGGGGAAGACTGAATGAGCAACATGCCTCTTTCACAGCTGCTGCAAAATAAGCTACAAAGACACATGCATGCACGTGCACACATTCACAAAGAATTATCCTGGGCAGGTCATGCACAGTCATCAATACGGACGAGGTGTTTGTCTCTGCGGGTAGATTTCGTTGTCCGTGTTGTTATTCCGAGAAGTTCACTCAGACTATGTGGAGAAAACACTCAATGACACACATTTATGAGAGAGTATGCATCCCATTTGGCAGCATCAGGTCGTGTTTTTGGATACATTTCTGTCTTTTCAGTTTGAATATCAACTTTTAGCCAATCAGTTTTGAAAATTCAAGACTATTTAACCAAAAATTGTCTTCCACAGCTGCCTCAACATGTGCCAATTGTTCTTTCTGTTTAAAAATGGAGCCAGTTTCTTCCTCCCTCAAAGTTTGCTGATTCAAAATATCAGTATATCAATGGAATTATCTGTTACTAATTCTCACGTCTATCAGATTAAGGTCAGACTGTTTGTGCAAATTCATCAGTCAGACATATCCAAATTAATTTTAACAGTCTGGATACACGCTTCAGTACGGATGCTCTGCCTACTCATTTGCGATTTTAATGTATCACATAAAACAAGACAAGGAAAGACAACATCAATTGCAATAATAATGATCCAATTGAAATAACGGGCTGTACTGCGAGTCTTAAAAATAGGATTTGGCTTCTGCTGACTCAGTGTTTCCAACGATTTCAAACCCTGCAGACAAAAAAAAAAAATCCATGAACTTGCAGGAACAAAAGATATATAGAGAGAGGAGTTTAGATCAGTGCATCATGCATGCTTTTAAATTCAACTCAAACTGCAGAGCGAATTGGATCAGATAAGCCGTTTTCTTGTGATCGGATTAACTCCTTGTTTACCGGAGCTGTGGAAAGCTCCCTTGCTTTGTTTTATGGACATAGCTGACTGAAAACTGAAAGAAATCAGAGCCAGACCTGGACAGGGGACTGAATCGCTTTTCGACTGAGAATCAAACTCACACATTCACCAAGGTGCACAATATTCACAGCTATTTTTTTTTTTTTTTTTTAGCAAAGATCAGTCCTTCAGATGCATTGAAACTTAACCAGCCTCCCCTGATTTCTGGAGGTGGTCATGGAAACAAAACATGTTCTTACAACAACAGATGTGTGATAGTATGACTATGTGCAATACAAAAAAACATTATATATAGTTTTCTAAACACTTAATATCCTTTTTTTGTACTGAAATGTACAAATATATTGGTTTATATATATTTTCTTTTTTCAGTTACAACATGCTGCTTATTATTGTGGTTAATATTATTTACATTATTATGATAATTGTTACATTTGTACCTGTTTCCTTTTGTTGTGGCTTAAAGGAGTGTTGGCTTTAGCTGCCATGTGTGCCTGGGTTTGAGAGTAATAAGCTGTGTGCCTTTCTAATTGAATGTTGGAGTGTGTGTCACCACTCTGTGACGAAGGAGACGACGGTGATTGATGATGACGAGCAGTGTTTTTGCAGAAATACGGATGGTGGGCTCTTTTTCGCCTCCTGCAGCTGGGCTGGTCCTGACCGCAGGAGAGAAAGGAGGTTAAAGGATGAGAGAACGGAGAGGATAAAAAGTTTATACGACGATGAGGAGCGAGGCAGGTTGGCTTCAGGAGATGTAATCTGAAAAAAAGAACAAATAGCTTTGTGTATTTTACAAAAAAACAGCAAACTTCAACAAAGTGTAAGTGTTTGGTACATTTTCTTTATTTATCCAAAATGACCACAAGTTTGAGTGTTGTTTGAGCTGTTTTTACCACAGAGCCGTGCCATGTTCTGCATTTGAAAACACTATCCCCCAGTATCTCCTTGCTTTATGACAATCAAACAATAATAACTGCTCTCTGGGAGGCGTAATGAGCTGTTTTTGTTCAATTTCCAGCAGTTCCAACAGTATTTAAAAATTGACCGGGGATGCTACAATTGTCAGAACATTTATTACTTTCTGATGCGTAACCGGCAGAATGATTGATTGAAAACGTGTGGATAAAATTTGTTACAAAGGATTTTCTTTTCTTTTTTTATTTTTATTTTCTTTTGCTTGACAATGTAATGATTTTTTTTCTGTCAATGTGCCTTGTGGTCTAATATGAGCAGCACAATCTTCACAGGTCGCCTTCTTTTTACAACCTGTCCTTCACAGACCTCTTTTACCTGTTTTTACTCTTGGTCTAGGTATGTCGACAGACTCACACTGGCTTTGATTACATGCAGCAACACTCCTGATCCTAATCTAGTCTTTTAGTAACAGTTGGTGAATTTTGATAAGTGGGAAATTAGAGGAGTTGGGGTCGACAGTACTTAACTTTTTTGTTTTCCCATCAGCTTTATGCAAAACTAATATTGGACAGAAGTAATGAATGCATTAACTATAAAAATAATTAGCAGATTAATAAATTTTGGCGTTAATAGCTGCAGCTTTTCCTCTATATTTTACGAAAAATTACCATATACTCTGCACTCCTTTGTCGCAGTGTTTCAGCTATTTTCAGGGCTGTTGCTGTTCTCTTTATTCAATTTTGGTGGATATTCCAAATTTAGTACAACAGACAGAAATTTTTGTTACTAAAAATTGTGTTTCATGGTGAACCCCACTGGTTTGAAACCAGTGTGCTGTATGTAAACAAAGCCAGTGTTGCTTGTGATCTGCCTAAATCAATGGAATCTGTCTTTCCAGAGCAGCCCATCTAAATCCATAATAGATGGAGCTTTGCATGAAACACCAGAGATGGTTTTACACTCTCCCCAGTACGTCTTCGCTTGCTGGTCCAGACTTGCCTTCCCTTCTCTGAACTTCTCAGTGACTCAGTGTTGCCATCGACCAGGACAGACTGCTTCATGAAAACATAGCTTTATAAAAGAGTGTGTGAGGTGTTTTCTGGATGTTTTTTTTTTTTCTGTTTCTAAAGTTAGAGAGTGATGACTGACAATCTTTGACTGACTTGATATCTGATTTCTTCATGAGACTTACTTGTGTATCCTTTTCATTTTGTATTTCTACTCTAAGGAGGATACTCCTTAATGTATGATACAATTCTGTTACTCTTGCGTTTATATTTATACAGATATACATATTTTTTGTATCTCTTTTCCCCTGTTTTCAATTTCCCTTGTGCTAATGTTCAAAAATTCATGTCTACGCAGTATTATTGATAATGTAATGTGACATCCGCATGATGTCAGCTATCTCTTTTTTTACATTTATGTATGAACAGAGAATTTGTACAAATGCTTTCACAGTCTTTGTGTGTAAAATGTATGTATAAATTAAATTAACCAACTTTGATTCATGCTTCATTTCATTGCATTCATGTGTGAATGGAAGACATTTTTTGTGATTTGTCAATTTTATTTTGAAGGGCTCTTGTAGTTTGAAGGTTAGATTACATCTTGAAATTGATCAAATCAGGTACTTGGATGGTTAAAAAAATAAACAAAAGTAAATGTTTTTTTTTTATTGGAAAATACCCAATCAAGAACTCGGCCTATTGACATCATGAGCATGTCATGTCTTTATATAACATTTGATATTATGGAGACACAGAAGAAAAACAACTTTGTCTCTATTATTTGTGAAAATTTAAAGGAACATTTCTTAAATATTTTCAGGTAATGCTACTTAATCCACCAACTACTCAACATGATTGAATGAAGTACCTTCATATTGGTATAGAGTTCCCTGATTATGCAAGCCCTATCCAAAAAACTATGGACATTATGCAGACCAAGCCTGGGTCTTTTAGAAGTCATGAAGGACTCAGGGTTCATCGCTCAGTGAGAGGTTGCATTAAAAAAAATGTCAGGGTAGTGTTCCTTAGTGTAAAATTGCATTTCATCCTCTACAGTAGTTTGATATGAATATTTGCAGAATCTGTACAAATCTGTACTCAAGGGACAAGGCCAAAAGAAGAAACAGTGCTAGATGGCTATAGCCTTTGGGCCTGCAGATGACTGCATCAAAAGCAGGCATGACTCCGTAGTGGAAATCACTGCATGGGCCTGAATCATTTCCAACAACTACTGTCAGTGTGCACAGTTCATTGTTGCATCTACAAATGCAGGTTCAAAATGTGCTTTACAAAGGAGGAACACATACATGGTAGATCACACTAAAATTACATCAGTCAATAAAGGTTAGGCCAGTTTCAGTTTGGTTGAGCTGTATACATGATAAAGAAAATCATTCCTTAACAGCATTACTCAGGTATGTTAATCCAACTATGAGAAGTTTGATTCAGTATGATTGGAGTCAGACTGATGGCGATAAATTCATTTTCTTGAACATGTTAATGTAATGACTAAGACTATGTCTATGTTTTACATAGTCTGTTTTATATAGCCTTTGCTATAAAGTAACTGTGCTGTGCTTGCAGGTAACTTAAAGCTTTCTTTGCATCTCAGTGCAGAGCCTCTCCATTTGTTGGTACCATAGACTGTATATACTATAGACAATTTGGTTCCACCTCCCGCCTGTATACAGATTTGAAGCCAAAAAGCTCTCTGTATTTCCGCGATTTTTCTTCATTTCCTGAAACTAGCATTGCGCAGTAGCATTGTACGCATTTGATGGAAGAGATTCGCCGAGAGTCGCTGTGATGACGCTCGGCTCAAACAGCGTATCCCCCGGGTGAGCGACACAATCCCTGAACTGGAGCTGTACAGAAAAAAGAGGACTTCAGTACAAACTAGTCTTACTGTAACTACGTGTCAACACCGCAAAATTTTATATGCTGTGTAATTGACTTCTAAAGTTTGTCCACATCTCCATAAGTTTTGCTGGAGGAGGCGGGATTTATGACCTATACTGCAGCCCGTCACCAGAGGGTGCTGTTCTCGGGGTGGCTTCACCCAGCGAGGAGGCAGACGACGTCCATTCTATACACAGTCCATGGTTGGTACCTTGAACTTATAAGCTTGGATATCTTTTTGAGTCCTTGAGGAATTAAACATAGGAGATTTAAATGTTGGTTTGCTGGTTATGTCTCTTTTTAACATAAAAATGATTAAAAGGAATATGTCATCAAATAAATAAAATATATATAAAATATAAAATAAATAAACAGATGATAGTTGTTAAAGTAGATAGTATTTATAAAGGCAAAAGAAATAAATGCTTGGTTTATTGACTTCTGGCCACCTCTGTTTAAGTCATTACCTGAGTTGGGCCACCCCAGTTCAAAAAGTTTGGACACGCCCCTGGATGCAAGACGTTTTCCTATATTATCCCCAAAAGTCCAATTACTCCTTCATAGAGCTGAAGTACTTTATTTTTTTAATGACATAATCATCTATCTTTACCGCTGTAGTTGTTGGAGTTGAACCGGCTTTAACCCTGCCGGGTACCAGCAGCACTGTAATCCCACAATGCAGAGCGCATGGCGCGTCATTGGAGAGGGACGATGATGGCGGCGGTCGGTGCACCAGAAGTGATCACACAGCTGGAAAGCGCTGCCAAAGTTTTAATGGTGAGAAATTTAACGTTAATTTTGAGCTGTGAGTCAGGGGAAGGTGTGTGTATGTTGACTACGAGCCAGTGTGTGTTTATCGGTCGGGATTTCGGGCAGTTGTGAGCGCGTTCCCCGTTTTTGTTGTTAAATGTGTGGAGTTTGTCTCACCGTGGGAGCGATAGAGAGCGATGCGTGGCGCCTTCTCTTTGCCTCTCTCCATCCCGCAAAATGCTCATTTTAACCCCCCCTCCTCTTAGTTAAATCCAAGTCAACCCTCTCATGTAAGTCAAACCATCATGAAATATATAAACACTGATTCGGACGTTGTTTCTGGAAACTTCTGCTCTCCTCTCCAGACCTGGATGTTACATCAAGTTTTTATTGCGCTCTGGAGACATTTGGAGCATCACTGTGCTGATAATTCACTCATTAAACCGCTTTAGCTCTCTCTGTACCCCTAAAACACGTTTAAAAATGCTATTTCACCCTCCTTTTTCGGCATCTCTACACCCTTTAGACCCCACTGGATGAAACAACCCTGACTCCACAAGCTAAGAGCTAACCATGTGCATCCCATGAGTCTGTGTGCTGTGCTGGATAAATAAGCTAGCTATTGGCCTTTTTTTGCTTTTCTACCATTTTCATTCACATTTGTGTTCGTTTTCTATCTGATACTGCTCTGTTGAACTCTCAGACTATCTTTTCTCGTGGTTAAGTTGCTGCACATTAACACCATGTCAGCTAAACAGGCGCTTCACCCTCACGCTGCAGTCAGCAGGTGTTTTCTGGCTGAGCGCTTAGCACTATCTTGCTTCGTTTTTGGTAAATATCTCAATATAATGAATATTTAGACGTGTGAGAAGAACCTACAGCATATTCAGCACATCAGTACAAAGCCCTGGATGGTTTTAACACTGTGGATTGTGTTGTAGAAGCAGCAACCATTGTGATCAGTATGATATGATGTTTTTATCTGCTTTAGGTCGATTTTATCACATCATGAGGTGTTGTTTGTTGATTTGGCCTCTCCTAGGGTTTAGCTACATAAGACAAATATTTTGACCAACCAGTTTTTGGCCTTTTGATATGATCAGTAGCAAACTGAGAGTAACAAGTTCAATGCAAACAGCAAAACATAGGGGTTAAAGTAACACCAGTAAATATGAGTGTGGATTAGATGCAACCAGTGACCTCCCCAATTCACCTTTGCACTTAAGGTTTATATTGTTTTTTCTATAACCAATACATTAAATGAGAGTGCGGGTCAGTGACAGTTTAGTATGTAATGGTAATAACATGAGTGTTTTCTTGGTTTCCATTTGATGAAAGACATTCGTCCATATTTATTTGGATATAGATTGTTGTTGTTCACCGTTTAGCCTTACCCATTAACGCTTGTTATCACTGCAGCCTCTCAACCCTCATTCTCTCTTTTTCCCTCTGTTTTACTAACACACCTGCTCTTCTCCCTGGCTGCATTACACAGCGGCCCTTTCTCTACCCATGGCTTCGTGATGATTAGTACTCTTAAGAGATCAGTGTTCTCCACTAAAATATGAATGGACACTTGTAAGAACTTAAATGTTCAATCAAAGGAGTTTACCTGAATCTTACAATTGGACCCAGTATTTTGGTTGATTTTATTGCATAACAAAGCCCAGTTTTTGTTGGATGAAGAACTTTTAGTGATTGAGGCTGAGCTCTGGAGCAAGAAATATTTTTGTCCTAGAACGTGGACTATTATTTATTCAAATATTAGGGTTTGAAAATAACTGATTGGAAGCATTGTTGTCCATTTGAAGTTTAATGTCTCTTGAAGTTGTTTTTCTTCTACCTCTGCTTTGGTCTCTCCCAAATGTTGAAGTATTTGTCTTTCTTTTAGCTCCTATATGCTTCCCTATGTATAAATAGCTAGACAATTTTTTTCTGCCTGTGTTTTAGTGTTTGAAAAGTGGCACACAGTGGGGCTAGAGGTCCATATTTGTTGGAAACAGTTGTCTGTTGTGGTTGAAATGGCACTTATAAGTGCGATGAGATCCATTTTATACAGAAGGTGTGGACTGTAAAATCAAAATAACCTCTGTGTGGCCCAGGTGATAAAGTGGTCTGTAAGTTGTCCTATTTTAGTCACACATCAAAGAATAAACACAATTACTCTGATAATGTAAAGGATTAAGTTAAAGAACAAGAAACAGACTTATTTCAGGCCAAAGCTACATCAGCATTTCAGAGACCAGTGTGGGTGTTACAGCTTTTTCAATAGATAACTGCAGGTAAAAAGAAGTACACAAAATACCACAGAAATATGATGAAACTTCAAATTTTATTTGTGGATGTTTTTTTTTTTATTTATTTTTTGCTGGCTTTTATTGACATGAACAGACAGGTGATGATCAGTTTTTCTGTTTATTATTGAAGATGTAGTCGTAGATGGTGGTGGTGTACTATAATGTGTCATAATGAATGGTGTTCCTTATATTTGGTCCACTTCATTTTCAAACATAAGAGGAGCAAAATTTTAGCGCTCACTCCAGTGCATCACCAACACCCACTACGACTTCAGCAGTAACTAAAAAGAGCGATTATCACCTGACCGTGTCAACGGAATATGGAAATATAGAAGCTTTTACATCTTATTGCATGAGAGTGCCTGGGTGTTCATTTGATTTTGTAGCTGGTGGATGTACAGATTATTTTCATTATTCTCATCATTCTCATCATAGTGTTTTATGTGCCTCTGTGTGTGTGTGAGTGCAAGCGAGTGTGTGTGTGTGTGTGTGTGTGTGTGTGTGTGTGTGTGTGTGCGCGTGTGTGTACGCATACGTGAGTGGTGCTCTCAGATAAAAGGGTCTTTATTTCCTCTGCTGCCTTCAGCCGCGGCGCTGCTTTTACTGCAATTAGGCCTGGAATGTGACTTTCCTGCCGAGCTGTATCATGGCGACACTCCTCAATAAAAGTCTGTGTACATGAGTGTGTATTTGTGTGTGCGATTGCGTTTGTTGGTCTAATGCCTTGAATGTTATTACGGCAGGTTTTCTGCTATAGGCTATATGTTTTTGTTATTGAAAATACACTATTTATGACCAAAATGATGAACTGAGTCTTATAATTAAAGCTTAATTTTGTGTATTTTTTATTCCAGGCACCGCCGTCCATGGTCAGCACAGAACAGAGGCAGCATGCTGAACATATATTCCTCTCCTTCAGGAAATCCAAATCCCCTTTTGCCATCTGCAAGCACATATTAGGTAACTCTTAACCCCAGAAATTAGTGTACATGGCTTATTTTAACCTACATGAATACATAAATGATAAACTTTACTATCGAGGTTCCTATTTTATAATATATACATAGCAATTAAATGGTAGCTTCACTGTTCTATTGCCTTTATCTACAAAACAAACAAGATTATCTGAATATTTAAAAGTTTTCTGTGTTTATGTCTGAGTAAAGGCACAATCTCTCAAAGCTCCACAGCTGTCAATTAGTCTGTTTTTCTCTCACTTCCTTTTCTCCTCTCCAGAAACCAGTAAGGTGGACTATGTGCTGTTCCAGGCAGCCACAGCCGTCATGGAGGCGGTGGTACGGGAGTGGATCTTGCTGGAGAAGACGAGCATCGAGTCACTCCGAGCATTCCTCCTAACCTACGTCTTACAGAGACCCAAGTAAGAAAGACAAATAGGGACGTAAATAGACTTTTGATATTTAGCATGGCATTCATATCTCTTCCTGAAAAGTCCAGCAAGAATACCTATACACCTCTTGATTTTTCTTTAAATGGATATTTTAAGGAGTTGAATACAAATGTACAAAATCAAGCGTAAGCAACAGGTTGGGAAAAGTACAGAAATAACTGTATCAAGTATCCTGATCTGGCCTTAAAGTGACGATTGTGAAAGAGGAGAGGGGAGGAGAGATTGACCTAAATTACATCTCCCTACCTGATTTGATTTGATCTTACGCACATTTGTTTTTATTTTTTAAGGGAAAGCTTTCAGAGGGATCATCACTTGGTGTATAATTCAATCACAGACACCAGCTGAGCAGTGAGAGGGGCAGAGAGATGAATGCAAAGGGAGAAAGAGATCAGAAAAGATGAGATATTCCCTCTAACTTTATGTTATTTGATATTTAGTGTAGTCGACCTGCTGCCAACATGACAAACGACAACTTTTTTTTTTCCAAACAACTGTCTTGAACACAACTGAAAGTGAAAGCATTGTGTGAAAAACAGCCCTCAGGTTGTCACTGACTGTGATATTTTTTTGGCTGAAGTCTATGCAGCTCATGCTGGCAGTTTGGGTAGTCTCTCTAAAGGTCTGTGTTACATTAACCCTGTGTTTGTTACACCCACTGTGAGCTGTTCTGGATCAGAGAAGTGATTCTAAAGCCTGACCGCCTCCCTCTCTTTTCTCCAGCCTCCAGAAATACGTCCGTGAGCAGATCCTGTTGGCTGTGGCCGTCATTGTGAAGAGGGGCTCTCTTGACAAAAGCATCAACTGTAAAAGCATCTTTCATGAGGTCGGGCAGCTGATCAGTAGCGGGAACCCCAATGTGGTGAGAAACGCATGCACATGTATTACATAAACAACGCTGAACAGATTTAGAGCACATTAATACTAAAAAGATGAGATTTGGATCATGAAGCCATGTGATTTTTTTTTAGGCTTTGGTATCTGACTGTTCCGTTTCTTAGATGTAAGACACATTTGTGTATTTAAAATGTTTTTCTAACGTGACCAAATCAAAAAACTTTTATTCCAACCGTGTCAGGCAAGATTTCTCTGTCAGCAGCCTATCCTTATGTATTGCTAAATTGTTCATGTAGCTCACAACGCCACCTTAAAATGGGTATCCTCACTCTCAGAACAAACAGAATTTGAAGCAGAAATGAAAAACTCCTTGGGTTTACCAGATCGAGTCAGCAGCACAGGAAGCTTGTATATAGTGGTTTTACTCTGATAAACTTCTGTGTTTGTGAGGAGAAACCACTGAAACCACAGCCAGAGCCTCCGTCTATTGAATTCAGTTTGAATCTCATTTCATACTTACTCTTAAATTGGCTAATATCTGATATTAAACTAAATGTTCTGCACTGATTTTGCTGTTTAGACTTTCTGAAATCGATTTTAAATCAATCTGGATACGCCAAATGAGACAGTTGTGAGCTTACTGAATGTCTTATTTTGGGTTTCCAGCCCTGGCGGCACTTTGACTGCCATGAAACCAAATTATAGTTTATGCCACTTCACTGAGTCATCCTCACATACAAAAGTAAATTTGCATTTCTTGAGGTAATTACAAAGTTCAGGAAAATTGACTGTGACTGCAAATGCTCAGCAGCTTCTCTGCTAGATTAGTTTTAGATGATTAGAGATTGCCGTTTTTGTGCCACTCACAGTCAATCTTTGCGTCTAGAGCAGACTGTGTGTTCTTGAATTACATTTTTTTCCAATCCTGTTCTTACTATAAAAGATAAAGGCTCAAAAGATTTCAACAAACTGTAGGTGAAGTTATATTACAGGGATATTTGGAGAGATGAACAAAACTGGGTTAAAGCCACATTTATCTCCTGCCTTCTTTTGCCACATTTGCACCCTTGATTCAGACTTTCTGCTTCTACACGCTCAGACAATAGAGAGCTCAGTCTGAAAATCTGACTGTTGAAGGAAAGAAGCTCCAGGCGTGTTCTTGTGGTTTGGAGAAAGTTTATCAAGCGCCCGTTTGTTTGCTGCACTTGAATCAACTTTTACGTAAATCAACGAGCGCTTATTTTTGGTGCTGTTAACCAAAGTGTGGTCACAAAAAAACAAGAGCCAATCCTATCTATGCCAATTAATTGTAAAAAGCACTTAAACATGGAAAAAAGTTGACCAAAGTGCTGTAGAATCAAAGAAAAATACTGTGAGAACAGTAAGAAAATACCTGAACCAGAATAAAATATAAAAGGCATTGCTGATGAATCATTTAATGAGTCCAAAACTGTTTAATAAAAATCAAATTAGTTTAATTTCCCAGTGCACTACAAACAGGACCCTTTCCCCTAATCCAGTAGGTGGCACTGTTTCATGTGTGAAATATTTTCAAATAACATGAGGCATGATGTATGTTGCAGGTATGACTGTACTGACCCAGAAGTTAACTCAAAACAAAAGCAAACCCTCATGGTTTCAGCTGCCAGTAAAGTAGAGAAGAGGTTGTCTTTTGAACTTGATCTTTTTTTGCAGCAAACCCTGGCTTGCTCCATCCTCACCGCTCTTCTCAGCGAGTTCTCCAGCTCCAGTAAAACCAGCAGCATCGGCCTCAGCATGGAGTTTCACGGCAGCTGCAAGCGCCTGTTTCAGGTTCGATCCCCTCTGTGCTCCGTGTTTCCCACTATCATCGGCTCTATTTCCTCTGATCCTTTCATTTAAGCATCCCTTCATCCGTCTTTCAGGAGGACGGCCTGCGTCAGATCTTCATGTTAACCATGGAGGTGCTGCAGGAGTTCAGCCGCAGAGAAAACCTCAACGCCCAGATGTCGTCCGTCTTCCAGCGCTACCTGGCACTTGCCAACCAGGTCCTTAGCTGGAACTTCCTGCCACCAAATCATATCCTTTCATTGTCTAATGCAGGGTGGGCACACATGAGGTCAGACTCATATATGTAAACATCTATAGATCCTGAAACGTGATTGGATGAATTCTTCAAAAGCCTCCCAGGGAAGAACAGGTCAGTCCAAGTTACTGGCATATTTACTTCACTACATTTTTAAGATAGTTCTCCACATCACTTTGCTGCTGTTTTGCAGAATGAAATCTTGAGCTCTAGACAGACGCGTGCCTTTTTTCACCTTTTTCAAAAGTTGAGGTGAGGTGATGTGTGAATGCAGGTGTTAGGATTCAGTGAAATACCTGGCAAAATAAGTGGGTAGGCCATTCACGTCTCCAGGTTGTCAACATTATGTGCTCTGTTTTTGTGTTTGCCTCTGCTGTGAGGTGCATGTGTGAAAGGCAGATACCAGAAAGTATCACAGCCTGACTGTCCTGAAATCAACTAAAAAACATCTGGAGAGCATATGTGGAGAAAGGCTTTGCTTTGAGTTGTTATTCAGAGACTTCATTTGTTGAAATCTGGCCCCCTGAAATATATACATTCAGTTTTCTGTCATCTAAGTAACAAAGACGTTTGATTAATTAATGTCAGAATTTTACTCCATTTTTGGATGGAGTAGGATGGATACTTGAGGAAATTGCAGAATTGTGGCGGCTAAAGTCACAGTCAGTCAAACATTAAACATCAAATGATGAACATTACAAACAGTCATTAAATCATTCAGAGATTTATAAAAACAAGCCATGGAGTTAAACTGAGAAAAAAACACCTTCTAATACTCAATAAAATATATAAAAATGTACAGTTAGAAAAGTGTAATGGAAAATTTAAATGTGCATATGTGTACAAAGAGCCTAATTTTGTGCTGAAATCTGCAAAAGAAATCAGAAAAAAAGACAAATATGGAAAGTCAGTATTTATACAAATTGATGCATATCAAACAGCTCCTGTGCATCAGTGCATGTGTTTTAGTTTAAGTTTTTGTACTAAGAGTAACGTTGAAACTAAATTCAGTGTTTGAACTGAGATTTTGACCCTCAGCCTGATCGATAGCTGAGCGGTGTAGCAATAAAACAATATAAAGCATTTAACTCACATATTGCTTGTAATTAAGTTTGATTATATGACTTAAACATGATCAATTACATCATCTTAATAAATCTAATGAAAGCCTGCACGCTCTCAGACCATATCCACAAAAATTCATGACAAGAACTGTTTAAATTTCAAACATTTGCGGAAAAGAAGAAAGAAAAGCAGGTCTTATTAAGTCCGATGAAGAAGCTAAAAGTTGTTAAGTGCAGGTGAAAACTTTTGCGTACTTTTTATATTCCTTTTAGATCAACATGAGTTCCTTTATGTGTATAAATATCAGAGTCCGTGAGTGAATGAATGTGTTTGTGCGGCTCCACAAATATGTGATACTCAGGAATGCAGATCTGATCATCAGCTTTCCTTTGTAGTTCATCTCCCGTGCACACGTCCTTATTATCTTAGCAGTTGGTCGCATTATTGAGCAAACTTCGGCACTTAGTGTGTCGCAGCGTGTGTGTGTGTATACAAGGCCGGGCTCATTATGGCCTAAATCCCATCTAGCCTGGCATCCTCTCGGCCTGTCTGGGGGGATCTGCAGTGGCGCTCTGCTGCCAGCCAGGGCCATGTATCACTTTCAAAGAGGTGTCCAGCATGTCCATCTCCGTATCATTCCAGGAGCCCTCCACCCCCGCCTTGGCTTGTTGAGGCTCCCCTTGGTATGCCTGGCACGCTCGGTTTGATATGTGTGTGTTCTCAGAGATGCACTTTTAAGTCCTCCCAGTGTTTGCTTGTGTGAGTGAGTGAGTATGTGTGTGTGTGTGTGTTGGTTGTTCCAGCCTATTTTATACAGCAGTGTAATTTTGTTAGAGTGTTGGGTGTGTATGTAAAGCCTCCAGACCAGAGCAGTTGTGCCACATGTTATGGACATTTCAGACGATGCTTGGAGCAGGTGACTTATGGGCTTGAAAATGATCAAATCTTGACAGATGCAAAAGTAGGTGATGTGTTTTTGCAAAATGTCAGCAAATTATCTGGCAATTGACAAATTTAGGACATGACATGAAAACGAAAAGTTGACTTTATCAGGAAGGCTAACTATCATCAGTATGACCAATTTTTATCCGTTAATTTAACAGTAGTTTTCTGTAATTTACATATCCGAAATGAAATAAAATCTTACTATTTTGAAGGTTTCTTGAAGACTTTAAATAACTTCAAAAAAATGCATTAAAATGTCTTTGAAGTGACAATAGAATGATTTTCATAATCAAATGGAGGCGTTCACAAAGTTCTTGTTGCCGTAGATACAGCTGTAGTTGTTTGGTTTCTTGATGTTAAATAGTCACAAATGTTGATCACAGAAATAGTAAAGAAGGTCTTGCATCATTCTCCTTGAAAGTCTGCGCACATGTGAGGCCGCAAGTGTCTGCGCTGTTGCTGAATAGGAGGACAGATTGATGAAGACCGCTGGGAGGCCTAAATGAGCTTGGCCGCCTGTCTGCAAGTGTTACAACACGCTTGTGTCCGTGTGATGTGACGCTAGCGTGTGCCAGCACCGGTATCAGGGGGCCTCTCCTTAATTGACAGCCGCCGCCGCAGCCGCCTTTCAAGCGCAGATACACGCACTCCTTGAGCAGCTCAAACACCCCGTTTAAAAAAGGCCTCCCTCCTTTAAAGAGCCGAGCGGCATGTGTGTCATCTGTCTTCGCCGCCGTCTGAACCCTCCAGCTCTGGTGTCATCTGGTGGAGAGACACTCCCCGGGCGTCGGTACGACACCGTGTCACTCCACACTGTGCTTGACTCAAGCCGGGGTCGCGGTCAGGGCTGGAGGCCGTGGCAGCAGTCAGGTGCTGTAAATGGCTGTCTGAGCTGACAGATAGATCACCCCTGCCCTGCTGCCGCCTCTCTGCTCAATCACTTTACTTATCTAAATCCTCCGTATGATGTTTGGATGTTTATAGCATGTCGGGGATTGTGAATTGTATCGCTTTGATGGCAGTTTATTCGAAGGCGATCTCCCTTTTGGTTTCCTCCCATCTGTTCTTTTCTTCACCAGTGAGGAATGTAAAGATTTCATGCTGTATCGCCTCACTAAAACTCAAGTTGTTTCAATTAAAGCACAGCCCTCCTTACCTCCTCCAGCGAGGCATTTGAAGTGTGTCCCTCTCCCAACTTTTGAGATACTACACCAGTACTTTTTTCTTACTTCTGATGAGTATTTAAGAAATATTTCGTCCCCCAGCAGCCCCATAGGACGGTTATTTCTGTGCTGTAGAGTCAACTGTTTTCAGCAGGGCTCAGTATTCTCATTAGCTCTTTAGAGGTCAATTTATTGGCATTTTGGCCCTCAGGTTAAGGTTAGGATTTGGAGTGTGTAAGCTGACACTGCATGTTTGCCTTGGCCCTGACCTGTTTAAGAATCCTCAACTACTGCTGTGTAAACACACGTGGAGGGTATGTACAGATAAATGACGTACTAACAGACCTCCAGTTGGTGGGTGTTTTGTCCGAGTATTGTCACATTAAAATGATTCTGGCCCAAATTCAAGTTTTTGGGCACGTCTGAACATAATAAAAGAATTGTAGTCTTTGTCATTTCACAAACTACTGCGAGTATTGTGATTTTGATGAAGTTTTATGAGTTTTTTTGGCCTCAATTTTAATCATCTGAAATGTTTCTGTTGTGAACTCAACAATACTGAGGTGGATTTAAGATATCTGGAAGTGTGAAACTTGCAGATTGTATTTTCAAACTTCTATAGCCACATAACAAATTAAATTTCTCTTTGGGGGTACATAAAGTTATTCTTAATTTATTAAGAAACTGAGTGGGGCCCAAGTTCTCTTTACACAACTTTTTATTTGGGCCCATAAGCATTACTTTATGTCTGATTTACCTCGACCATCCACTTTCTGATCCCAAGTTTGCATCAAGCCCGGTGGCCTGATTGATATATTGTTGTTTTAATTCAGTTGTGGGTGATTAAATGACAACTGCTGTCTAAACAGATGGGAGTCGAGCAGTAGGAGGAAATGGAAAAGAAAAGGAGGAGGAGGGGGCCGGGTTGTTGAGGAGGTATTCCTGGACTGTTATTTCACATGGCGAGGCGGCAGGGGAGACTTAAGGCAGGATATATCACTTAAACCCCACCACGCGCCTTAGCATAGCGTTGGCGGCTGGCAGACGCTCAGCCCGTCTTCCTGGTGCAGCAAGTCCACCCTCAGTCAGGATCAACAATAATGAATAGAGGATACAGGAGAAGCTTGCTAATCCCCGATCCTTGGGCATGAAGGATGTTCAGGCTTGCAAAATTCTCAGATTGCTGAGATTGCTAACTTTAAGTGGTCATGAAGATACCGTCAGATTGATCTGCGAAGTGCTTTGTGCGGCGTCCGCAAATTTTTTTCTTGAAAGAAGAGTTGAGGATGTGAAACGTGAAGCCTAATTTGTTCTGTTGAAGAGGGACTCAATAAATCGTAGCAGGAGTGTTTGACAGTGAGACAACAATAAACACAAATCCAAGACAGCAGTTGAAACACAATACAAACAACTCCATTATCCATTAGGGAGCAATTTGTGTTGAGTAGCTTGTCATTAAGTACAAATGACAAAACCAACCAACAAGCAAACAGAGACGTGCTACAAGGGACTCAAATGTAGAAATGCATCTATTGAAAAGCTTTTGTAGCTTTTGACAAACACAAACTCAGTGAGAAGCAGGTTTTGTAACTTACACAGTCAAAAATGAAATAGATCTTCTATTATAGTATTCTTTATTGTTTTAGGGTGTCAAACCTATTATACAGTATTGTATGGTGTCTCGTCATATATCACTGTATCGTATTATATCGTACCATATCTTGTAGGGCTGGGCGATAAAACGAGAACGATATATATCAAAAATTAATTTTCTTCGATGTCAATATAAAACATGGTCAATATCCTTTTCAATAGTCGGCATTCTGCCATGTTTTGGTACACGATACGAATAAAAAAATGAAAGGGGGGTTGCTTTGAGTCCGCTTGGCACTGAACCAATCGTGCTGAATTAGAACCAAGTAGCAAACAACTGCGTAGTAGCAGGCTGTAGCTACATGCAACCACAGCACTTTAACACATGAAGCCGACAGCACAGTGAGAAAAAAAGAAAATCAGTGCTAACCTCTGCAGAAATGCAGATGAAGACTCAACAGATGATGACATGGTCGACAATACTGGCATGAAAACGTCGGTGGTGTGGGGGTGTTTTGGTTTTTGAGGTTGGACATGAAGCAGAGTAATGTGCACTGCAAATTATGTTGAGTACATGCTCTCGCCAAGTCAAGAAAAACCTCATATCTTTTCCATTACCTGAAGCAGTGCCACACGACAGAGCATGTGCAATGTGTGCTCTGTCGCGTGGTAACAAACCCTGATCAGAGCTAGGAGCCCATGTCCGCTTTCTGTAGCACAACTCTTTACGACAAAACATTAAAGAGACACAAAGACCTCACAGATGCAGTAGATTATTCTATTGCAAAAGACATGCTACCAATAAGCACTGTTAAATTTCATTTAAGAATAACAGGAAACATTAAAGATTGACATGTGATTTTTTTATACTGTGATATTTATCGATATCAACTGATATGAAAAAAAAACATCATGATAAACTTTTTCCCAAATCACCCAGCCCTAATATCTCGTATCATATACTGTATTGTAGCATTTGACCTGTAAGTAGCGTATTGTATTGTATTGTATCGTATGAAAGCATTAGTAACCTATTGTACTTCAACTACATTGTACCAATAGAAAAGCTGTTGCTAGTGGTTGTTACTGGTTTGTAGAACAGCTGATGTTACATGAACGTTAAACACAAGATCAAGTTTGGACTTAAATTATCTGTGCATCCATCACAGCTTCTTTCTCTCAGACAAGGTAAACACAAAAGCAAAGCAAAGTGAGTGAAATGAATCTTTCTCACAGGATAGGTTGTCTTCGACTCTTACAAGTCTTGCACATATATAAATGTCACCATCGTGTGAATTTTAGGGTGCTGACTAAAGCATGTAGCCCGGAGTGCTGCCTCACAGAGCTGCACATATATCTTTAAACTCTTTGTGTTGTCAATTACAGATTTGTGGCACACAAATCAAATCAGCGAAGCCAGAGAACAAGCTGTCTTCAAATTTAAATGTCGTAATTCACATCTTGTCTTTTTTCGGTTAGCATGTGGTAACAAAATGAACAAAGCCACAAAGATGACAGGATTAAAATGTCGACACTGGCATATTACGTTATTTGTTTTTGTGAACCCAGGCTCCTTCTTACATCCAGAAAGTCTTTGCCCACTTGTGGATGTTTTGTAGCCATGTGGTTAGTTTATGCTTAGCAATGAAGATTGAATTACAGCCCATGAAGGAAAGAATGATGGCTTTTTATTGCTCACTATGCTTCTCCCTGCTTTGAAGTGGACAGCCAAGTATAGATGCTAACTACCTGGGTTAGGGTTCACATGCAAAGACGTTAAAAGAAAGTGGACTACCAGGTGTCTGAGTAGGGCATAAAAAACGGGTGGTCTGGTTTAGTTGTGTGGACTTAACGGCACCAGTACAGAGAATTATTCTTAAATCTGTTGTTGCCTCTCTGCCAGAGTAACCGGCTGTTATTTCTCACTGTATTTTACTGGCAAAAGAGCGGTGATAATTAAGTTATTACGATGTGTGTTTATCCGTCTGTGTGGCTGCAAATTTGGCGACAAATGCTGCACGAATCTCCCCTCTGTTTGATTTAAACTCTTGTGGTCAGCGGTTTAAAGTGGATGTGTATTAGGTCGGGTGGATGTGTTTGTGTGTGTCTGTGGGCCTGTTTATCTGTCACTCCGTCTTATCTTCCCAGTGGAAAATTGACGTGTCACATTAGTTATTCTTGAGCCTGCTGGAAGGGTTGAGATAGTAGCAGGTGAGGTCTTTTAAAAACCCACCAAACCACAGCCACATGTCCAAGTCACTCCGTGAACATTACTCATCCTGAAGGCATGCTCGCTGCACACACACTCGCACACAAGCACACATGTGCAGTCCGTTTTTCTCCCTTTTTTTTCAAGCAGTGCGGATCACATGGTTGAAGTTGTAAATTCACTTGTCAGCTCTGGGAGTCGATTCTCCTCAGAAGTCGAAGAGCTTGAACTTTTATTTCCCTTCATTTATGACATTTTTCTGTGCAGTATATAAATGTTTTATGGGGGTGGAAGAGTCTGGATTATTTGCCACATTATTCATGTTTCTTGTAGTGCTTACCTACATTTTAATTAAAGGAAATAAAACCTACAGAAAATTTAAAACCATTCCTCAGAAAAGAGTTAACGGCTACTTTGTCTTTGGATTAATGATGTAAATTCACAACTAATTGAAAAATTACTCTCAATCAATCATTTTTATGTATATTGGGCTAAATCACAGCTATCAGTATCCCAAGATGCTTTCAAAAAGACCAGATCTAGACCAAACTCATTGTTTGATGTGTTGCATACACCAAACCCTGCGATGGGAAATGATTTAACCCATGTATAACAAACATGAGTGAAGCACTTTGCTGTATTTAGCAAGAGAAACGTCCCTTTGACAGGCAGAAACCTTGAGCTGTAACATTATCCTAATTTGATTTTGTTTACTCAGAACTGTTGTATTTCCGTCTTTTCCGATGTTTTGCACATAGATGACATTATTCACAGTTATTCAGGATGCCTATCTGTATATTAAGTTGATAGGTTCCTAAATCTTAAAGGCACAGAGAGCAGTTTTTACTTGATGTTAAAAAAAGTCAAACTCTTATACTGATGCATCTTTGTGAATGAATGAGAAAATCCTCTTAGAGCAAACAAACCTGAATACACAGAATGAATAGAGGTCACGTCATTCAGACTGGTATTATATTCTAAAATTCTGTAACTCGGTGCTTTGTCTTGTCTCTGTCGCACTTCCTAAATAAATGAAATAGTGACCAACTTTGAGATGCTAATTTCAGCCCATGAACATCAACATCCTGAGCTGAACTGTCACTGACGTGCTGTTAATACTTTTTAAACTGTAGACACTGTCTTAAAACCACAGTCTCTCTCTTTTGATTCAACATTAATTGAATTGGCATTTATTAAAAACAGATCATTGGCTCCCCAGCCTGAATATTTGACAGCATGTCATGTTTGTCTGATTAACTCCTCTATTTTTAAACACTGAATACGGATAATATTTGCGCTTGTTTCTTCTTCAAACCCCGCCCCTTCTTTTCTGTCTTTGTTGTTATCCAAAACCAAAGTATCAACGTTTCGGTTTCCCTGTTTTTGCCTGAATTTACACCTAAAACAGCCGTTCCAACACCAAAGATAATGAAATCAAACATTGTGATTTGCTCTTTTAGACCTCCATCTAGTCAGAAGATTGTGTTTCTGGAATACTAAAACATATTTCATCGTTCTTTGATTCAATAGATCTGCTAATTGATCCGTCTTTGATTTAATAAATCTGCTTGTCCTCTTTGATATCAAATCAAACAAATTTTTGTTTCTGGTTGTTTTGTAGGGTCCCCTCCATCACTGCTTTAAAGGCCAAAGTTGTTTATCGTCAGCAGGCTGCTTACAGGTCTCTGAATGTTCATATTCAGTGATCTAATCTGATTTTAGTGCGTCATCAAATTGAGTTTAATAACTAAAATGATGTGTGCAAGGAGAACTTGGTGTACTCATGAACAAATACAACAGTTTATCCAAATTCTTATCGAAAGATACTTCATTATGAAATCTGTTTTACCTGTCACAGCCATTTTATGTCTCTGTCTGACTGAGCAAACCAGCCTCAGTAATCCTGTAGTTATCATTCCTGAGGTCTCTTGTGAGTTTGGTCTCAGTCATATGATCTTTTAGGAGAGTTTGTACAACCTCTGTCACCGAGCCGGTCCCTCCCTGCAGGGACAGCCTGTGTCTGCAGGCTGCAGGACATGATCTGTTCTTCTTTTACCAAATCATGTTCCTCTGTGTAATATTTCAGAGATTTAAAAAATAGAAGAAATCTCTGTAAAGTTTTTATCTATTGATGAGTTAAATATATGTCACTGAAAATGCATTTGAAGGCCTTTTCTAATCAGAGATAAAAAGTATAAACTGGACACATGAATAGAAACATGGACATCATCACGCTGCTGTATTTGTGTAACTTTTTACCGTCTTTTCTCCCATTCCCTCGCTTCTTCGGAAAGGTTCAGTCAGAGGTCTTCTGCCTCACCACTGCTATTTTTAACAAGGCCCAAAAGCCAGGCAGTGGACACACACACACACACACACACAGTCCCACAGACCCTCAGACAGGTGCCAACTTTTGTGCCGAAAAGTGTGTTGTGGTGTGTTGTGGTGGGGTGTGTGCTCGGGGAGTGACTGTGGGCTGGTGTCAGAGGAATGTGTGACCTCGCCGGCCTCTGCCGCTGTTTGGCTTTGATCGAACATTCCTCCAGAAGTTTCCACCTTCTGCTGTTGCTAAGGCCGTGGTCAGTGATATGGTTTTACTGTGTTTTTTTTTTTTTTTTTTTTTTTGATCATGTGGAGGTCAGCAAAATTGTTAAAGAAAAACATTTGCCGAGCGAAAATAAGAAGTAAAATATTTTTTATTTCATATATAGTCAGTGAATTAACTTGCACATGTCAGAAGAAAGAAATTCAACAAGGAGCCAAACATCAGATCAAATTCAAACTTTTTCTAGGAAAAACAATAACTGTGGTCATTTTTTCCAAAATCATGCAAAACCAGATTCAGAAATTTTGCTTCTTGATGATTTGCTGCTGAACCTTTTGACAAAAAGCGTACGGTACACACATGTAGGGTTCTTGATTGTTGGTCATTGTGATAAACAAAGGAGCCGATTCTGTGTCTGTTGGCATCAGGTCACACACACACTGTGCACCGCAAAGATGGTAAACACAAAGACAGTCTCACTCCATCAAAAACAAACCTATGTCAAACTGCTCACTAACTTTTACTCTTTTATCATTTAAAACTAATTTAGGTGTGAATATTTTTGAGTTAGTCAATAATGAGTTTAAAGACTTAGATTTGTTAACCATGTGTTGTGCAGAATAAACGTAAAAGCAGATATAACTGGATAATGAGGTACTAAACCTTATGGTAATGCTGAAACTCTTGTTGAATATCAGTTAGCCAAATTACACACACAGATGAGGTCTGCTCATCAGGGAACTTTGACTCAAATGGTTTATTATTCTTTTTTTCTGTGAGGACTATGTTTTCTTCTTCTTTTAGATCAGTCTTGTCTTTATTCTCAGTAGCTTGTAAATAGTCTTGAAAAAGGAAAAACAACCGCGATTCTGTTTTGAAAAGTTGCGACATGTTTTTTCTCCATCGCCCGACCCTGATCTATTGTTTACTGTAAAGGAGCTGTGAGGAACTTTTGGTGTGTGACGATTGTGGCGCCCCCCTATGGGCAAAGATGTATATCTGAGCACTTTGCTAAACTTGCCCTGATATTTTCTGGCATAAAATCTCACCCTGCTGTCTTTAAACAGTTAACTATGTCAATCACTTTGAATGTTTGACACTAAAAAAATGAAGACGTACTTTCAATCACATATAATAACATATGAATTGTAAGTCTTGTTACTAATGGTCCTGTGTGCTTTTGTGGGTCTTAAAGAGGTATCAGCATCAAATTAAATCTGTTTAACTACCAGTTAATAACTCCGGAAAGTGGTTTAAAGTGTGTGATAAATGTTTTTATACAATAGGAAGGTCTTTACCAAACTTTATAGCCACTTCAGTGAAAATAAGATGATATGAATTGATGGTAAAAGTCTAGAGAAGATATTTGAATTTCCTGAGAGGCATCTAATGATACTTGGATGGAGATTTTAGGAGGAAAGCTGAGAAAAGGGAGAGAGGAAGAGAAAGAAAAGGATTTTGTTTGTTTTCTCCAAAACAGAAAGTCATAAAAAAAAGAGGCAGCATTCCAGCGGACAAAAACAGACAAAACATCCCCTTTTGTTTGGATCTGTCTGGTGACTTTATTTGTACTCAGACGGCTGAAAAATCTGCTAACTTGTTCTTTTCAGGGTGATCAAGAGATGCATTAAAATCCTGATGGTGTGTGTTAGGAGAGTCTGTGCTCATTGATGAAAGTGTGTGTGTGTTTTAAGGGCGAGCAATGAAGAAAGTGTTTCAGGGGATTTTTTTTCTTTTTCTTTTGATGATTTAAGGAAAAAGCATGTTGTGGGTGTGTTTTGGAGACTTGAATGAGGACGGGAAGTGTTGTGGCAGCGTGGGGAGAAAGTGTGCGTGTGATGTGGATTTGAGGCAAAGCTTCTTGTGGGTGTTTGGAGACTCTTAAAGACGGAGACAGACATTGTTCGTGTGTGGAGAAACGGGTCTTTTAGAAAGCAATTTCCGCTTCAAACGTTTTTGTAGTGTCTAAAACAGAGGGTGATTGTTTTGTGGGTGAAGAAAAAGACATTTGAAAGAATTGAGTGCTGACAGACAAGAAAGGACAGTTTGCAGTGAGGAGAAGGTGTTAGTGGTGTGGAGGGGAGTTTGTTTTGGTCTTGAGAAGCAGTCGGAGGAGAGACAAAGTGATTGGCTGAGGAGGAAGAGGGAGGGTTACAAGGCCAGTAAGGAGTCTGGAGGACTTTGTGCAGAGGAGTGGACAAAGAAGAAGAGCAACAGAGTCTGGATTGGCTGCAGTGAGTGTTTTAAGATCTTGAGGAAGTAGAGGAGAGAAATCTGAGTGTGCAGGAGGAGGGCGAGGTGAAGAAGAGGACAAGAAGGAAAGAGGGAGTCAGCCAGGCGAGTCAGAGGGTTAAATCAGAAAACAGAAGGAGGTGAGGAGGAAAAGTGGACAAGAGGGTGAGAAAGAGTTTCTTTGTGGTCTAAAACTGGCAGATGAAGAGCTGACTAAGGAGGGAAAGAGAGGAAGACAAAGAGAAGAGGGTGAGAAAGTAAAGATTGATGGTGTTAATGAGAGGAGAGCAAGTAGTGAACAAGAGAGTAAGAAAGCTCTGCTGCAAAACCAAAGACTGAAACACACAGACCAAAATACCCAGAGAGGCAGCTCAGTGACAGTAGCTTGTGTTTTGAGTGCGCCACCCCTCCTCCTTCCTTCTCCTCCTCCTCCTTTCTTTTCATGCTGTTGTTGGCCTTAACTGGTGGCGGGTCACTGGGGCGCCACTACATCGCCATGTTCGAGGCCACGCAGAACGTCATGCTCAAGCCTACGGAGTCCTGGAGGGAAGCGCTGCTGGACACCAGAGTCATGGACCTCTTCTTCACTGTGAGTGTCTCGTTCATTATTGATGTTTTTATTCTTGTCAGAGTGTCTGCAGGTTTTAAGGTTTACATCCGGGGTCATGGAGTAAATATGACAATATTTTTAAAGGTAACCTAAATGTAAAATGTAACTTCAGCTCATCCTCATCATTCAATTCTTGCTGTAACCTTAGGATAACCAGACTCAGAAAAATCAGAATTAAACTTTCATTTATTCAAGTTGTAAATCTGCGCTTTGGGGGGGTTTGTTGGCTTTTATTTGACAGCACAGAGCTGTGGATGAAGCAGGAAACAGATGAGAGCAGTGAGTGACAAACTATGGGACAGGCTTTTACTGCGAGGCCAGAGGCGTCCTAAAATCTTCTACATTTAAACATGTTTCCAGATACAGAGTCTGAAAAAGCTGGTTCACTTTTCACTTAGAATTCCCTTGCGGTTATGTTTGTCTCTTTTTGATCAACAATAGAAGTGCCAGTATGTTACAGTAACTAAGTTCTCGCTGCTAATTTGGCTGTTGATGCTAAGCTAACAAACTCTTGGCTGTGAATTTTTTTTTATTTTTATTTTTTTTGTAGGATGGTAGGGAAAGGTCCCGCCCTCCTTTGCCTCTGATTGGCTAGGAGTGCTGGGCTCTGATTGGTTATTCCTAATGGCTGTGAAACGTCATCGTCTGTCAGGTTAGGGTTAGGGTAATGTTCTGTAATGTTGTGTTCGATGTAGAGAGCCGACAGCCCGCGTTTGACTTGAGCGTGTGATAACGATTCCAGCTTTTCTAGCCAATCAGAGGCGGGACTTTCCCCTTCAGTCCTACAAAAAAGAAATATCGCCTCCTGGCTCCAGCTGTGTCGCTAACAGATATGAGTACCACTCTTTCAGTCAACTCTGGACAGTATTTCCTCCAAATGTCAAATTATTTCTTTGAGGAAGAGCACAAGCATGAAAACCAAAGCTTTTTTGTTTTTTGTTCTCCACGTTGTAAAGCTACCCACTAGCATGTTATCGCTGATGGACAACAAATGGTCCTGTGCAAGAAGTTTCCTGGTAACTTGTACCCCAGAATGTCAGTAAAATAAAAGAGCTATTTTTAGTCAGCGGTTGTATCAAATAACTCGTCACCTTTGTTCATTTTTATCTATGCTTCAAACTTCAGTGTTAGACATGGTCACATTAGTTGTAAAATCCAGAACTTCACCTTCTTATTGTCGATCAAAAAAAACAGGATGAGCATCAAGTAAACTAAAGAAAACCTGCAGACGCTTTGACCTCGCAGATACTTCATTGTTTTATTCTAGCAGTTAATCTTCATTCAACTGTCTATTAGTGTTTTTGTTATAATTCATGCTTGTTCAATATTCAGGGAGGTCCTTATTCAGAACCGCAGTGAAGGTCTTCCTGCCTCATACATTTCCATTACAGTTTCCTCCTGTCCTTTTTCACTCTCTCTCTCTCTCTATGACCATTTTTTCCTGCTCTTTACACGGTGGTTTATTTACGATAAACAAACAGAGACCGTTTGCCTTTTCATGTCGGGCAAACAAATCCCACTTGACCTCGTCTTTTTGGCACATGCCAAGTTTTTACAAGTTTTGTGGGTTTTAAGAAGCACCATTAAGTAGATTTATGGGTACTTTACAGTGGGGTCGTGTTATTGTGAAGCTCTCCACAGGACCGCCCGGTTGAAATAAATGTGTATTTTTGTGCTGTGACTTTGTGTGTTTAAAGAGGCTGCCCACGCTGGGTCAGCAAACGGTGTGGAATAAAAAGGTCAGCTAGCTCTGCGTATTCAGCTTCAGATACACGTATCCTTTAGCTTAAGACTGTCATGTCTCCTTTAGCCTTTACCTGCTGCTGCCTGTGACACCACCTCATCACCTCCATGACCTCTGTCAGGTGCTGCCCTGTTGATCTTTCTGAACTGAGTGTTGTTTGTGTACCAAACCTCTGACACATGACCCTACCTTATTTGCCATGAGGCTTATTACTACTAATACTTTACACCTCTAATCAATCTAGGTAACTCTAAATGAACAGCATTCGGTTACAAATGAATTTTTACAACAACTTGATGGACTAAAGGGTCGATGGTAGTGGACGGCTCCTCTCACGTCGATTCAGGACAGAAAGATTTGGAAGATCTTTTGTACCCGCAGCCACCAGACTGTTTAATTCTTCTGTAAATAGAAGATGACATGAGACTCCAGACTCCAGACAATTGAATTACCCTTTAGGGATCAATAAAATTCTCCCTATCTAATTTATTGCCAAAAGAAGAAAAGAAATCATGCATAAAAATAACATTTGTGGTTCTAACTTGGAGGGAATTTCTCAAACTTCGCTTGTAGGGGAGCTTTTTTTCTTTTACCTTAAGACCACATAAACCAAGTTTGCAGGTAGAAGTGTTTTCTGCACAATCACTCAAAATCAGCAAACTTTCACACAGTATTAAATGTTGTTGTGAAAACTGATCACTATGGCTGCAGTCTTTCATGTGTGATCAGGTGGAGTTTTTTATCGCAGCATGAAAGGCAACACATGAGTTATTTTTCTAAGCACCAATTATTCAAAGTTGTCTTTTGCCTTATACTAAGAACTTTTTATTTTTTTTTACAGAACTACAGCTTTCATATTCATGCTTCTCCAGCATCACTTTACCTCTCATCTCTAGGTCCTACATTTACTTAAACTTAGCTTTTATGTCTTTCTGCTGCTGGCTAGGATGAGGTCACCAGTTAGCTGCCAACGGTGCCGAAGGGCATCAGCTGCACATAATTTTTAAAACAGCAGTATGACAGAGTTCATGTAGACTGTATAACATAAAGCGCTGAGTACATTACCGAGAGTAATGTGATGCAATAAGAGATCGTATAAATCATTGATCATAGATTGCAATCTCATCAGGAAATCATGAGAAAATGTTATTCTGCAAATAATTGCGGGGCGTTGAAAATACATTTGGGCACAGGTAATTTCTAGGAGTGTCACGATTTTTATTTTTATCGAAATCAATCAAAATTACTTCATGATCTCGATAATCAAAATCAAAGAGAGGATCGACGATCCCTTCCCTCCACATCCAGGAGGTTTTCAGAGCAGAAGCAAATGCCTCTGTGAGTTCTCATTATGTTGTTTTTTTTTTTTTTTTACTTCACTGAAAACAAGATTGTTAAAAAAATATGTATTTAAATTTGACCATTAGTGCCTAATGTGATACATTACACAAGAATAATGGAAATTGTATCACTTGTATGTAGCCCATCTTTTGAAATAAGATTTACTATACAAAATGTAATGAATAAAACCAATGATCGTAGACTAGACTGGTCTAAAAATTGCAAAGGCCTCTGTGCTGTAAGAAAAAGAATCGAGAATCAAATCGAATCGAGGATTTGTGGAATCGTGACACCCCTGGTATTTTCTATGTGTGGCTTTATCAGTTTCTATCTTTATGTCGCTACTTTGTAGTAAACATGATCAAAATTTCAATTAAAGCAAACAAAGTGCTGTTCATGTCATACAACCTGCAGATGCTTCTTTGTAGTTTTTCTTTTTCAGTCGACTCTCATTCACAGCTCATTTTCATTCAGCTGAAAAAGTTTCCAGACTTAATTCCCACAGCAGTCACAAGTAACTCTAATCAGAGGTTTGGTACACAAAGCTCGCCGTTGTAATCAGGCTTTGATTGGCCGACAGCAGCGGCGGCAGCAGCAGTCTGGCATGGATAAAAATATTTGTCATTTTTCGGTCGCTTCTCTTTGCTGCTGGAATCTTTAGGATGTGTTTTGTGTTGGTTTCAGTTTTCAGCCGTCCAGTCTCATCTCTCGCTCTGGTATTTCTAGTAGCTCAACTGTTTGTTATTGTAAGGCTGCTGTGGCACCATCAGCTGTCCGCGTGTGTGCGCAAGTGTGTGTCTGTGTTAGTGTTACAGCATCCCTCCTGGTTGCGCTGCGTGCATTTTTGTGTGTGTCGGCGCATATCTGTCTCTGTGGGATGGTGTCAGTTTGTGTTTGTGGAGCGTATGTTTGCGCGTTTCTGCTTAGAGTGTGTTTACATAAGTACGTCTGCAAATGCGAGCGTGTGTTTGTGTGTTTATTTAACTTAATGGGGTCCTTTTCTGCCTCAGCTGCTGTATCTCCTCAGCTTTGAGGGGTAACAGGCTGTGAGTGTGTAAAGGGGGGTACTCAGAGACACGCGCCATCAGGGTCACAGTCCACAACAGACTGATGGCAGGATTAGAGCCCGGCCCCAGGATTAGGGGCCCCTGTTAACAACCGCAGTAACCCACCCATCACACAGACACTCGTCACCCCTGCAGGGGCTCCGGGGAGTCGTTGTCCCTCTTTTGGGTGGGTGTCTGTCAGTCTCCTATTAACTGGCTCCAGCCCTCTGTACTGACCAGCGTTATTGTCTAACAAGAGACTGACGTCTGTTCGGCTGCAAGGAGGAGGATTTATGCGTGATATCAATTCTACTTGTCACTTTTTATATTCCTGGTCAAGGATAATAAGTTTTAGGACAGTGGGATTTTCTTCTCATAGATTTTCCCATCATAACTTGCAACTCTGAGGTCAGGAGGAGACACCGAAAAATCACAGCTATTAAAGGCAAGGCGAAAAGTTACGATTTCAGGATTTGTTTGTAGAAGTTTAGCAAAGACGCCCTGCTCTTCTGGCTGAATAAAAAATCCAGTGTCTTTATTCACTGATCATATACTCGACTTAACGGGCAGAGTGCCAGGCGAAATTGGATCTGTAATACTCGCCATAGTTGAGCGTGCACACGGTGTTGACCTTCAGCTGATGACATTCGGATTATCTGATGAAACTGTTAACAGATAGTAAAAAAAGGAGGTACTTGTCCCCCATCGTGTGATTATTTCTTTTTGTGTCTTTCTCTCTTTATTTAATCTTATAAATTATGACGATCCTCGGGTGTCCCAGTCCTCACGCCAAACAGTGTCACTAATAAAAGAATATGTATATTTGGGGGTAAAATGTTTGGTGATACAGCAGCCGGTGATCTAAATACTTACACAGTGAGCCAAAGATCAGCTTGACATTAACTTTAAATGTTGGTTATATACAGTATGAGTTAAAATTAGCTTTCAAATTCACTGTGGGGAGGAGGTTGCAGGTATCACTGTGGTTGCAGTGTATTTCACTCGTGGTGCTCCTTTATACTCGGTGGGTGATGCTCCTACAGTTGGGAACATAAGTGCTGCCAAGTAACATAAGCAGAGAAATTTTGTTTATGAATACATTTGACAAAATACAACCATATTTTGTGAACTTGAGTGTGTCTATTAGTAAACACATTTCAGGAGACAGTATTTGACTCAGTAAAATATTTCCACAAGGGATTTTTGGGTTTTTGTCGCCATCTGAAATTATTATCGAAGACAGAAATACAAGCATATTAATCCAGTACGTGGCTCATAAATACTGTGTGTCAGAGACAATATGTAACAGCGTTACTTTAAACACCCTAACAGAATTTATATGAAACACTAGCTGGTGACAGTTGAAAATTTGATTTGCTGTCAATAAGGACGGGATCATAAGCAGTATTGGCCTTGTAACACCAATAATCAGCCTGATTAATCAGCTGACTTATACGTCAGTATATTTCCAAATGTAATCATTAGTTATGACTAGGGCTGGGCGATATGGCCTCAAATCAATATCACGATATATTGAGCAGTTCACCTTGATAACGAAAAATGGACGATAACTACTCCATAAACTGCTAACCCCCTCCCACATTAACTTTGACTAATTCAGCCGCCACTCCAGCCGCTACAACTTATGAACCGTCCTCCATCTCCTCACCTGTCTTTTCCTCTTCGTTACGGATTGGATGGGGTGGAGTCCCGTCTCCGACATAGGACAGCGTCTTAAAGGGACATGAGACCATAGCCTACCTACACACATCCAAAACCAACTTTACTTATTTATTTATGTATTTATTTGACACCAAATATACCGATATGGGCAAAATGACGTCGGTTATTGTCGTACATTTCTGTATCTGTAAATTTTCGGTTCATCATCCAGCCCTAGTTATGACCTAGAATGAACAAGGTTTATCGCCTTTGCTATTGACAAGCTTTATTTACCTGCCAAACTTGCCCTCTGAGTCTCTGAAGTAGATTTACCATCATTACTGGAGTATTTATTGTTCAGTTATTGATTTATCTTACCTTATTTTCACTATGTATTTATAATTCTGATGTTGGCTTCATTTATTTTTCATGTATTTCTGCTGCAAATCTAATTTCCTAAGGGATGATGATAAAGTTGAAGCTTGGTTGGTTATTGGTCTGAAGTGGATCTCCCTTTTGACTGTCAGGAAAAGAGTGTATTTTGACAATCAGCTGGATGGATGTGGGGTGATCGAGGAGATGCTTAATCAGCCTTAGTGTCATTCTTTCCCTCGGGTATTTGGGGAGTCTCTTGTTACTTAAGCTCGTGGCAGTCATGGTTTGAAGAGGTGGAAGACAGATGGACAAATAGATGAAGTGGAAGGAAAAAAAGTCAAAGAGCAATAGAGGGAGGAGAGGGTAATAGTGTGAGGAAGCAGAGAGGGAAGGAAGCAAGGTGTAGGGTAAAGGGGGGCGGAGGTATAAGATTTTTACAGGAAGACAAAGAAAAACAGATGGAATGGAGGAATACAATTTAGAGAGTGGATGCAATTTGCAGGAGAGTGAGAGAGGTCTTGGGATAAATGGCCCATGCCAGATTGAAAAGGGAAGAAGACTTTTGTGATTGTTGACCTCCCTCAGAAAGTACCCCCTCTACTTTTGTAGCTGTAACACCTCCTGACCGTGGTGCACGTCTCCTCTCCGAAAGAAAAAGAAGAAAAAGCATGAAAGCACGCAAACTGGAGTGACTGCAATTTTGACCTCAGCTGTGTTTTGGTGTGTTTGTGTTTCTCAGGGTTTTCAGTTTCTGTTTGGCTCGGAGTGATTAGAGAGCGGCAGCAAATTATGATTGAGTGCGTACCCACATGCAAACACAAACACACACTCAGCCAAGATTTGTGGATGCATCTGGTTTATTTCATCTCATCAAATGGACATCAACAAAGACACACTACAGTAACACACTCATACACATAAACCTACCAATTCGTTCCCTTCAATACACATCTTCAGACCAGCAAAGAGACACTGCAACTCATAAACACAGGTATGCATATACTGAGGCATTTGTGAGATTTGAACTTGTTGTGGAGGGGATACACCGAAGCTACAGTGCAGATGTTGTGAAAAAACTGGCCCTAAGATTTTTGGAAACTGTCGTCAGTGTTTCCAAAGCCCCAATTTGAAGTCTTGTTTCTTCCAGAACAACAATCTGAAACCAAAGACCCCTTATTTAAAATCAGAACTGACAAACTAATGTCCCACAGGTGTACAGGGTATCAAAATAGACAGCAGAAGAAATCTGTCATAAATTTTATCATTTAAACATTGTAGCTTTAACATCTTGATAAAATTCTTCTTCTTCTCTTTGTGTCATTTCTTAGACTAGCCAATATCACACAGTTTAGGGTGTGGTAAAAATGATCACTGTTCCAAAATCAGATTTTCACCTCATCCTTAAAAAAATAATTCACAATAGGAATATAATCCTGATATTTCTGAAAACTCAGAAAAGAAAATGTGCAGTCAGTCAAATGAAGGAAAGGCAAGGCAAAGGTGGAGCAGCACTTGACTTCCTAACACTATATTGACTTACTTACGTGTCCTAATTTAATTTTAAGGATATTTAAAGTCATGTTTTATGTAACCAGCCTTATAACAGAAACTCACATTTAAAAAAAAAAAACTGATCATCTTTGTCACTCTGAGTATAAAGCTGAATCCTTAAAACTTCTGAACCAGTAAGAAAACTTCTTTTGTTTGGTGTTTAAGTCGCTCACTTTAATCCGTCATCTCCTCTGACTGACTGCACTTCAGCACTCGTCACATATTACAGTAAGGGGTAACTCGCTTCTCCTTCTGCTGCCTCTTCTCCATCTTCCCTCTGTTTTATTGCAGGTGGTAACCATCTTAAAGAACCACCTCTGCCCACCACTACAATGATAATTATAATCATTAAAATATATTATATTTATAAAGCATGTAAACGAATTAAGTATTGTATCCTTATCGTTAGTGTTTCATTTCTTTAGAGGCTGTTATTGTCAGGACAGCATTCCCTGGGAGAAACCAATAAAAGGCTATTATGGGAGCCATGAGCCATAAATATTCACACATGAAAAAGCCAAAATGTAGAGAAATAAGAGAAAAGAAAACAATTATAGAACAAACTTCATTAAATCAGAGAATTATTGAGAATTGACCCGTGAATATTTAGACGAACATTTTCGCCTGTCTGGTTAAATTATTCTTTCTCTACATTTCTGCCTAAGTCTTTTTAGAAGTGCACACATTGTCCTCACATAGATTGAGGAGCGAGAGCACACGCACCAAAGCATTTCATGTTTACTCAGTAAACACAATCAGTGTGTGGAGTGCAGCGACTGATGAGGCTGCAGCAGAGTCTGATTCTGCTCTTCCTCGGCCTGCAGGCTGACAGTAACCCAATCTGAGCGGGAGAGAGAGAGAGAGAGAGGGCTGGTGGAAAAGAAAGAGCGAAAGACAATAAGTTGGAAGGCAAGTGTTGATATGAAAAAAACAGAGAGATGAGCCTCTGAGCCCCCCGAGGAAACGGACACCAGGCTTTGTCTCCTTCTATAAATATCACTCCTCCCTCTCTCTTTCTTTCTCTCTCTCTGATTGTCCACTTCTTCTCAAACATTGTTCTTCATCCTCTTCTCTTTACGCTCCTTTCTGCCTTCTACTTCACTCGGTGAAGCAATCTAGTGTTGAGATTAGAAAACCAAACTGCACTGCACTGAAGCACTGTTGAAATGAGGTCCAATGTTACCTCTACTTAATTCACTGTCTGTTGAGGGGACAAAAATCTAAATGTACAATATTCCTCTGCAGGAACATGACATGCATCCTCAGTAACAACATCACAACACAAGGGGATCTGAGGTCATCAATTAATTGGAAGACAATTATCAAAAAGTTTTCATTAAACAAAGACTAACCTAATCTGCCCTTAAGGTTGATTTCTCTAATATGAATTAATCGAAACGTTGTTAGTTTATAAGTTAAATTTACAAAACTGTTTTAAAAACTTTACCAATTTCTTCGCAAAGTAGCACATTTTAAAAAATTAATCAAGCACAGCCAACCTTTGATATAAACTTGATAATGTGAATCTTTATTTCGTTAAACTCTGTATTTCTCTGTAGCGACTGACTGTGCAGTCGCATTTCTCACTCAAAAAGTGAAATAGTCGTGTTGGAGTATGTGACATGCAAGTCCATGCATCCTATGTGAGTGCAGCACTTTCTGCACAACAGAGTGCATCCTACATCTTATTTTTTTTTTTTTGCATCATCCTGCTGTCTTCTTCTGTGAAATCATTGCAACCTCTGCAAGAAGAGGTGGAGAGCCAGGTTTTTAATTAAAGTGTGTGTTTGGAGGAGTTTATCCCGACCTTTAAAACATCTGTGTTGTCACTGAAGTTTGATCTTACGTTATTTATTGCTGCATTTTACTCAGACTCATGCTGCAAAACTTTTAATTCAGACGAAACCTGTTTATAAAATAAAGATTGTGCCACTTTACAGTAAGTTGAATATTTCCTATGACAGCTGTTTGATACCAGGATGTTGCAAATATCATGTCTTTAAAACCAAAAAAGCATCGTCTTCTTTTTCTCGGCTCTGATATCGCGGTCAAAACTAGCAGCTGAACTTTAAACATCAACTTTGATGATCGTCACTGAACTCTTACAAGTTGTCAAAGCTAATCAAACACACACCACATTATCAGCCATGACGTTGTCAGAACTGATGCTTCTCTGATCCTGAATCTATTGTTTAATCAGTGTGCAAAATCTGCTGTCATCTGATCTGCAGCCACAAAAATGTTTCCATATTGTTGCTTCTTGTTCTCTTTTCTTCCATCCATCCCACTCGGGGCAAACTCACACACTCCCTCGTGCACACGCTCTCACACACTCATTTATGCACACACACTCACACACACACACACACACACACGCTGTGTATCTCTAACTATAGTCAGACTCAAGGCGACTGACATTACTGGCATCGCACGGATCATTCGCTGGTGCAGCTGCTTTTTCAGAGCTCGCGCTGCTCAATCCTCTGGCCTTGCACTACCTCTCCCACCCCTCTCCCTCTCTCTCTCTCTCTCTCTCTCTTTTGCTCACCCACCCGGCACCCCTCCTCCCCCTTTCTCCTCCTCCTCCTCCTATCACCCAGCTTTTCCAGAGGATGACTTCACGCTCTGGAAGAGGGAAGCAGCGGCAGCAGCAGCAGTGCCCAAGACTACAGTGGCTACGCTACGTTAGCATCTGAGATCTCTTCCCAGCAAGCGTGTCTTACAACCAGCCGGGAGTCCCAGCTGTAGAGCAGAGAAGGAGAGAGAGGGGAGAGGCAGCGAGAAGGAATTTTGGGGTTGGGGAACTGAAAGAGGGAAAGGACTCTGAGAGAGGAGGAAGAAGCAACAAGGAGAAGGAGGTTGAAAGTTTGATTGCTGCGATGGAGTCATGCGCTGGCTCAGTGTGTGGAGCCGGTGAAGACACTCTGGATTTAGAAGGATGACAGTTGAAGAGACAGGAGAAGAAGAAGAAGTAGACAGAGGAAAAGTGCTCAGACTCACAGAGAGGGGAGAGCTCACTGGAGGAAAACAGCTGAGCTCCAGACGTCCGCATTTTACTGTTATTGGAAACATGTTGCTGAGAGGCTGTGATGACTCGCGGCGCTGTTACTGCTGCTACCTTGCTGCGTGTGCGATTGTGTGCAGAGTTGAAACAAACAACACCTCTTCTTCTGCCGGAGTGTGACACCTCGAATCGGACGAACCTCAAAGCCCACAACAGACAAGACTGAGATGTGATTGATTGGAGCCGCTCTGGGTTTGATTGAGGCTGTCTGTGGGCTCAGACGGGCTCAGTGATTGTTTGCTTGAGACCGGGGTCACAGTGTCTGAAGACAGACTGTGCTGAAAATCAATTCGTCCTTTTGCTTCGTCTCTGCTTGCTGGGTTACACCAGTGAGTACTAATTCTGCCTCCTATCAGCCGGCATGTTTTTGAAAGTGTTGACAGGAGGACGAGACAGGTTCACCTTTTCGCTCTGTTATTGGGATTTTGATTTCTCGTCGTCTCTTGCAGTCCCTCTCTTACTTAGTCTTTATTTGAAAAAGAAGGCATGGCGTCAGAGCACAGTCAAAACCCTGAAAAGCATCAAACTAGTTTCCCGTAAAATAACAACGATAGAAATAAAAGCATCAGGAGGTACTCGGTTTTGACTTTAATTCGTAACGATCATGAATCTGATTTTTGTCTTTTATAGAAACCCACATTGGTAAGAACTTTTTCATGTCCTTACAGAAACAATAATTTAGCCGTATTCAAACTATGAAGCCTGGTGAAGCAGCGGTGTTGCATCCAGGAGGCCGTTTTCCACTGAACTTGCAGCGAACACTGGAACTATAGCTCCCTAAAAAAGGCTGACAAGGTAGTTCAGCAATTGTTAACGGTTTGAGGGACAATTTTAACAGTAATTTACTGTAATTCATGATTACTCTAAATAACTCATATAAAGTGGAAAACTACAACAACATGTCACTGGTGTTCTCTAAGAAGTATAACTTTTTCAAAAGATTTGCTTTAAATTAATTTGCATTTACTAGTATATGATATTCTGTATATCTATAGAAAAGGAAAGTGTTTAAAGTGAGAGGAGAATTCCTGTAATGCTTTCATCTCTGAAGCCGTTTGATAGAATTAAAGCAGACTTTAGACATTGACCTGTGGGAATTTACGAACAAACAGAAATGCTTCACACTTTAGACTGAGAACATACTTTTTACATAAATCTAAAACCGAAAACTGTTTTTTTTTTTCCAGTGCTAAAAACACAAGCTTGGGCCTTGGATGACATAAATATATATAAACATTTATTTGGTTGTTTAATAGGTTTGTAAAGTTGAAGCTGCAAACGTCGGTGCTCTGTAGATGATCTTGACCCCTTCTTGTGCGGAAAGGCATGTTTTCACCCCCTCTGAGCTCAACTTTTAATTCATTTTTTTGTTCTTTTATCTCGTTTTTTCCTTTTTTGTGAAAAGTAATAAACCTTTAATTTCTGGTATGTTGTATGTTGATCCAAAATACTTCACATCATTTACTCAGAGGGAAACGAAAGTAAAAGAAACAAACAAAAATAGTGGAAGAAAATCAAAAACGAATTGTTTGCTGTATGGTGCAAATTTCCCTGTAAATGTATTGTGTAGTTTTTGTTGTTGTTGTCGGGAACAGAGAGACTCTAAGACACTAACTCCAAAAATCCTACTCGCTTGATGTGGCCTTGCCTCTCTTTATTAAAAAAAGGGATTATCAAAAAGGAGAGCATGAGGGCTTTGCTTGTTTTCTCTTCTCTCTCTTCAAATCAACAGGCAGAAAACACTGAAATGATATTTGCGTTTTTAGTAAAACATTAAATCCCCATTTATCCTCTTAATATTTATTCTCTCTGTGCTTGTCTGGCATACTTAAAGTTCCCCTCTGGTTCACTGAGGACTGAGCAATACAGAGGTTTTTCTCTTTTAGTCAACAACACTCCTCTTCGGTACGTCAAAAAAAAAAAAAAAACAGAGACAAGCATTTCCTCTTTCGTCTTGCAGGTGCACAGGAAGATTCGGGAGGACTCTGACATGGCCCAGGACTCCCTGCAGTGCCTGGCCCAGCTGGCCTCCATGCACGGGCCCATCTTCCCGGACGAGAGCGCCCAGGTGTCGTACCTAGCCCACCTGGTGGAGGGCCTCCTCAGCATGATCAACGGGTGAGTGTGTCTCTGCCTGCTAGAGACAGCTGAACATACAGTTTGTCCTCGGCTCGGACGTAATCTTACTGCTGTGTTTATTGCTTTGTTATGGCTTTTCATAATGCAGGTATTAGTTCATGTGTTTGTTGAAGGGTTATTAGCTGTGGTGGAGCCTCAGCTGTATGTACGGTGATGATCGGCTGTCAGCGGCTCTGGTCTGCTCTAAAAATGTCTTGACAACTGTTGGATTGAGTGTCGTGGAGTTTGGTTCAGATGTTGATAGCTCCCAGAGAATGATAGATGACTTAAACATTTATCTTATTTTTACTGAAGCCCGCCATCGGTGAGGCTGGTACGTGTGGCATTGAGTGAAATTATTGTCATTTGTAAAATGGAATTCCCCATTAATTGTATAAATTATCGTAAATCCAAGCACCATTATGAGTTCCGAGCTGCCTTCAATCAAGGACGGTCAGCACAGAAATATGAACAGAAGTGTTTTTTTCTTTTGAGCAGTGGAGTTATTTTTGGGCTTTAATGGATTTATTTGTTTGATTGGACTGTGGATAGAGTAGGAAACTGGTGAGAGAAAGAGAGAGAGAGGGCCCCAGGTTGGGTCAGGCAATCCCTACTTCAAGGACTACTGCGTCTGTGCTTAGGGCCCAAACTGGCGCTAAGAAACCAGTTTGTATTCAAGCAAATGTGTGTTGGTCAGCCTCCTGCTTATTCTTTTTGACAACTCTGGGACATTATAAACCAGAATCTCCAATTGCATTTTCGTGCCTTTAGGCAGATTAGCAGCATGATTTAATATTCAGTTATTGGTTGATTATCCAGGAGCAAGTTAATGACATATAACAGCGATGGTAGGTCAGCTGTTGGTTATTTTATTGTCAAAGAGAAACACGGATGATCCAGCGCTCAACAACTCAGTGTGGTTTTACCGTCTCCTTATTAGATTGAGGCTACGTTGTTATTATTAATTTCAAGTGACAAAGTAGTGATATTAAAAGTGTGTTTCGGATTTATACTGATGAAGTGCGCTCTTGCAAGTCAAGTCTTAAAAGGAATTTTAATTGAAAGCGTTTGGTGATTTTATGTAGCCTAAAATTTCTTTCGTCATGATTTTATGTTTCCTCTAAATGTGATATTGGTTTTATGATCCAAGCTGGTTTAAAGGTTGTTGATTTCTTTCCACTGCCTTGTAAAGTAATCTTTTGTCGTGGAGATTTTGAGAAGTTCTCCAAAAATAAAGACGCACGGTATCTAATTTAAAACATGTGTTAACTCGGCAGGATTTCAGCATGTTTTTGACCTGTACGCAAATAACACTCATGTTGTTTGCTGACAGAGTTATTGATCCTCGATAAGCACTGACGGTAGAAACCCTTGTCAATTTCAAATAAATGTAGAGTGAATACTTTATTATTGCCAAAGGAGCATTTTTTCCACAATTGATGTTAAGAATCTGTGGGAGTTGACTCAATCTGTCTCTTCTTCATTTGGTTATTACTTTATTTATAGTTATATTCGCTAACCAGTGAACTACTTACCTTAGCTTACATGAACGGGACAATCATCGTATTATTGACAGGAGCATGTCTACACTAAGTGGCGAGTCCCCCTTTCGACTTCTTACTATCAGGTTGTCTCTCTGTTGACATGTTGCGTCTCACTATCAAAACATCAACAGCAAGAGGCCAACAGGACGTCACTTTTAAAAGTCTGTCCGGTTTGTGAGGACAATTTCACCGCTTCTACAACTTTCCTTCATCTGCCGAGGTCATTGTTGTCATTGCTTTTCTAAGACAAGCTAGAGTGTAAACAGGATCAATAAGCACAGTTATATATCGACACTTAAGCTCAGATGCTGTTCCTTACCTCTGCTGTTTCCAGGCAGATGCCATGTTTCTCAAACCCAGAGACTCAACAAGTGACAGTCTGATGTCAGCAGGAGTGTGGGACTCATGCTGTGCCATCTCTTTATTTACAGGAAGTAATTACTTGTTGAGTCTGTTTTAATAGCCTCTGAATCCAGCATCTGCTCGCTCTACAGGAAGCTGGCAGAAGAAGGAAGTGCTCTTTTTCCATCTTAGTTACAAATAGAGTTAACCAGTTACTTATCCTTTTGAGTTTCCTCTATAACCACATCTATGGATGAAATAAATCAAATTACGCCCGCTCAGATAGATATTTGATGTTTCTTTATTTCCAAACAGAGGGAAGGACCTCTCAGAGATCAGTGAATCTTGTGCGCGGTTGTGTTCAAGTAAATAAGAGTCTACAATTATTCATCCTTTATCTGATATAGACCTTGTCAAACTATTAAAATGAAACTCATGTGGACTGACTGAAAAATTAAATGCTATGTGGAAAAACCTTGTTACATGACTCTCACTATAATTTTATAACCAGATTCTCTCTTCTAATAACCTGGCCTTACTTGCAAAGTAAAAAAATGAAAAGATTTTAAAGCAGAAGCGAGATTTTAAGGCAAGAAATACAGAATGAAGTTTGAAAATATAGTAGTGTTTAAAAGATACAGCTACATAGATTCTGTAGTTTTAAGGTAGTGTGCTCTAGAATTGAAAGAAGTGATCTGCAAATTGTTACGTTTGAAATGCAGGAATAAATTAAACCCGCTAGTGCACTTGTTAAGATTTCTATTGGACTAGTATACTGTAAAACAATTTATCTGCAAGTTTGAAATTTAAAATAAGAATAATGCACATGACTGAGAGCAAATGTAGAAAAGAGAAGTTGAAATGAATAACAAATATGCAGGAAAAAAATAGATTAATCCCAAGTTCTTTACTATTTCTTTACCGAAGTTTTAATGTATTTTAGGTAAAAATAAAAAAAATTCTAACTTTCGACTGCAGAGGGTTTTTTGTTCCAAACTCTATCAAATCATCTAAAGCCAATCAGATGTAATTCTGCAATGTCTTTAGCCTCTTATCCATCACAAAATCAACGAATTATTACCAACATACATGCAAAAAATAAGCGATCTAACTAAGCAAACTACACGATCGAGTAACACCACACGTAAAAAGGTAGCCAAGTGACTTAAATGCTGCACCTCTCGATAGTTAACCAGTCCCTAAACTGAGTGATTGATGACTGACGCGGTTTAACATGCATCAGGCTTGAACTGGTGTGGGCAGGTGTGCGGCGTCAAAGAACCTGAGCCACAGGGCCTCCTCAGTCCAGCAGTGGCTCTGCTCTGGTATTAGCGGCCTGTTAGCAGGGGTCATGTGAAGAAATAGATTTTGTGCTGAGTAACATTACGAGTTTTGTAAGCCTGTGGTCTGCTGCACAGTCGGGCTTTTTGTGGAGTCTATTGATTGTCCCCGTGTGCGGTGCAGGGTTTCAGCGTGTGTGTTTCAGGCCTCAGGAAGACGCATTAGAAGAGATTCGGGCTCTGTTTTTAGAGGCTGGGTGATGGGGACAGCTACCTAAAGGGGCTGTGTTTTCGACATTACTGGTTTGACACCGGCTTCAAACTGAAACTCAGAGGACGTTAAAAAGCTCGGCCATGTTTGACGTTGGTGATCAATAAAGAAGAACATTAAACATTTCATAATTATAGACAAACAGTAACTTTCAGGTGCTCATCCATTTACTGAACTGGTCTAAGATGTACATCATTTTGCTGTACGCGTCACTGATCTTGTCTCCTAAATATCTCATCCTGTTTCTTTCCTTAAACAGTCAAATGAGTCGTTTATTGTTCATATTTTCTGTAAAGAAGTTGAAAAACAGTGTTTCCTCAGCCTGCTGTCAATCCTCTCATCTGTCACTTACCCCCTTGTAATGGTTTCAGGCATTAAAGGGAATAAAATGGAAATTGCAGATCTCATTGCCGATAGTCATGTTTGCTTTTGTAAAGCCCCAAAGAGGCATTAGTATCAAATTCAGTCTGTTTTACAAACTTAAAACTTGTGGAGTGCTGCTGGCGAAGCGCCCCCTCATAAACAGAGCTCATGCCTCAGAGGGACAGCCCAGGTTTGCTTCTAGCCTGCAGCTTCCTCTCCGCGTGTCACATCCAGCTCTCTTTTTTTTCTCCTTCTTTATCCATTATCCTGTACTCAAAATAAAGACATTAAAAAACCTTTTTTTTAAAAAGCCAAAGAGTTAAAAGGAGGTCTTCACTGTGGCTTTAAATATGACAATTTAATTATTAAAGGTATGAAATTAAGTTTAGTCATCAAAAGGGTTGTCTTTTGATTGGACCAAATTTATGTTCATTACTTTTGATTAAATGAATTAAAGTTGGAGACATTTACTAGACTTGAAGAAATAGTTGTATAACTTTCAACAGTCAACTTTAATTCAACCCCCAAAGGAATTTACTGATGATTGAAATAATTGTTGCGACTAAAAAAAACCTAGTACTGAGCAAAAAACACAAGATAATCTCTCAATAATCATGAGGTTTATACACAACACAGAGAAGATGCTGAATGTCTTCGCAACTTTACAAGATTTTGCTTCAGTTAAAAAGTAATAATTGGGATTATTTGTAATTTAACTCCTCTGAAGAATAAATAAAATATACAGGGAGAAATCTGATATCTGGTGTTACTTGATTGTTCTCGGTATAGGGTGCCATACCTTATTTTTCCCAAAAGTGAGGTACAGTAATCCAAAAGTTTTTCCCTTCTATCAGAGCTGTGTGTGTGTGTGTGTGTGTGTGTGTGTGTGTGTGTGTGTGTGTGTGTGTGTGTGTGTGTGTGTGTGTGTGTGTGTGTGTGACCGGCTAAAACCAATAAGTACTGCAGACATATTTTGTGCTCATTTGTGGGTGTGTCTGTCAGCGCAGTGGTTCTGATCTGAATTAAGGGTCAGCGCTCACATGTATAAATAACTGACACACTCCATGTGCACATGAGCTTGTTGTCGAAGCACATGATCCAGTGAGTAAGGGTCTCTCTCTCTCTCTCTCGCTTCCCCTCCTTTCTCTCTCTCTCCCTCCCTCTCTCTCTCTTCCCGCCTCTCCCGCTCCGTCTGTAATCACCTATTCTTGGAGCTTTTTTCCAATTGCCTCATCGGAAAACCATGTGAAGAGGGATGGCAGATCTGCAGTGATTGAACAGTTCTGTTCGCAATTTAACTCCATCTGATAGGGGTTAGCTCGGCTGCTCACACAACTGTGTTTCTTTCTCGCTGCGGCGAAGTGAGTCGCTTCAAACAAAAATTCAGGAATGAGATTTTTCCTATTTTTGTGCAGCACAGGCGACACAAAAGAATGAATTTAAACTCAAAACTTCAAGAGGTTGGCGCTGGTTTTTATAGAGGGGTTAAAAGAGGATTTCCCCCAGAGCCCCTTTGAATGTTTTCAAGTGAGGGCACAGATGTGGAAAACTCAAACAAGTTCTCGAAGCAGATGCTCTGCATGTTTGGACTGTTTACTATATGATACTGCGTACTTTAGCTTCTAGCTTATCAGAGGGACATGGTATTATCTAGCTTATTTTAAATATGTGTTTTAAATCGTATATTCTGCTGAGCTGTACTGTTTGTAGTGTGACAGGGGTGATGTTTGACTGAGGCCCTGAACAATGGAATTGGCCCCAAGTTACTTTTTTAAAGAAATAATAGTGTCAAACTCATGTTTGATGATTGTATAATAATCAGTGCTTGACCGATATTGGTTTTTTTAACAGCTGATGCTGGTTATAAGAAAGTGGGCTGGCCGATTTTATCATTACTGGGCTCCTTATGATGTATAAAAATGGCCTTCAATTCTGTTTTAACTGAGAATTTTGTTTTTATTTGTCTTTTTTTATGTGCTTTATGACTATTTGTCAAAGCACTTTGTGAACTTCTGTTTTTAAAAGTGCTATAAAAATTAAGTTATTATTTTTATTATTATTGTTAAAATCAAATTATTATTAAAATTATTATTTAAATCTAATACACATTTTCCCCTGTTATGCTTTTGATGGGTTTCTAATGAATTAATGAAACAGAAAAATACATGGGTTCATGTTAAACAGTTAAACATGACTGATGTTAAACTGCATCTTTCTGGTATTATTAACATAGTCATCAGTAGTTAGAGTGGTATTAGGATTTATATTTGATATAATGATACCAGATACATGGGTTAGCCCCTCATGCAGACTCAGCAGACTGCTCTTGAAGTACGCTTTATGACGGGGCCGTCAACTCATGCCCTCCTACAAATATCAACATTTTACAACCTGCTCTCTGAGATTCGATCTTGTTTTGTTCTTGATTTTATCTGTCACGCTGAGCATGAGTCTACTCACATCTTAAAGTTTAATCGTTTTGTTTTTGCTTGGCTCTCCCACTGTTTGTTAATGAGGTGTAACATTTGAATCAATCAGTGACACTTATTTTCTCTGAATTTTAGGGCACCAAGTTTGTTTCCTCTTTTTTTTTTCAGAATGTGATTTCAAAGAAAAGTGATTGGGGGTTTTGAGATAATTTTGCTGTTGAAAGTGTTGATTGTTTTAAAGTTTCAGATAGTGTGTAGGGGATGCTGGATGCTGACTTTTGACCCACTGAGACTTTATAAACACTAAAAACTTATTTGTGGATTTCCATGAAGTTTTATTCATAAAATCATGGACTTTTTAAAACTGTGTCAGACTTTTATTTTTCTGTAGCTTCACCAGCTGGTCAAAACATTGATTTTTGCACAAGTCGGTTCATCTGTCAAACGAATAGCACAGCTTTAGTAGATACTCGTGTTTATTCATTCAGTTTTGGAAAGTTGTAGAGAAGATCATGTTGGATTCAGGACTGTTCCTCAAACTCATGTTCTCTTTGGATAATAATAATAATAATAAGATGGATCTTGTTTGACACTGTTTGTTGTGGATATGGTAAACAAAGCTCAGAGACTCTGATCTGGTTTTAACTCCTGTCAGCGCTCAGTACAGGCTCACACAGTTGCTTTCATGGCTGCAGAACGATTCTCCGTCTTATCTTGTCGCCCAGTTTTAAGATCATTGCTGTTGTAAATTCTAGACATATTTAAATTTATATTAGTTGCACTGATACTGTTTTTACATTTGACCATATTATGCTAAAAAAAAGATTACAACTCACCTTTTAATATACTTACATGTGAGCATCATGTTTGGTTTGTCCTATGACCTGATTATGTAATTTTTTCTCCAAGTGTAATCAGTCTGTTTTTACTTTTATTGAAAAAGGAGCAGATATACCATCAAAAAAAAAACTATGATGCAGCAGTGGAAAACTGCTCAGGGGTCAAGTTGCCCACGAGTTTTGGTTCAGGATCAGTTTTCATGCCTTTTTCCAAACCTCGGTCACCAGTTGGTTAAATAGGAATCAACCCCAGTCGAGCCTCGGCCTCAATTTACAGAGTGGAAACCATCCCTCCTCAGGCCAAAGCACGGGTTTAACTCCCAAGATGTAAAAGAAGACGATTGGGCTGTCACAACTTTGATTAAATTGATTCTCCTCACTTGATGTAATGCAAAGAGCAGATGATCCGTTTAAGATCTTTTCCACTATGCGGGCTCGCCCCCTTTTCTTTTTTTTCTCACCTCTGACTCTTCCAATAAAATTCATTTCTGTCCTTTATTTTCTGTTTCCAGGATCGAGATCGAGGACTCGGAGGCAGTGGGAATCTCCAACATCATCTCGAACCTGATAACCATGTTCCCTCGAAGTATCTTAACAGCGCTGCCAAGTGAACTCTTCACCTCCTTCATCAACTGCCTCACGATACTCACCTGCTCTTTTGGACGCAGCGCCGCCCTAGAGGAAGTGGTGAGTAATTACACTCTAAACTGTTAACATCTATTTGCATATTCTGCATCAAAATGTAAAACCATAATGAGCAGGACCAGACTTTGATTTCAGGAAGGTTTTGGTTTAGTGAAAGCAGACAAAATACTGTGCAAAGTTTGTAAATGTTGGACTTTCTTTGTGCGGCACACAGCTGGATAAGGACGATATGGTTTACATGGAGGCCTACGACAAACTCCTCGAATCTTGGCTGACGCTTGTCCAGGACGATGAGCATTTCCCTCGCGGCTGCTTCGTCCAGCCGGCGATTCAGGTCTTCAACTCGTACATCCAGTGTCACCTGGCCGCTCCAGACGGCACCCGGAATCTGGTGAGACTCCGCTCCCCCTACATTTTTCCTTTTTCAGATATTGAACTTTTTTATTTGCATTTCATAAAATCCTGATCCTTGCTCACTTTACAACCCCTCAGTCAGTGAACGGCATCTCCACCCACGATGAGGAGGAGATAAACGAGCTGCAGGAAGACGACAGAGAGCTCTTCTCTGACCAGCTGTCCAGCATCGGCATGCTGGGACGTGTAGCCGCTGACCACTGTATCCCTCTACTTACAAGGTAAAACAAACGTCTACCTCTAAAACGTAACTGCTTTTTAAAATTTGTGTATCTCCTGTTGAAACTGTTCCTATGTCTTCCTCCTGCAGCCTGTTGGAGGACCGGGTGACGCGACTACACGGTCAACTCCAGAGGACCCAGCAGCACCTCATGGCGTCGTCTGACCCAGGATCAATGGACCGCAAAGTCCTGGACGACCTCTACGAGGACATCCACTGGCTCATTTTGGTCTCAGGTTGGCAGCCGAACACGAAACCTTCATTTTGAGATTTTTTTTTTCATCAAATTCCTCTAAATCAGACGTTATTGTTGCTGATTTTATTCGTGGCATCTCTGCAATTCGGGGCATCCGCCAAAATATCTGCCATTTTTTGATGAAGCATGAACTATTCTAGAATAATTTATTATTTTTCTCAGAGAAAGGATGAAGGGGGATTTATTGTTCGAGGTCAAAACAAAGTAAAGCAGTAAGACAACTTTAAGGGAATGTCGTTGCCTGAGTCTTAACAGATACTTTAATAAATGTAGAAACACAATCAAAACACTTTATTGAATCCTAATAAACTAGAGAACAGCTGTTTTTTAGTTCTGTTTGTTCCACTTCACTGGTTTTATTTGCGAATCAAAACAGAAAAGCAGAACTCCACCCCGTCCTGTGGGTTAGTCTTGATGAAATAATGTCTGAATCAGCTTTATTACAGGCTACGGTGGACTACAATAAAACACTCACAGAGGGACATTTGTTGGTACCATAGAGAGTTGTTGTTGAAAGGAGACTGGTCTTTTTATTGGTGGTTTTATCAATTACTTGGTTAAAGTCCGTTGTTGTCTTTTAATGAGCTCCAAAAACAGAAAAGCCCATCAGCAACAAGATTCATAATATCGTTTTGCTCATTTTTAACACTTGTTGACATAAACCAGACAATCTGAGCTACAGCAAGATGCAGAAACAGCTTTTTTATTACAAAGAAGTTACAGGTTACAATTTTTTTCATCGTTGAATACTTCTTACACATGAACAGAAAGATCAGAGGCACCTCTTGGTCGACAGCGGACACCAAAGCTGATATAAAATCAAAGTTTCTTGCAGGAGCTTTAATGTTTTGTGTCTTTGAAAAGTCTGAAATGTCACCAACAGCTTAAATACGTCTGCATAGATTTTTAGTTTTAGAAAGCAACGATGAACAAAAGATAGAAGAAAGATGTTTATTTTTTTGTGTGAAATATTTGATGAAAAGCGCAGATCAACAAAACAAGCAGACTATAACTTCTCCTTACGAAGCTGTCTGTGTGCTCTTCAGGGTATTTACTAGCAGACGACCCTCAGGGAGAGACTCCGCTGATCCCGTCGGAGGTGATGGAGTTTTCCATCAAACACTCGACGGAGGTGGACATCAACACGACGCTGCAGATCCTCGGATCACCGGGAGAGAAAGCATCATCTATACCAGGCTTCAACCGAACGGACTCAGTCATCAGGTACTGTTTCTGCTGAGATTGAAACTTAAGCTGTAACATTTATTTATATTTATAGTAGCTCATTTTCTATGCATAACACACAGATAAATAGCAAATCTGTTGTGTCTTATGTAAGCCAAAGATTATTAACTCTCACATTTCTAGAAATTTCTCCCTCCACTGTATAAGAGGGATTTTTTGTGCTGCAGAGTTTTCGTGCCGCCGAATAGTTTTATTTTCTGGTAACTAAGGGTTCTTGCATGGTATGAGCAGTTTGTTTACCTTTGCTGTGTTCGGCTTTGGTCTTGAAAGTATTTAAAAAAAAAAGTTGCCATGCAAGACAATTCCCGGCATCTGGCATTGAGAACTGGAAGGTCAACGCCTCAAATACCTGAACCATCTGAAAAATACCTGAAAGTCAGAAGAGAGAGAGGAGTCTTAGTCTCACTCTCACTCTGAAGAGAAGTTTAAGGTGAAGTGTGAAGGTCTGTGGTTTAAATCTGTGCTTTGTTAATCAAAACCTCTGTGCACATCACAGGTCGGCCGAGTATTTTTGGCGCCGCACATTAGTCTGACTCAAGGACCAGGATCGCGCTGTCACATGGGTCGTTGTATTGTAAGGGATGGCACTTCATTGTACCCGGCAGTCCTCAGATGTTGTGACAGTTCGTCTCACTTTACATGCCAGAGCCCATAAAACTCTCCCAGAATAGACTTTCCTCGCTGTCCAACCCCGAAGCCGCCTATACCCTTTAGTGTCAGTCAGAGTCATTGTGCTGTAAAGCTTTAGGTGTCCAGGTTCACACCAAAACACCATCTGAATGTACAGTCAGTAAAACGCATGCTAACAAAGTCTCACACAGGGGGGTTTAGTTTAATGAGTTCTGCAAGATCACAATAAAAATAACAGAGCTGCGACATGCGCTCGCTTTTACGTAATCAGTTTGAGGACGAGATGCGTTGGAGGGGTGTAACTTTAGATTCTAACTTCACTAAGACCAAAACCAGAAGTGGATGATCAAGAAAGACTGAAACTGAGTGATCTGTGTCTTTTTGGATCAGTGTGTTGATCTTCTGTTTAGAAAAAATCGGGTATTTCCATCGAATAGGGGGGAAAAGAGCAGGACAGTTTTTCAGAGCTCAAAGTCAAGTCAAGTCAAGTTTATTTGTAAAGCACATTTCAGCAGCAGGGCAATTCAAGGTGCTTTACATGAAACAAGCAGGCAAAACATTCAACACAATTTAAAAAGTAAAAACAGCGTAAAAGACATTTAACAGATTAAAAGTTACATTCAAAGCTAAAATAAGGGAGATAAAAGAAGACAAAACTTAGATTGGAGAGAGAGAAAAATAAAGATCAAGACAGGCAAATGATGAAGATGTTGTTTAGAGGCCCCAGCTTTATTTATATGGCACTTTTCGTACATAAGGAAATGCAATTCAAAGTGTCTCACAGAGGCGAAAAGCAACAATGAAGACTAAAACCCAACCCTTCCATCCACACATACACCCATGGACCCACACGCACACAAAGACACACACCTACCCTCACTCACCCACACATACACACACACACAACCGCACACAGTGTGAGAATTTACGATATAAGTTAAAGAGACATGGCCCGACATCGAGACATTTACATGAGGAAAAAAAAGTCCGCCCCAAAGATCAGAAAATCACGGTTAATCGTCAACAGACTGGACTTTTGGAGAATGTTTCTGGTCTTGAGTCCACCCAAAGCGCTTCTGCGGTGCATGTCATATTCACCCATTCACACACACTCACACACTGCTAGTTAAAGCTGCTTAGACCGATAAAGAGTACATTCTTCAAGGCTTGGCGATATGAGATAGGAATAAAATGTCAGAAACAAAAGCTCTAACTAAAGCTAGACGCCTTGTTTGCCTCACATTTTCCATTTCTTGTGGCAGTGTTGTATGTCCCTGTTAAACAAACATTACAATAAAATCAATAACTGTACGCTGTCTTGGCTGCAGTAACAAACTAATTTTTTATTGACTTAAAACCCTCTTAAGATGTAGAATAAGATTATCCTCTCTGTGCTCGTCAAACATCAATAAAAACACAATGGTTCCTAAAAAAAAAACTACACAACAACAGATAATAAAATAGACTGTGGGATTCAAAGCTCTGGCTGCTGTTATCAGATGGGATTTATTTTTCAACGTCAATTAAATGTGCAGCGCGGCAGTAATGTGACTGTGATGTTCGAACCTCGTGCGGTTCAGGGGCGGCTGGCGGTCACACTGGATGCTCGTCTAATAGAGGGTGACCGAGTGTGAGTGTGTGTGTGTGTGTGTGTGTGCAGATAATCACAGTGACGACAATAGAAAGTCACAGCAGTCAGCCAGATTGTCTGCTGAAGGTCATTTAGCCCTTGTTCTTTCTAGATTGTTCATTAAGTGGAAGAGTGTGTGTGTGTGTGAGTGTGTGTGTGTGTGTGTATACGTGTGCAAAAGAGATGACAGCAATGACAGAGGATTGCAGAGGCGAGTGGTGGCGAGAATCATGTTTCCTGATGGCGAGAGGATGACCCCGGCTCCGTAAATGTCAGCGCGGTTTTGTTTTCTGCAAACAATGTGAAACTGTGCACTGTCCTCCACAGAGGGGGGCGGAGCAATAAGCTGCCTTAAGCCCTCTGTCTCTCTGTCCTTTATGAAAAGTGTGTGTATGTGTTTGTGTTTGTGTGTGGGGGGACTCGCTCTCACCAACACACAAAGGGCATCATTATATCTATGACCGTCTCGTACTGTTTGGTTATTTTTTAAATGGGTGATTTGATCGGTCATCAACCCTGAAACGAGATACGAGACAAATAACTTCTTACCAACTCTTCTGCAGTTTCTCTCGCACAATCTGCTCCTGAAACTTCCAGACTTTCCCCCGCAGCAGGAGAGTCTCCCTGCAGGGACAGATCTCAGGGGGCTTAGAGTAAAGAGGGTGCAGCTGTGTTCGAAAATTGCGGATGAAGCAACAGAGTGGATGCTATGCCGACTGTTTTTTACCTCTGTGTAAGAGCATCCTCACTGCATGCTTCGAACATCATCACTCTGCAAACTCAGTAGCAGTACAGTCTCCTGAATTTTACTGACATTTTGCAGTAAAAGAGGACGTACAGTTTGGTGAAAAATAAGTCTGTTGGGAGTCACACCTGCAGCCCACCCTGAAAATTCATTAAAAGAGCTCAGACCAGGGTCAGCGATGGCCTAAAGGTCTAAGCGCCCCACGTTTAGAGGATATAGTCTTTTATTTTATTTTATTTTAACTTATTTATTTCTGTCTTTTTGTCTATTTCTCATATCGTTTATGTTTTTAAATAACTTGTTAACTCCTCAGTCATTTTATTCTTTAATCATTCTTCTATATCTTTGATTTTCTTACCATTGTTTTGTTTTTATTCTAATCTGTAAAACACTTTGTTACCCTGTTTTGAAAAGTGCTGTATAGATAAAGTTTATTATACTTAAACAACATTGCTGTGCATAAATATAGGATAAAGAAGCCTGCAACAGCCGTACATGAGGTGTGAGTGCATGTGTTAAACGTTTATAGCAAATTTAAGATTACCTGGAACTCAACTTGAATGTTTTTAGGGCTGCTGTCAGATGATCTGTGCAGATCCCTTTGGAAGCGTCTTTGACTAATGAGTGTTGGTTGATGAAATATTTCTCTCTCCTTGAAAAATAAGTTGTTCATACCCAGCTGTTTTTACCGTATTTTCGAACTATAAGGCGCACTTAAAATCCTTTTGGCTTGTCGGAGCACTGCAGCTACCGTAGCCTCGAGGAGTTTCTGAATGAGTTAAATAAGGTTTGACTTATCTGACTGTTTTGTTTAGCCTCATGCGCCTTATAATCAGGTGCGCCTTATTGTACAAAAAATCCAGTATTTTGTCGGGTCTTGGTTGATTAGTTGTCATAAACTCTTTTCTTATTTACTCAACTCATTTTCAGTTCCTGCCTCGTATTTCACTGGACGACTACAATCGTCTTTTAATGTTTGTTTTTATCTCTGTTTTCACTGCTGCACTCTGATGGTTTTTTATCCTGCTGTCTTTGACCTTTTTGTGACTCAGGTTGCTATCAGCCGTGTTACGAACATCAGAGGTCGAGTCCCGGGCAACAAGAGCGAGCCTGACGGAGCTCCTGAGCCCACAGATGGGAAAAGACATTGTGTGGTTCCTCAGACGCTGGGCCAAGACGTACCTGCTGGTGGATGAGAAGCTCTATGAGCAGGTACAAGACTCTCCGCCCCTCTCACAGTCAAACAGATATTTCTCCTTCAGCTCGCTCACGTCTCCTTTTGTCTCTTTCCAGATCAGCATCCCTCTCAGCACAGCCTTTGGTCCGGACACAGAGGGCTCCCAGTGGATTGTGGGATATCTTCTGGAGAAGGTGATCAACAACTTGTCTGTGTGGAGCTCAGAAGCCGAGCTGGCAAACGACACGGTGGAGCTGCTGGTGACTCTGGTGGAGAAGAGGGAGAGGTGAGGACAGTCATGATGGATTTACATCAAAAAAATAAAATAAGGGATCAGATTTTAACAGCCGCTTTGATTCTTCGCGTCGTTCAGGGCAAACATCGTGGTGCAGTGCGAGAACTGGTGGAGTCTAGCGAAGCAGTTTGCCAGTCGCAGTCCGCCCCTCCACCTGCTGTCCAGCTCGGTGCAGAGGACTCTGATGAAAGCTCTGGTCCTGGGAGGCTTCGCTCAGATGGACGCCGACACCAAACAGCAATACTGGGCTGAGGTAAGAAATGAAAATGAGTTCTGACGCAACAGGAAGGTAGACAACATAAATGTACAGCTTTACAAAAGGAAACAGTGAGTAAAAAAATGTCTTCACTGTTAAAAAACACAAAAACTCATAACCCATAAAGAAGTTACAAACCTCTACAAACTGCGTCAGGATCAGAGAAGGAATGATGGATGCAGTCGATAATATTCCCCCCGCCGAGTCTTTCTCCCGTGTGTATAACATGATCCTTTTAGTGATCCTGCAGGCCTGTGTCTTAATAGGCTGACAGTAGTAAGTAAACGTTGGTGCAAAGCCACAATGACTCCAGAGTAATTATTGGAGGGGGGGGTGAGACGGCAGCTGTTGGCTCCTGCAGCTGCTTTGTCTCAACTTGGATCGCTCTGTGGGAGGAGGAAGAAGAGCGATGGAGCCAACAACTGATCAAACACTCTTTTGTTACATCTGCACATTCCTCCTCTTCTCTTACAGGCACCGAGAAATCGCTCTGACCCCTTAAATCGAATAACGGGGGTTTAGCGCGATATGTTTGTCATAACTGAGCTCAGAGAAGCCGGTTTGTTGGGACAACAGTCGAAAGCCCCAGAGTGTTTGCTGCAGACCACAACTGAATGTTAAAAAGTAACAGTAAAGTCGTAACTGTATTAGAGCTTAAAGTAATGAGTGCAAAACTGGGAAAATTATGAAAGAAAATCCCCGAAAACTTTTGTCTTCCCTGGACCCTTGCAAGCTGCAGATGCTGCGTCTACCGAACTTATTTTTAACTCTTAAGGACATTAAATAGTCTAGAGCAGGTTTATTACAGAATATAAACATTTAAAAATTGACACAAAGATGGTTTCCGCCCACTCAGGTGCTTCACCCGCTCCAGCAGCGTTTCCTCAACCTCATCAACCAGGAGAACTTCGCTCAGATCAGCCAGGAGGAAGCCGTCAAGCAAGAAATCGTCGCCACGTTAGAGGCTCTGTGCGGCATCGCCGAGGCAACGCAGATCGACAACGTGGCCTCGCTCTTCTCGTTCCTCATGGACTTTCTGTCCAGCTGCATCGGCCTCATGGAGGTAAGAGATGGAGCCAGTAAAAGATCGTTGACACCGAGTAAGAAACAGCTGAATAGGCTGATTTACAAGGATGCAACTGATTTAATCTACAGAGCGGTGAGGAGAACAAGCAGACAAATCTGTCTTTAGGGTTCAAGAATCTGTAGATTTTTCATCATGCAGGGAAAGTTAATCATGTGACGGTGTTTTCAGATTTCTGTGACAGTTATCTTTCATCTCAGTGTTTTACTTCTGTCACTCAGGTCTACAGCAACACGCCCGAGACAATCAACCTCATCATCGAGGTTTTTGTGGAAGTGGCGCACAAGCAGATCTGCTACCTGGGAGAGGTGAGTGACACGACAGAGCAACACGTTCAGCAGTTTCTTTGTTTGTCTTAAAGCCGGAAATTTGAAGGAGAAAAAAAAGTGTGCAAAAACTATCCATGCTTTAGTTTTTGTGTAGGACCATTTCTCTTTCTTGAAAAAGTTGCTGCTCCTCGTTTTTTGACATGGCACTTAACTCCAAATATTTTTCCCTGATACGGCCCCTAAAAATCATCTGGATTTCATCAAATAGCATTTCAGTTTAATAAAAGGAGCTTCAAACTAGACGTCTCTCCTCGTTTTCTGAGATGTTAACTGTCGTCTCTCTCCTCCTCCTCCTCCTCCTCATGCAGACTAAATCCATGAAGCTGTACGAAGCGTGTCTGACGCTGCTGCAGGTCTACTCCAAAAACAACCAGAGTAGAAAAAGGAGTGACGCCACCGCTGAGGAGGACCAGTACCAGGACCTGCTGCTCATCATGGAGCTGCTCACAAACCTGCTCTCTAAAGAGTTCATCGACTTCAGTGACACAGGTGAGTGAACTGGAAGTGTCTGCCTTTACAATTATCTATTAGAGTTGAAGACTTCTCTCTGAACAACGTCCACGTTCTTGTTACAGACGAGGTGTTTCGAAACCAAGACCAAGGAACGCCGGCGTCTGGTCGGACGGTGTCAGCAGCTGATGTTGTTCTCTACGGTGTCAACATCGTTCTTCCGCTCATGTCTCAGGACCTGCTGAAGGTAAAACCGCTCAACACAGAGGCTTTGACCACACTACAAGCAAAAACAGGGTCTGTTCTCTTGAGGTCACAGGGTTCAATATAGTCATCTGCTTTATCTTGACTCCCTTTATCTTCCAGTTCCCGTCTCTGTGTAATCAGTACTACAAGCTTATCACCTTCATTTGTGAGATCTTTCCAGAGAAGATCCCACAGCTGCCTGAAGACCTCTTCAAAAGCCTTATGTTCTCACTGGAGCTGGGAATGACCTCGTATCCTCACCATGCACACCATCTTTTGTGTGTGCAGACAGTTGCAGCATTAGGTAGTATGTTGTGAAGTTGAAGCACTTGTTTATTTCCAGTAAGAACGAGTTGATCAAATATTTTCAGTGGCCCTAATCGCCATATGTGGTTTCAACCGAGAGGTAAATTTCCTCCTGATGAATGTAAACAACATCTCTCAGATTTTGTTAAATGTTACCTTGTTTGGCCTCTGAGTTGCAGCTGTGGCTGAGCCCTTCAACATCATAAAAAGCTTATTGTTACGCAGCGTGTGTTATTCCTTAACGTGTGTGTTCAGGATGAGTTCAGAGATCAGCCAGCTGTGTTTGGAGGCTTTGTCTCCTCTGGCCGAGCAGTGCGCTAAGAACCAGGAGAAGGACACGCCTCTCTTCATCGCCACCCGTCACTTCCTCAAGGTACACTCCACGTCCTCCTGGCATGGTTTTTATTTTCTCTGTGATTAACCAATAGGATGCTTGCTGTAGCTTTGTGTTAACGTGGTATCTCATGTAATCTTACTTCTCAAACTTGCTTCTCCGTGTTGTGTGTCTCCAGTTGGTGTTTGACATGCTGGTCCTGCAAAAACACAACACAGAGATGACGGTGGCAGCAGGTGAAGCTCTCTACACACTCGTGTGCCTGCATCAGGTGAGAAAACTACAAACAACACCTTTAAATGCTCCAGAGGTTAAAGTTGATATCCAATAAAGAAAAACAACATATTCATCCAGCAGCTGTTGTGATACTTTGAATCTCTTTCCATTCCGTTTTTATAAAAACAAATTACTTCTTGAACCAGCAAAACGGACAAATACAATTTTTCAAATTCCTTGAGGGAAGCAGCTGCCCCTCTTTCAGCGGCCCACTTTCAAACACGACGAAAACCTCCTTTATTGAAGGCTAATTGGTTATAAAACTCACTGCGGGTTTGAAGAAATAGAGACTCTTCTCAGGGTTAAATTTGGCTTATTGAAATGGAAAATTGATGAGCAATTATGTTGAAGTATGTGAGTGAAAACAAGCACCGCTGAGCTGCTCTGTGAGGCACCAGGGGGGCAGGGAGAATTAGAGATGACACTAAACACCCTCTAGTGGTTTGTTTGCATCACAGCAGCTAAAGTCATACTAATAAGTATGAAAGCACAGCTAAATTAACAATAATAATAAGAATAGATAAAGCATCAGATTTTATGGCATTTTTTGTCAGTGACCTCAAAGCGCTTTACATTGGATACATCATTCATTCGCTCACACAGTCACACCTCAGTGGTGGTAAACTACCTTAGTAGTCACAGCTGTCCTGGGGCAGACTGACGGAAAAGTGGCTGCCAGTTTGCGCCTACAGCCTCTGCGACCATTTATTATAACAAAAATAATTATATTTGAAGTACTTTGATAGTTCAATTATATAAAATAAGGCTCACTTTAACTTGAACAAAACCTGCAGTTTGTATTGTTCAAAACTTTTGAGTAGGAAGTGAATAACCTGCCCTGATATCAGCAGAGGACTCAATTAATGCTGATTTTCAAAAACAAAATGTTAAATAACTTTTATGATTCATCAAACAAAACTGGATTTGTTACTTTTAGTTAAAAACCACGGAAGTTAGTGGTATTTTAAGATGTTTTTTTTAATAACAATTTTCACCTTAATGCTGTCTTACATGTTAAGTTCATTCAAGGGTGATTTATAAGAACTTTTTTAAGTTCCTATAAAAAAAGTTTCAAAGCAGCTTTGAAATCAAACTCCAACCATACAATTTAGGGTCAAAATAGCCTCATACGTACAGATGACCCGTGTTCCATTTTACCCTGTGGCCTCTGTCCTTACCCTGTGGCATGTCATTCCTGGTCTCTACCCTGTTTCCTGCTCTATCCACTGTCATCTCTCTGTCATTAAAGGCCAGAAAAGACCAAAATAAACATATGTGTATTTAGTTTAAGGAACCTTCTGAACATCCTGGGGTTTTATGTCAGATTGATTGCTCTGATATGAAATTGAACCCTGGGTTGACGCTCTGATGTTCCTCTCCCGTCAGGCGGAGTACTCTGAGCTGGTGGAGACTCTACTCTCGTCACAAAGAGACGCCGTCATCTACCAGCGGCTGGCCGACGCCTTCAACAAGCTGACGGCCAGCAGTACGCCGCCCACCATGGACCGCAAGCAGAAGGTCGCTTTCCTCAAGAGCCTGGAGGAATTTGTGGCCAATGTGGGCGGTCTGCTCTGCGTGAAATAACCACTGGAAAACCGACGTCGCCTCAAATCATCATTCTGAAAAGCAACCAATTAAAGACGACCCCCTGCTTCGTCCCCCTGTGAACTCTGGGTAGAGGAAGAGGTGACTCGAAGCCTCAGAGGTGCGCTGCGTCTCTTCCTGCAGGGGAATCATCTCATGCCTGAATGTTCATCCTCCTCTGGTGTATTTCTTATTTTGATCCCCCCACCTGTTGGCCCCGCCCTCCAGTGTAACTGACAGAAGTAAGATGATGATGACGATGATGATGTTGTGGTAACCATGGAGATTGAACTGCTCAGCAGACTAGAGAGATGTTTCCTGAAAAGACAAAGCACTGACCATCATGACGAGGAGTGGCAGAGCAGCCCCCTCTCTGCTGCCACCTAGTGTACCTTGGACCTGCCAGAGCACACCCACACGCACACACACACACACACACCTAGAGTGACATGTGGGTGGAAAAGGTTTGAAAATTGAAGGATTGATTTTTTTATTGTGAGGTTTTTGCATTTGAAGGTGTTTAGAGGGGCCATTTTTGTGTCAAGACTGCAACACACACATTTCATTCTAACAGTTTACACACTCTCTCACACACACACACAGATGCACACACCCGCCCCCTAAATCCTCCCCAGAGTGCCTTTGTTTTGCTGATTGTTCAGTGTGAGTGTGTGTGTGAACCACGTCATACATTTACTGACAAACACACAATGACTGTGCCTGTCAATCGCCAAGAATAAAGTGCATGCACGCTCACACACACAAACACTAAAAATAAAATGCACACGCACGCACACATGAGAAATGTTACCATGACAACAAAGGTATGCCCAGCCTTAGACTGGCTGTCTTTTGGGGGTTGCTTGACCGCACAGCACAGCGCTGGGGGGCCTCGACAGAAAACCAAAATCAGATTGTGTTTGATGAATAGGATGTACATATATATAAATATAAAGTTTTCAAATCAGAAACAAAGAGAAATGTATGTTCATAGAAACAAAAGCAACATGACTGAAATGTTTTTATATGCCTGTAGACAGCAGGAAGAGTTTAATGTGTTCACGCTGAATGAATACAGATAAAGAGGGAGCAACTTTCTGTGTTGACCTTTTTTTTTTTTTTTTTTTGCAGTTTGATATTTTTGCTCTTTTTTTGCGTTGTAGTATTATTTTTGGCCCTTCCTGAAATCTGAGAGAGCCCACCCAATCAGGAGAAACCGGGCCTCCTTGAGTTTTAACAGAATAGTTTCAGTTGTATTTTTCTACAGCAGCACATCTTCCGTATCACTCTTCAACACACACTGGATTCAAGCAGAGACTGTTGGACAGCAATAACAAACCAAATAAAAGGAACAGAGCCACTCGTTAGAGCATTAATATGTGGGAGACAGATTCCTCCACATTCACAGCACTATCCTGGTTTATTGTAGAACGGCTGTTTTATTAATGAAGTGTAAAAGTGTACATAAAGTTATTGTATAAAATGGTCTGGCCTCTGAATTTTCTTTCACATTTGTCCTGATTATCTGTCTTTATCTACTTCAGTAACAAATTTATTGATTATGGCTGGTTTTTACACAATAATGTCAAGCATTTACCTGAAGGATGGAAGAACTCATCCATTCTCCACATGGGGTAAGTGTATCATATCACTGGGACTAGATAGATAGATAGATAAGGTTAGATTAGAATAGATAGATAGATAGATAGTTAATCCCAGAAGTAAATTCCCAAAAAAAATTGCATTTCCATAAACAAATCATAAATGTTCTTCCTTGAGCTGCGTCACCCCACTGCAGTCCATAACGGACCAGCCTGTTGCAGGTCTCGCTACAAACAAGCGGCTGCTGGAAGAGAGTAGGTGAGTTGTGTTTAGTCTCTTTGCTAAAGAAATCAGGCAAAGTTAAAAAAGATGTTTGATGGCTAGTACTATGGCTGGGACCCTGTATGTACTGTTGACGAAGTTAGGTGCTGTTCTGAGCATTATTTATGACTATAGAGTGGCGTTTTGGTTGAGGTTTGTTTATGGCTCCTGAGACTGCTGTGTATTGCTATCGTGCGGTCGTTACTAAAATTGGTATAACTAGAGAAGCAAGTGGTCTGCAACATTCATCTCTCGAGGGGGTGTCTAACTTAGTGTTACGGTGTTTGACCCTTAATTAATTCTATGCCGAAATATCCCTTTAAGGTGGTGTAAAGAGGTAAATGTGGCGAGTTATAGAAAAGTAGATATAGGAAAGATAGATAGATACTTTATTTAAGGATAGATTGATACTCTTCTTTCTGAACGAACGAGATAGTTATCTCTTAAGTCAAAAATAACTTTTTTGTTCAAAGAAAAAAAAATCTGAATTACCGAGGGAATAATTGGTAAATCAGGAAAAATAATGAACAAAAAAATTCCATACAATTTTTCATGAATCTAAGATTCAAGACAATAATTTGTCTCCTACTTTTGAGATAATTATTTCGTTTACTCGGACGAAAAACGATTATCTCTCGAGTCGATGCAACACGCTTCGAGTCAGTATGCTGATAATTTTGTCCCTCTGACTACGCCGTACTTTTCAGAACGGAGTCATCATCATCCAGCGACTGAACACATGTTTACAACTGAGCAGCAGAGAAGTGTATATGAGATCAAACTGGACCAGGTATGTTGTTTTTGTCTTTTATTTCTCATGGTAAATCACCGGACATCTATTCCCACATGAGCTGGTTCTTACTGCGGGCTTTTGAGAGAAACTGGGGAAGAAAAAGACATGGAGCACTTGAGTAAACTCAGTCAGAACTGCTGCACAAACACAAGACTTACGGTTAATGATCCTGAGCTAAGTCATGCATTCATAAAGAGATTTTTCATTATGGTTTTATTTGTCACCTTTATATCTTTCAAATTTCCCCACTGTGGGATGAATAAAGGTTTATCTTATCCGCAGCTCTTATAGAAGGACCATCAAACTTTCTTTATTCAGGTCAAGTTTGCTCCAACTTTTGTAACCCTCTCCTGTTCAATTTAAATTCTTGTAAGACTTTTTTATATGTCTGTTATTGGGAAAATTTAGACTGTCTTATGTAAACAAACTTTCCTTCCTCTGCCCTACAGTAAGTACTTAAGTCATCGCCATCTAGGAATTTGAAGAGATCAGTTTCCTCCTCGCCTCCTTCAGTCATGAGTGACAGCGATGATGAGGTCCCCACACTGTCGGCTCACACTCTGGCTGCCCTGCAGGAGTTCTACAATGAGACCAGGACCTCTCAGAGTCTCGACACCACACCAGGAGACCAGTTTGCCGTGGGAGCTGTTGAGGAGGACTGGGTGAGTGTACTGGGCTCAGTGAATGACAGGAAACAGAAGCACTACCCACTGTGACTGATAATGATGCCTGTAACAGTTTTAAATTATTTTAAATAATGAAAAGGTCACACTTAATGATGTGTGTGTGTGTGTGTCCACCAGCGGATGAGTCAGTTCTGGTACAGTGATGAAACAGCGACTCAGTTAGCGGAGGAGGTCATAAGAGAAGCCGGAGAGGGGGGCAGGTAAAAATACAATCAACACAAAACTTAGAGGACAACGAGACAACAAGTCACTTAAAGTACTCACACCATACTGCACTTTTTACTTTTTAACTTTTATATTTGTATGATAAAAGTGAGTATGATAAGCATTTTGATTAAAAACACAGCCATGACTGATATTTTGATGAAAAGAAACAGAATTATCTTTTCTACATTATCGAGGTTTTCCACCTAAACCTTACAAAAAATTTAAGGCAGCCAAAAGGTTTTTTTTCCTTGTATGATTTTGTTTACTTCAAATTTTCTGTAGGTGAGGTTTAACAGTCTGTCCTATTTGGGGTTGGTTTTTGGAAAATCTTTTCTTTTTTGTCAGGATAGCGTGTGTGAGTGCCCCCAGTGTGTACCAGAAACTGAAGCAGGGCGTCGTAGAGGGATCAGATCGAGTGTCAGCTGTCGTGTTGGAGTTCGACCGCCGCTTCGCCACCTATGGAGACGATTTTATCTTCTACGACTACAATGAGCCGCTATCTCTCTCGGCCTGTGTGGCGCCGCAGAGCTTCGACATCGTCCTCGCTGACCCTCCTTACCTGTCTGAGGAGTGTCTAAGCAAAGTTGCCCAAACCGTCAAATACCTGAGTAAAGGCAAAGTGCTGCTGTGCACAGGTGAGAGGGGGGAGGGGCTTATGTGGTGACTTTACCCTTTTTGGGTCTCCCAAAACAAGCAGTTTTTGGAGCATCCTCTTACATTAGGTTTCTGTTTGTGCTCTGCAGGTGCGATCATGGAGAGTGTGGCCAAAGAGCACCTAGATGTCCAAATGTGCAGCTTCCTCCCAAAACATAACAGAAACCTGTCCAACGAGTTTCGCTGTTTTGTTAACTACCCGTCTCACCTGCTGTCCTGCTGAGGAGCTGAACCTCTCATCAGAACCGAGAGCATGATGAAAGGCGGACATCATAGAACTTGACTTCCTCACTTAAAATGTGGAGACTACAGATTTTATCAAGAAGCCGATCTTCAAGAAGAAGATGTTGGCCTTTGATGAACCATCAAGTTGCATCATGGAAAATGTAGGATGCAGTCTTTCTGGAGTAAAACCCGTGGGAAAAAAACTTAAGTTAAGGACTTACTGGCCTATAATGGTTTGATTTAATGTTTTTGATCAACTTTTGTACGATGGATGGAAACAGCTTTTCAGAGCATCACTTTAAGATATTAAAACCTCTTGATCCCACGACCTCAGGAGTCCCAGGCAGTGTTCTTAACCCCTGAGCCACGTGGACACACAGGAGTATTCTGTTTATTTCCTCTTTCACTCTCCTCTCTAGAGACCGAACACAGTGTATTTGTGTGTTTTTTATTTATAAACTTGTTGGTCCCCCCCCTCTAGTGGTTGTGTTGTTGACTGAGCTCCTCAGGGTCTTTGTAAAGTAGTTTTGGCTCAAGGGTCTAGGGAGGTGGTAGGAAGTCAACTCGACAAACTGCTGTTTCCCATAAGTGAATATTTTTATTTACAGTCAAGTCCACACACATAGGTTCCATTAAAAACTACAAACTTTCCCCAAGACCAAACAAAATGAGTCTCAAATGAGATTACACAAGAGCACATCTTCCTCCCTTGGGAGCAATTCTCCTCTCCTTATATAGGCAGCTCATCCCCCATGTATCAAAGGAATCAAATAAAACTCCAATCTTCACTGCCTGTACCTAACTTAACTAAACTATACTCCAACTAAATAAATCACATACTTAGACCCCCCCCCCGCCCCCAAAAAAAAAAAAAAAAAAAAAAAAACACAAAAGGAAAAACCTACAGTTGTTCCTGTAAGAAAAGAAGAGAGACAATTGGTCACATTAAAAAATCTGAGCTGAGGATGTCAAACTAGACCGTGGTGAGCTCAGAGAGCTCAGAGAAGCTCTCAGGCTTCTTCACTGATCAAGGAGTTTTTTTTTTTTTTTTTTCCCGAGATGTCTTTTGAAACAGTAAAAACAAAAATAAGTGAAAAGTTTTTCTGAATTTGTGGGAGGAGACCTCGTGGCCGGCCCAGAACCAGGTGGAGGGATTATATCTCTCACCTGGCCTGGGAGTGCCTGGGAATCATCCCCTCGGAGGAGCTGGTGGAAGTGTCTGGGGTGAGGGCCATCTGGGCTTCCCTCCTGAAGCTGCTGCCCCCGTGACCTGGACCCGGTTGAAGTGGAAGAAAACAACAAGGACGACAAGTTTTACTGAATTTGTGCTTAAGATCTATTTGCACTTATTTTTGCATGACTGTCAGAAAAGTGGATCCAAGTCTCAAATATCTATGAATAAATGAATAATTAAACCTTCAGCTGTGTTTGGTCTTATTACTCTTGAGTGAATTACATCAATAAAACATGGGACTTTTAACTCCAGTGTTTAATGTGATTCTTTCATGATTTGGTACAATAGTCTTAAAGAAAACACTACAAATACAGGGAACTAAATGCTTTACTAGTGAACAAGAGAGATCTTAAAATCAGAATCTCTTTATAGTTGAGTCACTGGACTTTGACAGAAATGAATATCCGCATTAGATTAGAATTGTGACATCTATATTAAACTATTTCTTTAATTCACAGGTTTTTTAGTCGTTGTTCTTGTAACTTACTATTTTAGAGCATGAACATGTCAGCAGGGGGCAGCATTGACCTTTTTTGATTAAACATGATTTTATTCCTCTGATCTTTGCTTTGATTTTTGAAAAGGTGAAAGAAAACATGTTGTACTGTTATTTCTACTCTCACTTATCCATTTAAATTCAGATCGATGTTTTTTTCCACAAAACCAGCTTTGCTTTGAATGTTGCATCTTTGTGAATAACATTGCAGTGAAGACATTATTTCTCAGGAAGTGGAAAACTGTATGATTTCTGCAGAAGCCCCTCTTCTCTCAAGTATCATCCAAACATCCAGATTGCACTTCTTTGAGATCAGAAAGGATCCAGCTGTCGTTTCTCTGTTGCGAAAGTACTTTGTTGGAGCACCGCAGCCCGTCTCCTTCAGACTTTCTTCCTCACAGCAATGAGTCGTCTTCGTCCTGTTTTGTTCTCTGCTCTCTCCATACTCTGGTTGCTCCTCTGTCCGTCCTTCTCTTTCTCTAGCAGCGGCACACAGGTGCATCCCACTGCAATGGAGACATAGATCTCTGTGTAAGAGTGTCGTCCTCCGAGGCAGGAGCCGGTCCTCTTCAGGATGACGGAAGGAGCGTAGACAGGAGTACTGCGGTACTGCTCGCTCTCTTCGCCGTACGGCCCCATCAGACAGCCTTTACACAGACAGTAGGCCTCAGGGATGTAACGGGGATACCTGGCTGGGTTGTAGGAGAGCCTGGAAATGAAGCAAATTGAAGAAATCAACAGATGTACAGCCCTTTATCTCCTGCGGAACAAGAGTTTGAGTTGTACAGTGGGTTGCTGTTATGAGAGACACATGTACAGGTCAAACACGACTTTTATTACAAACTTTCTGTAAAAATATACCATCATATCTGAGGATTTGACCTTCTGTTTGACCCAACCATCTTCAGCCATGACAGTATTCTTTCTTAACTCAAGTCAGAATTCATTTACCGCACTATACTTTGTAACACCTGTGCAATTTCTCATACTGTGCGAGCATGAGAAAATACAGCTCAGAAATGCAACAGAACAGGATCCACTTGGATTTTCTGTAAATGATAAAACTGGAATGATTCTGGTTATTTCATATAAAAAAAGAGCTAATATTGACTGTATTATTCAAAACCTATAGGGGAGAGTGGGGCAAGATGAGCCATTTTTCATATTTCGGATCACCACATCAAGGCAATCATAGTTTTGTCTCCAACTAGTGAATCTGCATATATTTCAAGATATTGTTCATCCCTGCAAACCAACAGAATCAGTGTATACAGAACTGTCTTGATAATATAGCATGTCAAAAAAAAGTGGTCTCCTATGATCAGCTTACCCTGTGTATGGGGTACTTAAGCACCATGGGAAAATGTGGGTCCCAGAGTGAGACCAGTTGAGAACCACTGGTCTAACCCCTTCCCCCATGTGCTTCTAACCTTCACAGACTCCATGAATTGATGCCCATCTCCTAAATATTTGGTCACATGATCAATTTCTTTTACCATTTCCGAGCAACAGGGGGTGGCTCAACTTACCCCACTCTCCCCTATAAACTAAATACTATCTACAGCTCATCAAACTGGGCTGTTCATTTATGAATGTAAAGGATCATTTTGTGTAATGTGATGGCAGGCGCACAGAAAAAGAGGCTGCATGTCAAATCTAAACATGTAAAGAGGCACTCTGAAAGTCAAGACAACGGTGTTTGATTTGTAGGTCTCCTCCAGCTGAACTGACGTGTCCTCTTCTTTAAAATGTAACCAAGTCTTTGTCAGTTTATGTGGAAAATACTAGAAAATCTAATTCCACTTCTGCTAAACGTTGTTGCACCTGCGCTCACCTGTACGCCCAGGGGGAGATGCTGAGCAGATTGACCGGTAGGCGGGTCTTGCTGCCGTTTGGGGACCTCGCGGTGGTCGGGCACGTGAGGTTAAGTTTGTCCTGCGGCTCCAGCTGCAGCGCGTGATGAAATGCGCTCATCACTCCCACGGAGAGCCTCCCGAACATCTGCTCCAGGATCTCCTCCGGCAGGTCCAGGCAGGACCGCGTCCTGGTGGCTTTCTTCCGTACCCGTACAGCCCCGGCAGGCCAACCCAGCATGAGCACAACGAGGTGAAGGAGAAGCAGCGAGACGTGGAGGCGATGTGGCACCATGGTGCTTGGAACTAAATGAGTATCCAGTGAAAAACAGTTCCTCTCCTTTCTGTCTCTTAAACCCCCTGATAGTAAAAACTTTCCCCTCTCAAAATCCAGTAAAATGTTCAAGGCGACGGAAAATCAGCGGCAGGCAAACAGTCCTCAGTCCTCGCTTGGACACCGAGGCAAAGGCGCGCCGCCGACCAAACTGCGGAAACATTTTGGCACGACGCATCCACGGCGTCACCAGGAGCAATAATTAACTCAGAATTTTGAAATGTTATCCAACTGGGATCTCAAAACACCTGCTGCTACCGAGTGTTTTCCCGTGTCTTTCTCCAGTGGCGTGTGCGTAAAATCCGCTGGAAACGTTTGCGTGCGCAGGAACAGCGTGATCCCGCGTTAGGAGCGAGTCTAAATCAAAGTGAAGAAGTGACAGATGAAGTTCCGTCTTAAACCTCTCAGACAGAAGAGCGCAGTGTGCATGATAGCAGAGTGGGAAGTCCTCACTGTTGGCTGTGTGCGCTCTGATGCTGAATTCTGGCAACACACCAGAGTCTGCTGCTTCACCCACAAATCCAATCCTCTGGAGTCTCCTCTGGTTCAAACTACCACTCAAACAGAAACAAATCATTTCTAAAGACTTGAGGTTATTTTTTTTAGACTTCATTCCCACCGTTTAGAGAGTTATTTCACCAAGATTGATGTGATGGAGAAGCTTTAAATTATGTAACACATAAAAAGTCAGTGAAAATCTGATTCAGCACAGTTTGCCCTTCACTAAATCTTCACTTTAATCTCCTGTTTTACCTGGAAAAACTTCATATCTATGTCTCAGATTGTCAGTGCCTGAAGGTTTATTTGCTCAGTCAGACTGCACAAGTTTTTTCTTCCATATGTAAAATATCTGTGTATTTAATCATAGACTGTGCAACAACAAAGTTAAGATACAATAAAAATAAATATCATACAGCAAAACTTTTGGAACGAGTACAAAGTGTACAAAAATGATGGATTATGCCAAGTTTGGTATCTCAGTGTTGATAGTCTTTCCAGAGGATTCCCACACTCACATATGGAAACATACGCTGCAGTCAGAAATATCAGGACAGTGATATGTTTTTCATTGTTTTGGCTCTGTGCCCTGACACTGGATTCAAGGGCTTTCAGGGTGTGTGAGGGTGTTCACATGCATATTGAGTGAGCGGCAAAGAACTCAGACTCCTGGGTGGGGAACTTCTGTGTCCAAAAAACTCTGCGACTCCTTCGCACTTCATCAAAAATGAATTTTGACACCTTCAACTTCAATCTAAGGCTTGTGGAAAACCGAGCCAGGGCAAATCTGTCCAACAGAAGCAGCTTTCCTTAAATTTTTTTCTGCATGGACACAGGAGGTCCTCTGCTAAAAAGTTATGTATAAATATCGGATCTCCAGGAACAAGCCTTAATCTTTCCAGCGCAGGTTCAAAGATAAGGCAAAGATGACGAATTTGATGGAGTTAAGAGACTTCACTCCCACACTCAGCGGAAGAATAACAGAGTCACTGGACCCCTAAAGAATGAAGTCATTATCCTATGGTGTTTATATTCTGACCTGAAGAGCTAAATTTGAAATATTCCTGCCTCATCACAAGTTTCCTCATCTTTAATAAAGCTGATTAAAGAGTAAACTGTTCAGAAACTGCAGCTACTCCGGCAGCAGGTCATCTCCCAGCTCTTCATCTGCAAAGTCGTCGTCCTCCATGCGCTTCTTGGCTCCTGTCTTTGGTCTCTCCATCTGAGGCCCCAGAGGGTCCACGTAAGAAGCATCTATACGAGGAGAACAGAGGTCATAAAATGCTCAGAGTTCAGTTTTTTTTTCCAATGAAGACTGATCTGATAAGTTTCTAGAGGAATTTTTCAAGCAGGACTCCACAGCTGGAGTCCTCACAGGGTTAAAAAGCTTCTGTCTGTGGTGCTGCACATGATGCTGATTGGTACTCTGTTCATTTATAGGCCTGTTGATGTATAAAGTTAACAGTTTGGGTGTCAATAAATCATAAGAACCCAGAGAGTCCAAAAAAAAAGAGACTTTCTAAGGCTCCTTTTTTGGGTTTCCTCACTCCTCACCTATTTCTTTGGGGCTGCTGGCCTCGTAGGGCTCATTCGAACCAGGAAGTGACCTCATCTTGGCGCTCAGACGGTCTCCTTTAGTGCTGCTGCTGCTGTGGGTGCTGTCTGTAACACACACAAAGGCAGACACAAACATGAACTCAAGAATTTGTCTCATACTGTGCCAATCAATATACATCTTTTAACCTCATCAGGGTTTGTTAAAAACAGGCGTAAATACCCTGTCACTCAATGAGTTTAACAAACATGACCGTCAGCATCCACAGGGTGCGCCAAACTCAACACAATACAAAAGTTCTTCTCAGTAGCTTTAAAGTCAGAGTAGCCTGCATGTGTTTGAATGTAAATATAGAGGCAACACCAAGACTTTCAATATGTAGGTCTTTTAAAGTGAATTCTTTTTATTTCTTCAAAGGTATTTTTGCCTTTATGTAACAGGACACATGAAAGAGACATGACGTGATCGAAGGATGATGTGTAGCAAAGGGTAGTGGCCAGAAGTTGGACCAGCAAACAGCACTGCAGCCTGTTTTAAACAGAGCCTGTACTTTAACCATTGAGCCAAAGCAGTCCCTCCAGAGCTGATTCTTTCTCTTTTTTAACCAAAATCTGAAATTGAAAACTGGTGGGAATATTCCAGGCCCGGATAAAATCACAGTTCATAAGATAACAGCTAATAGCACCACTTCTTACGCTGTATGTTCATGTGCATTTCTGACCGACCATAGTCCTCTCTGGGAGTCCCTGAACTCCCTCATCCTGTAGGTTCTCCTGGATCGCTGCTGCAGAAGTCCTTCTGCTTTAGACCTGCCTGCTTTCCCACCCTATATCAGAAGTACATTGAAGGCCACTGTGCTGTCTGCTCTCTTAAATATTGTTTGTAATGTGTTTATTTATATATCAATAGATTGATGACTGATCGACTGATATAATGTTTGATACAGGTGATATTAAGTAGATATTTCAGATATGATGTAAGGCATTTTACTGACAAGAGGCTTCTTTTTCTACTGAAGTGAACCGACTTCATAGAGCTCACAGGTCAAACTGAAAGTGATTCATTTTTCTTGCACTGTGGAAAGTCAACACGGTGGAGACGTGAGATTTTCATCTCACAGAGACAGCAACTTATGAACTGTCTGCATGTGTGAAGACAGCAGCCCCCACACACAACACTCAGTTGGATATTTACTGAAAAGACACAGTTTAGTCCCTAAATTTCCCATGATGAGATATTCATGTTTTATTTGGACTTGTTTGAGCTGGAGATTTATCAATAATTATGACGAGAAACATGCTCCTGATAAGCCAGAGACTGATCTATTTGAATGAGCATTTTTCCAAACATTAAGAACCTGTAATTTACAAAAGAAGTTACAATACAATAGGACAAAAGAAAAGAAGCAAATGTTGTTTAATATTTAGAAAAGTTTATGAAAGTAAAATTTAAGAAAAACTAGGAAAGGCGAGTTGATAAAAGTAGGTTTTCGGAGAGACTAAAGACAAATTTCAGCTTGGTATATGAAACCATTTGTAGACCTCTGAATGTAGGTGTTAGTTTATAAAGCACTTCTTCACACGCTGAGCTCTTACAAGGGACCATCCATCACAGCTCACATGAAAACCTGTGAAGCATCCCACAGGAGCAGCTGAATAACACCGTCACCTCAGGCTCTAATCATTTCAGACGCAGAGCTGGGACTCTAAACAAGACTTATACATATGTAAGTTGGGAAAAATGTGTGTGTGTGTGTGTGTGTGTGTGTGTTCAAGCTCCACTGATGAGCTGACAGAGTAGTGTAAAGAGCTGAAGGACAGACATGATTACAGCAACATCTGGCTGCCAGGTAGCTTTGGAAACAGGGCGAGTGGAAAACAGGAGAGTTTGATATTCTACCTTTCCTCACTGTCTGAGACGTCTCACTCGAGGCCTCACAAACTGCTGGCAAACCGAAACCTGTGCTGGGAAATGTTTTTTTCCTCTGTTTCCTTCTCTGTTCTTGGATAGTCTCAGATGCATTCCTTTTTTACAACACAACTGCAAGACTTGGAAAAGAGGGACGATGCAACAGGTTGGAAGCCAGATTGAAATCAAATCTTGTGTAACAGTTTCCACTCTTGAAAATACAATTATTAAGTGTCATAATTCTTCGCAACATAACTTATATCTGCAAGGATTTGAAATTGATCAACAGAAAAGAGTCTTGCAACTTATTTTTCTCACTCAAGAAAGAGAAAACAAAATAAAGCACTTAAAATGTTAAAGACTAATCCTTAGTAAAATGACAGCAGACGCTCATTTTCCCAACTCTCGCTTGTTTTGCAAGTTTTTCTTGCATGCATTTCTTCCTCTCACCACACTAACACTCAGTTTACAGTGTTGAAAAATCCGCAGACTTTGCAGAAAAGAGGGAAAACTCCAAAGCACAAGAGAGCTTTACAAACATCTGACACAGTTTGGGGCGACTACGTCTTCCTCCATGGTGAGAACTCTCTGTGCAAACACCGATCCAACCACAGTCCAACATCACAGCCGCCTGTCAGACGATTTCTGGACCTTTTTTTGTGGGTGTGACCCACGCAGGTCTTTTTCCTTGGGCGTCTGAAGTGAAGTCTAGCATGAAGTCTATTTTATTGACTGTTCTCTTCTGTTCTCGGTATGCCATGCAAACTTCCCATTGAAGGTATGAGGTAGTAAAAACATTTGCATAAATATGAGACCTAACACACAGCTGAAGAAGACACTGTTATAAAGTATGAATCTGTTTCAAACTGTTACAGAAGATAAAACCCAAATGGATTCAGCTGTATTTCTGTAAACTTTAAAGAACTCCTTTAACAGCTAAAATAACTTTTAAAAAGAAGTCAAATGATAAAGAGACGTAGATAATCAATTAATAGCTTCATTAATACCTAATTATTAGACACATCAGAGATTGTTGTGAGTAAAATAAAACAATAGTATTCTCCATTAGAGGGCAGTAATTTAAAGTTGCTTTAACTGTAGATCTATCTTATATATCTTGTGACATGGGATGTCAAAAAATGCCCTTCTTTGGATTGTATTAAACAATTTAATCTCAGTAAAAAGTTTCACATAATGTAAATAAGAAGAGCACTGCACAGTTTGTACAAAAATTGAAATGCCAATATTGAACATTTGGTTTTGCTTTTTAGAAAAAATGCTTCAAGGGTGAAACTGACCAACTAAAGTACGCTTACTGAGTGCCATGTCTCGTCTTTCTACTGTTTGTTTCTTTATTACTCAATTAGTGAAATCTCACAGCTGTACATTGTTAATTGTTTTGTTTATGTTTGACTGTAAGAGACTGGAAAACTTTTCTGTTGCACATGATGGCCATGATGGCAAGATGCACTAGGCTTGACATACCTGGTGCAACAACTGTACATGCCTGTGTGAAATACTTGTTTCTGATTGGTCAGTACTCCCTAGCAACAGTCTGTTATATTCTGATACCAAAATGTTGCCAAGAGGAACAAACTTTTTCAAAGGACGACCTCTTAAATAAAGTGAATTCGGAGAAAGAAGTTAGGCACATCTCATCTTGTGTGGCAAAAACATTAGTTACCTCTATTCTATTCTATTCTATTCTCTAACCTACATGTGTGAATATTTTAACCTGGAATAAAGGACCTTACATACCTCTCCCTGAGTCCAACTGTGGACTGAGTTGTTTTGATTCATTTTGAGGGACTGGGCAGCATAAAAGGAGCAGAAAGAGAGAGGAAAAATGAACTCAGAGGAGCCACAAAAACAGACCAGCAGAATGCAAAAGAAAGAAATAGTTCAGAGTTCGACTAAAACAAACAACAGGAGGAGAAAGTCAAAGTTTTAGGAGAAAAAGAAAACTTTTGGGCAACTTTGCTGTCTCACCTGTTTTAACATCCGCCTCTGACATGCAGGGAAAAAGTTACAAAAGGATTTGGGTTTTGTCAGAACCAATAGTCAAGCATATAAAGGATCAAACCTGATGCAAATCTACTCAGTTACAGCTCTAGCAGGTCGAAACAAACTAAAACAGATGGGTTTGGGTTCATCTAATCTGATTTATCAGGTTAAAGGACAATAATGGAAGTCTTGGCAGAGTGGAGCAGCAGTCCCATTAACAGGTGCTTTATGTATATGTCTTTAACCACGCTACAGGAGACACATTCAGCTGTAAGAGAGAGCAAAGCTGGGTCTCGTTACACTTTCTGGCATCTCTCTGGTTTGTCTGGATTGAGTTTAAATTCTACCCAGGAGCCAGCTTTCCAGAGTGGGAGCCAGTCTGGAGAAAGTGTCTGTATTTGTTGTGGATCTGTAGCGAAGGAGAGCTCTAAATGTGGAAGTTTATCCTCTTGTGCGTCTGCAGAGGCTTTATGCTATTAGTGTGTCTTACAGTCTTATGCTGAAAAGCTAAGGCTATGTTATGATTCAAAATTAACCATGATTTTCCCGGATTGGATTCAGGAATTGAATGAAACAGAGAAGGATCATTTTTACGACCCGGGAAAGTGTTTGAAACGTTCGTGACCTATTCGGGATTATTAAGGGTTTACAGCAGCTCATCTGAATCTCTTTCCACTGACTTTGTGTGGCCTTTAAAATAATGTGACTTGCTACAGGTCATGACTCAGTGTTGTGTGAGATATACCCATAATGCCGGCCTTCATGGGGGAGGTGAGGACAGGTGTGGAGACACCTGCTGCCCAGCAGCATGTGTGAAAATAAAGGGGAGAGGGAGGAGTTGACAAACATGATCCAGGAAGTAAAATCACTCTGATTGGAGGACATGGTACAGTAGTATCTCTTACAAACATTAACAACTATTTTAAGCTCAGGGGACAAACTTTTTTATGACTTTTGATGAGGAAAATAAATTCTTTAACTGGAACCTGCTCTCATTTATAAGCAAAAACTATGCTGCTCAAATGTTACAATATTTGTTTCCATGTGTTGATGTTGCAGAGGTGCAGGGAGGCACGTAGGAAAAAGATAAATTAGTTGTTGGAGTTTGATCTGAATCTGTGTTGTGACTGCATAAACAGGAAAAAAAGCATCTATGTTTCTTTGATTTCTTCCAGCTGTAAATCAAATCTAAAAAAAAAAAGCTTTTTCTGGAACTGGGGTTGTATGAGAACCTGGTTGTTAAGACTGCAGTCAGAGAACAGAAACAGAACTACCAATGAAACGGGACCAGCTCTACCACACATATTAGCTATTTTTGACAAACTAAAAAATGAGCTATCCCTTTAATTTATACTGATACGTACATACAAGTACATTATCACCATGTCGTCACTGAGAAACGCATTTCTTCCCTAAAACATCAAATATTTTATAAACTGATATTTTCTTTTTTTTCATGAACTCTTGAGCACAAAACTTTTGAGTTCAGACAAACAAAAGGAATCATAAATCAAGCGACTGAATCGAAGCGAGTGCTTCGATCTTCGAAAGTCTGAGCTATGATTTGTTAAGAGCTGCTGAGGTTAAACACTGCCCTTCTCATGCCTCAAATACATGATGACAAATGCTGGGGTTGGGACTGTGGGTATACAATATCCTTTACAAAATGAAAAAAAATGTTATGGGAAAAGTTTCCACCAAGTTTTGAGTTTAATCAAGTCAACATTTTAACGTGCTTCGAATTTGAATGAAAAAGTGGAGTTGGTATCTTGGTGGGTATCCTTGAATATCATATGTCTACAATAAAAGGTACAAGCTGCATGAATTAGACAACCTCACAGTAGGAACATTTTCTGTTGTTGGGACTTCTGACTCACCAGCACTCCCAGCGCTGCCTTCCCTGCCTTCTTTTCGACCTCTGGCGCTGCCCTCTCGTCCTGACTTCACCCTCTGCAGGAAGAAAGACAGAAAGAGGGAGTAGGGATATAAAAACTTAGATTACAACTGCAGGCAATAAAGGAAAGGAAAATGCAGTCTAAACAAAAGAGCAGTAACTATGTTCTGGTCGATGATTGGATCTACATGAGGTATTGCCTCTTTCCTAGTTCACCTCTTGCTCTGTGTCCCCTAAATTGGGTCAGTTTAATCAGCATGAAAACAACTCAGACACAAACAGGAACAAACAAAAAGTGAAGCAGAAAGATCTAATAAAAAGATACGTACATATAAACAAAACAGGAAAAAAGCATCTATGTTTCTATAACAAGAAGATTTGACTGCAAACACAGCACTACAATGAACACTTGCAGCAATATTGAATATTGAAAATGAAACAGCGGTAATCTAATTTTCGTGGTTATTGTTTTGCTGTCACTCAGCCTGCAGACTTTGGAGACTTCAGAGTCCTTCTCTGACCCTGCATGTCTATCTATCTGCAGGATTGTTTCTCTGCAGCCTCTCTGAGCTGATTGAAGTGCAGCTGCTTGTGATTTAACAAAGTCATTCTGCTCATCTGTTCAAGGCTATGATAAATATCTCCCAGAGACCATGGCACACGACTCTGTTATTCTGAAACTCCCTCTTTCTTTAAAACTTAACAGAGCCCTGAGAAGAGCCAGTTTACGGATCACTATTAGGGATGTGAAGCACTGTGGGTTACCACATCAGTCGAGACAGGGATGCAATGAAACGCTACATTAATTATGTGGTATGTTGGGCTTTGGGGTGATTTTGGGGGTATTTGGGATGATTTTCTTTCCTGGCATTTATGTGGAGCTAAGTGGAGAGAAAAACAAGAGAAAGGATAAAGGGGTACATTACAAATTTGAAGATTCTTAAATAAGCAGACAATTGACATGAAAAAATACGGCTTGATTGTCAAAGAAGTCGGGTCTTTTGCACAACAAATTCTGATTCAATTTGAATTTCCACCAGAGTACATTGAAACAGACAACCACTTACTGGCCGAGCACACAGTTCATACAGAAGTTCGCCAATAGGCAGAACTCACTTGTCAAGTCTACAAGCAAACAACCTTCAACAGCCATACCTACATGAGTGACTGCAGCTTGCAGGCAGATTAACATTGTGAAGGACAAGAGGTCAAGCAAGATAATTTGATTCCTAAATAATGACCCTGAAAACTGTTTTATATTGTTATTGTGGAAAAAATTACAGTATTGAACATATGATTAAAAATGCGATTAATCACAATTAATCATTAAATAGTTAATCAGGATTCTTAAATTGATAGTCTTGTCCAAATAAATCAGATAGAGATCTTTTAAAACTGATAAAATACAGATAATCTACCACTTACCCCTAATGATTTAAAATGAAATCAGCGACGGTTTATCAAATCTATCCACACATCTCATAGGAATAGCCAAACTCAACCCTACGTGATATCAGAGCTTTAAATAACTCTACAAGCTGCTTTTACTGAGCCAGCACAAGTGTTACGCAGATGTTTAGGCTCCACGTTCCTCTAAAAACAGCTTAATTCATAAAAACAAAAAGAGGAGAAAAACTGTATATTTTTTAATGTATCTCTGGAGCTGCGGTGACCACTGACCCAATTAAACAGTGATGGACGATGCATATGTTTTCAATCAGAGTGTTTGTGTGCAGAAACAGATGATATGACAGCATGCCAAATCATCAGTGAGGAAAAGATGATGGATGAAAGCTCACAAAAGTCTGTGTTATATGACTGGAAAACAAGGAGGTCAGTTCGGAGGCTTTAAATCAAAGGATTTACTCTATTTTAATGTTATATCTATAAACAAGGCCGCTCATAGGGAGGTATGACGCAGAAAAAATGAAGCAAAAATATTTGGGGAGTTTCAAACCTCATAATTTTTATAGTTTTATCAGTTGGAATCCTTTTGCCTTCACCTAAAATATGAATTTGTGCTTTTAGTTTTCTGCAGATCAATACAAATACATCCACTGTCATCTAAGAACTGTGACATTTTCATCATTTCATTTTCTGATGATGAAACTGCAGCTTTGTTCCTGCGTTTTTGTGGTTTTCTGTGTTTGTTTAGTTCTTTTAGTTATCACAAATTCTGCTCATAAAACAGCTGCTATTCTGTTTTTTGGTTCCAGACAATCTGCAGATGTAGAATCCATAGTTTTCCATCTGTTGTAATTTTTCCAAGAAAGAGCTGTCAGAGTGAGTGACGGCAGCTGTTGAAGGGTTTTATTAACTGTCTACAAGGTGAATAACTTCCAGGTTGAAGTAGAAGCTGATTGAGAACATCCGAACAGAGGTTTGTTTAACACTACAGACAAGCAAACTGTGAAAGTGATGAAGTGCAGAGAGACGCACCTGTTCTTTGTTCACCTTCATCTTTTCTGCTTTCTTCAGTTTGTCGGCGTATTCTTGGACTTCCTTTAGTCCCATGTCTGTGCAGAGTCTCACCAAGAAACGCAGGCCTAAGAAAAAGATGAAGTACACATAATGTTTTTTACACTCTGATCTTTCATTTAAACTCATTGAAAGACAGTTCTTCTGAAAATGAAAATAGTGTAACAAACAGGATGAGTTACATTCCACATTTTCAGGAAACTTGCGGTGAATGTCTTTATACGTTTCCAGAGCTTTCTGGTAGTTTCCTGTGATGAGAAAGAAAAGGATCCAAGCGGGTTAATGGTTCTGACACTGAATAAATCTACATCAAATAAATAAGTAAGTAATGCTGCTTGCAGGGAGTTGATATTATCTTAATGATGACAAACTGTTAAATCAGGTTTTATTTTTTAATGTATTACAGCAGCTTTATTTGCAACACCACAGAGAAACAGAGAAATAAAAGACCAATCTGGGATTTATAAATTAAACTTTTTATTCTTTAAATTTACATTAACTCTAGTGGACCTTTTGCACCACATTTTATTACTGTATTTATAGATTTTTCCAGACTACTTTCTGTTTGGCCTGACTGTTGAGTTTTCATTATGTTGTCCTCCTGCTGTCCTGCTTTTGAATTGTCCGCCAAAGCACTTTGCCAGCATCTCTTTTTAGAGCTGCAATATAAATCAAGTTGCTTTTACAGTTGTTGGCCATTACCAAGGTATCAACTGCTCTCATGGGGTCCACAAATGACGCTAAAGTCAACCAGAATTATATTATTAAAAAGCCAGTGTAAAATAACATTACAAGCCAAATACAAAACCAAGTCAGCATCAGCAAAACTATGAAAATCACAACCTCCTTAATATTTCTACTTAACTATTAAAATTTATGATAAAGCTCAAAACTACAGTGTTTCCAGAAAGACTAGTTTGGAAATTTGGAATTTAAAGTTGCCTAAAAAAAAGGGGACTAAGTAGTAAAGCTTTTGAATTTCAGTGGATAATTTCTAACCCTCTCTATGCTCTGGATTTCACTGAGTTAATGTTGAACTAGTAAAGAAAGATGAATAGTTCTGACTAATTCTACCAAACTAACTCTTACCACTTCTCCTGTAGCAGCTTGCCACCATGAGCTGCCACTTCACCTGAGTTGGCCTGAGGAAGACATAAGAAACTGAGCGTTAAAGCCGACCATGCAATTTTCCAGGAGGTGCAGAGGGTGGGGTTCAGCTCAGACCTGAAGATGAATTTACCGTCATATGACAGAAACTGGTGACAAACACGACTTTGAATTCAGCTGGAAGGCTTACAAAATCAAGTCATCTGTCCTGTTTCTTCAATAGAAAAATAACTTCCAGATGAGTAAAAGCTTTTTGATGAAACGGAGACTAAGACAAGAATCAAGTCAAGATGAAATAAATCACTAAATCATGTCAGAAAAGTGCAGGAGACATGCAGACATCATGGCACAAATATTCCTCAGGATGATACAACAACTCTTGGGACCTGACTCCACCAAAAAATAATATTTTTTTGGCATTGGGCTGGATATGAGCGATGAAACTATAATCAGTTTCATTCACTTTTGATGTTTTCCTTCTTCAGTGTTATGAGCACTTACTGAATGAGTGTGGCTCTTTCAAAGTACTGAATGGCTTTCTCACAGAACTGCGTCTCGATGTAGTAAGCGCCGAGCCACTCAATCACATCGATGTTGGAGGGGAAGTACCTGAAGGACTGAACAGCGATAGAACTCAAAATCAGAGCGTTTGCAGATAATCAGAGCTGAGATGTGAAATGAAAACATTCATGAATGTGTCTTGTACCTCATAGTAATACTGGAAAGCCTGGGATTTGTCCCCCTCACTGTCATGCAGCTCTCCTAGTTTGGCCAGTGCCTGGGGGTCTGTTGGGGTTACACTGATGACCTGCATTAACCACTCAATAGCCTGCTGGGAATCTTCCAGAAGCTCATAGCTGGAGTCAATAAGTCAAGGAAAAGAAGATGTTCACGAGAGGAAAACTCAAAGATTTGTGTACGCACTACTAAAAATGTAGTCCCAGAACATCTCTGAAAGTGATCCAGGTGATCTGATTTCAGTTAATTTCCACAAAACCCAAGACACATGCTAACTTTAAGTGTAAAAATGGCTACAGAAAAAAAAGTTACACTTGTAGGATACAGGTTTGCCAGTTGGTACATGACCTGGGCGCTGTTCCTCAATATAGCATGAAGCTTATGAAAGCAGTCCAGTGCTTCCTCCAGACGATTCAGTCTCTTATAAGTCAGACCTGATACAAATGGACAACAGAAAAAATGTTCATTATCCCTTTATGCTTAGTATCTGATCTGCATTAGTTAAGATGATTTCTAGGGTTATTAAAACAAATTTATTCCAATGTTTCTGAAAATATTCCAGAATCACTTGCGCAATAAGTGATGAAAAAACAGATTTGGTACAAATAATTTGGTACAAACAATGATTCGTCTCAAATTAATTCACCTTGGTCTGGACTTGTTTTACTTGAGTTTTGAACTTTTTAATTTAATCTAGCATTTTGTTGTAGTCATGATTGCAATAGAAAATTTGTGTATCTCAATATCACTATCAATTAAGGAAAATTCAATGTCTTTGGAATAAATGTTACCGAGGTTGTAGAGAGCTTCAGTGCAGGAGGAGTCGTTCCTCAGAGCTTCTTTGTAGAACTCTGCAGCTTTCTCATGGTCTTGCTTGGTGAAAACTGTGTTGCCTTTATTGATAAGTGCTGCAGGATTGTAGCGATCAGCGTTCATGGCGAGGTCAGCATATCGATCAGCTTGCTCATAGTCTTTCTCCTGTTACACAGGAAAGACCAGAGGAAAGGTAGTGTCGAGTAATAGGCTGGTAACACTTGTCTTACAGTTTTATTTTCAAGTATGCTGCAGTTGACACCCAACATCTTGTTTCACTTGGAGTTAAAAAATATTCAGTATGGTTCAGGTACTTATTTATGTGTTTTCCAAGAGTCTTTTTTAATATTTGAGGGGAACTTACCAAAAAGTAGAGGAAAGAGAGGTTGGTGGCTGCAGCACTCTTCACTCTGCTGTCTTTCTTTTCAAACGTCTTTAGTGTCTCCACAGCCTTAAAGTAGAAATAAGAAGTCATCAGGGTAAAAAGTAAACTGCTGCTGTAACTGCATCACCTGAGCCATCCCCACCAGTATGTAGCACACTTACAAACTTAAAACCTCATTCTACTATAACTATATATTTGCCAAATAAAACCACTTTGTGTTATGACCATTCTAGTGTTTGGAACAATTTACATCCAGCTATTTTGGCTCTACAACAAACACAGTATTAAACTGAATCCTCATCTTTGAATTTAAAGAATCTGAAGATGAAGACGACTGTAAGATATAAACTAGTGAGATTGGTTTCCTATCAGACATCATTTTCACTGAAATTATACTTATAGTTTGTTATTATGTTTGTTATGTAAGCTTGTTACACACTGTGAAAATTTTTCAACATTTTTGTGTCACAGTTAGCCTTCTGGTCCACCCCAAGCTAGGCTACACCACCACCAATGTCTAAAAGTAGAGTATAAAAACCCGACAAGCATGCATCAGATTTTGGTGAAACTCCAGAATGTTTGATATTAGATAAATAAATGGTTTGGAGGAAAATATGAAATGTTTTGATGGTAGTTTAGAATTTTCATCTTACAACATATATATAATTTTTATAGTTTGACAATAAAAAAAAAACGTCTTGGGATGCATGCTTGACAGCTGCAGCTTAACCACCTGGTTAATTACCAGCTGTTAGCTAAAGAGGAAAACTGTGATTTTATTTGTGTAACTTTGAATTATATTTAGCTTCACAGTACACAGAGTTTCTGTTTACCTTGTTACTTTTCAAAATAAAAGACTTGAAAAATAAATTAACGCAATTTACAGTTGTGTGATTTTTACTTTTATTTATCTAATTATCAAACACTTTGGAGTTTTCTTTATGTGACGCCTGTGAGTGTGGGAAGACTGAATTCTAACTAGGAAAAACACCGGAGCTGCTGAGGGTCTATCAATGTGTTACTGTTGTGTTAGAGCAGCACCAGTGGCCAAGCTCGGTGGTCTATCATTAAAGAGGAAACTTTGGTTATAATTTTCTCCCTGCATAGTTTTTCCTCACTGGTCTGTGGTTTTATTACCAACAACTGTTTCTCAAACTTTCTCTGCACTGCTGTTATTTGGAAAAGGCATGCTTAAGTAGAAAGGGAAAAAACAATATCAAATAAACGTGAACTGGAAACAAAGGGCACACATACCTCAACCTTAAGCATGCAGATGGGAAGGAAACAAGACAAAAGCAAGAGAGAATGGAGGGCAATGAGAGGGGAAATTTAGATCTGCAGAGCACAGCTTGAACCGCCACAGCAGGAGAAAAGCTGACGTATACACAAAAAAATTCATGAATGAAAACTCTGGCAAATAAAAATAACACATGGAAACGCAATGTTGTAAAAAAAAATGGAGGAAACACTCATAAACAAAAACAGACTTTTAACCTCAAACAAACATTATGATTGAAAGGGAAATACCACTCCCTCTAACAGTTTATAAATGTCACCACCAAGCAGACTGTATTTCAGCTTTAATAACTTAAAAAACATGTCAAAATAGAAAAACAAATCTTTTCCTGTTGGCCACACTAGAATGAATAGATACAGAGTTTGAAGTTTCACAAATCTCCATTGACTGTTAAATGGCAAATTCCTGTTTTCAATCTAAAATCAATCAGAAATGTTGAAGTATTTGTACGACTTAGTTAGGGATAAATTAGTCTACTGTAAAAAGTCACTTATGCAAGCGACCAGCAATTATTCATGTCTTCTTATCAGTGCACTCCAATTTTTGCAATTGCAGCTATAGTGGCAAATTTTTGAGTGGTATTTCCCTTTACACAGCTGAGGCAGACAGTCACCTGGTTGAAGTCTTTCTGTCTGAGGTAGGTGATGGCTTTATTTATCTCCAAATCATTGGCGAGCTCGACATACTGGGAACCTTTCACCATATCCACACACCTGCACAAAACCATAACAACAAATATGGCTGTGAAACACTTTGAATAACATCATTCAACGTCCAAGGCAAACAGCATTTAAAATGATGTATTTATTCAACAGGACAGAGTCTTCTAGTATATTTTCTGCCCTCTAGTGTTTGGATGTTGAAAATAAAACACTACAGTAACAAACCAGTCGAATCCAGAAGCAAAGGATGTCTCAATGGCTGGAGCAATAAGCTTGGCTGAGGTCATGATGTACTTTTCAGCCAGGACTTTTCTGTGTGCAGAACAAACAACAGAAACTCAGGAGAGAAATACAACAAATCTCAATGTTTAGACTCCTATATTCTATGTTTTTGTAGGCAATTTATGGATTAAAAAAAAGTTGCATGTTAGAAGCATGAAGGACAAGGCGAGTAAGTGGGTGTGGGTGTCTCTTACAAATCTCTCTCTATCTGATGGAGTTTGTCATTCTTTATGGCCTCGATAACCATGTCTGAGCTGGTGTCATCCTAGAGGAGGGAGGAGGAGAAAAGGAGATTACTGTAATGGTTTACAGGCAACACAATTTTTTATACTGTATCTTGTGTTCTGCAAAACAAGAGACAGGCAGACAACTAATAAAAGCCCAACAACTCAAACTCTAAAAAGTTGGTGCAGATTTTGATGGTTTGCAAATCATATAAACCCTGTATTAGATTGTAATTATCATAAAGACAACATATTAAATGTTGAAACCAAAACATTTTATTGCTTTACTTAAAATATACACTACTTTTAAATTGGATTCTGACATTTGACATCTGAAAATGGTGCATAATGCTCAAAATACTTGGGGGAACAACTCCAAACTATGTCAGTCGCATGATTGGGTATAAAGATGGTGCTCCAAAGAAGCACAGTCACTTGCCTGTGAGTGACTGTGTAAGCAAATAATTCAACAATTTTAGAATAATGCTGCAGAATTCCACTGAATTCAGGAAATTTATCATCTTCAAAGAAAAATTACATAAACTATGAAATAAAACGTATAGTAGAAACATCTGACACGCTGTGATTTGTTCTTATCAGTGTTGTCATTTTTGTACAACTGACAAATGCAACTGGAAGTCTGGATTCAAAATGAATGCAACATCAAGAATACACACAACATATACAATCATATCAAATTATTAAAACAATATATTATTTTATCTACAGGTACAATCTTGTAAAGTTTCTGTGCTTTGTTTTGCAAGAAAAGAAGACAAAGCTACATATAAATACACATGTGTCATTGTCACTCACATTAGTTGGGATGTATTTGTCCTCGTCATCAATTCCCAGGGGAACAGAGATGAGCTTCTGGAACGCCTTCTTCATCCTCTCCTTGTCCCCGATGGCGTAGTAGCACAGGATGAGGTTAAAGCCGGTTTTGATGTTGGGGCTCTCACTCATGATGTGCTCAAAAGATGTTATGGCATCTAAGTACTGACCCATGCGGATAAAGACCACGCCGATATTCTGCATGATCTTGATCCTCATTTCCTTGTGGGTGTTGGAGATCGGATCCAGCGCCATCCTGTAGAACTTGATGGCTTTGGGGTAGTTCTTTTGTTTGACGTAGATGTTGGCCATGTTGACTTTAAGACGGCCTGGAGGAGAAAACAGCAAAATGACAGCTGATACAACAATTAATATGACTCATCATTTTTCATCAAACCCAACAAATGAGTCCTTTGCGGTATCACCAAGCACAGTACGGTGTTGGAGAAGTTGTTCCTGTGATAACTTGTTCTCCGGTCTTTGTGAAAAACATGTGTTATAAGTAGCAAGAGAGCTGAGATAAGTGGTCTGCTCACCTGCGTTACTGAACATCTTGTTCTTCACAATAACCTGGTAGCTGTTTAGGGCCTCTGGGTACATCTCATTGTTTGCATACTGGTTGGCAAGGTTGAGCAAAACCTAGTCATAACAGAAAAACAATTTATTGTTTTTTAAATTCAATAAAAGTTAACAGGAAATAAAGCTAACCCAGTTAAGTTTTCCCTGTCCTTGCCATTCTAAATCTTCTCTCCCTGATGTGTCCACCTAGGTTAGTGATGTTTACTTCCTGCAGCTTCAACTTCTGCAAGATAGTTCCCTCTCTGTGACTCTCTTTCTACTACGAAAATAAGTAAGAATATTTGAATCTTTACATAACAGCAAGAAAGATAAAAGCAACATACTGAGAGAATTTAAAGAAGGACATGACATACTGCTTCTGCAGAAATAATTTGAAACATCAACATGAGATGATTTTGATGTTATAAAATAGCTCCTCTCCAGTGAAAATGAATAAAACGGCTTGTAAAGAACTTATAGTATTCTAATCATTGCTAACAGAATAAAAATAAATGCTTTAATAGTTAAACTAAGATTATTGTAGAGAAGATCAATAATGATTAATTCAGTTTTTTTTTCGTAAAACCTGACACTGATTGCACAGAAATAAGAGCATTGAACTTGTGTCAACATCTGCACTTTTCCTCCAACTGAAAGGAGAAGCTCTTTCATTGAGAGGGAATTTCTGAAATGAATAGGAATATACTGTAGGTCAAAACTCTTCAACTTCTAAAACATGCTAATAAAGTAACAGTTAGAAGGGCGGGTTTTAAAAAGGAGGTCATTTAAATGTAGCGTCATTTCAGAAAGTAGGAAATATTGTACATGCTCATTGAGGGACACTTGAATAATAATTGAACAGTGGTCACAGTCTTTTTTTTGTCTTACTGAATAGGTGAGGTCTATGTTGATGTGATCCCCACTCCCTGACTGTTCCCTCTGTCTCACAAGTGCTCGCTCCATCCTCCCGGCCTCCTTCGCTTTTTCAAGAGCCTGTGGAAGGATAACACATCACATGCACAGTTACAAACACAGAAAATTCAGTGCAAAAACATTCATATGCCCACACAAAAAGGCACTGGCACCAATATCAGAGTCCAAAACTGACAATGAAACTAAAAAGCAGACTTCTCTTTCTGCGCATAAATACTGTTCATCTGACCAGATTGAGGAGCACTCAAAAGAAAAAAATAATGGGTTGCTACTTTGGGCCAAGAGGTTAAATCTTAAAAATATATTCAACAGACAAAAGTAAACTTTGTCCTGGCAAATTAAGAGCTTCATGACAGTGATGAACCTGGTAGAAATCTATGTGGCATACATTACAGTCAGATAATGAATCTTTTGTACTAGCTAGACTGCTCCAACTATCAAAATGTAGCCACTTTTTATTACTTATTTTGAAAGCCTTTTTCTTTAACTTCAAGAAGCCATTATTATTAAATAGTATGTTGAGGAATCTCACCAGCTGAAAAGCTCCAATGCTCTGTGCCATGCAGCTCTCCTCTATCAGGTCATTCACTTTCTTCTCCAGGATCTTGATCTTCTCCTCAGGCCTGCAAGACCACAGAAACAGCAGCTTCTAAATCACGTTTAATGTGGAACTGTGTTGCTTAAATAGTCTGAATGATGATTAAAGGGTTGTTTAAAACAGAATGATTGCATCACATAAGTTGATTTCAACTCACGTGTCCTCAGTTTTTGCTTCAAGTGGAGGAGCAGGGCCCTTAGACTGGCCTAGAGGGTCAAAATTCGAGCCTGAAAACACAGATCATACCAATAATTACCAGTGTAACTGTCTATGTTTATACCCACCAAACATCAGACGTCGAAAAGACGTGCAGATCAAGTCAGTATTGGGTCGGTATCGGCGGCATCAAGACGTTGATCAGACGTCCATTATCAAAGTGACTTTATAAGACAGGATCTGTGTGTGATTCCCTTAAACTCACCACGGACCATGGAGGAGGTGTAACCTGCTGCTCTGACTGCAGTCATTGGTCGAGCTGCTCCATCCTGTCACATTTTAAAAAAGGCAGAGATGCATCATTCAGTACACTAGGATTGTTGCTTAAAAGGATTCATAATTTTCTCTAAAAAGTATTTTACATTATAAAACAAGATATGAGAATTTTTGTTAAACACATGATAATGTCCTGTTGTAAACTAAGACCCTGCTCACCTGCACTGCTCCAGTCATCGGTCTGCCCATCGAAGATGCCAAAGGGACCCGAGACTTCATGAAACAATGAGGTAAATTAGAAGAAGAAGAAGAAGAACTTTATTAATCTCCGAAGGGAAATTCAATTGTCTGTTGTCTCAAAACGTTATCTACTATTTACACAAGAGTTAAAAGTCTAATGGCTACGGGTACAAAAAATCTGAATCTTTCTGTCCTGCAGCAAAGAGAAAGGAGCTGTCCACCACCATTGGCCCTTTGGTCCATCAAGGTGTTGTGAAGTGGGTGATCCATGTTCTTAAGAATAGTCTCCACCTTCCTCAGTGTAGATCTCTCCACCTGAGTCTAGCTTGAGTCCAACCACAGAGCCAGCCTTTCTCACCAGTTTGTTCAGACGTCTTGCATCTTTGTGTTTGATGCTTCCTCCCCAGCAGACTGCAGCGTAGAACAGGACACTTGCCACCACAAACTGATAAAACATCTGCAGCATCTTACTACCGATGTCTATTGACTCTGCCCCTTTCTGTAGATGAAGTCTATATTCTTAGACCAGTCCAACTTATTATCCAGATGTACACCTAGGTATTTATATGAAGTCACCACTTCGATGTCCACTCCACAGGTGTTCACTGGCTGAAGAGGGGGTTTGAATCTACAGAAGTCTATGACCATCTCCTTTGTCTTTGAGGTGTTGAGGAGGAGGCAGTTTTTGTGACTCCAGTCACTGAAGGCTCTTATCAAATCTCTGTATTCAGCTTCTTGTAATTCAGCTATGTTTACCAGGTGAAATAGAATATCATGTAAATATCAGACAACAATATTTTATCAGAGTAGCTTAATCTTGGAGTGCTTGAAGTGCTAAGTTAAAATAAAGGGAAACTGATTTCAACTGAATATTATGAGGCAAGAGGGCAAATGAAATGTACTGGTGTTCAAGGCTTTTGTATATTTATAGCTAAATTGTGCAACTTTTAACAAAGGAGTCACACTGGAGAAAGTCTGGTAGGCCAAGTCTTTAAATCAATGTTATAAAAACTGATTTATTTCTATTTTACTTACTCCAAATGATGAGCCTATGGTTCGGGGGCCGATGGCAGTGCCAGGAAATTTTGCAGTCATCTAAAATAGAAGAAGACATCACATAATTTAAAAATTTAAAGTAAATAGAGGCTTCTTATATTCTATTCTCACTCAGGTAGTGCTCACCGGGGGCCTTCTTCCATGACTTGTCCTTACAGCTTGTTGGAAATCCACATCGTTGTCCAGCTCCTGCAAATGGATCAATAAGTAGTTTTATCTCTACAACCCCAATTCACAATGTCATAGCACAACTATGAAGGAGAAACACTTATCTATGTTTCTATCTTTTTACCAGCCCCCATCTTTTTTGAGAGTTTTTAGGAAGAATTAAGAGTATTTGACACTCAGTCAAAGTGAACCTACATGGATAAACTAACAGTTCGAGAAATAGCTCTTAACGTGAAGCTGCCTACTCACCTCGGAGTCAAATGTTGGATTATAATCATTATAACCCGAATAAAGATCATCCTCCTCCACTGCCAGATGTACATTCTCCATTTTCTGTCGGTAGTGAGGTTATTTAACGAGATATATCAAACATTTGAGAAGAAAACTGTTATATCAGAGAGGTTTTAACGAGTAAGGGTTTGTTGTCTGTTCAGGTTTCTTTCCCATAATTCAGAGCGGCGAGGGTGGGACAATTTCAATTCCAAGCCTCTGATTGGATACTCACACGTCCATCTTAGGTAAGCGTTAATGTAATTGGCCAAAGCTTAGTTCATCCGTTGCCAGGATACAAATGTACGCTACGGGCTCGATCGTTTTTTCGGTGCAAGTTTATTTGTTTAACAAGATTCCTGCATAAAACAATAGTTCTTCACATAATGATCATTATTTTTATACTTAATTACAAAAATAGCAAGGATATAGACAATGTAAACAAAGTCAGATCACACAAAGAATATTCAGTATGGTTCATGTGTCTTTAAGGTTTTCAACATTTTTTCTGTTAGTTACGTGCATTAGTTTGAGATAATGTTTAAAATCTTTGATAAAAACAAAGCTTCCATTACGTCGAAAACACACAAAAACTGTATATATTATTAAACAATATCATAAACATTTCAATTGTTCAATATTCATGTTTATGCTGTTAACATAACAGAATGCGCTTTATTTTCAGTGCTGAAAATACATACATGTCCTTCCGTTATTTGGGGGTTGTTTGAACCTTCTATCTTACCGTAGCCCCCCTGACACGCGTGACTACAAAGGGGCGGGGCTACAGCTTTACATAAAAGATAGTTGTCTGATCAGAAGTACAGGTTGATCAAGATGAGCTGTCCTGATAAAAAAATCACAGTGATCGGCAGGTGAGTAAGCTTTCTAACTATCTGCAGATCAGTTTTTATGGATTGAGCTTACATGAAACTTGATTGTTTTGGTGGTACTACCTTGCAACTCTTGGGAGAGTTGTGTTTTTGCTGTACAATTTCATGCTGTAACTCCAATTTCATGCAGGGTTAGATTGGATTGCATGTAGCTCTCTCCTTTAAGTTCCTGACCTCTTGCATAATTCCCATGCTTTGTCATCATACTATCCATTTTTATAGATTAAAACCCGTTCTACCAAAGCTGCACCATCAGAGTTTATTTTGCATAGGCTTAAACTTTGACTTCATCTATATTTCCTGCTCATGTTTGTTTCTACAAAGTTAAACTCTGCAGTCCTCTGGTGACCTCTTTTAGACCTGAAAAGTCAATACCAAACCAAACCATAGGAAAAGCAGGTCAGAGTGTCAAAACTCAGTACAGCCATAACATTTTACTGAAGGATTTTGCACTCTAATTTTCATGTAGGGAAACTGTAGGGCTTTGCAGGCAACCAAGCGATTCTGTAGCAGAGCAGAAGCAAAGATTTGAAGGCTTGATGTGGAGGAAGTCATGATGCAGACATTCCACATGAGCACAAAACAATTACAATCTAAAGCTTAAAACTATAGGCTCTGTAGGAAGGATTAAATGTCTCTGTTTGATTGTTTTTGTGCATTACAGTGGGCTTATTGGCCGCTCCTGGTCCATGGTCTTTGTCAATGGAGGCTACAGTGTGAGAATCTATGACAACCAACCTGGGCAGGCTGCCAATGCCGTCAAAGAGATCAGGTCAGCAATACTTTACAATGTGCTGTCTTTTCCAGAATGCATTGACATTTAATGCAGTGTGGACATAATGTATAAATCCATCCTCCACATGTTTTATAACAGCGCACCCTTGTGTCTATATCATTGAGTAGCTACAGTAGCTATGAGCTTGTAAGTCCTCTGAAGTTATGCTCGTGTTATGAGGTCATACAAATAAATTAACATAACTTTTCTCAACATCTTACAAAAGACTGAATAATGCCTCTATATATATTGTGTCAACTTATATTGAACATCGTCAACCATCTTGTTTATTAAAAGTGTTCTTTCGTGTCCGTCTTTTCTGTTTAGAATAAAGCATTTTTCTCTTTTTAATTTACAACAGGATTTTAAATCAAGGTTTTTCAAAACCCTAAGAATATGCTATGCTCACATCATAGTTGCTTATTAAAGAGTTGTTTATTTACGCTATTTGTATGTATTTGTATGTAACACAAGTTCTAAGTCTATATCTAAGTTTATTATAATAGTCATTTTATTATATTTGTGACCTTGTTTTGAATCATTTTTAAAAGTAAGTTTTGGGGTTTTTTTGCAGCCAACAAAATGTCAGTGTGAGTGTGTCAGAGCCCAAGTGACTATGATAATAATAATAATAATAATAATAATAATAATAATAATAATAACTTTATTCGTACAGCACTTTTAAAAAACAGATGTGTACAAAGTGCTTTGACATGTAGTCGTAGAGCACATGGAAAAAGACAAATAAAAAACAAAAAGCTCAGTAAAAACGGAATTAAAGGCCATTTTCATGTCATAAGGATTAAAATAACTGAATCATAACTGTATGAAATTCTCTCTCTGGCTCTATGGCAGCCTTTAATGTCTCTTAAGGTCATGATAATTCTTGCTTTTATGGTGGTTATTATAAATAAATAAATTAATAGCCCTCTTCATTAGATGTCACCATACTCTCACATCACAAACACCAGCAAACACACATCCTCATGACTGACTTTTCAAGTCTTGAGTTGTGAAACATGAATTGATTATCAATTAGATGTGTAAGTTAGGCCAGCTCACATGCACTCATCAGGTATCTGTAACCTCCTCCTTTTGAGTGTGTCACATTGAAGACACATGGTCACTGCATGATCAGTGACTTGTAGGAACACATGGACAAACACATAGTAGCCAAGTCATTGCTGGTTAAACATTACTGAAGAATGACAAAGAACTTCTGATTCAGAAAACACTGAAACAAAAATATCCAAATGAGATAAAAAAAAAAAAAAAACAGCTACCTACGATGTGAAAAAAAAAACAACAACAGATCTTTATACCAGTTTTCTTTTGATTTTACTGAAGTTTATGTTTTAAAAGTAGAACTTGCTGCTGTCTTTCCAGTCTTAGTCTTTACTTTAAGATTCCGTTACCTGAAAGAACTGTAGAGGGTGTCATTCAACTGCTCTTTTAGTTTAATCAAACTATGTGATAAAGTTTAATTTTCTTATATCAAGTTAATTTCATTAGACATGTTCAAGTGTGTTGTTGATATACCTGATGTACCGTCTACAAAATTATGACTTCCACTGTGCTACCACTAGAGGCACCCTCTAAAGTTTAGTTTTAAATCTTGCCTGGAAAATCAGCTGCACAAACAATCAGACAGCAAAACAACAAATAAATTGCTACAATCATATTCAAATATTGACACTGTAAACACAGAGGAGACGATTTTCACATGGTTGCATTCAAAGTCTTTTAAAGTCTATGTATGAGTGAGAACAACCTGTGTCTGTCTGTCTGTGCTGTTCTCAGGAAGCAGCTGGAGGAGCTGGAGAGAGCTCAGATGATGAGAGGAGAGCTGACAGCCAAACAGCAGTGCGCTCTGCTCAGCAGCTGCGATGACTTGGCTCAGGCACTAGAGGGAGCCTTCTTTGTGCAGGTGACAAACTCAACTACACCCAGCAGCCTGAGCACAAACTACTCTGTCTGTTTGACCCCCTCACTTTAATCAAAGTGCATTGGCTTCTGCTAATTTGCTGTGACAGTCAATCTAATATTTATCATATCAAACTGTAATCAAGAATTTCTACACATACAGTATTTGTGTTCAGATTCTAATCAAACTTGGGAAATGGGTGCGTCCAAAAACTATAATGAGGGTACTTTTCAATGCAAATATATATAATATGGGTAAATTGTCAGTTTAGTCATTGGTTCCTTGGAGTACACAGTGGTGAAGTCAGACTTTTTTGATTGGGGCACAGACTTTTGTAGGGGTGGCCGGGCATGGTTAACATTCAGAGCCTCCCCCAAACCTATAAGGATTTATCTGTGCAAATACAAAAATATGCTAATAGTTTAACTTTTTTTTGGCTCTATTCAAGCTGATTTCTATCTTTGTTAGAGTAATATATTTTATTGCACACACTCCTATTTAATGTTTTAATGGATCAAGTATTTAAAACTTTACGCCGTAACTTCTGTTTGCATTTATGAATGCCTAACCGGGGGCAGGGGTTGCAAACAGGTAAATACTGGAAACCTATATACACTGCATCTGCTTTATATATACCATGAAGTAATGTCTCATGCATTTGTCCTTGTCAAATAAAGATGTAAACAAAGAGACAAAAAGTAAGTACAGCCACTTGAATGTCTAACAGTTTAACTTGTGCATAAAATTTTGAACTTTAGAAGTAATTCAACACAGGAGTAAAAAATAAAAAGGCAAATAATTAAGTTTTTTTATTTTTGAGTTTTTGCTCTTAAATTTATTATGTGGAGAGAAAAAATTTTGATGGCCACATGGCATCCTGTGTCTTTTTCTATGCTATTTTTTTTGTATTAAATATAAGTTAATAATGAGAATTGTCACTTCTTATGTTGAAAGTATATCAATATGGATGCAGTGCAGCTGGTTTAAGTCTTTTATTCAAATTCAAAGTTTCTCTTTGAGATGCCATGTTTCTTGACCTACTTCATGAGATGTCCTTTAAATAGTTCATTAAGATAGTCGTACTTCACTCTGACAAATGTGAAGGTGGAGGCTGTGATGACAGGAGTCGCCCTACCTCCATGACAACTTTACACCTACTCACTCATCTTGTTTTGTTGTGCTAAGGGTGCAAAACAAACACAGACTCAGTAGTGAATACCTGTTCATCCTCAGTCCTTTATCATGTCTGTCACAACGACTTTAAATAAAATTGAAAGTTAACATCTCGAACCAGGAAAACCACTTGTGTGCTACCCTGACTCTGCGGACAATAGTGCTTTTCATGACAGTGAGTCAGGTGAGATAAATCAATACTCTGTGCTGAGATCACTCTAACAGAGAACAATAGGAGACTTATTAGAAACAGGGAACTATCAAGAGAAAGAATGCAAAGTTTTCCTGCTCATACATTAACTCCTACATTTCAGGTTTAAGATATAGATTTTCCTTTTTCTAGATAAGTAGAGGGAGTTACAGGAGTTTCTTTCTCTCTTGATATACTAGCCTGCTGGCTTAGTGGTATCATCATGTGAGGAAGCAATACAAGACATATCATGAGATATTTATATGAGCGGAAAAGCATCTCCTTACATTCCTCACCTCTATTTTTCCATATCAAAAGGAACTGAACTCATTTTTATCTACCTGGAAGAGAAGAGATATATTCCTCTAAAAGCTATAATCATATCAAACATTTAAAAAAGTACAACTAAAACAGTTCATGGACTTAATGAAACATTATTAACAAAGTAGAAAAGTCCTCTGTTGTGTTTCAGTGGAACAGAGAGTCTCTCACGCACTCACACTGTTAACGAGTGAAGCGTCAAGTATAATAACTTTGTGCCATTACGCATGCATTAGACAGGTATGCTGCTCACCTAGCCAGTTGTTGCAGTTCCTCACTCTGTGTGAATGAAACTATAAAAGCGTTTTAAGACATGGCTATTGGCTATAGCTTTTGGCAGCCACTCCTCAGACACACTCTCCAACAGCAAAGGGCAAAAAAATGTTGAGACCAAAGCTAGTTGAATCCAGTTTTATTAAACCTGTGTGGAGTTTTTAGCGGGTTATGAAACAAGCTGAACTCTAGAATGGTGCAAACAGGAAACAAAATTGGTCATTTCTATATTGTAATTGTTATTCCTGAAACTGCTGTTGGAAGGTATACGCCAGTGAGTGACTACTTGTGGCAGAAAAGCCCTTTCAATTTATTTTTTACATTTTCATGGCAAAGATCCTCAAGTGTTACATATAACATATCACTCAGTGGAGAAGTGACTGTTAAGACAAATCAGAGTGAGATGTTGAAAACTTATGCCTGTTTTTTTTTTAGCAGCTTTCTAAACCAGCTGAAAAAATCTACTGAAAGACACCCAACTCTGTCACCACTGACCCTAAAGCCTAGCTTTTATTTTGAAAAACATGTTCTTAACAGCTGTTGTTTACTCTCTGTGTGAGTGTGTCTGCATGTGCATCTGTCTGAGTGTTTAAACAATGTTTTCATCCATGTGATTTTTTTTAATTGTAACCTGCTAAAGACTTTGCTGATATCCAACTTGACGATGTCTTCAAACTTATTATGGTCAATCCTACTAAAATGAATACTAAAATATTAAGGAACACTAAGAATCACCTGTAATAGAATTCATCCACGACCTTTACTCTATTTATTCTCTTTGTTTTAGGATTAGATATGAAACAAGAAAAACAACATTGTAATCTAATATGAATTTATTATTTTTTAAATGTAAACATTTGACAATGTATCTGCTGTCTGTTTACGACACTTCAAAGTTGGCACATGTCAGCTGTTATTGCATGCACATATTAAATCTGTTATCCATACTATGCTCATAATATCACTTTATTTGTAGAGTACTGAAAGTTGCCCATGAGAGCTTTAATGCAAGACGATATTTTTATCAGATTAAGTTTTCAGGAGTCAGTCAGTATGTCAACTGAGACTTGATGCTTGCCAAGAAAAAGAAGTGCCTAACGTTTGTGTACTGAGACGAATGTGTGTCTTGGCTGAGCAACTGGCAATGTGTACAAAGTCAAAGGTTCATAAATATTATAGATCAGTTTTGATAAAGTGATACCAGCAGACAGGATGTTTTAACAAAGCAGCAGCCTCCAGTGTTAAAAATAAAGCCAGTGCAGAAGGGCAAATTACTGCAGCTAAACAGGTTTCTACTTCAGGCACCAAAAGCTCTCTAAAACCTATCTTCCAACAGCATGATTAAATGTGTTTACAGGCTGGTTCAAAACTTGTGTCTTAAATCATTCAAACTGTACAGAGGGAAATTTCTTTATCAGGAAGGAAGGTACTATGGTAAAAAGTCATGCATAAATCTGCATAGTTTGTCTCAGCTCCAACTCTTTGTTTTTCCGGATCATCCAGATGTGAAGCTGAGTCAGCGTTTTCAAAACGACAAATGCCATTGTTCGACTACATGACACACAAGAAACCAGAGGATGACGTCACTGAGACCACACCCTTCTTTTAATCCAGCCGGCCTTTCTAATCTATTCAACTATTTCATATTCAAACTTTAAGTTTTTTGTGCACCTCATATAATCTTTTATGTGATATTTTGTATGTGTTGGCTGTATTCATTTCAACTTAACATATACAAAGCCCATGTCAGAGTGATTGGAATTTCTCCATGTTTATGAAATAGCCTAAAATCACACTGATGCTTTTCATGATATCCAAAAGCAAACAAGATCATCATCACGTTTCATTTTGTGTGAGGATGTTTTGACGCCTTTTCTGTCTGTATGTGTTTTCCAGGAGTGTGTATTTGAGCAGCTTGAGGTCAAGCAGACTGTCTTCCAGGACATAGAGCGTCTAGTTGGAAAAGACATCATCCTGAGCAGCTCCTCCTCCTGTCTGATACCGAGCAGCGTCTTCTCCAAAGTGCAGAGGAAGAGTCGATGCCTCATCTCCCACCCGGTTAGTTTGCTTCAGAACACTTTATAACAGCCAGAGTGGAGGTTTGACTCTAGTAAACTTCAGACTGGAGTTACAACAGTTCCTGTGAACTCTGTGAAACTTTCTGCCTGCAGCTTGTGTAGTGGAAAATAACTACAATGACAAAAGAGGTTGTTAACACTGAAGTACCCTCTTTTTGATATGTAATTGTCCTTTAATCATCAGGTAAACCCACCCTACTATGTCAAACTGGTGGAGCTGGTACCTCACCCAGAGACAGCTTCGACCGTTATGGACACCACCCACGCCCTCATGACCAAGGTGAATATCCCAGATTGCACAACCCCAAATTTATCATCTTTTTATTGCTTAAAAGTTAGAAAGATATCTAAAAGAATAGGTCAGATTAGGGCAAAGGAAGACGTCAATCTGAAATAGTCTGTAATCTTTGGTGTGGGTAACACTCACACTCTGCAAACTGTTTGCTTGTTGGTTGTATGTTAGGTTTGATGATGTGAGATCATCCAGTAACAGTCCTCTCAGATTTGGCATTGCATCAGTAGTTCCTGGTACACCTGTATTACCACACACTAGTGATAAACCTCAGCCGGTTAACAATCCTTTCAAGTCCCTGTGAGGATTTCGTAACATGCATGAATTAATTGGAAAACACTGACATGGAAAATAACTAACCGGTTGCAGTAATGTAAAATAATGCAACACTAAGGCCAGGTGTCTTTTCCAGACTTTTCCATTCTGAACTCTCCTTATTTCTCAGGTTGGCCAGGTACCTATCCGTCTGAGGAAGGAGATTGATGGCTTTGCTCTGAACAGAGTGCAGTCAGCCATTATCGCCGAGTCCTGGAGGCTGGTCCAGGTCAGTATCAGAGGGGACATTAGGATGTTAGTCTTGTTTCTTATTTTTCAGTGAAGCAGCGAGATTTCTTGCTTGCTGTCCTCCTAAACGCTGAACGGAGCGCGCCCTTCCTCTCTTCCTCAACAGCAGAGTGTGGGCTCGGCCCCTCCCCTCAAACAGCTCTCACTTTCACTTCATCATAAGCAGCTTGGATCAATGTGGAACAAAGTTTAGGAGCATGGGGAAGTTGCGTCTCCTGTTAAGATTATTGTTGTATTGCACTAGACATGCAGCCCACATTTTGATGCAACAATACAACAGCATCATGGTGTCCTCAAAATTGAAGACCCACAAGAGTGAATGTTTGCGTTTGTTCCTGGATAAGAGCTCGTCTGAGTCAGAGGGGCTTTGTGTGTCTGTGCGAGCTGCTGATGGTTTTGTAATAGAAGCAGGCAGAGAGGAAGAGGAAGGCCCCTGTCAGCTCACCTCTGCTCTAATCTCCACGCTCTCCCTCCAAAAAGGAGCACAATGAGGGTAAATGAGCTTTAGCCTCTGATGACAGGCTTCATTATGTGATCACTCATAGGAGAAATGCTCAGTATGATAATGAGAGCGATGAGCATGATGGCTATTGTAACCTGAACTGAACTCTTAGGGCTACCTGCACTGGTCTTTGTATTTATATTTGCTTGATTTTATGATATAATTTAAAATCCACTGACAACATAAAGAGAGTAAGATGACTGCAAGCAGCAAAACAAAAAACAAAAACAACAATTGTGCCACTTTATAAACTGTGACCTAACTTATAAAGTGGCACAGAGGCAACAACAGGTACATGGGTGTGACTCTTCACACGTGATGCTTTCAGCTGTTTCAACAGTGGAGGTTGATCCACTGAGTTAAGTGGGGCATATTTGTCTATCGAGCTCTTGATGTTTGCACTTTGTCAGAAAGTAAACAGATGTATTGTAGATTTGTCTGCCCAATATTCCGGGTCAGAAGGTCAGATATAGGCATCTTTGTAAATTTCAGTCTCTCTCATAACCTGTCAAAAATGGACTCACATAGGTGAGATTAAGCAGGAAAACAAATATTTCAATTAATCATATTCACTGTAGAAATGTGGAAAGAAGGATTTCTTGAATTGTAACGGCATCACAAACACCATAAATCAATTTTAAGTTTGCCACGTTGACTTTACAGTCAAAGGATATTTTACAGTGTGGGTAGCCATTACCAGCCAAGGACGAAAGCATGATGGGAAAAGTTATCTAATGTAAAGCGACAGCAGGGTTGGTTTGTCACATGCAGTGAGGCCATCTGGGAAATATTGTTGTTGATTTGTTTGCTTTCATTTCATAATAGATGACAGGCCTGTGCTTGTTTCTTTAGCTTGCACTATTCTACACGTGCTCTCGTAATTTACTGAATCACATAATTGCTTTAAGATTAAACAACTGAGTCATTACATTACTAACAGGTGTGTTAAAACTGCTTTACTTTCTCCTCTTAGATTTACTATACTGGATCAGTGAGTAAAATCGATGCCCATCTGAAACATGTTGCTCAGCCTCACTGTCATTGTTCAGATGATCCTCTCAGAAGTAGCACTTGAAGGATAAGGTCAAATTTACCTGACTGAGGTCCTTGTTCTGGGTGCAGCTTTAGAGAGATGGTGTGCATACTCTGTGATATCACGGCCATCTAAGAAGACAGTAGACTATACTATGAGTTTGAAGACGTCACCCATGTCTTAAAACATCCCAGAGCAGAAAATAGGATTCACCCTGGGCATATTTTTGTGTCTTGAAGACATGGAGTGTCTGAAGACATCTTAAGACACATTTGCTTTGTCTTTAGACATCCACATCTTAAGACGGCTTTAGCTTCATGGTTTGAAGCTTGACGGCTTCATGGTCAAGCTATCTTGTTTCGACAGGAGTATTATGATGATAATGTTATGGTAATGGTCTATTTATGAATCGATGTCCATAATCCATAAGTAATAATTATAATGTGTAAAACCATAAAGATATTACATCTATTATTCCCACAACAAACTTGAGCTTTTAGCTAAAACTGCTCATCAGTCTGTTAACATTCGTCCAACATCAGACAGTATTGTTTTTACAGCATAAAACATATCTTTTACCAGTATTAATCCATTTCTGTTGGATTTTGAGAGGCGTTGAATTAAATTTTTCCAATTAAAATCAAATTGTTGTGGCATCAAGAGCGTGATATGAAAAAATTACGCATTTCTGATCAGTTGACAGGCTTAGTGGCAGAGGAGCTAGATAGGTTAAAGTTTATACAGTCAATCTTTTTTTTTTGGAGCAAAAATAATCATGTTTACATCCTGGTGTGAAAAAACTTTGGTCTGATTATTTCGGGGCTCTTATGGCAGGAGTGATTTTTTTCTTTAACAGATTCATTTCGAAGTTATTTAGGATACAAGATCAGTGAATCAGAGGCACAGCTGACTTGAGTGACAGGCAGGCACACTGTAACTAAAGGTAAGGAAGCATAAACTCATGGTATTGATTTGCACATTTTTACCACTATATCAACAATTAATACTTTATAAATATACTGTATATATCTGTATAGTTATGAGGTAATTTTCAGGTAGTGCCAGGATCCAGTGGTTGGCATTATTGATCTCTTTGCTGGTCCAGTCGACTTTCATACCTCAAGAACAGCAGACTGATTACAGGACCCTCAGAAGGCCTTATTTACAGAAGATTGTTTTTCTTTCCAGGCAACAACATCAATAATAAAGACATTCCACTTAAATGGGATAGTTCCTGTGTATTGAGCGTGCTCACACACATGACTGTCTGACACACTTAACAGAATTAAACCACCTTTAATGCTTTTAGTTACACATCTTTGCATTTCCTTCTTTCACAAGTTGAAAAGTATGGCTTTACGACGGTTTTTAAAAAATGTTCATGTTTGCAGTTCTGTGTGAATCAATTACGCAGCGATAGACTCACTTCAAAAATTATAAATGTCTTTCTACTTTAACAACTGTTCAAAAAGCCTGCATCGTCATAGTTGGGTCCAGTTTAACTCAGTTGATCAATCAAGCTCATTTCATGTCTGTCTTTAGCCGTAAAAATGGATGAAAAGAAAAACTCTCTAACAGGTTTTCTGTCATTTCTAAAATTAATATTACCCCGTTGGACAAGATTTTAAAACTTCATTACCAGCTCTTAAAACTGACATAGTTTTAAAGAGATATCTGCAAGATATATTGAGTTGGATGCATTTCTTATCCCACAAGATGAGAGAAAATGCCTGAAAGAAAGAATGTGGTGAGTCACTTATGACAAAACAACCTGGGTTTGTCACAGTTTTTAGTTTTCAAGAGCTCAGGAATTTGGTCTCTCTCCTCAAAGGTAGTGATTTTTAGTTTCAAGAGGAGGTTTGGTTCAGTGCTGAGTGAAGATGGCTGCAGTCGGGTGAAAGCTCTTGTTAGCTCATTGGTGTAGAGTAGGTGGTATCAGGGCTGTCACTTTTAGCTCACAATAACATTTTCCTTTCTTGTATCCTCTAAGAATCACACCGTTTTGAAAACCACAAGGGAATAAGACAGATACTTCCCTCCATGTCCACACTGTACGGGCTGTAACATGACTTTCATGCATCCACTGTGTCATATTTGTGTCTTCACACAGGCCTGTGGAAGCTCAGACTCATATCAGCATGACATTCCTTATCATGTATGGATAACTCTTTTAGAGGCTCCTCTCAGGAATTAACCCTGAGAGCACCCTCGGGTCCTTGCTGACAAAAATGCCACATTGCTGTTAAAGTGTCAGACTTCACTTTGGAATGAGCTCCAGCTGAGTGCATCACACCGAATCCTCTGAGCTGCTCCAAATAGCAAAGATGTGAAATCAGGCCAGTTGGTAACAGTTGAAATAACAAAAACTTTATGTAAAATGAAATTGCATGTATACTAACGGGTGAAAGTGCTCAACCAAGAGTGTCCAAATAGGGGTGAAATCATTTATTTTCTCATTAACTGTTAAAAAAAAACATTAATTACAACAGTCTAATGTTTTAGAAGCAGGCAAGGCAAACATTTAACTCTACAGTAAATGAAAATGAATTTTATTTTAACCAGACTAAGACAAGATACTTGATTTTTTACAGCTCAACAATGAGCAACCATTTTAACAGCAAGTGTTGGAGTGACACTTGTAAAATTCATTGAAAATCAAGTTACATTACAAATATTAATGAGAACCTTATTTACCTTTTAAAAGCAAATGTTTATAGAGTGCTTTGACAGAAGAGGCAAGACAGTAACTCAAGAGGATAACAGAATAAATATTAAACTGAAAGACCAGGAAGGTAGATGAAAAAAAAATGCAGTGCAATAAGCTAACAAGAATAAATGCAAATAAACAAAACAATAGTAATACTAAATAAGTCCTATCACTTCAATAGGGCTCTCATCACTGCTTGCAGCGTCAGCCTGGGCCCTAATTAAACAGTTATGTACTGCAGTAGAGCAATAATTGGGTACACCTCATCCAGCCTGTTTTACAGTCTATGACAGGGCACTAAAGGACACTGAAAGGTTATGAAAAGATAAAATTACATCAGGAAGAAAAAAAAGACAAGATAAAGAGATGTGGGGATGGCAAAGTAACAAATGGATGGATGAACAGTATTAAAATAAAAAGTAAAGACAAAAATGAACCTATGTCTGATATGAAATGACAGGAACTGTTGAGACCCCCTGATGGAAAAAGCTTCGTTTACCTCAGATTTGAGCCTCGACTTTGGAACAACCAGTAGTCCCATCCAAGGATCTAAGGCTGGGATAAGGTGCCCACATTGAGGTGTCCACATGCCTACAGTGTTATTCAAGGCTAGACCAGATAAACTTTACAAAGAGATCAATTATATCCCCAAATTCTAAACTGGACAGGAACTCAGTGGCGTGAAGGACCAGAAAGAAGAAGCAGGATTTGTTTTAAAAGCTCTGATGCTGCTCACACCTGCTTCCTAATGCGGTTTGTTGGAACAGAGCCATGATTAACTGTAGTCATTACACTTCTGGCTTTTCCACTTTGACTTGTCGATATGTCTTCATTGGAAAAAATCCATGAGCATGTGTTTGCATTCTTTCAAGGTTTTTAAGAAAACTTTGGCGATAACCAGAAAAAGATTTTGAGTCTAGGTGAGAACTCTAAAAGAAACCTTCAAACAAGGGATGTTGAGTGACAGAAACAGCCGCTTTTTAACTCATCAAACTAGAACAGATGGTTGTGCTTTTGGTTTGAATAGTGAATGCTTTACTAAATTTTAAGTAAACATATTTGACTAAATCTTAAAGTTTGCCAACACAATTTAAAAAACAACTTCAGACCTGTCCAACAGGAATTACCTTTATGAGTTTTGACAACTGCTCTGGTCCATGTGGATGAACAGGTAAATCCTGAACCCTAAGCTGCCTCAGTAAGTGGGTGTAGCTCTGATATTGTCATGATGGGTGAGTAAGACGTTAATCAGGTTGAATGTGTCCCCGGTTAAGGGATCTACAGGAGGAAGGGATGAGCTTTGAAATATTTTTCATTCTGGAGCCATGAGCTGGTGAACTAGATTAACCAATGACCTGAGCATGACCTCAATGCTCTGCCTTCTGTTAAAAATTGAGCAACAATGCAGATGGAGAAAGGGGGCTTCTCTGGTCTATGCTGGAACAAAATAAGAGTCCAGTATTAACTGAAGAACCAAAATGAGTGTAAAATAACTATAAAAATGCTAAATACAGTTTCAACATCTCTAATAAGAGATTTTGCAGCTTTTAGTAAAGATTATTGTACATTCAAAACAATGAAATTCAAATGGATAAATACCTTTTTAGATGCTTTGGTTTCAGGGGCTGAGTCATTGAATTGGAGCTGACATTTCTTGTTGGCGTATTTAAACAGAAAATGTCAAAATGAATGCTTAAGTTTTCCACAACTAACAATACCTGATATAATACAGAGGCTGTGCTAACCTATCAAACTTGATGGAACCATGCTCTTATGAAAATCATGTATGAATAAGCTTTTCATTTCTTTTTTTACCAAAAAAAATTTAATAAGCCAAAACCAATCTCAGTCAGTCCATAATCTTTTAGAGTGATCAAATTGGTGAGCAGGCAAAGATAAGGCTAGCTTATCTGTTTTTGCCTTCACACCAGGTTAAAAATTCGCTCAGATCAAAACAGCTGATGTGTTACGAAAATGTGGTTCATTTTGTGAGGCAAAGTTCTGCCAGGGTGATTTTAAAAAATGATCTACCAACAAAGCCATACTGTGTGACTGCGAGTCACATTGACCACAACTGATAAAACGCCCTTTCTTCCTCAAATGAAAAGCATTTTTATCGTACAAAAACACTGCTTATTTATTCATCCATCTATTTTTGAGAGACCACTGCTTTGACCAAATGTCGATGAAAACAGTCGGATTAATGGTCTTGGAAGCCCAAAGCCTTAAGATGTTAGCGAGATACCCTTTCAGTGTCCTATAGTTTTAATCTTGCCGAAGGTTTTTATACAAAGCCTTTCAAAGACTGACTGAAAAGAAACCTTTGAGCACTGCAGGAAAGAAGAGGTAATGTGAACTGTGGATGGAGATAGATTTTTATAATGCTCAAAGTATCAGTTCTTCTGCTCCTCCTGTTTTTATTAATTTATAGTTTTGTTTTTTCTACCAATAAGACTTTTAAAAAAATACAGTTCGTCATCAAGTTGAAATCAGAGTTGATAAAGAAAGCGTCCTTTTCAATGATACCCTGTAGTTATCCAAAAATCAACTGATTGGGACCAGAAGTTCATGATTGAGCGTCAATGCTTGTGGTCTCAGAGTGGCCTTGTGATGGTTCTTACATAACAGGGACCCTCCTTCACCCCTCCAAACACACACAGAGAATGGGCCTTGAGTCAGAGCCAGCGTTGGAAAGCAGAGCAGCTGAGAAAGCGCCTGGTTACCCCCAGTGATTACCATGGGTAAAGGACCCCACCCACCATCTCTCTTTGCTTAGATAACAGGCCTGTTGTTGGGTGCAAGGACTGAAACAAAGACGACCCTGTCCCCCTCGTCTTGTTCACCCTACTCCCTGTCTCTGTATCCCAGCTATGATTTCCTCGATGGTTGGCCAGCAGGTATCCCAAAGTTACCTGAACCACTCCCTCTGTCTCTGTATCCGTCCCTCCATCCTCTCTGCCTGCATAATCCTGAGGACACAAAACTGGCTGATTAGAGAAACTTTATATGGTGGGAGTAATTTGCAATGATCAAAGCGTATGGAGTTGGTCCAAAAGCTTGGGGGTAAAAAGTCACGAATTGAAGAACTGCAGAGGAAAGTACTGTGAATTTTCACCCTAAGACAGAGATTTGAGCAGGGGTCTGATTTAAAACAGGAGTTTGTTTGTTGGTAGTACCACCACCATTAAATGTGTAAACCAGGAGCTAGGCAACTACAGAGGAAAACACTTAAACAGGCCTCAGGGCGAATCTCTTTGCTCTTTCAATGGTATTTAAATATAAAGAAAGCATTTATTAGAAAAGCTGTTGAACAGAGACGTAGTCACACTCTTACTTACTGACTGACTGACTGACTGGTTTGTTTATTTCGGGAAATATGGGAAGAGAATAATCCAACTCATTAAGATGTGTTTGAAGTATCTCTGTGTTATTTTTTATGTCTTACTTTATCAGGATGGCATTATCTCTGTCAAGGACATCGACCTGGTGATGTCAGAGGGGCTGGGAATGCGTTACGCCTTCATAGGTCCCATGGAAACGATCCACCTCAATGCACCAGAAGGTATTTGTTCTCCCTCAAAGACTCTTTTTATACAAAAAGTCACAGTCTAACAGAATTTTCAAAATTTCTAGGTTATGATACTGAAAAATTTGAAAGAAAATAGGCCAACTGACCACAAATTCAACAATCAAAACCAGTATGAAGACACAGCTCTAAATAAGGCCCTCTGAAAAGGTCTGTTCTAGCTACTACTCTTTCTGTCTTTCTTTCTTTTTCTTTCTTTCTTTCTGTCATCACAGCACTTTTCTCATTCGACTCAGGACCCTCACACTTTCTTGCATGTTGTCATCCTACACTTTCTGCTCCTCTTTCTTCGGCTGTTCTTTCTAGTTTTGACGTATTTAGCTTCAAAAATAACTTAAAAATGTTAAAAAGTTTCTTTTTTAAATCAACTATAAACATCAGTATTGATTGGTCAAAAGCTAAGCTGATTATAGTAATTCACAAAAAATTTCAGTATGATAGCCAAGCATAGTCATCTAAATTGTTACCTACCTGACAGAGACATACTCTCTAACATGTTTAAGTATACTATGTGTATACTGTACCATAGTGTGGCGTTCCTCTGTGTGTCAGAGAGAGTGAGAGTGAAACCTCAGGGAGATGGAGAATATCAAAGGGGAGTGTGAAACCCAGAGAGTAACCCTGACTGTGTACACACACCAAAAAGGGGACGCTTTGGCTGAACAAAGCAGGCTTTTGATGGGAAGCCATGAATGCACTCCCTCACACCAGTAACCCAAAACTCTCAGAGCCCACATCTCGGCCTTCAGACCAGGTGCCAACTCTACCTGTAGTTACAGTCCTGAAGCTCTCTACTAATGGGCTGTTTTTCTACTCAGGAAACCATACGATCATGTTCTTTAAAGATCGCCAAGACTGGCTCCCGTTGTATCCTCCTGTCCTTAAATCATTCCAATCAGATACAGGATCACTCAGGCTTTCTGTCTCTTTCTGCTCTACCTGAATGACTGGGTTTTTGTAGACCAAATACCTGTAGAGACCATTATCCTTTTTAGCTAATAATCCATTGGATGGAGTAGCCCGAAATGTTCATCACTTCATTGCCCGTATAATCCGGTTTGATCCACAAAATCTTCAACAATTTTCAAAGTCTTACTCCAGGAAAACATCGCAGATAGATTCAGTTTTTTAGTCTGAACCTCACTCATGTTTGTCAAAACTCAGTCAGCTGATTTTCCTCGTCATGTCACGCTATCTGCACTAACAGAAATCAAAGTTTTGGCAAACCACGAGTACAGCTAACAGCACTAACGACAACTCAACAACAAGAGTTAAATTGTTGGAAGTGATGTTAATTCTTTTTTAAAGTGAGTCTCGGTAACCTTTCGAAACCATTTTAATCACTATAACCCCAGGCTTGTTAAAGGTCAGGTTGAAGCTGCTGTTTATAAATCTGCAGCCTTTGGTATCCTGGTTTATAAATCCTTTGGTATCCTAACTATACAGTAAAAGGTGACATAGGAGTACTGAAATGTTGTCGTGTTGTTAGGTTTCGGACCACAGGGAGAGATAGTGATGTCTTAAAAGTTAAATTTTAACGAAGACACAGACAACTAGTTAAGCACAATAAAGCAAAAGGACTGGATAGATACTTGTTTTATTTACAGTTAAATGGATGGATGATGTTATCCACACAAAGAGTTATCATTACCGTCAGATCATAAATTAAGGAGGCATTCAGAGTGATATTGGTTCTTCTTAAGGTTAACTTTTTAGCACACAAGCGAACATCACCTTTATCAGCTAATCAAAACAGAAAAAACATACATCTGTTGTCCTCCTTTAATAGGATTGTCACAATAATCATCCCCAAATGTTACGACATCTGAGGACTTAAACTCTCTCACTTTATCTTCACTCTAAATACTTGGTTTTTCTCTCAGTCAAACATAAATATCCAGCAATTCCACCTTCAACAATCCAGTCAAATCATCCGTCCACTGAGTTTATAGGTCAGCCAATTGACTTCAGTTCATTAGTGTGAACTAATTTGAGTAATATGGATAGTATGGCCTCATATTCAAAGGGAACCATTTTTTTGTCAAAAAAAAAATAGGGTCAAAAAACCACAAACCAAAAACAACTTCCAAGCTAATGCTGGTTCTCATGTCGTATGGATTGTTTAGCATCTCCAGCAATAAAAACCTCACACTGTTTGCTAATACTAAAAGGGTCTATAGCAAGCAGAAACTTCCAATTCTGAAATATTAGGCAGATGCAGAAGTGCTTAAGAAATACACTTCCTCAAGTTCCCACTTGATGCTGGCGGCAGAAGCAATTGAAACCACGTACATGCTAAGCCATTAAAGCCCATTTTTAGGGCAAAAATAAGCACCTTTAAAAAATGGTTTCAGTCTGAATAGTGTAGAGCTCCCACAGCACCAGCTGTACAGGCAGTGAGGTGTAACCTACTTTGCACCCCTAACTAAAAATGTCAAAGGCCCAAGGCAATTAGCAGCCCTCCGTTATCATTGGCTCTTGATTTTGATTCTCGGAAATACAAAAATTTGAAACAAGTGACAAAATGTCAAAACAGAAATTGCTTGGTGAGAAAAAAGCAAATACCTTGAAATAGCTCTTGTTTTTTTTCACCCACACTAAGTCTGTTTTGTTGAAGGTAGATGGTACTTATCACACTGCTGTGTTAGATATAGTGTGTCCGACTCAAAGTTTTGCTTCAGGGTTAAACACAAGTCCATAGAAAGTTCTCAAAAACAAAACAAATTACAGAAAAAACATATAAGATCTTTTTGGACTGTTTAATTTAGAGATGTGTCTCACTTTTAAACCCTTCGTGTGAAACTTCATAGGAGTTTGAGAGGACTATTTAAAGCGGCACCTTCTGACCTGCTGTAATTACAGACCTGCTGTGAACACCTTTTTTTCAGTTGGTTCCCCCACTCACTTTGTAATGCTCCAAAGATCGAGTCCATCTGCGGTTCTTATCAAAGGAAAGTCAACAAACCGTACCCCCTGGCTCCTCTTTATGATACGTTTGATCCAGTTATTGGTTGTTTGTGGACCTGTGGGGACCTCCATAGATCATAAGCTTTGTGTTTATGTTTTTTACATCTGAATAGAAAGACACATTGTTGATCCTCTAAATTTATGGACTTTGGGTGTGTGCTCAGAGATGTTCAGAAAAAATAGCCATGGAATCTTTAAAAGTTAATAAATGAGTAGCTCAAGGCTAATTCTGCTTTTACACATGTTTTATTTGGATCAGCCGAGGGACAAACTGTTCCTACACAGTTCATTAAAAGAACGTATTTTTAGACACTCATGTAAATTGTTCAACCAGGCACCTTTCAGCGAGATCTACAATACAAGACTTGAAGATTTTTAATGTTTTCTTTATTCTGTTTGTTGCCAGAATATGAAAAAAAAATTAAATAATTGTTTCATTAGTTTTGATTTAGTAACTGCTTATAAATACTATAAGCTACCCACAGCAGAATTGGTTTGCTGCGGTCCATTAAGTGGAAAATAACCCATGGCCTCATTAATTAATCTTTAACAGTTTGTTTGAGCAGCACTTAAATCATTCATCAGCCAAAGTGATCGTCGCTTACATTGCAAATAAATCATTAAAGATAAATCAGTGAAGGTAATGAGAGAATAACTCAGAGGAATCTCCTTGAGAGTCAAACTGAGTCCATTTTCAAAGAAGAAACTGAGAGTTATTAAGATGGCATTAAGCATGTGCTCTCAGCAACAACTTCACATTTCAGACAGAATGGCGTCAGCACGCCGTGACAATCATGGCTGTGAAATTGAGTCAATAAACGCTACTTTCTGTACAGTGGTTCTTTGTGGAGTTTGTAAACACAGATGCATTTGGCTGGTTTAGAAAAGATGATGCAAAGGTTAAAATGCATTTTATTTCAACTGAGAATATGTTTTAAAAAAGAGTTAAATACAAGTTATTCTTGTGAGAAAATGACTTAAAAATATATATATTTCTTCAATGTGGCGCTGAAACTTTGTTGTAAATACTTAAATATACTGTTCAACAACAACGAGCAATGTCCCTCTTGAGTTGGTGAAGTGGGGAATAGTTAAAACTTACTAGAGGAATGTTTGTAAAAGTGTTTCCATAATTCTGTCAGCTTACTTACATGTAAACCAGGGAATCTGGTTTCAGCCTTGAAGTACACATTACCACTTTACACATAGTTTGAATTCCATCACCACCTTCAAAAACCTTTTCATAACTTTCATTAGTAACTTACCTCCCACAGATACTTGAAATTTGAACACTGTCTCCTGAACTAAAGCAGAGTTTTCACATGCTCTGCTGATGTCTGGGCCTCTGAGACATATTTCAGAATGCATTCACAACACTACACTTTTTCCACATTTTGTGTTACGGTCTTATTCCAAAAGTAGATTAAATTCATGTTTTATCCCCAAATTCTACATACAATACCTCATAATGATCAAGTGAAACGAGTTTGTTTGAAACTTTTGCAAATTCTTCTGAAATACAAAACAAAAATATAACATGTACATAAGTATTCACAGTGTTTGCTCAGGACATTGTAGATGCAACTTCGGCGTAATTACAGCCTGAAACCTTTTAAAGTATGATACTACAAGATTTGCAGAACCTCTCAAACTCCATCAAGTTGGATAGGGAGTGTTGGTGCACAGCCATTTTCAGATCTCCTCATGTTCAATTGGGTTCAAGTCTGGGCTCTGGCTGGGCCGCTCAAGAACAGTCACAGAGTTGTCCCGAAGCCACTGCTTTGTTATCTTGGCTATATGCTTAGGGTCCTTTGAAAGATGAGTCTTGAGCATGTTATTATCAATGATGTCTCTGTACATTGCTGCATTCATCTCTCCCTCGACCCTGACTAGTCTCCTAGTACCTGCAGCTTATAGAAAATCCCCACCACCATGCTTCACTGTAGGGGTGGTATCGGAAAATAAACGGTGCATTAGCAAGTCTTCATGACTCGTTTGTGCTCTGATATGCACTGTCAACTATTGGTCAAATCATGTCCAACCAACAGAATTTACCACAGGTAGACTTCAATCAAGTTGTGGAAACATCTGAAGCATGATGCACCTAGGAAACGATGTGAATACTTATGTACAAGCTTTATATATATTTTTGTTTTTAATTGATTTGCAAAAGTTTTAAATAATTTTTTCACTTTGTCATTATGAGGTTTTGTGCGTTAAATTATAAGGTAAAAGATGAATTGAATCCATTTTAGTGTAAGGCTGTAACACAAGAAAATGTGAAAAAAGTGTAGCGCTGTGAATACTTTATAGATGCACAGTATATGTGAAATAACTGCTGCCACATCTGTCCGCTGTTTGCCACTGCTTTTATTCCTGGTGTTGCTTCGTTTACAGGTTTGGAAGATTATATGAAACGCTATGGAGAGGGTATAAAAAGAGTCCTGACCTCTTTTGGACCTGTACCCGACTTCTGTGGTGAAGGGTCAAAAACTATTGCTAATGTAAGTATGATGGCATAATGTTTACCGAACATGTTTGCTTAGTATTGTAACTTTGAATGTAATGGTATTATTTTCCAGGCTAAAGGCTTTTTTCCTGCTGATTCAGTGAGTGTTGAATAGTGCTGGGTTCTGCATGATTTAAAGTCAAGCGTTCCCTCTCAACAGGCTCTTTAGTACACAGTCACATGTTATCACAGGCTGTTAAAGTGTTAGCCACACAAGGTCATTATGTGAGGACATCCTGAGCCAGCGCAATAAATAGTTTAAGGTCAGCTAGTTAAGAGAGCCACAGTTTGTCTTGTTTACTGGTGTTTTTCCCCACCTAGAAACTGCTGCATAGGTTTGAAGTCATCCACACTGAGGAAAAAACCTTTGATTATTCAATCTACAAGCGGACTGAATAAGCTGTTTGTATGAAGTGTCCTAAATCAACAGCATCACAGATTCATTCTGACTCCCTACAGACTGGAGTCAGAATACTAGACTTAACACCACATTATCAGAATTTGATCACATGATTATTGTTCATCATGCTTTTATTTTGGTATTTTTGTGTGCAGACAAAATATTGTTGTTGTGTCATATTTGTTATTGGCTTCCAACTATCATAAACAATTAAAGGTTGCATCCTACAGTGCAAAATGTAAGTTGCACTAGAAACTGCATTGAATCCAGCATATTTGTATGGAGCCAGATCAGGCTCAAAAGTATTGAAAAAGTAGTGTAAGTGAAAAAATAAAAAGTGAAGTGTAAAAATAAGATTTGATCCTGAAAAAAAAAACCTGAAAGTCTTGAATTTCGAAATTGAACTTTGAAAAATCCCAGAATGCATGAAAAAAATCTGTTCAAATGTAACTTTGATTCTGTTTTTTAATACTTTTGAATAAATTACTTATTTCTATTTTTCACTTCAATGTTTATTTCGATCTTTGAGTACTTTTTTTTTTTTCGATTGAATTTTATTTATTTATTTCAGATTCAGATCTTATTTTTACGGATTCAAAACTTTTTTTTCGGTTTCAGATTTTTTTTTTTTCAGATTCAGATCTTCTTTTTTCAGATTCAACTTGAAAAGTTTCAGGTTGACTTATGAGCCTGTTTTTCCGTGGGGGCGGGCCTCGACGGAGAGGGGCGCGGTCTGCCATGAGTGACAGGCCTCCCCCTCCTTCCCCACCCCATCACCCTGCGTTCAGGAAGTGGCATGAATACACATTAGCTTAGCCTACAATTAGGCTGTATTGGCTGAATGAGATCGTGTTGGTTCGTTCCACTTTAGCGGTGCAATATAAACTGTGATTCATTAAAAAGCTCTATTGATAGTAAGTACTAAAAAAAATATATCTACTCATGTCATCCTGTCGATTTTTAGTAATCAGTGTTTCGGTGTCGAACTATTTCCCCTCTGCGGCGTTCTCGACTTTACAAGGACACGTCGGGAAACTTACAGAACTAGGATTAGAAAGTGGCTTTCTCTACAGGGTGAGACAAAGGACCTTGCAGAAACTTTGCGTTGATATCGACTTTGACAATGTTCCTGATGACACTGGGTTTCACATAACATGCTACAAGCGATTTATTTGCAAAAAGGGTTTGAGAAACAAGAACGTGATGCAGCCGCGGGTCAGTCAAACCCTTAACGCAGCATCGCCGATGCATCCACGTCCACGGCATCTGAAACTCCGCGAAAGAAACTTCGCTCGAGGTTTTAGGCTGTATTGGGACAAAGGGAAAAAGTGCCTAGAAAGTGAATTTCGTTCAAATACGCTGGTGCTACTTGTTCAATGCATTTTTGCATAGACAATACCATTCATCCATACCATCCGCGACTGCATCACGTTATTGTTTCTCAAACCCCTTTTGCAAATAAATCGCTTGTAGCATGTTATGTGCAACCCAGTGTCATCAGGAACATTGTCAAAGTCGATATCAACGCAAAGTTTATAAGTTTCTGCAAGGTCCTTTGTCTCACCCTGTAGAGAAAGCCACTTTCTAATACTAGTTCTGTAACTTTCCCGACGTGTCCTTGTAAAGTCGAGAACGTCTTTACTCTGGACAGATGATAGATGCATATAACATCGTTTCGCTCCTTTTTATGCACTTTTGAATGCTGTTTTCTTTTGTGCCTTTTCTTTTCTTCCTCTTCGCTTGTCTCGCTGCGAGATGCGGTCGTCGCCATGTTTGTGTATTTCTGATACTATGGCAACGAGACTCGGCTCCTATTGGTCCACGTGACAAAAATCGCTTCACCCCCTGCATATTCGATTGCGCGTGTGCAAGTATTACTACGCCGCAGAGGGGAAATAGTTCGACACCGAAACACTGATTACTAAAAATCGACAGGATGACATGAGTAGATATATTTTTTTAGTACTTACTATCAATAGAGCTTTTTAATGAATCACAGTTTATATTGCACCACTAAAGTGGAACGAACCAACACGATTTCATTCAGCCAATACAGCCTAATTGTAGGCTAAGCTAATGTGTATTCATGCCACTTGAACGCAGGGTGATGGGGTGGGGAAGGAGGGGGAGGCCTGTCACTCATGGCAGACCGCGCCCCTCTCAGTCGAGGCCCGCCCCCACGGAAAAACAGGCTCAAAAGTCAACCTGAAACTTTTCAAGTTGAATCTGAAAAAAAAAAAAATCTGAAACCGAAAAAAAAGTTTTGAATCCGTAAAAATAAGATCTGAATCTGAAATAAATAAATAAAATTCAATCGAAAAAAAAAAAGTACTCAAAGATCGAAATATACATTGAAGTGAAAAATAGAAATAAGTAATTTATTCAAAAGTATTAAAAAACAGAATCAAAGTTACATTTGAACAGATTTTTTTCATGCATTCTGGGATTTTTCAAAGTTCAATTTCGAAATTCAAGACTTTCAGGTACCATTTTATTTTTTTCAGGTTCAAATCTTATTTTTTCACTTCACTTTTTATTTTTTCACTTACACTACTTTTTCAATACTTTTGAGCCTGATCTGGCTCCATATATTTGCCCCAGTTTGGAGCATTCTATTTTTCATGCATGTTGGTCTTGGTTGACCCTTTTTTCGGCCTGTAAAGATCTTCAGATAGGCATGCTACTTTTGTTATGGACTGTGTGGCGACCCTTTAAGTCAAGAGGGTGAAACGTCACTATTCCCATATTATGGTTCCAACTATAAAGGAATTCTAACCAATCACAACTGAGAGCCTTTAACACAAGAACAGCCCAGATACTGCCAGATCCAACATTTCCTCTTGGACCTCGGTTGGTGCAAATTCGTACTAAACATGTAATCCAAAGTAGAAATCAGTAGTAAAGAGGTGGTCAACAACGAAAAAGTGGAGAAGTATTTGGATAGAAGCAAAAAAATACCAACTTTCAACAACTAAGGCGTTATCTTATCACAAGTGATCTGCTTTGTTCTCTTTGTTTTCATACTCGTGAGGATCTCCAGTGAGTCATTCATATAGTAATCCAGTCACGAGGACGCCCTCTTTCCTCTGCTCTGACGGTCCTCTTTTCTTATATGTTTCCTTCCCTTCGGCCCACAGGAGATGTGTGAGCTGATTCCAAACGACCGGCAGCATCTTTCAGCCAGGATGGAGAGGAGGGATCAGCTCCTGATGGCTCTGGCCAAGCTGAAGAAGGAGCACAAAGAATAATTTTCATGATTGTTCCTCACTTTAATGACCTCCTAGTTTTGTTTGCTTTTTTCACAGGGAATTTTGGTAAATGGAACTTTTTAATCGGGTTGATGAGGTGTTATCTTAATAACATGTCTTTGTTAGTTAAGATATAAGAATAATGTTTTCAGAGTGACTAAAAATATATAACTTTTTTAGTATTGATTTCTAGTTTTACTCTTAAAATACCTGTTATAGATAAGCCTGGAGGGAAAAAAAGACTCTAACCTCAAGAAAAAAAGGAACAAGGGATTGAATTTGAATCATATTTTTTTCCAAATGTTTTGAATATTTAGTGTTTTTGTCTTAATCATAATCATAATAATCATCATACAATCTTAAGACTACCGTGTGATAAATAAGGGACAGGATAAAAGGGTTTATCTATCTGGGTGCTTACCATTACATAAGGGTCTCCTCAGCTGACTGGTTCTTGAAGTATCCTTTTTTTTTTTTTGTTATTGGATACTAAACTTTTTAGTTTTTTATTCACACAATAGCATGTTTGAGTCTGCCATGTGAAAAAATAAAACTATGAAATCACTTACGAGGTGTGTCTGGCTGAGTACTGGGGTAGTCTCTGTTTCTTACTGCAGAACAAATTGATAATGTGTGTAGATTTGAATGGTGACTCATTAAAGTCCAGAGTCCCAGGAAATATTAAAAGACAGTTTGTCACGAGTGCTACAGAGTGACATTTCTGCTTATTCTGCAGATATTTCACACTAATATCACCTGATCATCGTGTATGTGCAGCCATCCTGCACCCAGTGTGAAGTTTAAAGTGCTCCTCTCCTGCACAACTTACTTCACTACCCTATGTGTAATGTGTCTGTTTTATTTCATGCAAACGAATAAATGAAATGTGACAAGTTGCACCACCAACAAAACACAAATATATAAACATTTTACCTCAAGGTCCATAACTGTGTTAGCAGATGTGTACTTATCTAAAAGTCTAAAAAACATAAATGAGTAAGAGTATGAAGCAGCTGTTTGCAAAAATGGTGTATTTCTTTCTACTTTTTTTTTAATGTGACCAATAATGATTTAATGAGACACTTTTAGGGTGTTTGTAATACACCAGAATTTATACAGGCGCCTGTAACTTCTTTCCCCTGTAGAAAACAACTTAACTAACAAAATGCACATCCATTCAGGGCTTCCATAGAGCAGCCGTCCAACTAATATTTGTCTGTAACTATCAAACTCTTCTTGACTATGTGCTGGAATTAAAATAGCAATAGTTTTCCAAAGTCAACTCCTCCATCTGCTGGCTCCACCCTGAGCCTGGCTCCTCCCCCTCCTCTCAGTCTGCTTCAGGAGATGATGAAAAACCTTTGAAGCCTCAGGTGCTTCTCACACACAGCGCCGACATGAGACAAGTCAGACCTCATACCTAACAACCTAAACTCTGATTCTACCTCAGAGCCGGGAACAAATTTCTTCAAGTCACAAAGGATCAAGAGGATTACTTTTTTTATTTTTTTATCCTGATGAAAAGTGACTGAAAATATTTTGGATCAGCTCCTCAGAGTAAGGTAAGTCCATTGTGTTGTGTTTTTTTTTTTTTTTTTTGTGTCGCTATGCAGTTGAAAACCAAGGCAACTAGCTACCACCACTTCTTTATAGTGATAGTATTACAGTACTGAACAGTGGTTATAACTTTAGAGCATTATCTGACTCATAACACACGTCTGATTTGAGATGTCTTGGCAAAAAAAATCAAAGACATTGTATCCTGAAGCCTGAATCCCACTAATTAAATCATATTAACAATCCTGAACTACCTTTAAGAGGCAAACGTTAAACATGTATATCTTTGACGTTTTTTTTGTTAGACAAAAGACTTGTTTTATTTAACCAAGGATGGCAAGAATATAAAGAATATCAAGGAGCATCAGTGTAAGAAGTGAAAAAGGATGGATCGAGTGGAAACCTGTGGCTCTAAATTTCTCCTTTTTGTGATCTAATCCTGCCAAAACACTTGATAAACTTAATCTAGTAAATCAGCATTTTTACCTTTAAAACTTGTGTGTGACTAAAGTTCATATGAAAAAATGTCTATTTAAAAGTATATTGCCCTCTATTGTATTTCCAAAATCTTGATCAACAAATGTAATTCGATATTATCAGCAGGTGTTAGAGTGAAAGAGTGAGAAATAGAGTGAAATCTGTTAATAGTTGTCTATGTTCAACTGGCATCTTCTCTGAGTTTCTGGTAAGTGTCTCAGCCAGATTAACACTCTGCACACCTATTTCCCTTGACAGTTTGAGAGTGGTGCCTCTATATTATTAAACTTGCTTTCATGCATTTGTTTACAACATTTCTGTACCAAGCCTATACCAGACACGTTGTTCATGACAATGGGAAGCTGTCATTAATAGGGAGTGGTCCCAAGTCTGCACCCAATCACACTCCCCACCTGAAACAGGGTGGCTTGACCAACAACTTTAAGCTCTACTGCTACTTTTTTAGTCCTTTAAGCTTAAACTATCAGACCTTGCTCTCCCGGTTCCATGATTAAGGTGTTTTTTCATCCTTGCTTCAAAAAGTGGTTGTGAAATCCCACTCATAATAAATATCATGTTTTTTTTATCCTACTTCCCATAACATATTTTGTCAAAGAATAAATGAATCAAAAGAAAATCTAATTTGAAAAGAGCAGGACCCCAACATCAGGTTTGTACACTGAAAAAGTGAAAGGTTAGGTGAGATACTCCTTGATCAACACACGGAGTTTGTTTTCTGACCTTTTAACCACTTGCTGAATTCTTGCTCTCCACAGGTTGTCTGAGTTTCAAGAGTCCTCTTTTCCACAATGAGTTGGGGGGCACTCTATGCCCAACTGGGCGGCGTCAACAAACACTCCACCAGTTTGGGAAAGATCTGGCTCTCAGTCCTTTTCATCTTCCGCATCACTATCCTGGTTCTTGCCGCTGAGAGCGTCTGGGGGGATGAACAGTCAGACTTCACATGTAACACACAGCAGCCTGGCTGCAAAAACGTCTGCTATGACCACTTTTTTCCAGTTTCACATATCCGCTTGTGGTGCCTGCAGCTGATCTTTGTATCCACACCAGCTCTGCTGGTGGCCATGCACGTAGCCTACAGGAAGCGTGGGGATAAGAGGACCATGCTGGCATCCAACGGCACAGAGAAGGCGACAGATACAGACCTGGAAACACTAAAGCGGAGGCGTCTTCCAATCACAGGCCCGCTGTGGTGGACCTACACCTGCAGCTTGTTCTTCAGGCTCATCTTTGAAGGAGGGTTCATGTATGCACTGTACTTTGTCTACGATGGTTTCCAGATGCCCCGGCTGGTGAAATGTGAGCAGTGGCCTTGCCCCAACAAGGTGGACTGCTTCATCTCCAGACCAACAGAGAAGACCGTCTTTACCATCTTCATGGTCTCCTCGTCGGCCATCTGCATGGTGCTGAACGTGGCTGAGCTGGGCTACCTAATCGTCAAGGCGCTTCTAAGGTGTTCCTCCAGAGCAAAGAGAAGGAAACATAATTACACCAACACGGACAGCATGTCAAGGGATAACGCACTCAACAAGAAGAATGAGATCCTGTTGTCTTCCTCTTCAGACTCTTCCACCAACAAGACCATGTGTTGAAACACCACAATCTGTGGTGGAGAGTGAGCAGAGAAGAAAAGCACTAACAGTAGACACTACCACCTTAAACTGCAAACAAGTTTGTGTCCTTAGTTTAGGTTCTTTATGAAGAAAAAAATTGTTTTCATGGAGAGGTGGTCGCTTATAAAGCAAATTATGAGACTGTGAGAACTTAAAATTACAAGGAGAATACATTTATCTCAACGGCAGCAAATGTAGTTGAAGTGGCCTAACTTTTACAATCATCAGCAAAACAATCATTGAACAAAATGGGGAAAAAAAAGCTCTTTCCTCTCACTTATAGTACAGATTTGCCACTGAAGGTAGTCAAAACCTTTGTCTTGGTGCAAAAAATCCACATACAAATAGAAAGTTGGGTTATAATTTCATCTATTGTAGTATTCCCACCAGTGAGTGTTACTCTGAGAGCCTGTTTGTGTTCTCATAACATTAAAAACCAACTGTTGTCGCCGATACTGTTCAATTCTTTCGATTTTTCCGGAGGCGTTAGCAACGGTCGCATAGGAAGCGGTTGTACAGACTTTCAACCAATCAGATTAAAGCAGTTTATGAAAGAGCGCATACCAAAATAATTGTAAAAGAGCAGTGGCAGGTAGAGGAAAATAACATACCTGTGATACCAGTCAATGCTGTATATCTAGTTTTTCTTTATTGTTTTAATTAAAAAACATAATCCGGTTTGTTTAAAACGGCCACCTTAGGATTCAACGGACCTTTCGGCGGCGGAAGCTGCCATCTTGGTTGTTTACTAATACGCTGAAGCGGTGCTCCTGTGTTGTCATCTTCGATTAAGGACTGTGATTGGTTCCGTGCACCTGGTACTGATGGGAAAACGTCGAAACTAATAGATGTTTCCTCATGCCTGTGAAATTCTGAGCTGGATGATGGGTTTCAGTCTGAAAAGAAAAAAACTGCCGGCTGGTTGAACTTTTGTTTGTGTAAGATAGTATCTTCCTCACAATTGTCACCTTACTTTTCATGCAGTTGCTGTTCAATAGTGTTTTTAAGTTTAATTTATTGATCATTACAGTTTGATATTGCTTGAATGTGGTGTGCATTGCTGGAGTGACTGGTCAGGTTTTTGAACCTGATGTGAATGAGTCTATACTGACATCTAGTGGTTTTACAATGTACTGTCTATGATTAAACGCTACTTAAAGTCTGAAGGATTTCTTTGCCGTTATGGAAGAGGGTAGGACATAAATGAAGTCATGGAAAGTGAAGCAATAAAAGGTTCAAGTGCCTTTGTGATTAAGTTTTAGTGACTAGTTTACATCTGTTGACATCCACTTTAAAATGTAGTTGAATTTTTGTCAGTCATTGATTAACACTGATGAGTTTTATGACCTGTATACATCAAATGACTGTAACATGAAGTTAAGTTTGAAAATGTATTTTTGAATGATCATGTAGTTTGAGAGATTGTTGTGTATGTGTGTTTATAATAACAAAGATGTGTGTTGCACATGATGAGTTAATGTTGATGAATTTGTACAACATGAAATCATACCACAGTAGTGTCACAGGTTTCATGCTTTTTGCTGTTCAATCAAGTCACAATGTTTTTTTTTTCTCTTTTACTTGAATTGAGAGTATTTAAATTGAAGTGTTTCTTTCAGTTGAATGCATTAACAAAGTGATCATTTGTTGCATATTTCATACAAACATGTCTGCCTACAGAAAATGGGATCATGCAAGATTGGTTAACTCAACCGAAATGGGCAATATGTTATGATTGTGAGTTGTACGTTTTAGTTGATTTAAATATCAACATTTTCAAACAGAGGTAAAATCAATGTCATTGTGAACATGCAGACACTGTTGTTTTTATTGTTTGTTCCATTTACAACTTTTTAAAGTTTTTACAAAGAGTTGATAGTTTCAAGCACACAGTGCGGGAATATGCTGTTGTTGCAGTATGTGCTGACCCCTGCTGGTTGTATCAGCTTTCACTATGTGCCTTATTTTTGCTAACACAATAATCACTGCCTGATTGTGTATGTGTGAAAATGTCTTTGTCCTGCACAGTATTAGGAAAAGACCAGTCAGATTAGTCATAACCATCAATCAATTAGTGTCAATTAGAGTTAATAATACTGTACAGAGAAAATCTAGGTAAGTTTAAACTTAAATTTACGTTACTGATATAGATGAAGTTTTTTTAAGTGTAATGTCGACATTCTGCAGTTGGCAAAAACAGATTTGACAAACAGATCAAATCATGCATTATCACAGGCAAAGACTGTAGAGAGTCTAGGACAAAAAAAATCATAGAATTTTACTTTTTGTGTCTGCTTTGTGCTGACCTTTAACCTTTGTCTCTAACAGCTGACTCAAATTATTTAATTTTTGTAAAAGAAATGATGCAAAATGTTAGTTTTTATGGGATCTGCCCACAATATCTTTTTTATTTTCTATCCATATTTCTTCCACAAGCTTGGTGTTTGCTTTGCACGGCAAATAACTGAGTAATCAATGAAAGAAGTAAGAAATGAAGAAATCAAGTGTTTTTGATTGTTTTGTACTAAAGATATTTTGTTACACTCGCACTTTGATCCTTGAAGTAATTTTGCTCTTTGAAATTGTTTTTCATAAATCAGTAAAAAATAAAAATTGTGTGTTGTTTATTGTATTCTGTGTCTGTGTCTCAAATTGACTTTTCAAAAAAAAAGAAAAAAAAACATACTTTCCTGCAGGCAGTGGTTTTTGAAAATCCAGGGCGAAGCCATACATGATTCCATTATTTTGATTCATTTTATTATTGTGTCATACATATACAGCACAATAGTCCCAGTCCATCAGGCTTACAAGACACCATTACTCTCACATCCAAAGACCTCTGACTCAAGGTTGTATTCGCTGTAACAAAGGACCCAGTACCATGACTGCTTTTTTAAAATTGAATACATATTCCCTACTTTAATCTAATTCAACCAATTATCTCAAAGCTAGCAAGTAGCTTCATCCTTACCATGTTCACCCATATCAGTTTGAGCAGCTAAAATAAGAGTAAATAATGAATACCTAGGAGGAAGCGCACAGCTTTATTCTTAACTTTTGCTTTCTTCTTTTTATGCTTCTTAAAAGGTGTAATTCAGTTTGTGTTTGTGTGAGCTTCAGTTCCCCTTGCAGACAGAGAACCCTTTGCTAATCTTGTCCTCAATTTGCTTGAACACTGACTTTTCACAATAAATACATAAAATCTCATCCTGCTGATGTCTGCCCCTCAAATGAATCGTATTTTGTGAACAATTAATACTAAAAATGTAAAAACTTTTTTTTTATTCAGTGGCTCCTAGACATCTTCACCACTTTCAGGCTTTAAAATTACTCAATAAAAATTGTTTAACTTGTTGCGGATGGTCTTATGAGTCATAAAATGGTATCAATATGAATTTCAGTCTCTTTCAAATGTCAAAAAACTCCTCACACCAGCTTTAGGCTTCTCTCCAAAACTCTTTGTAAAGATTGAGAATATCAGGATCGTATTCTTTCAAAGTTATGACTGTCTGTCAGCTATTAAAACAGTTATAAGGACTTCATTCTTTGTTTACACTAGTTTGTGTTTATAGAGTCTAGACAGAGGCATGCAGCATAAAATTTATACCAATTATGTTGTATCCATTTAGAAAAAATGAGTGCACAAATGTTGAGGTATGTGAATATTATACGACCCTGGATACCGATTAGTAGTGCAGTTAAAAAATATGACATACTTTATTTGATTCATGAAACCAGAAGGTTGGTGACCACCTTGTCATCTCTCTTTGAAAGCCTGGAGAGCTCCAAAAAGGTTCACGCTCAGAAACTGTGTGATGATTATGTAAGAGATTTGGCACATTTTCGGCATCTTTTGTTGGATGGTTTTGAAGAGCCTGGCAGGGATACAATATTATTGTAGAAGACTGTTGAGTCTGTGGGTTCAATCATGCATGTTCACAAATGATGCAAAACCAAGCATGAAACAACAAAGAGTTCAGTTAATCCGAGTCTGATAAGATCCAAGCTACCTCAAGAAAATACACAAAAAAGAACTTGTTTTTTCTGCACTGGTTAACAAGCTGGGGCAGAGAAGCTTCCAGACCAATTTGAGTAATATCTAAACTGAGTATTAAGTTTGAATACAGTTTGTTTGAGCTGCAGGAGGCATCATGTTAAGAAGCAAGGACTGAATTTGTTATAAATATTAAATTAGTTCTCTTCTCTGCAGCTTGAATTCTAATCATTGTAGGGTTATAGAGTAAGGGGTTTTGGCAACAATCTTCGTATATGAGATGACATATTACATTATACTTTGGAAAAAACTGTGATATTTTGGTGTTAAAAAAAGAGACTTTGGAGATGTGGAAAAATAAGGGAATACTGTCTTTTGCCTACTGCACAACAAATCAATGCATAGTTAGAATGGGTTTGTGTAAAGCTCTAAGTTGAAGAAAACTGTATTACTAAAACTCTTTACCATTTATTGTGCAATTTCCCTTTTGCAGTGACAAAACACGAGCATGGCCTTTACCTTATTATACTGTGTCACCAGGTTTTGATCGGCTGTGCAAAAATTGAATGTGCTTCCATTTGAAAGTCAGTGTGTTGGTTCATTTTAGAGCAGAATGACTCTTCACTGACATCTAGTGGCTCTGAGGGAAATCTTCTTTCTCAAGCTTGTATCAAAAAAAGAAAACATACAGGACCAAAGCTCTGAAACATTTTTAACAATGGAAGAAAACACATTAAGTACTTGAGTGCATGAAGTTTTGGTTGGTGGAGGGGGTCAAGGGGGAAAGGAAACCAGCTCTCACAAAACTGACCTGGCATCTTTCTTACCAGACTAATCTGGAGAAAGCCAAGCAAAGTCAAGCTTAGCCAGGACTACTGTCAGGCTTGCTCATGCAGAGATTGCATAAATCCGTAAAACATTCATTTGTGTAACTGTACATTCAAATTCTTGCACTATCTTGCAAATCAACAACCAAAAGATCCTCTAATCTACAAAAGGTGGCAGGTAAACTGGGATAACCAAAAGGCAACACTTAGTGCGGATTCAGGTCTAAAAGTGTTATGAGAGGGCTACACTACTAACTCTTTTGCAGCAGAGTTTTTGCCAAGACCCCTCCAGAAAGTCAAACATATGGATGACATTTGCTCAACCGGCTTGTTCTACACAATTCTGAAGTCATGGCAACAGAAAATAACCCAGCTTGATGATCTTATAAGGTTTGAAAAATTTGAGAGTCTTTGCATGGCTCAAAAACATAGGCAGGTTGAGTCACCAGCATATTGCAGACCATCTCAAGCAAGAAGCAGTATAAACAATGTTGATGAGGTTGGACATCTCCCACATCAATTTAGAAAGAGTAAGAGGGGTGTTGAAAAACAAACAAGGGCAGAAAACTTTTAGTTTAGTCGGCTGTATTTTTCACAACTCAGCAAATGGTCAAGCAACAGGTCAAATGTTCCAGTAACCAGGAGTTTAATCTACCCTAAAGGGCGCCACATGCCCTATCTTACCTCTGCAGCTAGTTTTGTTAGCCTTGATATGATTATGTAAGCACGAAAGCTCGCCATGTTCCATTTGAGGCCACCATCTTGGACGGTCATGTTTCTACAGAAGCACAGAATGGACAACGCCTCCTCCGGAAGAAGAGGAAGAACAGTGTGGTTGTTTGCGTAAAGGAATTTCTAAAAAAAGTTGTTTCTAATGGTGACAACTTGATAAGTGTCCTCAAAAGCCACTTTCATTTTACTACCGGGAAGTACTGGGAAGAAGAGTGAGCAAGGCAGCATTTCAATCTAGAAACTGATAGTAGATGTCGCTAAATATTCAGATTTCTGCATACTGTACCTCTAGAAAAAAGACATTTATTCCACTTTCAACACTTGTGCATCAGCTTTTCCACTTAATACATGACTGATATTATCTCAAAAAGCAGAATTACTAGTCAAAGAATATAATGTCGTCTCTACCCAGCTATTGAGGTTGTTTTAATAAATGTATGCATATGACACCCACTGCTTTAACCACCAGGAGACAATGTCAAGAAAGAGAGTATTTTTGTTCAGCCCTTGAACTTGTTCTGTTGTTGTAGTGTGCACTGACCCCAGCTGGTGGGATCAGCTTTCAGCATGTGCCTTATTTTAGCCAACACACTAATCACGGGTAGTCCTTTTAACGTAAGGAACTACGCTGATCACTGAACGAAAATGTCTTTGTCCTCCCACCATCCCGGAATAGCCGGGTTGGATTAGTCACATCTGTGTTGTTTAAATAAAACTCTCTGTCTGTGAACCGAGGACAGCGATACTGCATAAGACTGCAAAAGGGTACATGAGTTTAAAGTATATTAGTTTATGCTATTAATTTATGTTGTTTTGTTGACCAGATAGATAGAGTTATACATTTTTTAAATATAGTTCTTGATAATCTCTTTTTATAGTTCAGTTACTCATATATCTCATTTCTAATATCGCCACGGTTACCCTTATCACATTATCCTTTAAAGCTCCTCTGAGGAACTTTCATTTTGTGTTAATTTTGGCACCCCCTTAAGACAAAGCAGTCTTTGTAAATCTTGTCCTTAACTTGCTTGAATATTAACCTTTGACAAAAGTCTCATTTTGCTGATTTCCACATGCAACTGTATAATTTTCTGTGAATAATTTGTGTGGAAATTGGAAAAACAGAGCAGTTTCTCCAGTTGCTCAGCTGACACCTTCCCCCTTGCACTGATATCAGGCATTAAAAATTGGGTCATAAAAATGGTTTTGTCCCTGATGGTTTTGTTTGCTTTTGAATATATAAAAAAAGGGCAAACATGAATTTGAGTTCATTGCGTAAACATAAAAATTCTCCTTATAGGAACTTTAATATTTTAGCATCTTAATTCCTTCCTTTTATAATTCTATCATCCTATTTGTTGCCCTCTCTTTGTTAGTTTTATTATCCTAACCTAGTGTTTTCCTCAGTTTTTCAGCTCCTGTTGATTGAGCCTCTTATTTATAACATGCTCTTTACTTTGAGTACAGATTGTGACTTGGTGGTAGGGGGATCAGGATAGAGATGTGGTCCTACTGTATTTCTGTTTTACATTTTCATGTTATTGTTTTTATTGCAATCATTTTATATACAGCACTTTGTGTAACACAATTGTAGTGTAACAAGTGCTCCATTACTTAAATCTGATTGAGTCGTTGAGGAAAGTTTTGCGAAAGATCAAATCAATCACATATCACGGGTAAGGCTCTCTTGAGGCCTCTGTTGATGATTTTTAAAGCATATAACATCGTTGTTGTATGATCATGGACAGTATGTTCAGCTTTGCATTGACCTTTTCTTTCGTGCTTATTTCAATTATGTCAGACTTATCAAGTTGTTACAGTATATCAGCGTTTCCAGTTCCAATACAGTTTACTTTAAACACTTTCTTTTTATTCTGTTGTCTTCAGACCTTTACCCAATATGGTTTGCTTCCAAGCCAACAGCACATTTATAAATACACAGCTTTCTCCAGGCTGGTACTTAAGAATTTCAAGTTTGTAGATCTGATTTGTTCATAAGGAGTTTAAACAGATGTACTTTGACCCTATAAGCATTTTAATAAATAAATAAATGAGCAATAATCAGTTTTTTCCTCTTTTCTCTTTCTTTTTTCAACTTGTGGATGATGCACAAACTTCTGCATATCTACAAAGAAAACCTTTACTTATGCTTACTATATGTTTTTAAAATTGGATTTCAGTATATCTCATCCTTTATTGGACAGAGTGCCTCGCATTATTTAACTAATTCTCTTTTTTTTCCTGACAAATTATCAAGATATTTCATTTTTTTATGATAGATGACTTCAGGCTATTGTAGGATTTGTGACATGCGTTTGAAAAAGAGTTCAGGTGACTTTTTGGACACAAACTGGAGAGTCGAGGAGTCTTGGAGAGGTTATTCGGAAGTTTTGGTCATAGTTTTGGGCGCATTCTCAGCAACTTTTTGCGCACAGTTTGGAGAGCTTTTGGGGAGGTTGGCAGGGGCGTGGTGTGATTGCGGACAGGCTGATGACTCTGTGGATTCACTCATGCATGGTCACACAATGTGACAGTCCAGACATGGCTGTAAACGGGAGGCAGCTCCGTTTGACCGAGCCTCATCTCCGACTCCAAGCCGCCTCCAAAAACTAACAACAACAAAGGGAAACTTTTTCCTTGCGCATGTTGAGGGGCCCGGGACAGCGGGACAGCAGACAGTGCGCAGGCCTGGAGAAGTCTGTGCATGAATGAGTTCGAGAGGCAGCGTTAAAACAGAGTTTGTTGATCTGTCAAAGAGGCGACAGGTTGCGGGTTTTTGGATCAGGGAGACAGAGGGAGGGTCGCTGCAGCTGCGGGAGGTCTACACGCGTTCAGCGAACTCAAATGATGGCACCAGTGATGGCAGATGGATTTGCTTTTCGTTTTTAAGTATGACATCTCCTGCGTAAAGGTATGACGGATGGCCTGCTGTGAATATTTTCATTTTCTTTGGTGGAATTTCAATAAGAGCGAGTAAAAGGAGAAGGACGTGTTATCAGGTAATTAAGAGTTGTTTAATTTGAACTTTAGCAGTGAAACAAAAGCCTGACAAAGCTTGTGGTGCTTACAGAGAGTCTGTGGACTCTGGCACACTCTGTATTGTCAGCCTGTCAGGTATGGCTTTGTATTTGAACCTGGCTCTGTCTGTTACATTCGACATAAATGCCAGAAATACCTGTGAAAATTCGTCTTTTATAAAGTCTATTACTTAAATTTAACCATCATACACTTAAAGAGAATCCCAACTCTCTGAATTATGATGCAGCATTCTCAGTTTGATCGCCTATTTTTACAAGGAACTCATTCAAAAGTGTTTTAAAATTCATACAATCCAGGATTTTAGACACATATTTCCTAATGTTATACAAACTGATCCCAAAATATTCTGAATAATTTCTATATTTTTGATGAAAACATAGTCAGACTGTTTGATTCCCTGGTTTTGCGTTGCTCTCTGTTTTAGTCAAAGACACAAAAATAGGAAATAATTGTATTAATGTACACGTGTTTATGTCTTTCAGGTGTCAGTACAAATTGTGAACCCTAGTCGATGGATTTATTACCTTTAATACAAGAATACTTAAGTAAGTTTCTCCTGCTGTGTGTTTTGAATGTGTGAACTTGTTGTGTTGATGGGTTATTGTCTAAAAATTGTAGGGAAACAAAGACAACCTTTATCAAAATGGGATGTTCATCCATCTATGTCCTGAGAAGACTGAGCAAAGTCACTGAGTCTAAAACTGATGTTTTTATACAGCCATTTCAAATGCAGAGTTAAATCTGAAACATCTTCTGACAAGTCACCAAAATGGTACAAAAAGGCCTCTAGTTTTAGTTTCTCAAGCGCGTTAACATGCTTGTTTTTCTTTTCTATTTCAGTTTTTCTTCGAGTATATTGGAGGTTAAGATTTTATCTGTTCAAAACAAACAGTTTCGAAACATCAGGTTGAGCTTTGAGAATTTGTGGTTGTTGTTTTTCCCAACAACAGATATTTAAAATAGAAATAATACAAAAATATAAAAGAAAAAACGAGGTGATAGATGGCTAGGTCGATAACATTTTACAAATTTACTCCTTGAAATGAATTATTTTAAGTTTAAGATACTCAAAAGCAAACCTTTCCTTAAAAATCACCAAATTTATCTCTCTGTCACGATTTAATCTCTTTCATTATTACAGTAATATTTTTATATTTGATGCCTTCGGTTTTTGTTTTACAGTTGTCAGGGGGAGAGGATGGTGGGGTGGTGTGCATGTCAGTATTTGTTACTGGGTGTGTGTGTGTGCATGTGCCACACCAGAGCCCCATCTCTGCTAAATGCTGTTTTCGAACATTATATTGTTGATCTCAGCACATGCCTGTTGGGCAGTGGAGCGAGCAGGTGAGAGAGAGAGACAGGCCTGACATAGGGAGCGAGGGAGAGAATGTGAACCAGGGTTGAGTCAATCAGGTGGTCCATACAGTATACAAGCTGTAAAAAGTCTCTGAGTTTAGGGCGAATTCTGTCGCGATTCGTCAATAAAGTTTGACGCCAATTTGCTACGTTTTATATGTAAAAGAGAAATGTGTCCCAAACTCGTCCGCACGTCGTTCATCGCCTCAGTTTTTGTGGTTAATTTGTGCTCCTATGTCGTTATTATATACGCCCTATGACACTGTTTGTATCAAAAATGTAAGAAAAAATTTTGGTCTTTTTCGACAGCTTGATGAGCAATTTTTTTCACGTATTCTCATGTCTGTTTTTCCTCTCTTTCTTCCCCCCTCTTTCTCTGCTCCAGCCTGTACTTTCTCCATAGGCTAGAAATCTTGAAGCATGGGCGACTGGAGCTTTCTGGGGCGGCTGTTGGAGAACGCTCAGGAGCACTCAACGGTCATTGGCAAAGTCTGGCTGACTGTCCTCTTCATCTTCAGGATCCTGGTGCTGGGGGCTGCAGCTGAAGAGGTGTGGGGGGATGAGCAGTCTGACTTTACCTGTAATACCCAGCAGCCTGGTTGTGAGAACGTCTGTTACGACGAGGCCTTTCCCATCTCGCACATCCGTTTTTGGGTGCTGCAGATCATCTTCGTGTCCACGCCGACCCTCATCTACCTGGGCCATGTGTTACACATTGTCCGCATGGAGGAGAAGCGGAAAGAGAAGGAGGAGGAGATGCGGAAAGCGAACAGGTTTCAAGAGGAGAAAGAACTCCTTTATAGAAATGGTGGAGATTCTGGCGGTGGAGGAGGAGGTGGTGGTGGCAAGAAGGAGAAGCCACCGATCAGGGACGAGCATGGCAAAATTCGTATCAGAGGCGCATTGCTGCGTACCTATGTGTTCAACATTATTTTCAAGACCCTGTTTGAAGTGGGATTCATTTTGGGCCAATATTTCCTGTATGGCTTCCAGCTGAGGCCCCTGTACAAGTGTGCACGTTGGCCCTGCCCCAACACCGTGGACTGCTTCATATCAAGGCCTACTGAAAAGACTATTTTTATTATATTTATGCTTGTGGTGGCTTGCGTGTCTCTTTTGCTGAATTTGTTAGAGATCTATCACCTTGGATGGAAGAAAGTCAAACAGGGCATGACGAATGAGTTTGCCCCAGACCAAGAGTCACTTCGCCGTGTCGACATTGCAGAACCTGAGTGTTTGGCCTCGGCCTCCAGAACTGCTCCATCCAGCCTCGGCTACCCTCCCAACTACACAGACGTGACGGCGGGCAGCAGGGCGTTCCTGCCACCCATGGGGCCAGCAACTGTGCCCACAGCGGCAGAGTTTAAGATGGACGACCTCCAGCAGGAGCAGTCCCTCCACCAGCCGTCTCCTTCTTCCCACTACTACATAAGCAACAACAACAACCACAGGCTGGCCACGCAGCAGAACTGGGCCAACCTGGCCACCGAGCAGCAGACTCGGGAGATGAAGGCCACTTCCCCCGCCCCATCATCCTCCTCTTCAGCCAGCACCAGCAAAGAGCAACAGCAGCAGCAGCAGCAGCAACTGCGGCGTGTGGATGTTGAACTTCTACTTCCAACCACCAACAGTCATACCAACACAACAGCCACTGCAGCATCCAGCAGCAGCAGCAGCAGCAGCCCCGGCACTGCCTCCAACACGGGCAGCTGGAACGGGGGAAAGAGTGAGCAGGAGGAAGGTAATACCACCACCACTACGGTGGAGATGCACGAGCCTCCAGTAACGGTCAGCACAGATCCTCGGCGGCTCAGTCGGGCCAGCAAGAGCAGCAGTATCAGAGCGAGGCCGAGTGACCTAGCTGTCTGAATCTCTTCAGTCCTATAATGTCCCTGAACCCCTGAACCAACAACCCATCTTTCCTACAACCAACCCCTAACAAAGTGATTCTCAGACAGAAAAATCACAAACATGCATAATGCAAAAAACAAACAAAAAAAACAAACAAAAACAAAAAAGGAAACAAAAAAAGAGGGCAAGTCCAAATGAGACAGAGAAGCAGAAAAGTCAAAAACATTGAGGGAGATGTAAACTGACTTCGTCATCAGCAGCAGATGTTGATTTAGTGCAATCGGTGAGTTGCAGAGTAGTCGAAGCATGTTTTGTTTGTTTTTGAGATGGTCTTAACTTGTGTGAACAAAACGTGATCATCATGCAGTGCTTTGAATTCAGAGAGCTCTGCTTGAAGTGGTGAATGAAGCGAAGAATTCGCCAACTTTTTTTGGTTTCTAGGAAGATCACATGGTGTTTCTCTACTTTTCTGGGTAATCTGGAGAACTTCCTTTGAAAAGAGTATTGATGCCACATTGCCAGAACCATGACTTTTTCTGGAGGAAGCACATGTGTGACGTAAAGTCAAAAATTTTACCCACATCGGTTCTAAATTCATAGCTCCTGTGAGGAGGTTTTTGACGCTTATGAAATGGACTGAATTATATTAATGCCCTTTATGATACTGAAAGCAGACATGACCATCAGTCACTTGCTTAATGATTTTTTTATCATTGTTTTTAATGCCTGAAACCTGTACAAGGAGGCAGGGGTCAGCCAAGCAGTGCTGTTACCACTGTTTCCCCCCCAAAATCTTCATGATAAATAATACGTCAGCAGAATTACATTTAAAACTGTTTAGTAAGCATGAGGAGGACAAGATGTGCAAAGGCTGCCTTGTCCACAGGAGGCACCACAATGTATACAACCAGGAAGTCCCTCACAGGAGCTTTAAATGAGTGTTTCTACATGTCAACAACTCCTTTTGGGGTTTGTCTTTTTAACCTGGAAGTTTATTTTTGCTGCAACATTTCCTGAATCCTTCTCCACAATGACCTGTTGCGTTTGACACAATTTATTCAGGAAGTAAACTGCAATATGTTTCTTATAGTTGTGCACAGCATTTGAAGCTCTACAACTCACCGATTGCCCACCAAAACTTGCATGGCAAAGTATTCTACCTTGGTTCTATCTGTTATCCAGGAATATTTGAGTTGAGATGGCATGATGTGATATCCCAAGAGGCCTTTGGAAAAAGCAGACACAGATGAACAAAAGGGATCAAAGCTGCTGGTGGAAGTCATCCCTGCAACGTGCAAGATGCACCTGGGTTTCTACAAACAAACACTACTTTGTCAAAAGCTTAGAAACGAAGCATTCCTATAATAATGCGCTATATAAAAGAAAAACAAGAGCGGTCTTTTAGGCCTGCCTCAGTTAGCGTTGCCTTCAGTTAACATGACTGAAAAGTTAATACTCTCCACTAACTGCAGAGGCAACAACACAGAGGAAAAACAAGATTCTCGCTCTTTGGTCAGTCTTGACACTTACTTTTTTAGTGAGATAGCTGGCAGATCTTTTTTTTTTTTTGCCCTCAACCCACCCCCCGCAAAACCCTTTTTAACCAAACCACCAAGTGATTGAGAGCAACTTTGGGAGTTAAATGAATTTCACTGTTACACATTTCCTGTGCTTCTTCATTGGTTTTATTCTTAAAATTGCTATTTTTTTAAACTGAATTGAATTTTCTCATAAATTGCATACTTGTAGTAGTCGGTTTGTGATTGAGAAACAGCTGAAAAGGCGACTGGCGTTGTGCAAGTACCAAAAACGCCACGGTGCAGTCCACCTTGACATCTTATTTTGTTGTGTACATCTTGATTTTTAGAGATCTTTAGAAACACAAACTCCTAACCAAATTCATCAGCATCTGCGGTCCTCTGTCTCTGTTGTGTCACTGTGCTGTTTGGCTCATTCACAACCAGGCACTTATTTTTTATTACTTTTTATCTTTACTACAGCCTTAATCCACTGTATTATCTTGAAAGTTCGCCTCTGGAGTAGATTTTCAACACTGTGTGAGATCGCAAAACTCTGCATTGTACATATTACACTCACGTGGCATGATAACAGGGTTCAATATTACATTTTTTGTGCACAGTATTTGGTAGGAACAGTACTTTGCCAGCAGATGATCCACAGGCTAATACACTGGAGTAAGAGCATTGTAAAGTGGTATCAGCATTGTTTTTTGTTCTTTTTTTATTTTCTGGCGGGGTTAAGAAATAATGGTACTGTATGATGTGAGAGTATCCATACCCATAGGGTTTGAATGTTTCATACTGTATCCTATTTCAGTTGCATTTATACATTTAGTGCAAAAGACACAATAAGAGGAGAAGATACATCTACTAATGCATGGGTAAAAGCAGCCTTTCCTAATCCATGTTTTTTGTTCAAAATGACAAAGAAATCTTTGTTTTCTGCATTTGTTTTTGATCCCTTAAGTTTACATTTTGGAAGTTGATAAAGATTTGCACATTTAGGAAAGAAAATTGCTGTTCTACAATGCTAATATTGGTAGTAATAGAAAGAAAGTGAGAGAGAGAGAGAGAAAGTGTGAGTGAAAGAGAGAGCGCAAGTGTGGTGTAAAACTGCCAATCTTTATGATCCTCAAAGGAAAAAATGTCTTAAAAGTACAAATACAGTGGCTCTTCACAGAAAAGGCAGTATTAATCAGCAAACGTGTTATTCTCAAGCTCAGAAAAGGATGAGTTTGAGGATTTAAAAATAATCAAAAGCAAGAGAGAGAAGAAAAAATCATTTTGGGTATTTTTCTGTGTGTTTACTCGGTATGTTCTCGCAGACTAGTCGGGACTCTGGTTAAACTCATATCAGACGAGTCCACTGTTCAGAGAATGTAAGCTGGGTAGCTGGCCCTTCCCTAACCCAACACAAACCCCTGACAGGATGTTGTGTTCAAAGCCCGTCATCCCTGTGACTCCTCAAAACTCTCTCCTCTACGTTTCATGCAGAGCATGAATTCTCTGGCTTGTCAGGGAGTAGGAACCATCTCACAATGCTCAGAACAGCAACCTGTTTTCAATGCTGTCTTAAACAAGAGAAGTGCCTTGTGTATGAATGATTCTTTTGTAAGAACAAGTTGATGTAAATGTTCATTTACCTCAAATGTTTACAAAACTGTTACTAAATAAATTTTTTGTACCATATTTGCTATTTTTGCTTTTATTTTTATCCAGATGCGATCGTTAATATTGGGCTTTAGGCTTATATAGACCTCACTTTACCTTTACAGGCACTCAACATTCAATAGATTTAACTTTGTGTTGAGTTGACTGAAATTTTTCAGTTTACTCAACACAAACAATTTTTTTAAAGACGGGTATTTCCTACAGTAACAGTCTTTCCAAGTTTTGAAATATTGATATTGTGCTAAAAATAAGAGTACAGTAATACCGTGAGTTCACAGCAGTGGTCCTGTAAGCTGGTTGCCACACATCCTTCAAGGTGGAAAGATGAAGAATTAGTAACGGACTGCTAACAAGCTACCTGTGTTAGAGATGAGAGATGATTCAGCACTTTAAAAAACAGACTTTCCAAGATTTACTGTGAATCTCAAAATGATGTCAGAGCTGGCACCTGTCTGTATCAATTATAAATTATTATCAATCACATATTTGTACTTCCTAACCAGTCATTAACTTTTTTATCTTTTATTTCTGTTAGGTATGATCTACCAAAAGTAGCATTTTTCAAAATAAAAGCATAGTTTGATAATACAATGAATAAAGTAAACCAAACAACACAGGAAATGTATCAAAATAAAAGCAAGAAAATTGTTTGACTGAATTGTTTGACAGGCTCTGACACGTTGTTAATGGACCTGTATGAATATTTCCTACAACCTAACATAAAGAGTCGTGTGCATGTGCAGGAACTTGCTCTGCAACATAAAGATTAGTGTGCATGTGCAGGAACCCTAGAAGCTGAAGTTGTTAATTAATTTCAATTAATCAGCTGCTGTTAAAACCTTCATCTTCACTTGCTCACCATCTTCATGTTCTGAGGAGGTACAGTGATGCACTGAGTAAGAGTTGTGTGGGGCATAGAAACCCCACAGCTAACATGTTTGATAAACTGCTTGTAATGGTGGTTATATTACCATCAGTAAACAAACTAATTGGTCTTCGTCAGCATGTATCACTAATTAACTGTGACTGTCAGCTTCCAGTGTGTATTTGAGGTTATGTGCTGCCCACATCAGCACCAGGAGAGCTAATAAGTGTCTTTGGCACTACACTCTTTGTAGACTCTCTGACCTCTGACCTCACTCGCTTACTCCCTTACTCTGCTGCATTCCAACACTGAGTGTCAGAATGTGACGCCAAGTCAGACACACACACACACACGCCCACACACACACATAAACACAGTCAGCCCCACTTCACAACTATATTGAGGAATAATTGAAATAAGATGGGCACGACAGTTTCACACCTCAGAGTCAGACGTTTAACACAAACTCAGACAACTCCTTCAAAAGAAGAGAGAGGTTATTTTTGTCACTGTTGAAAACGTGACAGAGGAGGGTGAAAAATGTACAGCTGCTGCAGGGGGAAAATATTTTCACCTCTTGGCAGAATGAAGATCAGCTAAGTAATAGTCAATAGAGAGATTCACATGGTCTTACAAAAGACCATGGTTTATGTCGAGGAAAAGTTTCCAAGATGGCTGTATCTACGAAAGTTATTTTAGCGCTTGCCTTGTATTCAGACAAGACAAGCGCTAAAATAACTTTCTTAGATGTAGCCTTCTTGTTTCAGGCCTCTGATTTTACTTTTTTCAACTTGGTGACTGAAACGCTGGTAACTCGGGTGACGTCATTATTAGCTTGTCGGAAATGTACTATTTGACCTGTAGGCTACAAAAATTGTAGTGAATGAAACAAAGGTGTGATGAATAATAATGTGCATGTGATTGCACATGGAAATGTACAAGAAAAACACACACAAAATATT